CTCTTTCGTTCGACGTGCAACGACACAACGCACACGCAAACAGAAAGTAGCGGTTTTGTGTATTGAATATAGCTTCAATTATCGCGACTTTCAGCTTTTGCTTAAAACCATCTGCTCAATAACGGTGCCAATAATTTTGCCGGAGACATCGACACTTTTCCAAGATGGCAGTGGACGACAACACGACTGCACCAAAAAATATTCGGTAGGGAGCAATTTCTCGAACGTTGTGGTGACTGTGCCAAACGATTTTATTGCCGCTGCATTAATACAACCGTCAAAGCATGTGACAAGCCCATAGCAAGCGGAAAAATCTAATATAGATGCCAAACGCTTCCCCCTCCCCTTCCTCCCTCTTCCCTAGATGTCGGCGCCAAAGAACCGGTGCAGGTATCCAACGCTAATAACGAAAGCAATCTACTAAGGCTTGTCTAATCACAGCCCGCAAAAGTGAGCAAGCTAACAACGATGGTGGTGTCTCAAGGGCGAGTAATTGCTGCGCTATATATATAAGATCGAAGTGACGAATTACGAGCCGAATCGTGCAAGAAGTCGTGAGTCAACTCCGTGCTGCGCTCGAAAAACCCGCATGCATGCCCCCAGAAAAACCGAAAGCAGCGTTTCTACCCCACCCCTTAACCGCTCTGCAAAAATCTTCAGAAACGGGCAAGTCAATCACTACTAACCACATGATGACAGCAAATGGAGCGAGGACACCTTTGATCCCCAAAACTGCTGCAACTCACGAGAAAAGAAGCCCCCACCGACATCGGCGAAGGTACGAGAGACGACGCAAACGACGGTTACACCGTAGTTAGACGAAAACAAAGTATCATGAGATCCGGTAAATGCAAGTCGTCTACCATTTCAAGTATCCCCAGTCACGAAAAGCTTTTTTTGTGACTTGTCTTCATCCGGACGCGTCAACTGAAAACGTGTGGGAGCTGCTGGCTTCAAATATTGAAGCTACCTGTTTCATACTGCATTCCCGAATCGTGGTTGCGGGACGATATTTCAAGTGAAGAATATTTTCCGACCCAGCACTTAGTCTATCGAGGCGATTGAGATTACAAGGCGTGCAACCAAATACATGGAGGCGGGGTGCTCATAGCGATCCGAAACGATTTTGAAAAATTTCGCAGGCCTGACATGAAAACGTGCAAAGAACTTTTGTAAGGAAATCAATGTGCACGGACACCGTGACATTCTTCTGGGAAACCACTATTTCCCTCCGCGATGTACGTATTTCATTTTCAGTTCTTGTATTCACCAACCGTCCAACATGATAGACTTTTCAAAGTACTGTGTTTATAGTACGGGTGATTTTGACCTGCCTGATGGGAATCGAAACACTAGTATCTTACACTCCTGCAATTCGAAAGTGAGCAGGAAAGTGACTGATTTATCTAAACTCTTAAAACACTTAAAATTATTTTTTTTTTAAACCTTATCAACTGGAAAGGCAACTTGTAAGATCTGTTCCTTACAAGTGATAGCGAGTGTAGCCTCTAAGAAGCTCGGGCTCCTCTTGTTCCTGTGGACACTTGGCATGTTCCATTCGAGGTAGATTTGAATATAGTCGATAAGCATAGTACCGCGTGTCCACGACCGACTGCTTTTGCTTAATCGAAAGGAAGTTACATGGGCCTTTTCAAATTTCTTGCAAATACAGACTGTTCAGCCATTGCATCATGCGAAGAGGACGTAGACCAACGAGTACAAATACTTACAGATACTGTGTCACTGTGACGATGTTTATGGCGGTTTACAAAAGTTGTGTGTCTGATCGCTGTTCGGCCCTGGTTTTCGCATGAATTGGAACATACCATGTGGGGAAAGTTACGCTATCGCAGACGTCACAAACAGACCAATAATCCGTTGTGGAACGAAAAGTTTAAATCCGAGCGAACTTTGACAAAGCGCCTTTATCGCTGCAATCACGAAAACGACACTCAAAATAATAAATTAAGCCTAAAAAAAACTTTTAAAGGTATTTTTGAAAAAGTTTCAAAAACAAAATAAAGAAAAGCGCAAAAAAAAAATAACACTAACAAGTGGTTTTTACCACATCAAGAATCTGAGAGACATCTGTCAAGCGTTTGCAGATTTATTTATCCCTTTTGTGTTTGTTTTGGCAGCAAATATGCCTTCAAGTTACACGCTACAGGACCGAAAAACGAATGCTTTTCAATTCCTGAGCTCTGTAATGACAATGTTTTGGCGGCGATTCGGGCGTTACCGACAGAAAGATCGGCTGGAGTTGACGGTATTCCTTCCTTTCTATTTCAAGGGTACGGCGACTGGTTGTCTCCGATCTCGGTCTTGATTTTCAATCGGTCCCTGAAAATGAGGTTGTTTCCGACTTCATAGAAGTTTTCCCTCGTTGTTCCCCTCTTCAAAGCTGGTTCACGAAATTCCGTCAGTAATTATATATCATCCAATTTCACTCATTTGTTCGTCCGCTAAGCTAATCGAAAAAAAAAATGCATTGTCATCTGATAAAGTTTTTTCTCGCGGCGAATGAGCCTGCAACAGTATGGATTTATACCTAATCGTTCCGTAAAAACAAATTTTATCACGTTTACAAAATGTGTGGGTTCCAAGATAAGGTGCAAGCAGAAGGCTGACACAATCTACTTTGCTTTAAAAAAAAATGAAAAGCTTACTTGGTTAGCCGTTCTCTCCTGGTTAAACAAAAGTTGCAACCTACGGTCTGTCTTCATCGCGTCGCAACTGATTCAAAAACCATCTGCGAAGGATGAAATCCCGTTACATACGGTGACGTTTACTCAACTGCGTAACTTTCTACATGGGGCATCCCCCAGTCTGATTGCTTATCCCCTTTGCTTTTCAAAATATTTGTGAACGATATTAGCGCATATGCAATTGTCATTCAGAAATATTACAATTTTCCGATGATGTTGAACTTTTTCGGACTATTAAGGATTTATCTGCCTGCCAAAATTGCAGCAAGGCATTAAGGCTTTGGCAGAATGGTGCAATAATAACAACTTGGTTCTCAGCCCGGCTGAAACCAAACAAATATATTTGTTGATGAAAAATTTCCAACTCACTTTTGAGTACTCTCTGAACGAATGCTGAATTGGGCGCGTTTCACTTGTACGAGATGTGAGAGTTTTCTTAGATAGTGAATTGAAATTTCCCGACCACGTGACATATTTGAGCACTACATGTTACCGCACGTTGGGCGCGATCACCAGAATCGATCGCTCAGCTTGCCTGAATTAAATTTCTCGGGCGTGTTATAGAATTCGTTGAATAAAACAAACAAAATTGGAATTGAAAATATATTAAGGTTTGTTCGACTGATTTTAGATCGTTATTTTAATAAGCTTATCTATTTCAGTCATGAGCGATTATTGAAACTTTTAAACTCGCATTACCTTTCCGAAATTAATGCAGGCACGGTTTTTCTCCTTTTAGCATATATGTCTCCACGGTTTCATTAATCGCCCAAAACTAACCTCTTTTGTTTCCATGACTGTACCTAACAGCACTCTTCGCTTTCATCGTGCATTCGGTTGCTTAGAGTCAAAAACAATAACGCCCTTGGAACGTCTCCAGTGTGCGTTTAATACGTCGGCTGTGATGAACAAGCTTGAGGTACATATATTTTTGCGGGAAAATATTACCATTCGATTTCTATCCAAAACGCTTTGAATGAATGTTTTTTTTTTTTTTATCCAGTACTGTTATGTAGAAATACGCTGTGTGAACTTTTCTTCTTTCAACTTTTATGTCTCAACAGTTTATACCAGCCGTGTGTAACTGCGAGAACTGTTTTATCGACTACGGTGTGTGCAATTTTCTTTTTCACTCACCATATCTTTTTAACATACTTCGCAAACGCTGTCATTAATGCTCCTATTTTTCGACTACGGTGTGTCCAATCTTTTTCTTCATTTACAATGCCTTTGTATTGTTTCTCTAACAAACGTTCTGCATCAATGCGATATGTATCTGACAATCGGTGCACTCTTCATAAGCTCACGGGCTGTTTAGGAGCATCAAAAAAGTCAAATGAATATATAAACACGCAGGGGCTTTTTTGTGCGAAAGAAATGCTCGGAATGACTCACCACTAAAGGCGAGTCCGTGAACGCGATGGATCAAATAACACATCCTCGACGAGCCCTAATAAATGAGACGCCACAAACACTTCTCCGCTAGTCATCCGACGGATTGAATGTTAACTGACGTCGAACAGTTCCTTGTTCGCGCTAGAAGAAACGAATCTCGCGTAAAAGCTGTGCTTTCGTAAGCACTGCAACTGATGATTTTAAGACAGTGTCCCTCGGAAACATCTTGCGTAAAAGTATGACCGCCATTTGACAGTCTTCGGTATAGTGAAATAGAGTAATAGACTGCTAGATTTACTACTTCGATAAAAAACTGACGTGTAAACCGTGAATACAAATGTCACCTCGATGCACAATATAAGCACTTTTAAAGCAAAATAGTAATTTTCAGCACAATCTACCTTAAAAACATCTCGTTTCAGCCAGTGGCGTAGCTAAGAAGGGGAAAGCTCTTCTTCTCCCCCCCCCCCCTTTTCCCCCTACACACACACACACACTTTTCCAATCCAAGAAAAGACATCCGCAAGTCTACGCACCCCAAGTCATAGCATTCCAACCACATCAGCGCCACGCCTCTCCCTGAAAAAAAAAAAAAAAAAAAAAAAAAGAAATTCTGGCTACGTTATGGTTTCCGCCGTACGTTTTCTGAAACAAAAACAGGGCAAAAAACATTAATTGCATTAATTTGCAAAAGAAAAGGTTTAGTCCTTGAAAAGCAAAACATCAATTTACCCCAAACCGGACTCCAGAAATGTACTTCGAAGTCAACTTTTTGGTAAAGTTCTAGTGAAAATACTGAAGCCGATACTGTTGGAGTATACTTCCCAACACGTTGAGTGTGCAACTTTTTATGAGGTGCGCTTCTGCCGCTATATCTTTATTCTTGCATCTCTCACGCAGAATCTTAAAGGCCTGTGGTTTCACGCTGACATACTCCCGGCCACGGGCGGCGAGGCGCCAGTGAACGCATCCTACTACCTGCACCAGTTCGCGTCATCCTTCCCCCAAGCCGTCGTCTCCGTCGGATGGACGACGTACCCGGAGACTTTCTACACGTGGGAAGTCGTCGACCGGATGACCCGACTCCTACTCTGTGGACCTCACCTCCCAGCGAGGGTTTCCATCGCTGCACGAGCCTCGATGCTTCCAAACTCCGTTGCTCAGGTGTCGTGGATGCTGGACGTCATCCCGCAAGCCAGCTTGTCCATCTGGGCTCAAGACAACGACCCAAGGGTCACGGACACCCTGATTCAGCTCCGCAAGGCGCTGCCTTGGTCCGTTGTCTACTACGATCTCTCCGAAGAACAAAGAGCGGAGTTTGAACGGGCCAAGGAGAACGTCGCGTACGAACCCCAACGAACGGGACACCCGGTCTGGGACCTGCCCGGAGTCGTGGCGTGTGAGCAGCGGCCTCTGGCAGGGCGCAGGTCAGTCATCCTGAAGGAGCAGGGAGGTTCCATCAGACTGCCGGCGGCCTGGAAGCACTTTCGTGCCAGGATTGACACCAGCAGGTCCAAGACCATTTCCCTCCATATGGGGTCCAACAGCCTGACGCTGAATGGTGACTGCTTCTATGTCATTGCCAGAAACACGGCGACAGCCGTGATAGTTTCCGCCTGGCAGTGCGTTGGTTACCACACGAACCTGACGATGTTGTCCGCGAGCGAACCGTCGGCTACCCGCGAATGGCCGATCGTGCCAGGCCCGATGTCCCTCCGGTTTCAGACACCAACCGATACTGCTGTGTATTTGGTTTACGTAAATGAATGATATTGTTAAGTATACTTGGTTTCTTTTCTTCGGTTGTTCTAAGGACTTGACCAGTTACCGGACACAAGGACGCTTCACTAAGTTCAAAATTGCGCTTGGTTTCAAGCGTAACGACCACGAAGAAGTTTTCGAATATATAGGAAGTAAAACTACACTGCGGTGCATGTTGAGGTGCCAGCAAAGAGTATGTATCTATAAACGACACGAGACTCGCCATTCACACTAATCTTGAGGACTGTCCGCAGAAAGACGACAAACGTCGAACCCGGAAATGCCCAAAATTCAGCGACAGAATATGGCGTTTCAACAGTTTCCGCGACCTGCGTCTAGGTAAGGCTATCACACTCTGATGGCGTCAACTTAGCAATTGGGTCCAAGCTCGACGCCGAGCGTCTTTCGACGCACTAACTAGACACAAGGCCCAGCAGATAGCTGACGCAGCACTCGTGTCTGTGTCTGCGCTCGACCTCACTGTGTCCACGACGGAATGCTAGTGCACGGGCTCTGATTATTCTATACGGAGCACAAGGTCGTCTGCTTCTTTTGCAGGAATTGTGGGGATGTCAGAACGCCGAGCTCTGATGGGCTCTAATTTCAGAACAGTGGATAGATCTCAAAACACGCTGCTTTAAAATTGCCCGCTATCCTTCAGTCAGAGCCGATCAGAGCTCCGCGTTCGGATGTCATCACAACCCCTGCAAAAGCAGACGAACTTGCGCTCCGCATAGACCATTGCAGCGCTTATCACACAGGCGAAAAATGCTGAGTCACTGGTTCGTGGCGTCTCGTATTTCGTGAAAGAGAGCTACTGCGCACGCTCAGAACGTCTTCGACAGACCAGTAGAGGATGGCAGCGCGCAGAAGGCGTATTTCGGAAAGGTCTCTAGGCGGTGTTGACCCGCTCCGGCACCCGCCACGTACATTGTTTGCTCGAGTAAAAGACGCACCGCTTATGAACCATAGAAACGGGTCTACTTTCCCGCGGAGCACAGATACAGTCAATCATCGCCTAACGTAGCGAATGACGAGGTCGAGAAAACTATTCCCCGCGATGATTGTGGTCTGCGTAGATAGCGTTCTCCAGATCATTCATGTTGGGCTCGTTCTATCAATCGCGATGATTGGATATCTGTGAACGCGCAGACTTGGGTCATAAACAGTGCGTTTGTTACTCGATGTAAAACGGCCCCAGTTGATGTTTATCATTCGTTTACAAGGTCCACTTATATGTAGTAGAAAGCAACTGCGAACCGGATTTTAAAGCCAGTATTTCTGCAAGTCCGGAAAGCTGGAACAGTTCGTGCAGCAAGTGAGGTATTACGGGTGATAGTGAGCATTGTACAATCGTAAGTACTGGTTCCTATGGCAACAAGCTTGCCTCTTTTCTTCAAGAGCAAATACCTGTTATGGGACAGAGAGAGAGAGAAAGAGAGAGAAATATATACGGTATTTTCTTTTCAAGATTTAACAGAATTGTTTTAATATGTGGTGAAAGCTACTCTAAGGCGGTCTTGTTGTCCATAAAATAGTAATGCGTACTTTTTTATGGACAGTTTACACCTAGTCATTTGATTGAAGCCATCTCGATTCTGAATACAAAGGGCATCGTTTTCCAATGACCTACTGCCACTGTGCTTTTGCGTTATCGATTCAACCGTTATGTTACAAGACAACCTTCGTTGTCTGAAACAGTAAACACGCAGTAAGATCACCCAGCGCCACACATGACACCGCTCACTTTTGCGTACTCTCGTCTCCTCGAAACTTTCGCAGCCTTTATAGAAGCGTCCAGAGTCCTCTCTCCTGCTTGTTTTCTTGTTGAGACATCGGGGAGGCTTGTGAAGCGGTGCAGTTAATGCGAAGACACTTCGTTTGGCAAGTGGCGTCAACGGGGAGCCTCGACTTTTATTTCCTCTGCACGAGGACTCATGCAGCCCAGGCGAAATATAACGCAAGGAGCTCGCGCTCGTGGCAGCCATTGTGCAGGAATTAATACACAACTTCCAACAGACGGCACATTTTTAAAAGGGTTCATAGTTTATAATACTCATTGCAAACATCTTAAATACATTTCAGAAACTAACTAGGACATGCGGAGAGGAACGGGACATCTTGGACCTGAGGTTCAGTAGTGACAAGTCTAAAGTAATATTGTTTAACAGAAAAAAAAAAAAAAGTGGGGGATTTTTGAAATTGAGGTATTCTAATGAACCACGCTGGCAGCGATCTTTACCTTTGAAGTCATAGAATACATGAAAAGCATTATAGGGAACTGGTGAGGGAGTTGGTGTGCCACGTGACGTATATTTTCCCGCTAAATTTAGCGGGGAAACCGGACTGGTGTCTAGGTCACACGACCTTAATTTTCCCGCTAAGTTACGCAGGTAACTGAATTTGATGCTCTGGCCACAACACGTGAATTTTCCAGCTAAATCTAGCGGGGAGACTGAGTTGCCGTATAGGTCACGTGCTGTCAATTTTCCCAAGGTGTTATAAGTTACGTTACGTCAGGTGACATCACGTGACGCCACTTTCCCTGCGCAATAAAAGGCACGGAGGGATTCTATACAGTCCCCTCTGTTCCTATTTCGACGCTATTGCGAGTGACGCCCGCCCCTGTCACTGGTTACCGTTAAGCACTTCAAAACCCTGATGTCAATCATATATTCCTTTGCATTTTAGACGCTGTTGAGGTTGCCTTCTGCAAAAGGTTTCAAAAGCATATATTTCTTTGCGATCACATTTATATTATGTGGAAATCGCAAAGATTGAGAAATGATGAACATTTTATTAAACGTGTATATAATTATTATTTATTATTAATTATATACACGTTTAATAACATATTAATTATTAAGACTCGCCTTATTACTATTGCTGATTCTGCGCTGTAACCGGCCCGGAAATGTATACGGAAGAATAAAAACATAAAAAACATAGTTTACTCAATTGTCAACTTGCAAGAAGCTGCTGGAAAAAACAAAAATCGCTGAAAACGCTATTTCTACTATTTGTTTCTCATCCGGTTTTTGCGTGGCAGTAAGAAGCTTTTTCAGATCATTCCTATACTTCCGATATTGATATGCGATAGGAGTACTTTACATGATGAAAAGTGTCGGTTCTATTCGACTATGCAAACTTCTCTTCAAACTCCTCTCAAGAATAAGCTCACGCTTCCACCCATCACGAATTAGGAAATCTCTATCTTAGCACGTGTACTCTTGGGGTGGAGAAAAAGGATGAGTTGGGAAGTAATCCTGCGGCAACACACCTCGGAAAGACACTGAACAGAAGCGTCTGGACTCTGAAGCTGTCTCGGTAATTCCGAATCCCGCCAGAAAATGCGCGCGTGCGTAGTAGAGATGAAATCACGTAACAATTTAAATTTAAAAAAAAAAATCTTACCATATTCAATCGTAGCATTTTGCTTTGTATGTCCACCATGCACTCGTGTTCTCTGAAAGAGCAACAGAGATCAGCAACCGGGCTCATGGACGGGCCCAAGAAACATTTTGCGGCAAGGAGCGTTTGCACGCGTGCGATCCTTTGATTCGCGACGTTCGCCGACAGAACGAAGACTAAAAGAAATCATAAAAGGAACGGAAAGACACAGATTGGTCAGTGTATGTCGGTCTTTTTTTTTAATTTATTTTAGCGGTTACTGGTGCCTTGCCCGAAAAGCACACCCTTTGCCCTTCTTCGTTTTCGGGACGCCATCGGCTACCATCGGCGCTATATTCCCATTAGGATCCGCAAAGTCCCAGCGGCGGCCCGACATCGTGTGCTACTTAAACAACCCCTTTCTTTTTTTTTCTCTCTCTCTCTCTCTTTTTATCCACGTGAAACGTGTTTTGCTTTGTCTAGAAAAGTCTAGAAATTCGTGAAGCCGAAAAGTGAAGCCGCCGATTTACTCGATGCTGATTGGCTGAGCCAGATGATGACGTGAAACCCCCTAGGTCGACGCCGATTGGCTGGTTCAAGCTCTGGAAGAAACCAGGGCTCCAAAAAAAAACGGGTTTGCGCCGGAATCTCTATTCCAGAAATTTCTATCGCGTGTACATGCCACGCGTTAAGCCAGTCGCCAAACTACCCGATGCAGACGGGGCCGGATTAAGGTACGGGCTAAGGGGGCTGCAGCCCAGGGCCCCAGGCTGCCAAGGGGCCCCGTGTTGGCCCCTGGAAATATTAAAAAGAAAAAGAAGGCTAGTCGGTTTCAGTTTAAAACAGCTCAAACCTAAAGGAGGATCACATGAGCCTCTGGGCCCTGGCTTTCTAGTCACTATAGTCTTGCCAAAAAGTTGCCTTCTCTAGACGAGCTGGTGTTCGTGAACTCGTTGTAAAAGACTGTGCTAGAGTAACAAAATGTCAGCGTTGACTCCCACCCTTGTTCTGGAAGGGAGCAAAGCTGTCGATGCTGGCGGTCCCGTTTGAAGTCTTTTCTAATTGAAGCCAGACAGTAGGACGGCCACGGGGTTCTCTATTGTACTGGGGCCCCGACAAATTTTGCGGAGAATGGTGGCTTGGAAGCCAAGCAAAAAAAGTGTTGCCGAAGGCTACACGAGCAACATACATGCTACACATTATTCTTTTCTTTTTTTCATTTAGCGTAGTTACATATGGAAATTTTCCTCCAAAGCAACAAATTTCAATACAAGCAAAAAAAAAAATCCCCTCCTTTCTAATTACTAACAGGCGTGTCAATGAGCCGGCTCTTGAGATGTCACCCAAAAGTTTTCGAGAGGCAGCAACTGCAAGAAATTGCTCTGGAGCCTGTGTCTGGTCAAAGTGATATGCCAGTGCGAGACAACACCTTTCCTGCCTCTGAGGTATGACCTATTATTCTTAGCTTAGAGTAATACGTCCAAATGGATAAAAAAAGTTCTTAAACAGTCGGCAGAGACACGCAGTGTATAAATAAAGTAGTAGACTTGGTCACACACAAGTTCATTAAAACGCGGAGTCATTATTTTCAACTTTTCAACGGATATTTGCGAGGCCCTGCCCAACATGCGCGACACTTACTTATCATTTTCCATAATCGTTCATTGCTTTGCATTTTTTACCTCTTAGTGAGTGATTGGCTATTTCCGAAACAGCCTCTAATCCACAACCGCATCTACTTCATTTCCACCCAGTGAAACCCTAATTTCCTAATCATCGAATCTACAGATACAAAACCCTTCCGAGATATATCATAAAATGATCAATATTTGTATTTTCTAAGTTGGTGAAACATACATATTGCCGTCATGGTCGTTACCACTACCACTATCGTTATCATAGTCAGTATATCACCACCATTAGGGGCCTCTCGAACAGCCTTAGCCCAGGGCCCTGAAATTCCTTAATCCGGCCCTGGAGGCAGAGTGCCGAGAACGTGGATGTCAGTCCCAGAAAAAACGGACTGAAACCACACGTGTTATGTGCAACATAGCTGTCCAACAATTTTCTATGCATTTTGTTTTTCTTTTCATGGGTGCATCGCCTAGCCGGCGGAGCTCGCGGCGTAGGTGTTTGGCAGCCGGTCAACTAGGCCAACTCTCTTCGACCGTGGCACGCTCCATTTTTCAAGGCTAAATCACAGTGAGGTTCAGTAAGAATACAATTCTGCATCAAAATAGGTTGCAGAGTGAAGTAAACGCGAGCATGCGATCAAGATAGAGTTGCCACGTCAGCACTTGCCAAGTTCCTACGTGGTCGCGTCTTAAAGGGGCACTGAAGTCGATTCTGAGATCATCCTTTTGTGGTGACAACTCAATCTAGACGCTCTAAGCATCCCAACAAACCCGAAATCATAATCGTGCGTAGCCTATTTCCTCGTTAAAACCGTGTTCAAAGATCGCGACATACCCTTTTTGGGAAGAATTTTCTTCCCAGTGAATTGATCGACGAAGGGCGCTTGTCGGCGAGTTGCAAGCGATGGCTTCGCTTGCGGTGAAAAAGGGGACTTTTATCCGAATGTGCACCTATCAGACTCTCTTCAAAACGAGTTATAATAAAATCATTCGGAATCGGCGTGTATAGCAGGGCTTTCATTGGTCCACAGAATGTAGTCCGCGAGAAAAAAGAGTCCACGTGTTTTCTCTTGCCCTGAGATGAATAGGCGGTTTTGTAATATAGGACTCGGTATATCCGGGAACTAGTACCTTTTACACAATATAAGATCAAAAACGACCTTTTTCAAAAATGACTGTGTTCTCTTTTCTGCTCTGCGAATGTCGCTTCTCTGCAGCGAAACTGTGCGCGGTGAGAAGCCCACCTAACGAAGCTAACTTGCTCGAAGAACAGATAACGAAAAAAGAAAAAGATGTGATTGGTCCGATAATTTTGGAACACATTTTGGAGCAGCAGACAGTTCAATTCGGAGGAGCAAAATGACCTTTTGAAGCACAAGAGTGCTTCAAACAAACAAACAGAAATGCTGACATTTTTTTGTTGTTGTTGTTTAATTGCAACAGATTATTTTATAACAGCTAATCCTTGAAACGCATGTTGATCAATATGTCGTAGCACGTCGCACGAACATTTTTTAACGGTTATTCTAGGTACGAACTCAAATGTGAACAAATAATTACTCCCATTGAACTAATGTTAGAATGCAGTAAGTTTGATAACCATATTACTAATTAGGTGTATTGTAGAAGCTTTCGAGGTTGCAATAAAAGTGGGGTTTGGCCGATGACGACGCTGGCGCAGACACGGGCCTTGCGTCGGGACGGTGGAAGCCGATGTATGGACTAGGACGGATATACGTGGGAATGCAAAAAGAAACGCATGGACTCATTGCGTTTCTGCAAATAAAGTGGCAGCGATATCCGTGGTGTTCTCCGATGCATCACATATTCGCAAACTGCAAGGTCTCCTGGAATAAACCGTTTTCACTAAGCGTTTCACGCCTACACGAGGCCGCTATAACTGTAGTTCACAGGAGGCAGACGCCAGTACACGAGTACAACTCGTGTCGTCTTACGCTCTGCTCGCGCAAACCCGCAGCAGGGTTGTCGCTCGTGCAGAGACTACAACGTTCTCACGATGCATGCCGACAGCGGTGGCGCAACGCAACTTGCTGGTAAGATCAGTCTATTCAGCTTGAAACACGAACAAGCTATTTCTTTGAATGGTGTTCGAAGCTTTTCCACAGCACCCTACCGAACAAACGTCACAGGCCTATATGTCCACTAAAGTTCACCACGTAGTTCACACATTCACCAGTTTTCAGAGTCTGTGGAAGTTACCGCAAGCACACACATGAGAGACTACCACCCCGCGTCCAGGTTGGCCCGGTGAATCCGCGCCGCGTTGACCCGCTTTCGTTTGAGGGCATGTTCCTCCGTATCGTAAACTTGCTTCGGTAGCATCCTGGCTGTATAACGAACTGCTCCTTACATGTTCTCACATCCTAGAACCCTGTAGAATTCGCCTTCGTAAACCGCCAGCTGCGCAGTCAAGATCCTCACGCCAAGTGAAGCGCGCGACGCGGCGCCACCACCAGCACGCTGCGTCGCATGTCAGCGCGATGACGCCACACCAGCCTCGCTAGCTCCCTTCCCTTACCAGGCGACGCGCAACTCTCCACCGCTGAGGCAACGCACTCGGTTGCGACGACGTCCACGACGACGATCACACCACCGATCGGCTAGCCTAACGCCATATCTACACCCCCGAGATAGAAGGTCGTAGTGCTGAATTATCTGCGTCCCCTACTCAGCGTTCGGCTGGAACGTGAGTCCCAGCTGAACGCTGACGCAGCACTTATCTGTGACCCCCCCTGGCCCTTCGTAGGGGACACAGAAAATTCAGCACCACGGCTTTCTGCGGTGCTGGCCATATACGGCCATTCGCCATAAATGGTTTGTGTTTTACTGCGATGAACCTTATTGACTGAAAACCCCAAGACTGGGACAAGAAGGGACGGACAAACGCAAACACATTCTAGTCAAATGTTTAACCACCACTAGCTCGTTTGCGCCCTGACCTTTTGTTCACGAACCTCATTAGTCCTTGCGGGTTAAAAACACCCATATCTCCAATGTCAATTTGGCGCCCAACGTGGCGCTAAACACCAATCCTAATAAACGGAACAATTATTAATTCGGTTGCTAAGAAACTTTGTTCCTCAAATATGCACGTCAGACCTTTCATGCATAAAGTTTTATGACGATGCGAAATCAATACAAGGGTGGTAATTATGCCGTGTTAAAAACATCCAGCTGAACCCGTTAGGGTTAAAAGGACACTAAAACGGTTCTGTATTTAAGAAAAAAATAACAAAAAAAAAAAAAAACTTGGTCTTTATTTGACCCCCAAAATCACGAACATCGAGATTTTTTTTCTTTCTCAATTTGGTGCACGGAGGTTGCAGAAGATACTTTATAAAGTACCATTGAGTGTGACGTCATATGCAGTTTTCAGGATCTCCGCTCTCGCGCATCTTCAGCGCCTATCAAGGCTATGCACGCGCACTCTCTCTATTTTCAAAAAAAAAGATCAGAAAAATAAGTCACGACTGGTGTCAGTGCGAGGGAATATACCGTAAAGTCCCTATGTTTTAAAAGTAGCGCAAGGTGCGTCGATGCACGAGGCACGTGCAGCCCTTAGAAGATCACGGCGGAACAGCGCAGCACTGAGCTAGATTTCAGACGCCATGTTTTTCCCCCGAAGTGGCGCGCGCCACGTGTCTCGAGCATTTCCGCAACAATGAATGGCGCCACTTTTTCCAGGATAGAGGGGCTTTAATATATCGGGCAAGCTTGCAATTGCACGCGTTGTCCACACGAGCGACACGCGCTTAGCGGCCGAAAGATATGCGTATGATGTAACGACTGGTCGGAGGGTTTTCGTGTTTTCTCGCGTTTAGTTACATCTTCGGGTAAAAAGAAATAATGTTCAGATTCACGGGATAAAAATACTCTAAAATTCACCTCCAACTCGTTTTTTTTTTTTTTTTTTTTCAAGAACATGTTTAGCTTTCCTTTAATTATACACAAGCTTCCACTCGCATTGAATTCTAGAAACCTCATTGGCTGTGCCCCCTAGCAGCTGGAGGCATGAAGGTGGTATCTATAAATGAGAAATTTCACATTACAAAGCATACACATCATAGTAAAATATAACAGGAGGTGGGAAGGTCAGCCCTTTGGCAAAGTTTGGCCCCAGTGGTGCAGAAATCAGATCCTGCAACAATAGCGACTTATGGCAGTGGAAAGTTGTGATGTCACAATTAAATAATTTCATGAATGAGAGAAGGATAATTAGGCTACCTACCTTCAGCTTTTCTTTCAACGTCTCTCAGAGACATTTAAATTCTACTCACTGTGCTGAGTAAAAACCAATTGCAATACACTAGTGGGACGGATCAGATTGCTCAACTCGGAGGGTGAATCAACTCTAGGTGACACAATCTCCACGTGAAGGAACTCAATTTATTGAAGAACATGTACATGCCCACCAGGAATTTCACAACCAAGTTTTCAGAGACCCAGTGTAAATGTGTCGATCGAGCCACACTGAAACATCTTAGTGCTGATGCCAGACATCAATGGCAGTATATAGTTGCATGCACTTTGCATCACCACCAAACAACAGACCTACAGTGGTTTTGGAAGTGTCACACTAACGGCACAGCATTGCAGTTCAATGCCCTACACTTGGCTGGCGTCATCACCGCAGTTGCCCAATAAGCAAATATATGGTATCTACAATCCACGCATTTAGGTCAAACTTGTGAATGCTCACACGCACCGATTCAAAAGAAAGCAAATCTCATGCGCACTCAATCGAGGATTTTATATCCTCCAAACGTTCGATATAAAATGGTCCATTGTGGATCTCCATCTATATACACATACATCGAATTTGAACTATAGTCACTGACAGGACGAGAAAAGCAGGGTGTCCGTTTTAAATGCCTGGCCTCCAGCACATGCACTCGATGCTAACGAGACGCCAAAGCATCGTTGAGGGCAGGAAGCTCGCACTGGAGACGGGACGTGCAAAGGACCCCGCCGGTTTCATCCTGTCGGAGACTACAACGGCTACAAGCGAGTCCGATCGCGACCGCCCGGGCCGCCGCCTGCTGCTGTTCTTTGCGGGTACATGTACGGCCGTCCCCTGGTCCCTACATCCATTCGTCGTCCAAGTCCTGGTTCGCTCCGTCCAGCGCCTCTTCGGGCATCTCCGGGATGAAGGTGGTTTCGACGGACAGAATGCGGATGATGGTGTCCAGGAGCTCGTGCTGCTTCCCCGAGATGCAGCCGGCCTTCACTCCGGGGGTGCAGATCTTCTTCTCCAGGATGCGATCGAACTCCTCCCGCACGCTCTGCTCAAAACAAGTGAAGACCGCCGATCAGATAGTCTGCGATGAGCTCACTTTTAATAAGATGTGGGTGACAGAAACCAGTCAACCAGTCATGGTGCAATATTGTCAGTCAGATTGCAATATATGATAGTGTGATTTACGAAGAATCAAACTTAACTGGAGTGTGCCACCACACACAAATTTTTTTCCGAGGGGCACTAGCCTAGCGGCAATTGGTAGTACGACTGAGTGGTCAAATGATGGCGGGTCCGTAGCAGTGCACAAAGGAGTACGGTATATAGCTCTTTAGATAAGATTCCGCGGGAACGTTGCTCTTTCGTGTTTCAGTCTGTCTTTATGCTGCGCTCTGCATTATGAAAATAGAACCATTTCAACTAATACATTTTTTTCACACGTACACAAAAAGTAAAATAGACAGCGGCTTTTATCTTTTTATGCGGGCGTTATTTGACACGATACCCAACTTCTGAGGTTACTGCACTTCCCCCACGCACTATGATGGGCTCATTGCCCCATGGCCGAGGTGTTGCGTCAAATCCCGCCAGGCTAGTGCATCGCTGAGAACTGAGAAAAATGCACAGTCGCACGCTCCACTTAAGTTTGATTCTGACTGCACAGAGCACAACACAATTAGCCACAGCTACAGCTAAAAGGCTATCCTAAAATATAGCAGTGTAGTGAATTGTGCTACGAGCAAGAAAGTAGGTAGCAAAACTCGGGATTTGGGAACATACATCGAGTGAAAGGATAGTGATAGAGCAACAATGACGCTTGTACTAACTTCATAGCGCACTTTGCGATGGCCAAATCTCCCCCAGTGTACTACAGGTTTGACTTGAGCTAGTTGGTACATATTGAATAGGGTCAGCTGAACAGTTACAAATTAGAAAAACCGAGAGAGGAAAAGACATACAGACCGCTGACTATCAACTGTAGTATGAAAAAAGGAAAAAAGGAAGACAAAGTATTACAGCAAGCAAGTTGATAGTCAGTGGTGTCTATGTCTTTTCCTCTCTCTCGGTTTTTCTGATTTGTAACTGTTCAGCTGACCGTGTTCAATATCTACCCCAGTGGACACCTCAATAACTTGGATAGCCAACTTCTAATGATAGGATGACTTTGATGTTCAAAAAACTAGAATTTCATTGACGAGAGAACACAAGTCGCATTTCATGGGAATAGTGTGCTTCTGTTGCACCATCAAAACATTAGAATGGGCTTATTTTCCAATCTGCAGTAGCGCGGTGGCCGCCATGAATTGACATCTCGTGACCACATCGGGGAAGATCATAACTATCTACCTTGGCATGCCTCACTTCCAATCTGTCTGCACACATTGGGAGTGCGATTGCACGCATAGACTTTCTGCTGTCCCAGCAATCCATTCCTGGAATAATTTCCTCACGTTATGACAGCACACTGAGATTTTTTACATTGGAAAGGTCACATTGTTACAATTTGTTACAATCCTCATACTATAATGCTTCTATACTGCCCTCTTCCTCGTATAAACTCCCACAAAACTCCTCATGCATCGAGCACCAAACAAATGAAATAATGAAAATTTTAAAGCCAGTTGTAGATACAGGAAGTCGGTTCTCAATGAAACAGCCACGGCAGGCAACACACCTCCACAAGGCCCGAGAGTTCGTCGTCGCAGTCAATGGTTATCCAGCCATCCAGGGTGATGACGTGTTCCCTGCGCTTGAAGGAGCCTCCAAAAAGTATCAAGGGGATGGGGTACACGGGTGTGACGTCGTGCAGATAGACCTGCACACAGATCATGGGGAAGAAATGTGCAGCTCCCATCAAAACATGGTCTATGCAGCTGAAAGGGCAACTGCACTAATAACCTGTTTACAAAACATGATCGAGCAACACTGTTAGTGGTCCCATTTGAGTCACTGTTTTCAGCACTTAGCGTGACACTGAACTCAAAAGTTCTAGTAAGTCAAGGACTGGCCAACGTAACGTTGGCCAGTCCTGATAATGATAAAAAAGGTACCTTCTTTTCTACACTATTGTGGCAAAAGCACTGGTAACACAAAATGTAGAGTAGACAGATAGACTTTGTAATAATTTCATGCCTCGACCTCATGAATATCATTGTGCGCAGTGTCTCTGAAAGAAAGCCCTGCCAATGCTGGTACTCCATAGTCGGTGCCAGGTTCGGAGATCGGGGGAAGCTCCCCCCACCGCTTTCCACTTGAGCAGAGCGAACGGTGGAGAGGAGGCAACCACTTCTCCAGCGTTCGCTCTGCTAAAGTGGAGAGAGGTGGGAGGAACTTCCCCCAATCTCTTAACCTGCCACCGACGATAGTGCCGGTGGAACGCCAAGTTCATGCCTCTCGTGGTCGCACATCCCAGCTCTCACCCTACCACTTCGCGTCTACCGTTTCCTCCGAAGCGCAGGACCGTTCTCCTTCCCCTCGTCTCCTTCCTGCACTCTCTCTGACCATATCTGGGAGCACGCTCGCTGAACAGCTCGTACATATCGAGGCAATGGTGCCACAGTGCCCTGAGCGCGTCTCCGAAAGACGTGTTTAACATCCTATCCTGCCCATACATCAAAAGTGGTCCCCAAGTGGCAACAAATGACCTCGCAGAAGCCAAAGTGTTCTGCTGTCAGATGTCGTGATCCTGGTGGTTGGTCGTAGATATGCTGGCAAAAAACGCAAGCAAACGCAAGTGTCGCTGTCGTCGCGGCGTCCCAACTCCCGCCAGGCGGCATAGCGGAGCTAGATTCTCGACGTCGTTGCCTACCAGATGCTAGCACGGCATACGGATTGAGTGCAGCATCGGCGTTTGGCGGGAGATTGCAATCTGCCACTGCGCTTGTTCAATTTACCCACACCTCTTGCACCGGCTGCACTCGGAGCACACAGCCATATTCGATTTGTGAGTGCTGCCAATCTTAACATGCATACCGGAAGTACACTGCCCCGCAGTTTTCTGCGCCGTACTACGCTTCTCTGCACAATGCAGGCAGGTAAGTCAAATGAGCCGAGTGAGGACGTAAGTTCCAGCCGAATGCTGATGCAGCCCTTGTGCGACGCTCTTTCGTCGCAAAAGTACGTTATCGGGAACTGCTAGGAGCGAGTCATGTATAAAACATACCGTATTTGCACGAATATAACGCAACCACGAATATAACGCAAAAAAAAATTTTGAGGTCGTCAAAAAAAAAAAATTATTATTACTATTATAACGCGAGCTCGCCGCCGCGCAAGTCCGCCGCGCTCGAGGAGATACCATAACACAAATGAAAAGGGGACAAACATCGGTAGAAAACTGGTATGAACGGCGGAACACATATGCTAAAAACCGAGCCGAATATCGGCGGATATTGAGCACGTGAAAATGGTTTCACACTATTTTCGACGCGCGCAAAAACTTGCCGCGTAAATGTATTTTTAAACATGTTTGCTTTTTTTTTTTTTTTTTTTTTTTTTTTTTACAATAGATACGCGTAGTTATATATATATATTTATATTTAAATACTCACTTTTTGAACGCTCTGAATTCCGTCCAATTTTCGGTTCCTTTTACGGATATGTGTTCCATCCTTTAACTTTTATTTTGCTCATCATCGCTGCTCAGCTCTCGGTCGCTGTCTTCGAACATAACGTCATCATCCGTACCGTCCATGCTATTTGACAAACAACACTTAAGAAACGCACGCGACACAATCGAGCGCGGCATGGCCTCCCATGCATTCGATATCCACTTCGCGACTTGCGAGATGGAGGCCCGCTTAACGCGACCCGCTGGCGTCAGCTCCTTGTTATTGTCCGCGAGCCACTCCTCGTATTCTCTTCGCACCCGGTCTTTGAAGGGCTTGTTAATACACACATCCAGGGGCTGGAGCTGCGACGTCATTCCTCCAGGTATGACAACAAGGTCACTCTTTGCCTCCCTGATGGCGCTCTTGACCTCGTCCGTCAGGTGCCCCCTGAAAGCATCGAGTACGAGCATCGAGGGGATCTTGAAGGCCGCACCTGGTCGGTTGTCCCACACGACCCGGATCCACTCGCGCATCATTGCACTATCCATCCATCCTTTTTCGTTACACCTGATGTGCATCCGGGCAGGAAAAGTTTTGTTTTTCGGAAGCGTTTTCCTTTTAAAAATGAGGAAAGGCGGCAGCTTATGACTGTCGGCCATACATGCCAGCATCGCCGTCACCCGAGTTTTTTCGTTTCCCGTTGAACGAAGACGCACTTCTTTAGAGCCGCGAACATCCACGACATAGTTGGATGGCATGTCCAAAAAAATTGGAGTCTCGTCGGCGTTCCCGATTTGACCGATGAGGTAGTTTTGTTTCTTGCGCTGGGCAATGACGTGGCGCTGGAATGCTAGGAGCTTCTCCTCATATTCTGCTGGGAGTTTTTGGCAGATGGAGGTCCTCCGGCGAAGCGAGAATCCAGCGCGACGCATAAACTTTTGCACCCACGAGCGACTCACCTTAAAAGTGTTCCGAGACAGGCCAGCTTCCCGCGCGAGCTCTCTCGCTTTCAGTTGGATCACTTCGGCGTTGACCGGCAAAAACTGGCCACGACGTTCTTTGATGAAATCCGCTAGCTTGATCTCCAGCTCGGGGTGACGACCATGCTTCGGCCCACGGAAGGCTTTCCGGGTAGGCGCTGCTCGAAAAATCCGGTCACGGTTCTTCCGCCACCCTCGAATGGTAGACTCGTTGATCCCTAGACGTCGGGCTGCGCTTGAATTTCTGATGTCTTCAGACAAAATAATTGCCTGTTTCTTAAAGGATGCACTGCACTGCGTCCTTTTCTCCATCGTAACACAAATGCCAGGAGAGACTTCCGAGCAGACAGCAATTGTTGTGGCGCTTCAGAACAAGGGAAAACAAATCCGGCGCTAATCAGCAAGCTTCGAGCATCACGTCCTTGAAGCCTTGCCTTGCTCCGCTCCTCACCAAAAAAAAAAACAGCTCGCTCCCTCGCACACCTCGCCTCTCCTCGCATTTCTCATGGGCTTTTTCTCTCAAGTTGCTCCTCTCCCTCTCCCACATCTCCGGTTGCTTATGGCGAAACACGCCGCCACGCGTTCGCGCATGAATTTTCCTCCTCCTTTCACGAGCGCTGCAACTTCCCTCCCCGCGTGTCCGTTTTCGTCCGACTCTCTCCATTCCCCAAAGACGCCCCGAAGGTCGGCTTTCCTCCGTACCTCACGCGCGGCCGACCTTGATTCCGATTATAGCGCGAGGCGCATTTTCAGGCAAACTTTTTTAAAAAATAACTCGCGTTATATTCATGCAAATACGGTATATAATGCATAAACTAAGTAATAATAATTACATTTGCTTTATTTCTACACGGCTGAAACAACCCTATGGTCTACTAAATGATGCACCCTAAAATTGGTAACACCAAAAGAGGTGGTACGGCAAATTTAGAGCCTACGTTGACCTTGGTACTGTTCAAAAGCTGGTTATGCAAAGGCTTGGGACTCATACAACCTCGGGCTTCGTGATATCGACCTTGCAGTTTGATTTTACGGACTCACGACTGCGACAACAGTTCGATGTACCGAGAAAACAAGGTAAACGAGCCATGCTACCAGGGTGACTGGACTACCGAGCAAGGTGTGACACGACTCCGGAGGAGCTTCTAACAAAAAAGCGACGTAAGCAGTGAATATAGCACGGACGTCCACATCCTTCAGATGCGCGACACATGAGAGATTTCAGTGTCTTCAAGAACACAGGAGCACGGATGTGAAAGCCTATCGTGGCTGCAAAATATGATAGTGCATGAGCCCACCTTGGAAGAGCGTATTTTGGTGTAGTAGACGAACCACTGGGTGTCGAACACTTTGATGTTGGCATTGACCGACTTGGGGTGCAGCTCCACCCTCCGGTCTGTCTTGGTCGAGTACCGTTTCAGCCTGTCGGCACAAGCAGCACCCTCAGTCAAACTGGACAAGCTTCACAAACCGGCTGGTAAGTCAAAGAAACGTGGTGGGCTGTTCACGCTCATATTACCTGCGACAGTACATGTGCATTTTACGCATGTCCATTAGGTGTCCAGATATGGACATCTACCACACATATAAGTGAATTAGTATACATTTACTTAAGTGCATACATGGGTATACACATGCAACATACGTTCACACACATGGTACGCTGAGCAACACTAACAGCACGAGCACAACGTCAATGCTTTTCGGCTTGACCTTGAAAGGGTATTATGAGGCACAAGCATGAGATAGTTTACATTTAAACAGCTGTACTAGGGCTGGCCAAACTGTGACTCTTTGTGCGTCCAAGTGCGATTTGCATCTCTCTTAAAGCGTGTCCCCCTTCCCCTCCTGCGTCCCAAAGACAAAAAGGGTTCCACAATTTAAATGAGTATAGCGTACGCAGATTTAGACTGCTTACAAGTCGGAATGCAAAAGCATTCCTACATACAGCGCATTCCTACAAGCAGCATGCCATGTCTTCTTTTTTCACACGGTACTCCAGCGTTGACATCACATTCCCCCACTGCGCGTGTGAGGCAAACCCTGTCAGCTCCATGGCTTTCGTGACAATGCATCTGCGTTGCTGTGCTTTTCTTTGTGTTTTATTTCTGAGGCGCATCTGCTTTGATCTTGAGCAGCCCGCCGGATTCCGTGACGAAGCGTCTTCGTTGCTGTGCTTTTGACCAATAGAAGTTTAAGTGCCGTTTTGCTGCTACAGACGGCTTCGCCCCAGAGGACAGTAAATGCTTTTGCATTAAAAAAAACACATTCTTGGTGGCCTTGTACTACACTATGTACACACAAGCTAGACTGCTTTTTGACACATAGATGTGTCCAGCGACCTTGTTTCTTTTGTTGTTTTAGAAAGAATTTTTAGCGGTATACGCATAACAGGCATCCATGCATTCTTTTTTTGCTTAGCAGTTGAAGAAACATTCTGCTGCCTAGTGTTTATTTTTTGTAGTCAACAATTATACTTGCCTGCTTTGGAAAGGACTGTTCCCTCCATAACATTTCCTGTTAAAAGTAGCCCCCCCCCCTTTTTTTCCTGTGGCTCTCTCAACTTTTGTAGTTTTGTCTGTGGTTCTAACCCCATGTCATTTTGGCCCCCCCCCCCCCTGAGCTATACAATATAAGTTAGTAATTTCACGCACAAGGACACAAGTAGTAGTAGGAACATATGTTGTCGTGAAGAATTTTAACCCGTTAGGCAATAAACGTGTAGCTGTTGCATATCGCACCCGACATATCAGTTATGTTTCCCCGACTTTGATGGTCCCAGCTCAGCACATTGAGGTGGCTATACGCTGATCGTGGAAATCAGCACACTAACAAGCATGGTGGAATTAATAATCCCTGGAGAAGGGGAACAAGAGGGACAAAAGACAAACTCAAGCCTCCAAACACAGCTAAGTGACTGGTGCCCGACCGTCATTCTTGTCCAGCTCGCTTGCACCTTTGCATTTAATTGCATTATAAGCATGGTGGCTCCAGTTACAGTACTACATTACCAACTGGTCTCGCAATATGACAATATACTGCAAGCCCTCTATTGCAGTCAAGGCTAGGCAGCAACACAATAAAAAAGCATTATCTTGTATATATAGAAAGCTACCTCAAAACAAATTTGGATAGAACCTTTGAGACATCTCTTCTTCCTTGTTTCTGTCCCTTCTATGTTTAACTCTTTCCTGACCACGGGAAAAGTAGCAATTTTCAGAGTACCCACACAAAGGCATTTATTTGCCTAACTAACTCGTGTATAAAGCAAAATGACACCTCAAAATGTGGCCAATTAAAAATAGTTATTTAAAAAGAACGCACTGTCTAGCGTTACGTCCGACGGACCCGAAATAAAAATTAAAGTTACGTCCAATGTAACTTTAATCCAAGGTTTCGAGTTACGTCCGACGGAACTCGAAATAAAAATTAAAGTTACGTCCGACGGAACTCGAAATAAAAATTAAAGTTATGTCTCACGTAACTTTAATCCAAGGTTTTGAGTTACGTCCGACATGTCCCAATATGAAAATTAAAGTTACGTCCGACGGAACCCGAAATAAAAATTAAAGTTACGTCTTATGTAACCTACGCAAGCTAGGTTTCGCTTTACGGACAATACATGACTTAAATACGAAACTAACGCGAATTATTACCGCGTTACGTCCAGTGCAACATTCGTAAATTGGATAAAGTCTAGCTCTATCCGTACCTCCGGATTTGTTGAGGGGGCTGGAGCGTGTTCCTCGAACATCAAGGCTGCCAAGGCTGGGCAGGTTCGATACTCGCTACATGCAATTTTTTTTCCTCTTTATTTCCCCATTTTCAAGACAATTTATTGTGATTTTTTTTTTTCCAATATGAAAACACTTTTTGCTATATTGCTGCGTTTGTTACACCTGCTTGTAGCCCTTGGTGGCAAAGCTGATATGGCTCAGGGCCGAGGCAGCTTGAGTGGTACGTGAAGATAGTGCCAGTTTCCAACAAGTAGACCCGAAACCCTTCTCTATTATTCATTGCTTCGAACATCTGCGAGTGCTCAGAAAGCGTTGCCAAGCACCAAAACCGAAATACTTTTTTTATTTTTTTCAAGGGCATGTCATTTTTTTGTTAGACATGACTAGGTTACATTGGACGTAACTGGAAACCTTGGGGTAAAGTTACGTCGGACGTAACTTTAATTTTTATTTAGAGTTCTGTCGGACGTAACTTTAATTTTCATATTGGGTTACGTCGGACGTAACTCGAAACCTTGACGTAAAGTTACGTGGGACGTAACTTTAAATCTTATCTTGGGTTCCGTCAAACGTAACGCTAGACACTGGGTAAAACGAAACAAAAATAGGCATGATGTCAACAAAAACAGTATTTTTCTTGAAAATTCAATGTATGTGAGGAAGGCGTATAAATGCCAAGACTTCTACACCTATGTCGCATCAAACAATAAACAAAAAAAGGTCAGAATATAGAAAGTGTGCCCCACACCCACGGCCATTACTTCTGAAAGTTAGTGTACTCTGACTAACATTGTCTATTTTTGGTTAGTTGGGGAGTTAGCCTCTGTAACACGTGTGCTTTTCAACGAAGGAATGCTTATATTAGTGAAGAAAGATAGTACACCTCACATCCCCAGCAGAAAGCTTTCTTTGTGTTCTACCGTGGTTTTGTCATAGCCTTGATTGCAGTTCCCTCGTATTTAGAAATTTTGTGCGCCTTGTTGGAAAAATAAAACATGCACGCCAGTTCAGGACAGCCTTGGAAATTATAGTGATGCTTACCAACAACAATCTGTTAAGCGATGCCTATAACATATTTTAAAGTGTCCCCAGAGCTCTCAAGATCTAAAAAATATTCTCAATACAGTTGAATTATGTAAATAATGCCATCTTTGTTACAAAGACTGATGCAGACGGTTGGCCATGTTAGACAAGTGCAACCACCGTTCCCAGGACTAGTTCTGACAGCCCACCACCTTGTGATAAAGCTTAAACCTACTTTGAAACCGAAACTAGCGTTATTTGGCTATCCATGAGATTGTGGAATATAATTCTCCGCACCAAATTTAATTTCTTGATGGCGCTTGGAAACCATTGATCACCGGCGAGCAATGGCCTATGGGTGCAGTCAGGAAAGAGTTAGGTTTCTATTTCATACCCCAGTCTCAGGTTAAGTTGCAACATGGTACCTTTCTGTAACAGCTTATAACTAAGTGTGTATTATAGTAGTACAATTGCACAAGGCTGTGGTTTAAGAGATTTATTTCAGCAAAACTTTTTTTCATCATTATTTAAAGCAAAAGGGTCCTCACTTCGAAAGAGGAATGACCACTAGTCTCCCAGTGATCTGCAATGGGTGACCATGCAGTTCTCTCTTGGTCACCAGTCAGACAAGTGTGAAGACTGAGCCTCCCCACACAAATAGCAAATGACCCTCGATCTGTGATGCTAAGTGCTCAGCCTAAAACCTTACTATAGGTTGCCTCAAAAAAATCTTCTAATGCGAACAAGAAAAACAAACTAAAACCCGGCCTTAAACACGCTTCCTCGAATAACAAACCCCGTACCTCTTGTAGGAGACCATGCCAGGCCAATGGGTTAAAGAAGGAATGCCTTCCTGAGGTGCATGTGAGAAATGGACACGGACTAGACTGAAACAATGTTCTGGACCCACAGATTGTACCTCATCACGTCTCTCCGCAAACTCGTAGTCACCTCGCAAGGTAGACGCCTGCAACGCAAGTGAACATTTCAAACAGTGCGGCCGAGGAGACAAATAAATCGTGCGCCTCGACCCCGAAGAAAAGCTAACTAGTCAAAAGGATGTCTGCATTGCATAATGGAAAAGGACATATCGAAGGCTGCACGAATTTGGGGAACGTTCATTTAGCCTGGCACAAAGAGACAAGGATTTTCGGTTCTCACTGATTCTTGGAAAGCGACTTTGAGACTTAACTTCCCTGTCTATCGTTAAAAACTGAAAAAAGCTCATAACAAACCAAGGACAAAGAAGAAGTGCACCCATAGTTGGATTGCAATTTTATAAACCACATATTACAAGTATTCTTCAACGTAGCCTTAGTGATGCCACAGAAGCTGCATGAAAGTGAACAGTGGAGAGCCTGGAGAATGGCAAAAGGTGCTCCAGAGAAGAGCGGACAAAAAAGAGGCAAGAAGCAAAGCAGTAGCACTGCTTCTTGCCTCATATGTCTGACACACCATGCTCTATGGGTATTTCACTAGATGCTATAGACAATATAAGAGCACCATACACTTCACTTTCCCTTCATACCGGCTATGAAAGAGCACTCATAATATTTAATTGTTTCATATTTATAGTATATATTATAAAATTGCTAACACCCACTTCCTAAAGATTGCACATGCAATCCCTGGTTCAAAATATGGGAGTCACTAAACAAACGCCCTGCCCAAATATTAAAAAAAAAAAAAAAAAAAAAATCTGGTAAACAAACAGCATCTTGCTGCTCAATGCATGATTTATGATACATACAGCAGCATTCGCCCAACACACTCCTCCCATGCAACCTCTAACGAAGCTAGAGAAATATTTTGTTAGCAAGGTTGTGTGCCTAGGAAGAGCTGGAAGCCATCTTCTATGAATGACCCTGAATATTTTTGCCATGAAATTCTTAGTTTTTTTTTACTGCAAAAAAAAACTTTTCATTGCCGAAAGCTTGGCTTCCGCCCACGCAAAGCTAGCAGTCAGGACCAGATGCCAAAGATTTCAGAGCCAGTTGTTACCTAGTTCAAAAGCTGCATTATTTTCAGAAATGTTAAAAGGAGAAAATGGCGGTCAACAAAGCCTACAAGTATGCGGGGATGAATGGCATAGGGTATCAGGAAGGGACTCCATCTCCTCATAAAAAGAAATGAAAGACATTTACAACTCCCTGTAATGCCTCCTCAAGAGGCGTTACAGGGAGTTGTAAGTTGTGAGTTGGAAGAGGGGAGGGTATGCCCGTCTTCCTCATTCTCACCCTCTCATCCTCCTCTCCTCCTCCTCCTCCTCGATTTTCGATTTATTTCGATTTTGCAATATACCGTACTGAACAATCTGAGAAAGATATGTATATATATATATATATATATATATATCCCACCCTGCCCCCCATCTGTCGGCGCTTGCAGAAGGTGTTTCCTAGCCAGTTTCCACAGCGAGTGCGGCTGTGGCGCCATCTCGTGGCGACGTTGCAAACTTTGGTTAGTTGAAACCAGCCCAAGGTCAGCGCATGTAAAAGGGCCGGCCCTAATACTAATGCATTAAAAATTACCCAAGCTTGGTTATGCCGACAAAGGCTGGTAAGCACAGAATGCGTGATAGGCTTTCCAAGAAAAAAGAGAAGAGTGTAGCGTGTGGCCACTCTCTCGCGCGTCGCGCCAAATACTTTGTTCTTGTGTGACCCGATCACCGGCTCTAAATAGCTCAGTCGGCACGAAGCACTGGCTCACAATCTCGAGGTGGTGAGTTCAAAGCCTGCCGAGGGACTGAAGTCTTTTCCCATGGATCCCTACAGGCGTAACGCTTTTCGGTGTCAGTTTTTCATCACAGCTGGTAGTTACAGCCAAACATTACAGAAATGCATGAAAATTGGCTCATAAAGCACATTCTGTGTTAAAAATATTAAGTATAGTCTTACATATAAATTATTACTGTATATAGCAGTTATATCAAAGATAAAGCAGTTCAAACCATAAAAAAACCTTCCCCTGTTGTGAAGAAAACAACGACCTCGGCAGTCAGTTAGTCAAGACTACTCAAATATCAAAGTCATATCCCATATGCACTTTAACTTGAAGGCTGCATCTTATTAGTACAAAGAACAATAAATCCCGCATCTACCTGAGGTGCTTCCCGAACATCCCCTTGGCAACGTTGGGGTAGAGGCCGGCACAGATGACCGCCTGGAGGACCCTCAAGTTGTCTGCACAAGCAAAGCACGGAGTAGAAATTGACGGGGCACAACGGAGCGCACGTCAATGCCACCAAATTCGAAGACGAAACCGGGGACTAACCAGAGTTCTGATTCAGGGCCCTGTCTTTCACATTTTGGGTGCTGATGAAGTTGAGCTCTTGCAGGTACTGGGCAAACTGCTGCCGCATCTTGGACAGCATCTGTGACAAAAGAAATGCAGACCTCCCACTCGCACGTTCTCCTTCGATTTCTGCCTTATGACGTCACGAAAGTGTCACGCTGCTGCCTGCCGCCATCCTGGCAGTGGTGCAGCAGCGCAGGTGTAGGTGCAAGATGCCCGTTCTGTTGCAGGTCACTCTCCGGCATAGCGGCCCACAGAAACTTCGGCAGCAAGGAGTTGGGATGCTGTGACGGCAGCAGCGGCACTCGCGTTTGCTCGTATTTTCGGCCGGCATTTTTATGACCAACCCCCAGGATCGCAACGTCTGACAACATCACACGTCGGCTCCTGCTGTGTCATTTGTTGCCACTTTGGGGCTGCTTTCGACGCGTGGACGGTATGAGCGCTAAATGTGCTGGTCGGAGACGTCCCAGCCACTATGGTTAGAGCAACACTACAAACGGTAAGTGACAAACTAGTATCTCCATAGGTGGCCGGGCTCGGCAAAGGGACACAAAAAAAAAAACACTTAGAAAAGTTCCTTAAAAGTGGTCTTTTTCGCTTGCTAAAGGGCCCCGTGCACCATCCCTGTTTTTCCAAGAGTTGTAAGACTACCGTAGTCGTTTTCACCAAACTAGAGCATGCAAAAATGAGTGGCAACCACCAAAACTGAAACCTAAAAGTATGCCATGAACCTGACGTGGCAATACAACATCTAAGCAATTGAAACATTGCTTCCTCTCTCAGGCTCCCAAAGCACCATTGCACTGACATAAGCTCCCTTTCTCCAAAGAGAAGGGACAGATGTGAGGTGAGGCAAGAAAAAAACTGAAAAATAATGTGCCTAGTAAAAAGTGCAACAGGTCTCCCTGCCTCACCCTTGAGGAAAGAGAAAAGGAATGAGCAGTCAAGCGTAGTGATGCAAAGTGCCCCATGCACCCTCCCCTCTCCTCCCCTTCCTCCCCCCCCCCCTCGTATGCCCCACCACAAAACAACTGGCACTTCGAACTTCAGCAATCGTTTGTTTTTGTCGCTGAAAATTTGCATTCCATATTCCACAGGACAAAAGCGCAGGGCACACAAAAAAAACAACAAGGCCGCCGCCCCCCCCATCTGTGGTTGATGGGTTCCTCAAAAAAGTCTCACCTTCAGTGTGTTCTTGGAAAGGAAGTTCTCAAAGCAGAAGCTGTCATCATTGCGGTGATGAACCGCTTCCTCCCATTGCTGGAAAATAGAAAAAGTGTTAACTTCCCGCCATTTTAGATTGCACACTGTCCGCATGTGAAAACGGTCCGTGACCTTTCCCTACTGACCGGAGGATGGCAAGGCACTCACTCACTCCTTTCAGGGGTCAGCTAAAGGCAGATGTAAGATTGCAAACCCCATTGCTTTGAACACTGGAGGAGCGCATTCATTACACTCAAATAATACCAGAAAAGAATTCAGAGTAAAAAAGACAGATACATACTTCCCTATGTATCTCCGAAAAATAAAAAAAAGGTACAGTGGAAGCCTAGGGCACGCTAAGTTATGGCCAGCCACCCTCCCAAATTCTCCTTCACACGGTTCCCTAGTGTGCCTAAGAGCAATGATTCATACAAAATCAAATACTTAGTACCTCGGGCATTTGCAGTAGCAATGACGTACAACCCGAAAATGTGTTACGACGATTGTGTCAACACAATGAAACCATGGGGAGTGGGCCAGAACAACGGATATTTTTGTAGTAGAGAGTTAAATTATAAAAATGTTTAATTGTCACCTAGAAACACATAAACACTCCTGCAGAAGTCCCTTCTTCATTGAATACGGTAAAGCACTGGAACGTTGTGGGCAATCAGTAACTTATCTGCCTGAAGCGGCGTCGAAACAGGAGAGAGGGAGGTGGAGCACTTGCTTTTCCAGACTATTCAGACATTTATTGCCAACAATAAAAGAGTGAAACCCCCGCCCCAATTGCCCCCTCAGCTCCCAAACATTTCTGATGCCACTGTGCCTTAATATGACAGGCATTCTAAAAAAAACATTTACATTTTATTTTTAAATGTGATCTGCTCTTTGCATTCAACACTCCGAATCTATTATTCCTCCAAGGGATTAATTTCTTGCAAGTAAAATACAGCGTTCTACTCCCTGTGCTATTTACAAACCATACCATTTTAGCTCTTTAAATGAAAACGTTTCTTCTTTTAAAAAGTGCTCATATTATAGTACTACTTTTATGTTTTTGCCAAGGCAATTTTACAATTTCAGATTTGAGCTAATGGTGTACGGTCTACTGCACAGCGTCCCACCTCGGGTAACAGAATTGATGGAATAAGGGGGACCCGGTGTCACACCAATCTGACAGACGAGTTAGATCCCTTTCTACAAGAAATCAACACCTAGGAATTGAAGCAGACCACATGCACTCAATTAAAATAGAAAAATAAGAATAAAAAAAAGCTCTTTAAAAAGTAAAAAAAAAGGCCAAGCATGTTAGCCAGTGATGTGATTGCCTAAGCCGTTTTGGAGCAGCCAAAACAGCGTTTTGGAGCAGCAAAAGTGGCAATTGGAGCAGTCAAGACATTTTTTTGAGCAGTAAACATGGCCTTGGAGCAGCCAAAACAGTGTTTTGGAGCGGAAAAAGTGGCTTTTACAGCCCATATTCTTCGAAAAATAAAATATTATTTTTAAGTGCTGGACAAATGAAGGGCACTTTGCTCGCTATATAAACAAATTATGGTCACGTTAGAGCACCTAGGAGTCTTTCAACATGTTAACTGAAATGCCAATGACATGACACATTTTACAATGCTTCAATTATAGGGAAAGGTGGACAAATTCGATATTGCGAAAACTACGCTTTGCAACAAAAAAAGACGTCGTTTTGGGGCCGGGCCAGGGGCTTATTTAGGAAAATTATTAAAGGCCGGGGTAATTAGATTGTTAAGTATTTTTGTATAATTAACTTTTTTAATATTGTCTTTAGGGCATGGTTTCAATTAAAATATGGCTGAGCATCATTGAAACACTAAACCAACAAATTCCAGAACGATAGAAGGCACGCGAAGCACTTTACGGCTTTCCGAAAAACCGCACAAATTCGACGGGTTTTAAGTTTCGGTTGGCTATCGGAGCGCATCTCGGCCATGACGGCACCGCGCCCCGTGGAGAAATAGGGCAACCAACCTCTGCTGCGCTGTCCTCACGCGATGCAGCAGAGGCTGGTTGCACTATTTGTCCACGGTGCACAGTGCCGTTGGGGCCGAGATGCGCTCCGATAGCAAACCGAAACTTAAAGGGGGTCATGAAACGCTTTTCCAACATTTTCCTGTTTAGCTTTCCTCCTCAACTCATAAATCGCGCATTCTACCAAACAGTTCAAAAAAGCGAAAAGAGGGGAGTCCCCTCGACATCTTGTAAACCCCTCTTGCTCGGAATCTCGTTTGTACACCCGGACAGAGCCACTGTCCCCATAGAAGATTAGCCCGTCGCTCAAAATTCAGACAAAAGTTGCTTTCTCCACCCCGTTTACCCTGAAACTGGCAGTGCTATGGAAGCTACGTGGTTGGGCCAGCTATACTTTTGCCACGTGATCATGCTCTCTTGCGCATACCCACGGGCAGAGAATGAGGTCAGGTGATGAAAGGGAGGCGGCTGATGGGTCCGGCAAGCGCGTAGCTTCCACCAAAATGTCAGCTTAGGGGTGAAGGGAATAAGGAAGGGCCGGTATCATGTGACGTGCGTTTGGACCCGGTGACGTGCTTTGGGAACCGTGGATGTATCACTGTGAAAAGGCAGAGAGCTTACGAAGGGAAGGAGGTACGAAATAGTCCACTGTGTTTTCAGATTTTTGCACTGAAAGTCAAGCTTTTGACTTCCTGCCTTCATTCTTTTGGCCCACTGAATGATGTGCTATTCGTAAAATCCCAATCTAAAGTGATTTATACAAGCCCAAAATTCGTGTCATGGGCCCTTAAAAACCCGTCGAATTTGTGCGGTTTCTTAGAAAGCCGTAAAATGCTACGCGTGCCTTCTATTGTTCTGGAATTTGTTGATTTAGTCTTTTTCAATGATGCTCAGCAAGATTCTAATTGAAACCATGCCCTTAATGACAATATTAACAAAGTTAATTACGCAAAAATAATGAACAACTTCATTATTCCCGACCTTAATAATTTTGCTAAATAGGCCTTTGGCCCAGGCCAACTTTTTTGTTGCGACGCCTAGTTTTCGGAATATTAAATTTGTCCACCTTTTCGCGAAACACCCTGTGCAGTTACCCGCTATAGACGAATAAGAGCCAAAGCGCACATATGAATATTTATTTGAAAATGACTAGCTTAGTAGTGCACAGCATTAGGTTGATTAGTTATATAATATAATAAATTGAAACAGTCCCCGACTGATGAAACACGTAACTACTGCAGTGCAATGCGAAACTGTACACAAAAATATGGTGCATTACGAATAGCCGGTGCTTTTATCTTGCTTTTCAAAATTTCTGCAAGGCTGCTGCAAGCCTCATTTTGCCTTTGGCAAGTAATAAATGCCCACTTTCACTGTCTCCAAACAGACATTGAGACATCCAGCTATGGGCGTTGCCAAGCCATTCCGGAAAACCGCTTGCCACCGTTTTACTTGTTCTTAAAGTGCACATTTTCGTAAAAAGTATGAGCAAACGTAAAGCGATGATTGCAAGCATCCCGGCCACCCTGGTCTCGGGTGGTGCTTCTGTCGTGCAATAATGTTCGCATGCACGTGAGGGCAACTTCGGCGGCTTGCGGTCGCACGTGCTTCGTCGCGCGAGCGGAGACGGCAATTCAAAGAAAACTGAAAGCGCCACTCCGTTCCCTCACCAACTGGTTCCCAAAATTGTATGCAAAATGTGACTGTCGAGCGTACGACAAAAAACAGTCCAGCGGTGCGTGCTTACCAGGCTTGCCGGAGATCGTACAAGCTAAGCACACAGAAAAAAAGAAGCTGAGCGCATCGATGTGAGACATCGCGAGCCAGGGTCAAAAAGTTCTTGTAGCACTTTGTGAAACGACTGAACTCGACACAAGCAAGTGCGCTGTATGGTTTCAGCGTGCAGACATTGTCTTCTTTGCTTTAGCTCACTCCTTTTCACACACTTTCTTTTGCGGCAGACTTTTTACGTACCGGGGTCCCACTCAAAAGAAAGCCCACCGAGAGAAATCTAGGTAATCAATACTTCTACACAGCAGTCTGAGTTACAGAGGGATTTTTGTAGTAGCGTATGATTAAAACAATAACAGAAATGGCGATGACCTTGCGGTGGTCCTTACGTTTCAGTTTAGAAAGCGCCACATCTGCAGTGACGTGGGGATGGCAACACTTGACGTCATGCGACCACGACGACTGGTAGGCAGGGATCAAATATACCTAGTTTTCCCACGGCCATTCCTTTTAGAATCGAGTGCTTCAGCTCACAAAGAAACTTCCGTCGCACAAAAACGTGGTTTCGTTTCACAGCATGACGGCATGACTGGCACCCGGCACACTATAGCATCTGAACGTCCGCACATGCTTGCATCTATCCTAAAAATTTTAAAGACACGAGACGAGACCCCCGAGACGACGAAAGCATGAAACGAGAGACGGCGGGAAAAACAATGCAAGGCAGGATGGACGATTGGTGCAGAGTATTTTGTGTAGGGCAGCCGCTTGCGCCACCTAGCTCACGCATGCTCATTTACGGTACTCAGCTTAGTTTCGGTTTTGAGAGGCGACCGAACTTGGTCCTTTGGCACAGGCTTGGTGCAGATTACCCATTTTTCAATAAAATGTAGCAGGATGTATCAGGGTTAGCCCCTTGGCGCAGTTTGGCGCAGCGATAACATCACTGGTTAGCGCACCTCAGCTTGGAGCGCATGGAGCGAATGCTCACATTACAGAACCTAGGGATTCTGGGATAAATCCCCACACCGGCCAGTTTTCATCTGGATGAGCATCATACTGGCATGCAATAGTCTCTGTTTAGATGAAATCATGCACGCAAGTCAACATATTTTTTGTTTGTTTTAATTTTTTTAGTGTTCTTCGTCAATATGTGTAAGAATGTAATCAAAAAAGATTTTGAAAAAACAATCTTTAAAAAGCTCAAGGTATACCTAAGCATTTCTTATGAGTTGTGAATGCGAAAGCATGCAAGCCGCTCGTCTGCTCCCTTTGTCGGATGCTGCGTACCAGAGCGCACGCGCTTTGGGATCTCAGAGGGCATGGCGCAGCAGCCAATGGGAGCCCCGTCGACGCACGCCAGCCAATGGAACTGAAGGCGCCGGAAACCAGGAGCCGTTTTCGCGTTTCAAACTAGTGACGTCAGCTCGCTCTATGAGACAGTTAATGCTTTCGCATTGAAAAGTAAAAAAAGTTTGAGTGCGCCAGAACGGCATATTAGATTTTTTAGTTGTAGTTTATGTCATGTTTGGTGACACCTACTATGCAAACTACAAATATCTGAAATCTCAACTATTTTGCCCTTATAATAAGTTGATCATGGGGACTATTGAGTGATATATGTACAGCATTATGGAGGTCACATATTTCGCATCAAATATGTGCAAACACGGCTCCTTTGATGTTTTGTTCTATAGCTTTCTGAGTCCGTATCTACAAAAATTGAATAGCTACAATATTAAAATTTGTCATATATTGTTATTAAAAAAATTTTTCCAAAGATACATAAATCATTGCTTCATCTCAATGATCGAAATTTTTTATGTCACTCAAGACTTGTTTTAAATTACAAAGTTAAAATATTTTCAGAAGGAACTAAAAAAAGTGTAAGCTGTTTACAACTCCTTGTAACGCCGAATTGGAGCGCAGCTCTTGAGGAGGAGGAGGGGAGGGTACTGAGGGGAGGGTAGACCCCTCCTCCTCCTCCTCTTCCTCCTCATTTTTGAATATGTTCCGGGGGGGTGACCTGACCTCGGAGGGAGGGGGTCACGTGACCTCGGGGGGGGGGGTGTCACGTGACTTCGGGGGAGGGGGGGTCACGTGACCTCGAGGAGGGGGGTTACTGGACCTCGTGGAGGGGGTCACGTGACCTCGGGGAGGGGGTCATGTGACCTCGGGGGGGGGGGGGGGGGGGTCACATGTCCTTGGGGTGACCTTGGTGGGTCACTTGACCTTGGGGGGGTCGACCTCGCGGTTACGCCGACGGCGACGCCACTCAAGCCAGAAACGGGTGCCTAAGAGCTGCGCTCTAAAAACAGATCTAATTTTTTTTTTTTCCATTTATAGTTATAGTTTTTTACCATACTCGTGTTTATTCGTGAAAAGAATGTTGCGTCATTTTGTTTACTCCGAAGTTACAGTGTTACAAGGTGTACCTTCCATGCAGGCGTTAGTGCCCAATGCCAAGGACGAGATTATTTTTTGATTCCATGTATTTTATCACGATATATCTTTTTTTGCTGTATTCGGGTATTGGGGTCAAGTGCAAGTATTCTACTATAATTAAAACAATACCTACATTGTTTGTCCTTTTTATTAATTTATTCAATAATCCTGTATTGCCTTTTGAAATGACAAGTTTATGAGCTTTAGCTGAACTTTTTCCACAAAAGTGGGACGAAAACTTGTTATCGCTACTACTACACTTTTTTTTACAGAAAGTAGTAGAAAAATAGGTACAATGGTGCAAATTATATGCGAATACTATTTATACCTATATTTGCGATGAAGTGGGAATGTTTGAACCACATAGCTTGTTACACTGCTCTTCATGATGGTTGTACGTCTGGCTGAACAAGCTAAATTGGCGACTTCACTGGCTCATTCAGCAAGACGTCCATAAAGATTTAAAATATCTGAGATTACAGTCTAAGCTCATTACAACAGTCATGGTTACAACAGACATTTGGATATAACACACTGATTTGTGATGTTCGGTTGGTTTTCCTCTACATGCCATTGACTAAACTTCATATCTGCATACAACATGCTCTTACAACAAACCGAAATCTTGCTCAAAATCAAAGTCTGTTATAACGAGCTTAGACTGTATTAATTCGAGTAGTAAAATAAAAAATATAAAACTAAAAAAAAAGTAAAAAAAAAAAATGAGTAAAGATATTGAGTGCACTAGTTGCCCACGTTGGCAGGAGGGTGGATTAAAAAGTTGGTTGTTTGGCCCTCTTTAAACCAGACTGACAAATTTCCCTAAGCACTTATATGCATTGCAATAATTCCAACGAGTGCGAGGAGAAAATCGGTCAACTCCGATTGTGGTAAATAGGGAATGCACAAACTGATTGACGGTGTCTCACGGCCGCAGCGCTCTGGGAGGAGAATTCGAAAGCCCTTTTGGAGCAAGTTCAACTCCGGCTCTCTGATGGTCTTAGCTTGGGTACGTGGCAGCGAGCTCTTCTTGAAAGAGCAGACACAACTAGGCCTGAATTTACCCCAGCAAAACAGTCAATTATTTCACGTTATCGGTGCCATCCTTTATCGCCATCCTTTAAATAAAGGATGGCGTTCTACTGATGCAGAGCTATTTTCTCGCCTTGCATAGTTCGACATGACAGATCAAAAAGCAAAGCGAAACCACTAAGGGTAAATTCCGACACGACCACCCATGAAGCTAATTTTAGAGTCATGAGGTTTGAAAGGCATCTGTTGTAACCCTGTATCCACGTGCACGCAGTTTGGAGAGGGATCTGGTATCGCTTTGACTCGCTGGCGGCGCCGGTGTTGAGCAAAACTTTAGTCAATATACTATCGCCCCCAGGAGCCAACGCTGGCGTCAAAATCGAAATGCCGCGAGCCCTAAAAGCGACGCGCTCAAAACTAGTGGCACCAACCTAACCAGATATAAATCAGAAAGGCCGTGGCTAGGACAGAAAACAAACCTAACAAAACAAACCCCACAAACAGCGCTGCAAAAAATACCTTCAACGCCGGCATTTTTGCCGGCGTTGAAGGTATCTTTGCAGCAATGTAACTTTGAAAAAAACAAAATTATGCAAAATGTTTTTCATGAATAAACACAAAAGTATGATGAAGAAACTATCACTATAAATTTCAAGAAAATCGAAGTGGTTATTTTTTTAAATTTCCCCTTGAAATTTTTTCACTTTGTAATTTAGAACAAGTTTGCAGCAACATAAAAATATCAATCTGAGATAATGCAATGATTTATATATTACTCGAAAGAACGTTTTAATAACAATATATGACATCAATTTTAATGTTGTAGCTACTCAATTTCTGTAGATAATGGCTCAGGAATCTAGTAACAAAACGTCAAACGAGCCATGTTAGCGCATTTCTGGTGCAAAATATATGACCTCCACAACGCTGTCTATATATAACTCAATAGTCACCACGTAGTAGGTGTCGCCAAACATGACATAAACGAATACTTCAAAAATCAAATATGCCGTACTGGCGCAATCAAAATATTTTTTCTCTTTAAATATTATATTTTCTTCACAATCTTTTCTGATTATGTTTCTTACACATATTGAGGAGTAACATATAAAAAAATCAACAAAAACCAAAAAATATGTCCAGACTCAAGCGCACAATCTTATCTGAACAGAGCCAGTAGCATATCACTACTGCATGCTGCACAGGCCCCAGGCTCGTAGTCGTACTGCACTCACTAGGTTTCTCATGTACAACATGAACTAGTGCAGCCGCACCTCAAAGACAGACCAACCTTACACTGTAAAACCACAAACAAAAAAAATTTTTTCTAAGCTTATTTTATTGAAAGTTTTGCTTTATTGTCATTCTTGCAGTATGCAGTACTTTGTGTCAACCACTGTGCCGCACTGACAGGACAAGCATAGTTTCGACAGTAGTGCGATAAACAAAGAGCCAAGGTGGCTGATGTGGGCCCCATAGGCTCCTCTTTCCACCACAGCAGTTAATAGAAGGGGAGGGTGTTTCCTCTTTTCCTCTATCCTTTCACCTCCCGTTTCTTTGAACACTAAGAAAGCTGCCTTCCCCTAGGTTGCAGCCGCCTTGACCACATGCACTTGATCTTTTATAAAGAGTGTTAAAAAGAATAAGGGCGAGAGGCACAGAAACAGCAAACTCTAGTTCTTTAAAGGGGCGGTGCAACGATTTTATGATTAAAAGAATTTGCCTCTCGTCATTTTTACGTTGTTTATCGTGTCCCAGAGGATAGAGAAAACACTTCCTTCATTAAAAATGTCGCGATTCCGCTGCATAATCGCAAAGCAAAAGTCGAGCTTTTTCCCCCACCTGCAGCCCCAAGTGGCAGCCGAAGGAACTACCGCGGAAAGATTACGTGACCTCGCTCGGCTCTAAGCTGCAGCATAGCGCCCGCTAATGTACGCAGAGAGAGGGAGGGGAAGCGTCCTCCGAGATAGCACACGGGAAGCTACACGGCACTCCGAATGACGTCACTGGGAGTGCGACCAGGTGTGACCCTGAAGGCTGGGAGTGAGTTGAGGGGTGCCCGAAATACCAATCTTTATCTTTTTTTTACGCAAAAACTAGGACACGCAGGCGAAATCGGTTTTCTGTTCTTTACTTCAGAAGTGTCAGGGGGCAACTTCCAGAAATCTTTGACCGAAGTCCGAAAATCGTTGCACCACCCCTTTAAGCTGATACCCGAGATGTGTAAAAAAAACACTTCAACTAAGTTTGTTTTGCTTGTATGTCTGTTTGTTTGTATTCTCTTTTTCCCATGTCTGTTTCTGCTACACACCTGTGACATGTTATCCTCTTGCAATTTAGATTGTTTGCCATTTTGATCATGTATTTGTGTATTGTCATTCATATACCATTCCTACAATGATCCTGAACAAGGACCAGCAGTATAAGTAAATACATTTTAAAAAATCTTAAAGGCAATGTTGCAAACAATCAGCACTACACACACTTGATCTCTGCTATTACAACATGTATACCAATAATCTACCAACAGGCTTGCGTGTGAAATCGACAAATTGACATCGCAGTTCACGTATAGTGGGAAAAAAAACAGTGCTTGCCTCAAAAACACGAATGAGCATCATGTGGTCGCTCTTGGTGTCCCCGGCAAAGCGCCCCTTGACTTCATCCACCAGCTTCTCTTTTCCCTGCAGAAAAACGTTATTGGTGGTCAGCAGGAATTTTGCCTCGGCAAGGACCAAACCAGAACAACTACAACAGGGCAGAAAATGGCTGCGGTAACCATCACCTCCTGTCATCTCCGTGCATGCGTCCTCACCCCGGTAATCTTCATTTTCTTGTTTTTACCAGTTTTTATTTCTTGGTACCTAGTATAGCGTGCTCACTATAATGCCTCACGACACCATACACTCATTATAATAAATATATTTATTTACATGTAATCAGGCATGAGCCTCCAGTTCCAAGTCTGACACTCCATATCATAAATTCACATTTATAGAAAGACTGGCTCATCTCTGTAGCAAGAGGTCCTATTTCTAACTTGTTTATTGCACAAAATTTGTTTTCAAGTATCCCTCCTTTCTGTATTTCTCTGAACCTCAGACCCTGTAACTTGTGAGTCTTGCATATGCATTGTAGGATTCCCCTTGCAAAACTACTCTCTCAAAGGGCAGTTGAGGGAACCACTCCCCTGCTCTCCTCTAACATTCTTACAATACAGTTCGGAGCAATGCTGCACAACTACCTTAATACCCCTAGAGATAGCCCACCTAAAATCGAGAGCAAATCAGGCGAAAATAACGGGTGGGCTAACTTTCAATGTGCGATCGTGGGAAGCTGAAAAAATGCCAATTTTAAGTCATGTGTCCCTGCCAAACTTGTTATTGCAGCGAGAGGCAACGAAGAAATGATGACTACCTCCCGGTTAGCAGTGTTTGCTTATACCCCACCATAGTTAGCTAGCCGCATTCGCGCCGAGGCCATTATTGATGCAAACACTATGATTACTAAAAGTGGGCTATCTTTCGGTGTTTAAACAAAAATTGTGAATCAAGCCAGAAATAGGGGGCGGGCCACCTTTCCGGGGTGGGGAATCTCTCAGGATATTACGGTAGTGAGAAAAAAGGTGGGACGTAGTGTTGCACTCAACACCATCATTTTGGCTTTTATGGCAAGGTCGCCATCAACAGCAAAATCACCAAGCCACACCAACGTTGGAGGCAGGTCGCAGTGTCGAGACTCGATGGCACCATGTAATCGAGTTAATCCTTAATTAATTAGACAGTTACTGTTGTAAAGCTGACATTGATCAAAGACAGCACTAGATACAGTTGATTGACTCGAAGCAATAAATCAAACTTGGGGGGTTATGCAAGACGGCGGGACGAAAAAAACGGGACATTGCCGCCTGCTGCGATTGGTCAGCGGTGTGGCGCTGATCAATCGTGGCATGCGGCGACGTCCCAATCTCTTTGTCTCACCGTCTTGCATAGCCCCCTGATCAGTCACACCTGCAGTGCACAGGGAAGTATTTTTACTTAGAAAGCGAACCTCAGCGCTCAGGAAACCCGCACGGTACTCCAAAGAACGGGCAGTGGAAATCAAGTCTAACTGCCGTATTCTAAAATGAAAAAGGGCAACTCCAAACAATATTCTTTCATTTGGAATTACGACTGTTTTCAGCTAAAGCAGTGTCCCTAAACTACAAGGTATACATTTTTTTTTTTTTTTTTCGATATTGTGTGTAGCTTTATAAATATTACAGCTCAAAGTTTGGTTTCGGGCGTCTACGGCAAAACCGAAACTATTGACGTAATATTTCCGCTGTGATCATATTTCATGCCACTAAAGCGATACCAGTCATTTATTTTAGTTTTGTTTTTGACCGGAGTTGCCCTTCAAAGGAACCATTGCAGAAACTAGAAAAAAAACACCACATGACATTGTACAATAAGCGAAACATGCTTTTTGCCAAAAGGAGGGAAGCTCAGCAACAGAAAGTTATTCCTCCATTTAGAGACATACCTCCTTTCCAACCGGCTGAACCCACGTAATGTGTAAATAATTTTCATCATGGACGTTGCAGAAAGACTGAACATATCAGACGCAGCTCATTGTCCAACGCTAGCGTGTCTTTTTGACCGCTTCTACACGACGATAGCAGCAGCGTGGCACTGGCAGAGCACCGGCAAAGTTTCAAAGATTAGCTATATGCTGTAGCTTGAAACATACAGGCATAAAATCCACAAATGAAAGTGTTCAACTCAAAGTGCTTGGGATGACCCCCCAAGTAGGAGCCATAAACAGGTCTCGTTTGAGAATGTGCGGCGTGCTCACCAGAGGCACCACGAAGGCGTCCTTGAAGCTGAGGCTGGCGGCCACCGTGAGGATGGGGTCCAGGCAGGAAAATATGGACGCCATGATGATCATCTTGCCTGTCTGCGGCTCCAGGGGCAGCTTGGCCAGGTGGTACCCCAACGGGGTCAGGCCCTCCCCCTCGTCCAGCGCCTTCTGCGTCGGGACGGCAGGGCCGGGGTCAGGGAAGATGAGCAACGCCTACCTATATGCTTTACGACCTCCATTTCTGTGTCGGTCAACCATGTGTGGCCAAGATCTATTGGAGGCAGAAAGCTCACGCTGGAGGTGCAGCACCTAGTACTGCATTTTTAACCTGTCACCGACTACAGATACTGCCAGCATGCCATGGCAGAAGGACGGCAGCCAACAGATGCTAAATGTTAAATGTAGAGACTACAGTATTTTCCGGTCTATGAGTAGCACCTCCCCTACGAAATCGGTATAGAAGTCGTGACTTTCTACAAGTCGCACTTCTTTGTATGGTCCGCAGAATCGCTTAGCCACGAACCTACACCGCCTCGTTTCGAAACGCCTTCAAACACCCGGAAGAGCAGGCCGTCGGTGGGTGCTCTGCCGTTCTTCATTTGTCTTATAGGTCGATACAGCCACATCTTGCACGTTTAATGTGCATGCTTGTGCAAGAAGCACATATAAGTTGCACCATAAGGCGCACAGACAAAGCTTAGAGGAAAAAAAATGCAACTTGGCGGCTGTCTAGACAGGACACTTCAAGAATGCGTGAAGCGACACTTCTTTGCCCTATGAAGTGCGGTGATCCGCTTCCGTCCGTCTTTTTTTGCCCTGAGGAATGCTTTCCTCCACAATGTCCGCCTGTGTCCTTCACGAAGGCCTAAAGCATGCTCATCACGTGGGTCCAGACAGCCACTCACACGCTCTGTTGGCTCTTAGTCAGTCGCTCAATGCCTCCGCTGCTATTCAAGTCCCGAAATCGGGAAAGGGAAGGATACGAGTGCGCAGAAGAACAGATGGACAAGCAACAGGCACACTATTGGCAGGTGCTGTGTGGTGTCAAGTCTGACGAGCACTGAGGTCACAGAGGAGGCGAGGAGGAAAGCCGTGATGTTTGCCTGGAGAATGTTCAAACAGAAGACAAACTGCCACGTTTCAACTTTCATTTCATATGGCGGAGAAGTGTTGCCTCACGCATTCTGAAGTGCAGTGCAATCCACATATAGCAATGTATTGCTTATAACGATGAGCTTATGAGGACCATGCACTTATTTTGTGTGGGGTGTCCATTCCAGATACAACGATAATCGGTTATAACGATTGCATTTTTAGGTTTTCTCATTATGATTATAGATGTATTGCACTCTATCCTGTTTGGACACCCCTTTATACACCACAAAATATGGTACTTTCATATTGTGCTAAGACCTATACAGGTGGCAAATGATATTCTAAATATTCCCTAGGTTCTTCCTCAATCTGCTGGCTATAACACAGTATGAACTAATCATTTGGTGGCTAGATTGGCATTTGCTTTCTCATCAACCCCATGTCTTCCAAATAATGCAGTTTTCAAGGTGCCACTGTCATTGCATTCTGCTAATGGGTTTCGTGGCCATTTTCCCTTTAATGCTCCGAAACAAACTATGGCCACGTTTGTTCCACTTCTCATCAAATGCCTCTGCTTAGTTTACTTAGCTCAAAAGATTGCATTAACATTTAAGGAATCAAGCAACATCCCTATCTTTAACGAGATATTTGTTTTTGTCAACTAGTGACAATTGCCTAAAACAAATTGTAACTTTCTACCCAATATTGCTGAATAGTAGAAGTACTGGGTGGCAATCAATGTGCATCTACAGCATGAATTACCCGTAATATGCATGTGTATCTACAATCGATTCAGCAGACCCATTTCAAAGAGCTAAAAAGCTGCCAAGAGGATTAGCTACTACACCAACCATGAAAGCGCACCATTTTCGATCAAAGAAACTGTCCGCCTAAGGGAGGAAAAAAGATACGAAGAAAACTACAATGAAATGCTGCAACTCTTAAGCCTCAGTGGCTCCAGCTTAGTTCACTCAGCTAATTTCAATATGGCAGCAAGCAATCAATTGGCCAGCTCTATCCTCCTGCCCAAAAGCACTCTTAAGGTGATACTCCGGGTAAGTTCAGTGACTTTAGTGCTAGCTATCTACTGAGCATAATAAGTGACAATTTATGTCAGTATTGCCGAAATGGACGAAGAGAGCTAATTACTGTATCTGTGAAAAGAGCCTAGAGATGCACGAGGCTGGTTTAATGTCCTTGCAGAAAACTGTTGCTTGCATAACAAAACGAACCATGTTTCACACGTTCAGTATTCAGTGCGGATTGCAGTTTCAGAATCAAACAGTTGGGGTTTCGTCATTCACTGTTGTTTTTTTTCCACAATTCACACTCACTGGAATCCTTGTCTAGTACTCTGTTGAAAAAATTAATGTATGGGCTTTGCTCATAAGCAGTGCGGCAATTATTTGAGTTGTAGTGCTAGACAGACAGCAAGCAACAAAACGACTTACATCGTTTCCTTTCTGCATTTCAGAGTTAATTTACACGGTCAACAACTCATCTAATAACATTCAGCTCCTGTCTGCCTGAAGGGCCGAAGCACACTGCTTCAACCTTCCACGAATGGCTAATCTGTCAGATGTGGTCTCTATTTTCCACTAGAAGTAAAACCAACTGCGGGAAATACAAAGATTGCCTTTCTAACTACCATGCATAAAAACCTTCACCAACTCAGTAAAACTAATGCGAACTATACAACGGTGTTTCCGTCTACCACTGACAACTCCACCTAAAAGCTGGGCATGGAGATCAGCCCATTTCCAAAGCATAGCTCAGAGATCAATCTATCAATCAATAAGATCAGTTTATTTCGCGATGGTATACACACATCCGACGAGGAGGTTGAAAAACAGCTGCAAGGATGCAGCTTGACTGATGCTGATACAGTAAACTTTCGTTAGTTCGACCTCGGTTAATTTGACTTTTCGTTTAATTCGATCATGTTCAAAAGTCCTGGCGAGCGCCCATACATTTCTATGGGAGGAAAAGTTTGATAGTTCGAACTCAAGAAGACTCCGCGTCCGATAATTCGTCCCGAGCAAATGCGTACGGGCTCAAGTTGCACCGCACCACAGCAGAAAAACCACCAACGTACGGCAAAACACAGGCCCTTTGCTGCAAAGCCGAACGTGTGCAAATATGCGCCTGCTCCTCTACGCCGTTAAGATGGACCGTAGCGAATGACACAAGCCAGCACAACGAATCTGGCGTGGAGTAGAGCGGAGAACATAGCACGTGGTCAAGCGCAAAGACAGCGTGTGCACGCGCGCTTTTCTGTAGCATCGTGTGTGGTCCATCTGGAGCGCCGGAAAGCACAAGTTCTCTTTTCCTTTCTTGTGTTGTTATTTTTTTCTGTCACCAACGGTTTGGCCGGCCGGCGCCAAAGTGGTTCGCTCGTAAAGCTTTCTCAACACGCGCTCTCAAAACATTTTTCTGTAACATCATGTGCGGTTCATCTTGCGCGTCAGGAAGCGCAGGTTCTCTTTTCCTTTTTTATTTTTCTCTGTCGCTGACGGTCTGGCTGCCCAGCGTCAAAATCAACTCGTAAAATTTACTTTTTTTTTTTTTTTGTAGTGCGCATTTTTTTGGTGTTGTGACGTTTAGTTACGCTGTTCTCCGGAGCATGCTTTTAGACACGCGTTTTAAGCACAGACAGCAGCATACCGACTGCGACTACTGTGGACAATAAAAGGAAGTTTAATTTTAACGGTTTTTCTGTCTTTTTTTTTAATTCGATCATTCGGATAATTCGACCAAATTTCGAGGTCCCGTCAAGGTCGAATTAACGAAAGTTTACTGTATACTAATAAAATCAAATAATGGATAACTAAATATGTCTAACTTACCAGTGTTTGCAGAAACTGAATGGAAAGAAACAACGCTTCAGGGGAGGGCGGGTTGATAGCTTTTTGAAGAAAAGTCTCGGCCTTTCCCAATTTGAGGATCTGAAGAAAAAAGAGACAAATGTTCTTCGTTAGTTAACTGGAATATTTTTTGTCTTCACACATGAAATCCAATAAAACTATTCCCTCCCTCCCTCCCCCCCCCCTCCCTCTCCGTCCCCCTCCCCTTCCCTTCCCTTCCCCCTTCCCTTCCCTTCCCTTCCCCCCCCCCCCCCCCCCCCCCCAGAGAAAAGACAAAAAGAAAAAAAAATCCACAAACATTAAAATTAATTTTTTAACAGTTTTGGATGAGCCTAGTTCGTCAACATGGAGCAGTCTCCAAACCGCTCAGGACAAATATAACTTGTCTGCTTTTCCCGGTTCATGCACTCAACCAGTGTACTCAACCGTTTTGGACGAACCAGGCTCGCTCATGGCTTCGTTTGCAGCTCTGCCAACAGATGGCAGCTGGCTTAGTTTGTGGCTCTGTCAACAAATGACAGCACTAATTCTTCTTTCTTTTAATTTTGCTTTTATTTTGTTTGTGGCTAGAAATATGATTTTGAAAAGCTAACAAATTTGATTCTGAAGACACCAATTAAGAAGTTGAGGGTCAGAAATTCCCCAAAACTAATGGGGTTGAGGGCAATAATTGCAGTGATCATAAATATGATGGCTATATTTGCCATAATTTGCTGTTTTTCATGTCAAAACATGTATATTGATTATTAAGTGAAATAACTTCAAAACATGCAACAAAGTAGCGACGAGATGTTTTGGTGGTGCCACCTCGGGGGTGCCCTCCTGTAAAGGAGTTGGTAGAATATGAGCAGATGATGCGCTATGTCAAAGCACGGAGTGGCTACGCTAGTTTGCATCTATGCCGATCAAAACGGTTTATTTATGAAAGAAACATTATTATATTTTTGTGAGTGATCTTTCTAGTGAATAACAGTGTCTCGAAATTGCTTTTTATGGTAGAAAAACTTTAAAATGTTCAAAAACAAGCCTGGAGCCTCACATTACAGCTTGCACGGCGTGCACTAGGGCTATTTACAACCTATCTAATTCTTGTTTTTTTTAATTTGTGGAGGTTTTTGTAGAAAAAGGTTTTGCAACCACCAGAGTAAATGACTTGCTGTCTTAGCTGTGAACGTGCAGACCATTGTGTTGCAAAGCGCCGCACACTGTGACTCAACAGTTGCTACCAAGCAAATGCTCGTCAGCAACTGACACTTAGCTCTTCCCGATTCAAATATGTTGCAAAGAAGTTTGTCACACCACGACTAATGCTCAAAAGAAAAACAGATTTTTTTCATAAATTCTCCAATTGTCGGCTATGGCCCGGCAAAGTCAGGCAATTGACTAATTTGTTCTATCCCATTTTTACTAGGAATTGTTTACAAATTTCAAATCGCTCGCTGAGAAGCGCATCATGCATTATGGGCATTCGGGTTCGCAAAAATACATACAAACGGTACTAATTCATAGCAGGTGCACTCCTCATTTCTTGGGATGCTGAAGTGTCACAGATTTACTAAATTTAAGACTTCAATAGCGTGGGCGCCTCGCACGTTTCGTGTCTACAGGGTGAATAAGCAGGGATTTAGTTGAAACAATTCCGGAAGCCAGCCACCGCTTCTTCCTGCCAGTATTTTTGAGGAAATGTTCGTTTACTGGTTTACAAAATTAAAAAAGGAATCAGCTCAGGACTAATAAGACACCAGCACTCACTAAACACATTGCAACCAACAGGATACAAGGAGTCGCTTTCACTGAAGTGTTTACTAGATAAGCGAGAAGTTCTTGAATTTAGCTTTCTTACTTTCAATTTGACGAAACATTCCTTTCTCAGTTTTATTTTGTCCCAATCATAATAAGAATATGCACCCTATTTGCCGTGGTAGATGTTGTAGAGGAGTAAAGCGCGGGATATTCTATTTTCATCGTCCAGTTCTTTTGTACTGGGGTAAAGAACAGCACACCACTATCCCATACGCTTCGACAGCTCAGCACCAAAAGTTTTTGTTAGCACGACTACACGTGACACTACAAATATCACTTTAACAAATAAATACAACGCCTGAAAGAGGCTTCGCGGCGCGCTACCCAAACATCGGATGAAGTGAGCTGACGAGCCGAGGGATCCAAAATCTCCGCGATCTGTCCCACTCTGTCCTACTTGTGACGTCACAAACGATGATGATGACAGCAGAGAGTGCCCCCCGTAGTTAGCACATTTCAGGGCCTCACAACAGATGCAAAAAGTGGTACAGTGCTTATGCACACAGAAAGTAAAAATAAATGCCACTGGTCCCCTTCCACCTCACGCTACTCATGGTTCAAACATGCATCACCTTGTCGACATATACAGCCCCTGGTCAGGGCTGTCAGATGATCAAACCATTTGCTTTCTTGACCCTACCCGAGAAAGGAAAGTTACCACTGTGCAAAATATTTTCGAATAGTACTTTCGAAAATTACGCAGTTAATCGCTCCGAGATTAACTGCGACATTCGTATTTTGCGAAGTGTTGATTAGGGGTGTCGCAAACTTTTGTCGAACCAGATTTTTAGGTCGAACTTTCGGGGTTCGACGAACCTTCGAACTTTTCACCAGATTCGACCGGTTCGACCTTGTGGACAGTGTGGCCAGACCTTGATACAAGCATGTCTAGGTTTGGAGAATTCTTTTTTAAGAAAAGGGTTATTTTATTTTATAAACAGTTGCAATTAAAAGAAACTAATTTTAATCATTGAAGAAGTTAATAACTTAATTTTTTTTGTACTGTATTGAGTGAAATAACCGATCAGCGCTGCCCTTAATTTATCCCTTAGCCATCACCATCCAATCCGAAGCCAACTGGCCAGCCTGTCGCGCATGCGCACACGAGTCGAACCTCAATACAAGGTTCGTCGAATTTTCCACTAAAAGTTCGAAAAAGTCGAACCTGGTCGAACTCGAACCTCGGCCAGTTCACGACACCCCTAGCGTTGATCGTTGCGGGTTAGCCCAAGCTCAACGAGGCTAACCAGTATTGGTTGAGCGCACCTGAGCGCACCTCGTACCTAGAGCACTATATAGCTCCTACGGAGCAGAGTAGCGCAATCCTTTGAACCCCGTGTTTTGCCGACAACATGGCCGACAGAGCGGCTCGGCGCGAGTCACGTGGTACTCAGGGTTCCAGGAGGCGGCCCGCCCTATGGGAGAATACATGGAGATCGGTACAACACGGCTGATTAAAAAATGAACGGCGAGTTCACACTTTTCAAAACTAGTCTGCCGTGAAGTTAGTAAAGCACTAAACACTTTATCAAAGTTTTAATAATATCGGATGCGTGTGCAAATTTTGAGAAGGCAATTTCCAAGGCAATGGCGTTTGAAGCAGACGATTTTTGCTCGCAGCGGAGATGGGCTTTTCGGGTTGGCCGGAGCGGGTCACGTGAATGGTGTGACGTCGCCGTGTCGTCTGCTGCATGATGCCGCTCAAGCAATTTTTAAAAAAAAGTCAGGTCCTTGCGGGGCACAAAACTTAGCGCAAATTATTCTAAAATGTTCCATTATTATGTCAAAAACAATTGCCACTCCGTACACCCCCACAATACTGAGGAAACAGCGATTGTCTCACGTTCTCCATGCATTTCTGACCGCAGTTGGAACCTCCGGGCGTTCGCCGCTAGTCGCCGAGAGGCGGCGTTCTAGATTGCGCTACTCTGCTCCGAAGGAGCTATATAGTGCTCTACTCGTACCGAGCACCGGTGCACTGCGGTGAAGCAACACTTAATAAAAGCGTATTTTATTTGCAATTTTATGGACAGAACAACTTTTTCCCTCAAAGTTTCGGTCTCGAGTTAAATAATGAGCGAGAAAAAAAATCAAATGCACTCCTAAAGCGGACGATATCTTCGCGACGTATTCATCTATTGAGGATCTGAAACCAAAACTACACGAGAACACCACTTCAAGAATTATTAGAATAGAAAAAAAAAAAGCACTGCGCACTTGTTAGGACATTTATTTTAATTATTTCCTGTCCGAACTCACGTAAAATTCTTACCATATTCGTTTGTAGTTTGTTTCACTCGTTCGTAAAATAGGTAATGTTTGACAAAACATGGCGACTGTTCAGTCAAAAGAGGGCGGCCGCCAGTCAGTTGTCCATGCCCTTCGGTTCCACACATGGATCGACTCCATTCACCATTCCAAAATGGCTCCCCTTACGAAAGGCGAGTTGTCCGACACTGAGAAGGAATTGTACAAGGCGGTCCAGGCGGGCGACCTGGCCGAAGCCCGCACCCTCTTGAACAAGGTCCGCATCGACTGCCTGGACGAGCATGGCATGACGCCGCTTCAACACGCCGCGTACCGAGGCAATTACGACATGTGCAAGCTGTTCCTCGAGTGCGGCGCGGACGTCAACTCGCACTTCCACGACTCCGGCTACACGGCGCTCATGTTCGCCGGACTCGCCGGTCGCGCCGACGTCGTGAGCCTCCTGCTCGAACACGGCGCCTCTACGACGGCCGTCAACTCGCTGGGCCGTACGGCGGCCCAAATGGCCGCCTTCGTGAGCAACTACGACGTCGTCGCCATCGTGAACAACTTCTTGCCCCGAGAAGAGCTCGACTACTACGCGCGGCCGCAGGGGCTGGAAAAAGAGCCCAAGCTGCCCGCCAATCTGGTGAGCCCGCTGTACCACCTCATCCTGCGCACCAACATCCACCCGGTCCGCGTAGCCCTTTACCTCCAGGACAGGCGCGACCTGCTCGACAACTCGGCCAAGATCGAACGCGTGCTCACGCTGCTCTGCGAGAAGCAGATGAAGGCGGTCGCCGAGCCCAACGAGATGCTCGCCCTCAAGTTCCACCACCTCGCGTTCCTGGTCCGAAACTGCGCCAAGTTCGCACGCGACCAGGACCCAAAGAAGGCCGGCTCCAAGGCGCTGCTCGAGCCCCTCATCAAAACATGGCTCAAAGGCCGCGACGAGGACGACTTCCCTGTGCTCCTCGAGAAGCTGTTGCGTCAGTCGGTGCGCGAGTTTCCCTACCACGACTGCAGCGTCCTGCAACAACTCGTGCACACGCTGTCCGGCGTGGAGATCGGAAACGAGCCGAGCGCCATTTCCATCCTGGCTGAGGCCATCAGGGGACAGAAGGGCTGCGATCAGGCGGCCTCGTGCACGGCCTGCGGCGAGCCTAAGGCCGAAAAGCGGTGTTCGGCCTGCAAGTCGGTCCAGTACTGCGACCCCGGCTGCCAGAAGCTCCACTGGTTCACACACAAGAAGCACTGCGCGCGGCTTGCCGCCGAGTACGAGCAGGCGCTCAGGGAGAAGGCAGAGCAAGAGAAAGAGCAGGAACTGGAGCGAGCCAAGACCGAAGCCGTCAAGCAGGACAATGGGACGGAAGAACAGCCCGCTGAGGAAGACGCATCGTCGTCGACCGCCGAGCCGAAGACGCTTCCTAGCACTGAATCCGATGGTAGCGCCGCAATAAAGTCAACATAACGGGGGAGGGGCGATTTATAGTTGCGCGAGTCCACTTGGGCACTAACTTCGCCAAACGGATTCCAGGAACCACCGAGCAGCTAGCCTCAAAACTTCCTTGAAAGGTTGCAGAAACATCCCGTTTGGCGTGCGCCTAGTCATGCTGCCTTCGGTTCTCTTGTCTGCTCTCGTTGTTAAGTGTTGGTTATTTATATGTGTTCACAATGATTGTCTGAAGTCATGTTCTCCGCTCCTGTCAGTCCCACTCGTGTGGACTGTTATGCCCGAGTTCCACTAGAGCGACAAACAACTGACATCGACAAGCCTCAAGCATGTGCAGCATGCGCACGAAGGTATCTTTGGCAGGCTTGCAATCGCGAGTGCTTAGTTCACAAGCACCAAGAAACTGGAAGCTTGCCAAAGGCACCATTGAGCACAAGCTGTGCACGTTATAGGCTTGTTGGTGTCTGTGGTTTCTTTCTGTCGCTCCAGTGGGACTTGGGCATTCGGATCCAACATGAACCCGCCAATGCTGCTGCACAGTTTGGAGGAAGCCGTTCTGGAGCTGTGCTCCAATGCCCACCATTTCCATGGCCACAATTTATGTGTGTTTAATTAAAAACAAAAATTAAACGGAGTGTTCCATTCCTTTTGTCCCAAAGGAGTCTGCTTCGTCGATACGTAGCCACGAGCTTACTCTAAAACATTTCCAAGGACACCTAAGCACTTCTTACGAGTTGTGAATGCGAAAGCATTCTCGACGCTGAGAGGAGCAGAAATGGTCGCAGCGCCGACAGGGAGTGCGGTGGTACGCCGCTGGCTGAGGCAGTGGCAGGAGTGCATCATAGGTGCCGACTATGACGGGGCTCGGGCCCGAGCCCCCCCCCCCCTTAGTGATTGCCTATTTCGCAGATGAGTCTGTATGAAGATCTGAAATACAACTGCTAAGCTTATTCGTATATGTTTCTCAAAAAAAGGTGTAGAATGTGAAAAATAAAGAAAATTTGTAATAAAACAAGTTAATCTGATCTGCAGCGAGGATGGAGCCCGAGCTCCTTGCTTTCGAACGAGTCTCGGCTTTATAAATGCTCATACAGCAGGAGCACCAACCAAGTTATTTGCTGAAGTCTGTATTAAGATGAGCCAAAATATATTGGCAGCTAGCAATTTTAAATACTTGGCAGTCAGCGTCCAGCCACCTCAATCAACCCAAAAATTTCCGGAAAAAAAAAAAAAAAAAGCTTGTTTTTGCAGTTTGAATTGACTGCTGCTTCTTTGATGCAAACAACCTTGCATTTTGTGGGATCTGTTCAGGCAGTACCGAATCAATAAATTGGGAAAGGTTAAAAGAATGGCAGCAAGGTTTCCTTGGACTAGGTATAAACTAGATCCCTAAAGGCTTTCTGGATGGTGTCATTTTGTTTGACTGTGGCGCCATCTATATACATCCGGGCATTTCAACGGATCTGGTTGGGTAAAGGAGGGAAAGGACACGTGTCTGATCCCAACAGCAGACGACAAACTGGCCATTCACAACAATTGGGCAGTTCCGGTTGGCTGCATTGCTGGAACTGCTTAAACATTGCGGCTCCCTTTCCCTCTGCTCTCACCCAAGTGCAAAGGTCTATTAAAAAAACATGTTTCAGGGAATTTAATTTTTTTTTCCTTTTCTTGTACCAAGAGAGAGTCATTGGGCTGATGTTCATTTCCTCGTCAATGGAGATCTGCCAGGAAGGGCCAAACGGCATAATAGTGGAAAGAACAAACAACATCATCAGGAAAGGTACTTCCTTTTTTCCCGGAATTATTGTAAAGTGGAATAACCTTTCCGAAATCTTCATGGATAGTGAAAGTATCATCGGTCATGCTAGTATGCGATGGAGTTACTTCGTCCATTCCATTTGTGTAATAGGTGAACGGCATTTGGCAACTTCCTCAGGAAATTTCGTTTCACTGATGACACACGACGACAATGAGCTGCAAGGTTGTCAAGCGTGGTTCAGAAAGCTTCAGACTGTGGTTTTCAGACCCACGCTTAGACAGGCTTGCAGATAATTGTCATCATTTGTCAACAGCTAAACAAAATTTTCTAAGGAACCGGTAGTTGCCAAATGCCGCTCACCTATTGTATTGCTGGTACGAGTTATCAGCTTTTCCAGGTGAATTTGTTTTCTTCATTCTCCTAGGCATTTATTGTTTATTTCCTTTTCTTCTATTGTCTACAGGATGCATCTCATTTAGCATATTTATAACTACACTATTTGATGGCACCAATTGATATTCTTGAAAGACTCCTTTTCTATGACAACCTCATCATGTTGCACGTTTCTGTATATTTTTTTTTCCTCAATGTTACGTATGCCACAACCCGGGTATGGGTTAATAGCATAAATAAGTAAATAGACTTTCAAATGATACAGTGATCATTTACTTATTTGAATGTCAAGTCCCTAATTTACTCAACATAATTTTTTTTTTTTTTTAATATAAAACTCCAAGCAGTTTCAGAAGTGAACAGCCTGATACAATGCATTTGACTAAAACTGAACTCTCGTGCTTAAGAATGTAGTGTTTCCAGTTTAAAAAAAAAACATACAAAAACCCCTTGCCAATCTGTAGCTGCAATAATGCACTCGGAGTGCCAAACAGCGTGGCACCCTTTTGTCAGTAGATGACGCAGGAACAGATGAAGAGCATGGGTTACAAATTAAAATATACACCGACTACGCGAGCAAGTGGGCGGCGGTGCAGAGCAACGACCGACACAAAAAGGAAATTGCCAAATGGGCCGAAGTTGCGCGAAACTTGCCGATACCGACACGAAAGCAAACTGGCGCTTCCGGCGGCAATTTATTTAGAAGTCTCCAATGCCACCCGGTAAGTTGCTACTCGAACCAACACTCTCATTTCCGAGCAATTAAAGAAAGCTACTCTACAAAGGGCCTGTCTCCCAGTGAAATTCTGACTGCCACCCCGAGGTTTCCAGGTCATTTCGGTATATATAAAGCGATTCAGAACCCAGTTCTAACTAACTGGCACTGCATGCCGATAGAAGGAAGCAAGTGCGGTCACTGAGCAACGGAAACACTGGGTGTGGCTTATTACTTTTACGCTTCACGATTCGTTCCTCGGCATCCTGATCGGCTGTGGAGTGACAATCAGACGCATGCGGCTCAGCACGTACTACACTTTTTAAGCGGCCGGCAACTACAGACAACTTCGTCGCCGGGCAAGCATTCCACGCCTCCATTCAGGCACCGAGGAAATGCCGTTGCGAGCGAAACAGGGGCCCCGAGGCCACCGGAAGGCGATGGCAATAAATAACAGAAGGCATCACGCTGGGTTTTGAAGGACGAGCCGGAGATGTGGACGGGCACGCACCTTGATCTTGAGGACGAGGCTCTCCAGCCTGGTGCGGAGCATCTCGGGCAGCTGGTACGCCTCCAGCTGAGACTCCCTCCACGAGGTGTAGAGGCGGTAGCAGACCCCGGGTTGCACCCTGCACGATTGCATGTGACGCCATCGGCCCACGTTCCACCAGCAGGGAAGAAAGACCACACCAAGGAGCGACTGCGGTGCCTAGATCGCGTCTCGGCCCCACACGTTTGGCACCGTGCGCCAAGGTGTCCCCCATGTAGAAATAAAAGATGTCGCGCGGGGAGCTGGCATGGAATGGTATGTAATATTGCAATCCCGGAAGTCGGTTGAAGAAGCACTGGCAAAAGCAAGGGGACAAAAGCGTTAATGATGTAGCGGCGTCACAACTCCCGTCTACTCCGGTTTCTGTCGAACGGCCAGCCAGCTGCAGGGCGAGCAAGAGGAGAATGAGCATCTGTTGTATACACCTCTGCGGAGGCGTACCACCGTTAGGATCACAACGAACAGCGGCATTACGAGGTTCCGATATTGCCAACCGGAAATTAAGGGGATAAAAATGAGGACCCTGTGGCAGAGTGACTACCAATTATAATAAAGTGAGTGTCTCCACAGCAGAAGACCGATCCGCCCCCTGTTGGGGGCGTGAGAGTATGCCGATTCTACCGCATCGTTCACGAGGTGCTTCAATTACCGCTCAGCAATGCTCGAAACGCAATTCGATGACTGCGGCAAGCTTTGCACTCCCCAATAAGAGGTTGCATTTGTAGGGTGATGGACGACACAGTCCCAGTCTCATTTCCGTCGACGGCAAAGGCTATGGTGCGAACTGCCGAGGCTGGCTGAAAGTGGGGCACAGTACTGGCTGTCAAATCGTCCAAAACAAAGCTCCAATCCCCACACAAAACTCAAGTTGCAAAGACAAAATTCAGTTTCTCTCGGCGGTTGGAACAGCAAGACGGACCCACCTCCCGGCCCTACCCTTGCGCTGTTGGGCGTTGGCCACGGCCACCCATTCGGCATCGAGGGTGGCCAGATTCCGTCCCACATCGAAGTTGGACATCTTGATCTTGCCGCAATCAATCACGTACACAACGTCATTGATGGTGATGCTGCAAATGACACGAGGACAAGTCACGAGAAACAGTGTGATGCGGAGGATTATAAAATCTTTACTCAACGAACTAATGGAAAAGAATCGCATGGAAAGTTTAGAGACACTGAATGTTTGCAGAGTTGCACAGTGCAACATATACTCAAAAAGAAAGCACAGCCCATCACTTGGTTGGTTGCAGTCATATTGACATCCGCTGGGTTAGCCAGCCACGCAGTTTTGAAAATACACATACAATAAGTCGTGTACATAACCACAAGAGTGAGGTATACTATTAGCTTTCTAAAGGACATCGCAATAAAGTTTCATTAGATGGTTTTCTTGCTTTTAATTAATGAATTGGTGTTGATCATTTCGAAAATATAAACAAACCAACTGCTGATTTTAGATTGTATAACTGTTTATATGCAAAGTGCTATTAGAGAGCACTACAGTAGTAGGCAGAGAAAATTTTTTTAACTTTTTAACATATTTGGTGATACGGACCATTACATTTTGCAAAACCTCTTCCATTTGCTACAAAATTATTTTATAGTCACCGACGGAGTAAAAACTGCAGGACATCTCTCTTGGATAGCCGGCCTCCATCGCTCACTCTTCCACCGTACCTGAGCTGCGCACGCACGCTCGGGGCCAAAGAGTAGCCGAAGCGCTATCGAAAGTAGGAAGTTTGCGCCGAAGGCGGGACAACTTAAGTAAATCCTTGCCATTCTAATTCTCTCAGTGACCACAGTCGTGTAATACTCATACCTAGTTGCAAGTCTTATGGCCGAGAAGCAGCTGTTGTGGCCAGACGGGTGACCCACCTCGTTTCTGCTATGTTGGTGGCCAGCACTATCTTGCGAATACCCTGGGGCGGCCTATCAAAGACCCGTCGTTGGTTCACCGTGGGCATCATTGAGTGCAAGGGAATCACCAGGGACGAGCCTGAAATGCAGCGGGCGATAGCACGCGAGAGGAGAAAAGTTAAGACCCTCCTCCAACTTAGCACCCAAACATCTCATGTGCAGAATACGTCGGCGATACGTAGGCAAACTTGGGGAGCATGATGTCACGTGATGTCGAGGTATAAAGTCGTGGCGTTAAGCGACACTGTGTCACATGACCCGACGACACGTTGCACCATGACTCAACACTCAACGTTTCTAGATCTAATCACATTGTTGAAACTGACGTCACGTGACACCACAATGTGGCACCTGGATGTCACGTGACCTGATGCATGCTACATGGTCATATGGTCCATGTTGGCGCCAGTGGCGGATTTAGAGGGGGGGGGGGGGGGGGGAGGTTTGGATATACTGACCTTTCTCTTGAATTCCACGTGTGTAAAAATTTTAGGGCGGTGAAAAGGGGGGAGGGAGTGCCTTCTTAAACTTCTGATATGCTCACCCCACCCCCTGGAAACCCGTGTAACCCGTGCTCCTGGTTAACGCCCACCATGCAACACTTCACCCACAGTGGCAGTCCGCTAAATTTAGTTGATGACAAAATGGTAAGAATATAGCAATGGTAGATGGCTACACAAATCCCAACTACGCTTCCATTAAAAAAATCGCATCTCCACGTGGTGAATGATGTTGATTGGGGCGAAGCTCTGGTGGTGCTTGTCTGCGTAGACGCTAAGCTGCAGCATGCCGAGCCTTTCGTTCGTTTTCATCTATGTCACGCTGCGGTCAAATGCTCAAATGCGTATATAACTACGTTCCATACCACACATTCTCTTTCTGACATGGATGAAAACGAACGAAAGGCTCGGCATGCTGCAGCTCACCGTTTACGCAGACAAGCACCACCAGAGCTTCGCCCCAATCAACATCATTCACCACGTGGAGATGCAGATTTTTTTTCCCTACACCAGCACGTGAGCTCACGAGCAGGAGCCCGTGCACCCGACGGCGGATGGGCATACGGACATGGCTAGCCCCTAAGGAGCTTCGCCCCTAAAAGGCACTAAGATGGAGAAAATATTTTTTCTAATAACTTAGTTAAAACCCACATAAAAGTTTTAGTGCATTATTTACGCCGTTAAATTCAACTTAGGTGGAGGTAGCCTTACTCTAGGCCCAGCACATAACAAAATGTGCCTAGTTAGCTAAGCTCCGTTTCTCGGCTCTCAGTGGTTGGGAAGATGATTGACGAGTGGAACGTTTGTAGTAAAACTGTTTTACCCTGCCGTGGTAGTCTTTTATTCAACATATTTTTATGTCTGAGAAACAAACGATACTATAGACAGAGTCAAAACTGTTTCTCCCCGCTACTGAGAACCGTGTAACTGCCATGATTGCAACCACGGTTTCAGTTCTGAGAGGTAACCGACACAGGTAAGAATTTGCGAGCCATTCCGCTGAAAGCAATTCGGGTGTTCACCTTGCATCAGGAATGCCCAGGTATTTTCCCGTCATTTCACTTATCAAGGCCCTTAGTTCTCAAGTTTTGAGCAATGCACCTGGCTTGCTAAAGCCAACATTTTTAGGTCAAGTTTTAATTGTGCGTAGTGACGCTCACCCACCTTGTTTGTAGATGATATGCGAGAAAACAAGAACAGAAAAGCTGAAAGAACTGCATGTGTATTTTTGTTGATTTCTTTTTAGTCCTTACATTTGCTTTTTACAGCACATCGGCAGATGCTAATATATGCTTGTATTGGACCATGGCTCATGCATGATGGAACACTAGGATGCCACTTTCATGGTTGCATCTTGCAAGCTTTGCAGACAGCCTTGCATGGCGGCGGAATGGCAGACAGATGCAAGTGATGGGGGATGTGGATGCACCGCTTTCATAGCCACATTTAACGGGCATTGCAGACGATGATAAACAATGGTGGAATGGCAGATGATGTCGGAAACTGCCGTGCGTCTGCCTGCGTGACTAGCAGGCGTTGTCAGATGTTAGACAAGGTGCACCGGACGTTGTGACAGAGAGACACTAGAGTCCCTGAATGTTCTCAGAGTACCGGATTCCATTCAGTCTGCTTACCGGAAGTCAATCCCACAGAATCCAGTTCAGGTTGGCTGGTTTAGCCCGAGGCGGAAGTCATCAGTCGGCCATTTTGGAGACCGACTCAAAACAACAAAAAAACATATATACGAAACGTTTCCCTGTTACCACGGCTATGGCGGGTACGCACGGTTGGGAGCTCTGTGATTCGATGAGTTAAGACCGAACGGAAGGTGCGTTGACTTTCTCTAGATTTTTTTTCTGTATCAAGTAGCCGCTAATCTGGTTCGCCAAAGAAGATTGCCGGCTCATTTGCTCGCTCTGGTTGCACTGGTGCTGCATTTCAAACTCTACGGCTCAGACGCTAAGCCTAACACTCGACTTCGATGTGTTTCGAGGCGAGATAAAGAGACGAGAAACGAAGGAAAGGGCTTTAATAAAACCAAACCAGTGTCGCCACAGGCCAGGAACGTGAATTGAAGAGCTCACGCGAGAATGAACGCTACATTGTATGTGCCTCACTTTGACCGCACAGGGCAGTGCCATATTGGGGATTGTGACTGCTGTGCCACGACTCAGCACTGAAGTGAAGCTTGAAGTTTCAATACTCGGGGAACATTCAATGACTCTATAGTCAGTTACAGGTTAAGAAGGTAGCGGCAAATGCCCCTCAAAGGGAATCAGATATCCCTCCGCCACCCCTGCGTCCAATAGCGTCCCACCGTTTCCTTGACGTCGCGGCCAACGCGCGAGGAGGGTCTTGCCTTTCTGTACATATTTGCTTTATTTTTCGACTTTTACTTAGCATTGTGGAAGGCACGAGAGGGAGATTAGAGTTCTTCCCCACCGACGGAAACAAATACGACTTTCGGGGATTAACTTCCCCCCCGATGGATACAAAGGCTGCTTTCAGGGGCTCGGTTCCCTCTCCGATGAATACAAAGGTCGCTTTCTTAAAAAGTGGGATCGGAGACAAGTGGGAATCCATTGAAGCGAAACAAGGAGAGTTTCCAGTGAACCCTTCTTTCGACTGCGGAGAGATTTGAAACGGGCGCATCACACTTGTGGGAGGAGCTTCTCCTACCTTCTTGACTTGTAACCGACTATAGGAGACACCAATCTTGTGAGCATGTTTGGCCGAGCAGCCAAGCCAATCCAGTTGTAATGGGCAGGGACACCGATCTGTGGGCAGTGCTTAGAGTGGGTTGTGACCTCGCTTAACTTGTGTTTAACAACTTAAGGGGGGACGTGGGCCTAAGTTTCAAAACTTTTTGAAAAAATTCATTTTTCCGTTTTGAGGTTTTTAGTTTTAGAAACTAATTATACACCCTTACACTAAATTTCATAACCATGCGCCCAATAGTTACGATGATATAAAACATTTTCAACATATTGTGAGGCAGTAACAAAGTAAAGGAGTTCAATGTTTGAATGCAGTTTTCTCAGTTCCCCTTTTTGCTGCAAGTTTCATACGAAGGAATATTTGGTTCGAAGGTAAAATTGTTCTGATACCACAATCAAGATGTTTCTGAACTGAAATTTACTGGGGAATCGGGCTATCTACTTTATTTTGTTTTACATTAAAGTCCTCATTGAGAAAAAAACTATGCTTGCAAAAACTGACATAGGACAGATATGCATCTCACATTTTGAGGTAATCACTCTTCCTGAAATATTTACATTTGAGTTATAAAAACTAGATAGCCCGAAGTCCCACATCCCCCACTTTATACTCAAGCAGTTAAAATGGTGTTTAATAGCTTCATTTGCATATCATAGATTTCTTAATGAAGATTGACACATCTTATGCAGGTATGTGGAGTTGACCTAGAGAGCTGAAAGTTTGCACAGTACACCTAGATCTGAAGTTAAATCTCCCCTGCAAATTTCATTCCGATGACTTGAGTAGTTCAGAAGTTCAACCTCTAGCCAGTGTCCCCCCTTAAATACAGCGGATTTTTTTTTTTTTTCTGTAAAAACAAAAACAAGTTTTCATTTAAGTTTTAAAAATAAATTATTTTAGTATTTCTTTAAGATTAGGCATGGGCAAATAGAGGATATTGGGTCCGAATCGAATTCGAAGCGAATAGTGATTTTAGCCAAATAATTTTGAATCGAATTGTTAGAATAGCACAAGCAACAAATACAAGATATGGTTAAACTATAGTTTTTTGTATTTGCATTTATTTGGTATTGGAAGTTAATTCCAAGTGTATGCGGAAGGCAAGTTCGTCTGCTCCTTGCGCAGGGGGTCAGAACGCCGAGCCCTGTTTGGCTGATCGCGACCCCCTATCTGAGCGTCGTCTGCTCTTTTGCAACGTCGTCTGCTGGAAACGTCGTCTGCGTCTCTCTTACCTTTCCTGCGACTTTCGGAAGTGCAGAGGCCAGGTTCACAAAACGATCTTACGCCCAAAATATGCGTAAGACAAAACTTGAGAACAAATTCGTATTCACGAAACGAAATTTTCGTTAAGTTTTGCGCAGGTTACGACGAAATCCTACGACAGCTCGGAAGCTGTCTTACGCACTTCTTACGATCAAATCAGCATGGCCGACAGCGTCGCGGTTGCGACGACCAATGGACGTTTATTTTTCTACGTGCGCTTCTCACGCGTCCCGACTTCAAGCACCAAGAAAAAAGTAAGAAGTACTTGAAACAGACCACGACGAACAAGAACGCTGGATCCACAAACACCCGGGAAAAGCTCCAACGGCCACGATTTCAAAGCGATGGCTGCTTTACCTTTCCTTGATCAACAACCACCAAATACGACCAAGCGAGCTCAGCAGATAGGCCTAGCAGGCACTCCGACTCGGCGACCGTCTGCCCACGACCGGCTGGTGTGCTGAATGGAATATGCCCGCGCGACCCTTGTGAACTCTTCTCATCTTATACTTCGATTGCTGACCTCAATTTTAGATTAAGAGGTCAATCTTTTCCTCTTGTTATCTCCTTGTTTTTCGAGGCAACGGTGAATCTCGCCGGTAAAAAAGCTGTGAATCTCCGACAAACGCAGGAAAGGTAAAGCAGCCATCGCTTTGACTAGCAGACGTAAAGCAGACGACATTAACTGCGCCAACCCGCCGACGCCGTTAAAGAGTGGGGAGTCTCGCCGCACACGAAAGGAGGGAAAAAGTATTTGGGAGGGAACTTGCGGACACTAACCACTGAGGTGACCACCTTCCTGCTAGCGAAATGCAGGACACGCTGACCCCAGGGGGAGGGGGGGGGGGGTGGTAGGAGACGAACGGTATTATACCTAGACTGCGGCAACTGCAAAAATGAGCTTAGTGCGCAGTCGAGCTGGGAAAAGTTTACCATGATGCTTTGTAACTAGAGACTGGGGTAGAAGCAGGAAGCATATTTTTCCCTCCTTGTGCGCCAGTCTCAGGTTTTTTTTTACCTGAGACTGGGGCACAAGGAGGGAATATAGAATCACAGAAAAATTAAGTATTTGAGGAAATTTATCAACAGATGCCACGAAATGTAGCTCTGCTAGCACATTTAACATCCTGTCTTGTCTCAAAGCATAAAATACAGCTGCAAATTGTATTGCGGCAATTAAGCTCAAATAATTTTCAGTCCGAGTGACATATTTTTAGTTTAATGGCACATGTTAGCAAATGTGCCTAAGTTGAAAACATAAAATTGACTGCAGCAGAAATCAATGCATCAGAAGGAAAAAAGAAACAGTACATCATTTATGGCTTCTTGTTTCCTGTTGATTCTTATTTTTCCCAACATGATCCAACACAAATCTTGAGTCTTGCTGTTCATGACCGTTGTGAGTTGCAGTCGTTTTGCCTTGTGTAACCAACCTCACAAAAAAGAAAAAAAAAACTGACAGCCACTTTTCTGCATTGACACAGCACGCTTAGAAAATAATTACAAAAATTCATTTTCAACTTTTGGCAAGCAATTCTCTCTCCAATATATTGCCACCAAGGGAAGAGAGGCACAACGGCTCATGTGCGTCAGTTCTAATGCGAGAACGACGGACGCTTTCCGCAATGCTTGGATCGAAAATACTATACCATCGCATTTCACACGATTGCCAGCGACTTCCGCACTTCCTCGTGCCCCATTGTTCAGCAGCGCCATGAGTTGCATAGTGAAGTTTACAGCAGTGTGAAATACGGGACATTTTCAAGATTTTAGTATTTCTTCCGGGACGCAGGACACAAGCCCTCAATACGGGACAGTCCCGCGAGTCGCGGGACGGGTGGTCACCCTACTAATCACCCTCACTCTCGGTTCTTAGCAAACAGACCTCGGTGCCTCGGGACACCTCGCCAGTGATTCCTTTGACTTCCCTCCTTGATGCGCGTCTGCTAGTTTTTAGACAAAAACAATGTATCGCTCGAGTTATTTCGTCTGCCCTCTCTGAAAGGCGAAGTCGAGCTCGCTCGACTTCCGAAAGTCTCACGAAAGGTAAGACAGACGCAGACGACGTTGCGAGCAGACGACGTTGCAAAGGAGCAGACGACGCTCAGATAGGGGGTCGCGATCAGCCAATCAGGGCTCGGCATTCTGACGTCACCGCTACTTCCTTTCTCAAGCGCAGAAGATGAAAATGAGCCCACTTGCGAGGCGTATTGAGTTCGGGAGCACGAAATGGTCAGAGTGGTCGGAAGCTTGTGCCACCTGGCCGGAAATCGAAGCCAGAGTAAGTCAAACCCGTTTATATCGAACTCGCAAAAAAAGTCTACCAGTTCGATATGGCGCGTAATTCAGTATAAAAGTTTTAATGAATTCGCCTTTCTAAAATACTTTCTGCTGACATATTACACAATGAAATATTCTTGCATCTTCTGCTGCTTTTTCATCATTGCACCCGCGATAACGATATTTATCTACGCTATCGACGGACTCCCAAATGCTGAGGCCGCTGCCTTCCATATTGCGCTTTAGCGCCGAACTACGCCGAGAGCATGGAGCACGTCCGAGCAGGAGCACCTTCTGCAGAGCGCCGTTTTGCTCTGCAAGTTGGCTTGGCTTTCCCCTAAGAGAGGTGGCTGCATTGGGGGAAGCCAACTAGCAGAGCAAACTGGCTTTTTTTTTTTTTTGGGCTGCTGCGTTAATTGCTTGGAAGAAAAAATAATATTCTCTTTTGCAGACGGAGTGGGGAGGGGGAGCACGGAGCACCCTCTCTGCGCTCCCTCCTCGAAAGATTTTTTTTTTCTTTTTTTTCCGGGCGATCAACGCAACCGCCTGGGGGAAAAAAAATAAAAATAAGCTAGCGTGCCCTGCGAGCTAGCTTTCCCCCAATGTGGCCGCTCGCGGTGGGGGAAAGCCAGCTTGCAGAGCGAAACGGTGCTCTTGGCAGTTCGATATAATGGTAGTGGCTGCTATTTTTTGTTCGATGTAACCATAGTTGTTGCTATATATTATCACTGTAACATTACTGTGCACAAAAATTGTTGCATATAAGGAATAATTCGATGTAAACGGGTTCGATATAGTCACGTTTGGCTGTATTTAGAAAGGTTGAATAATTTGATATTTCGAATAACTCAATATTGTCGAATAATTCAATATTGTCGAATACTTAAATTCGATTAGAAGCGAATGCCAAATAGAACGGAATTCGATTGGCTATTCGCAATAACCGAATATTTGCCCATACCTATTAAAGATGCATTTTATATTTACAATAGTTTGGTCATACATGACAAAAAGACATAGAATATGTTTGAATAAAAAAAAAAGGTGGACATTAAGCAGGATCTGTGTCTAACAATGTGAGATGGAAAGGAAGAGTTTCAAAATCGAATCCAAGCATGTCCCATCCAATGCTCGCATATAAAGTGATGGCAATGGCTTCTAGAGTCGAGTACATGCGCTTTAAAATGCAAATAACCCAGGTGAAAATTTCTAACTGGAACCAGTTGGCACCTCAACTGGGTTCAACTGGGACTAACTGGGAATCAACTGGGACCAATAGGAGTCCAACTGGGACCAACTGAGGGGTCAACTGGTTTGAACCATTCCCAGTTGGGAGTCAACTGGTTTGAACCATTCCCAGTTGGGAATGCAGTGAACTGGGACCAGTTAGGAAAGTAACTGGATGGAGCGATTCCCAGTCGGACTTCAAATGCCTTTCCCGTTCCCAGTTCACACGGGGCAACAATCTTTACACGTTGGGGTGCATTGACCGTTGCTAATGAAGACATTTAAAATACTTATTCATTTTTAGATTTGTACAAATAGGGAAATTTCTAATTACTGGGTACATTTATATATTTAAAGAAATAATAATAAAACTTTAATTAACTAAATAATTTCTTTTAATTGGAAAATATAATTAGTGACAAAATGAGTTTACCTAAATGAACATTTAGTGCATTATTAAAATATATTAAAACATTTATTTAAATATCTACAGTATTTTTTTCTTTTTTCTTTTAATAAATAAATTTATCTTTTGGCCAATCAGAGCTAGCCGGCCGCCGTGGCACGCGGGTGCGGATTAGTGGTACGCGCTGTCGACAGATGGCGCTGCCTATGCTGACGCCGGATGGACGTCGGACGCGGTAGAAGACGCGACGAGGTAGTGAAGGGTCGACATCGCCAAAGTTGGCGTCGTTATTGAAATGTCAAAACTACAGCTGCGCTTCTTTGGACCCAACTGTACACACACCATGGTGGCAGCGGTGAATTTCGAGGATGGAAAGATGCAGTTCAGCAATCGGAGGGCACCCAGGAAAGACCGGACGAAAGAGAAAACCACCGCGGAGAGCACAATGGCGAAAATGGCGAGAGGTCTGCCTCGAAAATGTTCGGCTGTTGTGACTAGAGGCAATTGGAAATGTTGGATTGCAAGGTGGGAGCGCTACCGCATCCTCTCAGGACTCCATCTGTGAAACGCGGAAACACGGGTGGAGCACCTTTCTTCACGCTATGGGGAGACAAGCTGAGGACGTCTTTACTAACAGACACCAGCGGCCAACCTTTCTTCATCTCATAAATACTACCTCTGAAAAAGCGATTCAATCGTCGCAAGCAAGTAGCTAAACCCGGAGTGTGTATGTCACCGAATCTATTATTTAGTTTTATTTTTAAGTTTTTGAGAATAAAGTCTTGTCGATTTTCCATTTCGTGCCGTGTTTCATTGTTGCTGGAGTTAGCACCAGCGGTAACTAGGAACAACTCCAACTGGGACCAGTTGTAACTGGGACCAGTTGTAACTGGGACCAGTTGTAACTGGGACCAGTTGGACAACTCCAACTGGGACCAGTTGCGACTGGGAAGTGTTCTATAAATCAGTTGCAACTGGGACCAATTGGTCCCAGTTGAAAATTTTCGCCTAAGAAGTGACATCGCAGCAGAGCAGTAGAATGGTTCCGGCAGGGGCATTACGGTGCCCAGAACATGTCTCAACACGTGAGCTTAACATCCTAGACTTCCCAAGCAAACGAATGTCCACAAAGAGGCAATCAGTCACATCGGAAATCTCTGGAAAGAATGACACAGATCGTTACAATCCTGGTGGCTGGTCGTAGAAGCGACAGCACAGCAGTCAAAATGGTGACAGCATCAACGACGTTGTGACGCCGAAACCCGCGATTGATCATGTTTCAGTCGGCTCATCGTCTGCAAGGTGGCATAGAACTGAGCAGGTGTCTGCCATTCCTACCTGCATTGCTGAACAAGTAGGCTGTTCAGACAGTGGACACCGGTGCCATAACAACCCGAGAGAATCCAGAAATCTTAAACCATCAAACACACATTGAGCGGAAAATAAAAGGAAAGCGGAAATTACACCAGTCAGATGCAGGTTTGCACCACTGCGGCAGAAGATAATGAGGTAGACAGACCTCTCAAATGTGGATCATTGGTCAGGAACTTGTTGAGATCACTGATCTGCTCCCAACCAGGCAGGAAGATGAGGATCGCTCCTTCCTGGAAGAATGAACAAACGTTGCGCACCCGAGTTTGCTCAATAACCACGTCGAGTTTCAGCCAGCACTCTATTTTCTATTGCCTTAATGGAAGTGCTCGGAGCAGGCTCAACGTATTCTTCACACAAGCGGCGTCGCTCAACCTTGTTGTACGCTGCCAACGTGCTCTCCCCGTCACTGTTCTTCAACCCATAACTATACTCCAAAATAAAAAAAAAAAAGAAGTGTAAACAAACTTGCCTGTGTTATTCACGAGTGACAGACGAGTCTGTTCAATATTTACCCCCGGTGGTGCAGCAAAAGAGCTTCTATTTCAAGTCCGTATTACAATTACAAATGCCGTTCATGTCGTTAAAATGAGTACAAATCTTAGGCAGCCGCATAGCTCAATGGCAGTCTTGTCATATTTAGTGTGTGACATTGCAAATCCTGCTTGCCGACCCAAAGCCAGAAGCCAAATTTGAGGGGTTTTGAGCGTCAAACCAACGAAGGGGATCTGGCACGCCCCGGCGGAAGACCGAGGTTTAACTGCGACCGTCCGGGAATCTTCCGACGTGAGACCGAACTCTCGGTTATGCGGCACCTTCTCTGCAACGAGCCTCCGTCAGACTGCAGGGCACCCTGACCAGGATTCGAACCCACTACCCTGGGAGCTTTGTGCCAACCCCTGAATTTTGCAAAATACAACACCCAGGAAAAAAAGAACATTTGCCCCAACCACCTCCGCTGCCGCACCGCCGCCAGAATCACGACGACAAACAGCGAAACACTTTTACGACGTCGTTTGGCAGAAATGGTCAGACCACTTTTAACGCGATAGCCTTTAGGTGCTCATGTAGCAAAAAATCCGACGTCAGCGTCGGTGGGACAAAAAAATCACAATGCTACGCACGCAGCCATGTGTGACATCAGATGTGACGTCCCATGTGTGATATCACACGAGACGTCACATGTGTGACGTCAGACATGGGTGTAATGTTGTAACCCTATCGACCCGCTAAATTTTGCGAGAAAATTTTGCGGAAAGTTTTCCACAAAGTTTAACGGGTCAATAGGGTCATGACGTCACAGCCACGTGCGAGGTCACACGTCACGTAACACGACGTCATGTGACGTCAGGTTACACGTTGTGCTACGGAGTAGACCACGCACACGCACTTGCATGGCTTGGGTATAAGCGCGGGTTTATATGAGAAGTTCTTTGCAAACGGGGCTCAATAACGCTATTGCATTCCACTCTTAAAAGCAAAGGTCAAGTGTCCCCCAAGTTTTGGGGGACAGAGTAAAGGCACCGGTCGGAGACGCGCTCCAGGCAGCATGGTCCGACCGACGACCTACCCCCTTTGTGGAGCAGATGTGCCGGACCAGCTCGTGAACCAGGTCCAGGTCGATGCGCTCTTCGTTCCACTCCGCCAAAGTGTTTAGGGTGCTGTCCGAATACCTGGTGAGCAGAGATGATGATGTCACATTTATGAGAGATTGGAGTAATACTATAAACCAGGGGCCTTCAAACCCATTCGAGTGTGGGGGGCCAGATAACCCTCCCCCGAAAGGACGAGGGCCAACAAGGGGGGTATATATAAACAAAAAGCAGTGGTGTTTCACGTTGCAAAGCAACCGATTGTCCCAGCGACTCACCATAGATTTCTAGGCACGGAACCTTGTGCTGTCTGCTTTTTGTAAGCTTACCGTTCTGCCATCTTTGGCTTTCATTGACATATACGAGTATACTTTGGGCCCACACCTGATGTTATAAGAATTAAAACATCCCCACACCACAGAACTGGCAGTTTTCAATAGAACGAGAACAAGCACACCATCCTTGCCCTGTCACACAATTCACTAGGCTCAACAGGTGTATAAAACTTTATCTTTGTACGGCAGTTTCTGCTTTCCTGACGATTTTGATAGCAGCGTCATAAGAACACTCTTTCATTTTAAAGGTATTGTCCGACGGATAAAGGCCCAAGCTCATAACCTTATCTTTGGCCGTTGCTCTCGCTGAGCTAGAGCTTGAGCAGCTGAGGTGCCTCCTTGGGCGAAGAGCTCGGGCTAGTAGCCTAGCAGAGTATTGCCGTTCCGTTTCATTGACATGAGAGAAGAATGAAAAGCCAATAATTAGACAAAGGAATACTCCATCCAAATGATAAGAATAGTGCAAAATGCGTGAAGATGTCATATGAGAAGAATTCCCGTTTGAGCAGAAATAAATTTATGATATAAAACTATTGTTTATGGCACATGTGGCGCTCAAGGCATGGACGGGAGCTCGCAGCCATGGGATATTTGCGGACCTCTACCCAGAGCGACGCGGCTTGCGTGTTTGAGACCCCTGCTATAAACCAAACAGCCATATCCTACTTAACTCCTTGCCTACTAATAAAGAGTGTCGCTCGTGCCACCCCTCACGGACCATAAAGCCCGACCACGAGTGTGACTTGCGTTTCGGTTTGGGCACTTGTTTATCGCACTCTCCGGCGGATGGCAAAACCACCACTGTTGCTCTGTTTACACTGGGTTGTTCGCTCGTTTGTTTTGCTCTACTTAGCCAAAACGCTCTACTTAGCCAAAAAAAAAAAAGTTGCTTGAAAGCGTTTGCACTTAAACAATGTGGCTTTCGCACGTAGGTCCGGTTTAGTCGATGAAAAGACACAAAATCTTCTTTTTGGAAGTGACTAATGCTCAGGCATATGGCACGACAAATCCTTCCGCCTTTCCGAGATTTCGGAATTGGACGATAGGTTGATGGCCAGTGACAGGAGTGATGAAAAGAATATGAATTCTGCGAGCATTCCATTAACTTCGGCATCTGTGGGACTCAGAACAGAAGTCTGAATTACAGCAAGATATTGCACCTAGAAGTCGAGGAAATATTTTTGTCTTATTTCGATGCAAACCAGGGACCAACAGGGGCTTGAGCACCCCCTGACATTTTCCAGGGGGTGCTGGGTAATAAGCTGCGCCCCCGTGCATTTGGCTCGAGACCTCCCTCTCCCCCAGGGCCGAATTAAGGTACGGGCTAAAGGGGCTGCAGCCCAGGGCCCCAAGGGGCCCCGTGCTAAGCCACGCAAATTAGAAAAAAAAAAAAAATGCTAGTTGGGTTTAGTTTAGAACAGCTGAGACCTAAAGGAGGAACGAAACTCAGAGGAGCCCCTGGGCCCTGGCTTTCTGAAGTCGTGCCATCCCCCCCCCCTTTTCTTTTTTCTTCAACGGGGAAACGGACGCCACAAAGCTACCAGCTGGTGTTTGTGAGCTCGGTTTAAAAAACTGTTAGAGCAATAAAATGTAAGCGTTGCCTCCCACCCTCGTTGTCAGGGGGAGCAAAGCTGTCGACGCTGGCAGTCTCTTTGAGGTCTCCTCTAATTGAAACCAGACAGAAGGACGGCCATGGAGTTCTCTATTGTACTGGGGTCCCCTTGACGCATTGTACGGACAGTGGTGTGTTGGAAGGCAAGCAAGTGTTACCGAAGGCTACAGGAGCAACGTACACGCTACAGATTATTTTTTGTATATTTTTGGTCTTCTAGCGTAGTGTCATATGGAAAGCTTCCTTCGAAACAACAAGTTTAAGACAAGCAAAAATAAATAATGGTGAACATTCTGAAGCATTCCTTTCTAACCACTAACAGGCGTTTCAAGGAACCGGCTCTTGAGATGTCCCCCAAAAGAAAAGTTTTCGAGAGGCAGTGACTGCAAGCAACTGCTTTGGAGCTCGTGTCTGATTTCCCAGTGTGAGACATCTTTTCTGCCATCGAGTGATATGATCGCTGCAACCGATGTGGTGATCGCTGCAAGCTTTTTACGAGCCTCTGTGGTATAACTTCTTATTCTTAGCATAGTGCAGGGGTGGCCAAGCTGCGGCTTTTTGCGTGTTAAAGTGCGGTTCGTTGCTCCTTAGTATACCTAACACCCCCCCCAAATCCCCCTTTTTTTCTGCCTTACCTTTTTCAGGCGGCCCTTGGAAGTTTAGTGGTTTTGTTTGCAGCTCTTAGGCCAGGTCAGCCTGGCCACCACTGGCTTAGAGTAATTTGCTCACTGGCTGTGAAGTTCTAAATTACTGGACTTAAAAGAAACAAGACCATTTCCAAAACCAATTGAAACATTTTACCCTTAAAACAGACAGCATGTAGGAGAGGGGCTTGAAAATGCCTCCTTGATCTTCATGAGAGATACACGCGTGAATGTGCCCAAAATGACAGTGGTTGCTATATTACAATCACACATTCAGTCTTAATTATTTCTTGTATCATTTGTATGCAGAAGTATATTACTTTGAGACTCGCGAGTTCAGTTATTAGAAGAGGGTGGACCAGGCAGTTTGAGCTTAAAATAATTTAACGACCAAGATTACTTTGTTGTATCTTTTGCTTTATTGGTCAAGTCAGTAATTAAAGGGGTCATGAAATGATATCAGCTTGAAATGTTGATGACTTTGAAGGGGCGTGCTAGTCCTAGTCTGACTTTACGGACACACGGTATAGGTAAGGATAAGACACCTTCTATAAACAGTAAAATATTAGCAATTCTTTTTTTTTTTTAATTTATATTTTTCTTTATTCCCCCCTTCCTTTCCTTCCTTCCCTTCCCCCCCTTCCCTTCTCCCTTCCCCCTGCCCCCTCCCACTTTTTATTTCGACCGCTAGCCCCCAAATGTAAAATACACCTCCGCGGTCGCTGATGCAAATTGCCCGTTTAAAATAAAATTTTGCTGTATGTTCCTTGGAAAAAAAATGGGTAGGCGAGGGGTTAGCAAAGGGTTAACCAATGCTCAGTATTGCTGATTTATCCTCGACCAAACGATACTTGGGGGGGGGGGGGGGGGGGGGCAATGTGTCGAGTGCTCTTCTAAGCTGCAATCTAAAAAAACATGTTAAAAGAATAATAAAAAAAATTAGGGGTGTGCGAATACTGGAATATACGAATTCGAATTGAATAACAAGTTCCTGAATAATCTGATTTGCAAATCGAATTTCTAGTATTCGGTCACTCGAATATTCAATATGTTTGGCCAAAGACGTGCGGCTGGCGTGGAGCTGACAAAAGAGCCATTTTTTCTCCCGGTGTAAGCGCCATGATGTTCGACAGACCATAAGAGAAATATAGCACACAGATTTACTCATGATCGCGACGCAACGTAACTTTGAATCATAACCGAAACATCTTGTTTGTGCGGCTTCCAGAGAGGAACTGTCGGGAAGCCAGAATCCCGCACAATGCCCAATTCTTTCCGCGAGTAATGCCCCTCATTTCAAATTGAAGCGCCAATGTAGAACACAGTTGCCACACTCACAGAAATCGGCGACTGCATGATCACAAAAATAAAACCACATTAACCACCCCGATGAAACCAGCCGAGTTTTCGCCGTCGTTCTTTCTGAACCGCAAGCCGCAAATTGTGATTCTGAACGAAACAGAAAGGAAAAATAGTGTGTCGAGATTTGAGAGGGTTTCTAACCGTTCGATAGCTGCGTTTGAGTTATGAACTGCGAGAAGGTGACGAAAAGCCGAAAGCGTCGATCGGACAGGGTTCATCGCTTTTCTGTTTGCTCGCCTTCTTTCCTGTGACTACACAACACATGCACACTTACGACCAATCTGCGCAGGAGCCGTCCCCATGGTTTCAGTTTCGCTTGCTCTCTCTTTTAAATCTAGGCTCTTTAAAAGAGGATAGATTGACGGAGGAATTGATGCATAGCGGCAGTTGGACGGTGACTTGAGCCACCTAACCACACATTTTTTGGGGGTTTTTTACTTCAGATTATATTGTTTAAGCCTGTTTACTCAGATTTAACCCCTATTTGTTTATTTATATAATATCAAGTCCCGGGTGCCCTTTTTCTCCCTTAAAATAGAGACCAAATATCGCAAAATGCCCCTTTTCTGAGATATATAAATATAAAAAAAGGACATGTTGTGGTGTTAGGCCGTGCTTTTAACAAAAAAAAAAAGGCGCACATGGCTGTAACTTTAGGTTTTTTGTGATGCTTGGGTTAGATAGATTATGTTTGCGCCATAAAATTGGATCTTTAGTGCCCAACGTCCATCAGCAGCTGTTTTTTAATGCAAAAGCATTAACTGGGTCTCACGGAGCGAGCTGATGTCATCAGTTTGAAGCGCAAAAACTGCACCTAGTTTCCTTCAATTCCATTGACCGGCGCGCGTCGACGGGGCTCCCATTGGCTGCTGCGCTCATCAGTTTCCACGACCGCTCACCCAATGGTGCTGCGTGTCCATCAGCGCGGCGTTACCACGGAGCATCCAAGGTCACCAGGGGAGCACACGCGCTGACCGGCAACGAAAAGTATGTAGCAGGCAAAAAAGGGAGCGGACGAGCGGCTTGCATGCTTTCGCATTCACAACTCATAAGGAATGTCTAGATGTACCTCAATCTTTCTTTTTTTTTTTTTTTTTTTTTTTCACCAGAATTTCTATACATTTTAGCTTTTGTTCCGTACGAGATGCTTAATCTGCACCAGGTCCATGCTCTGCACATATAATATTCTCATTCACAGCACACTTTGAAAAATTCCTACAAGTAAAATCACTATTCAATTCGATATTCGGCTTTTTTTTTTTCTTCTTAATTTGATTCGGTATGCAATTCGATAACTACTATTCGGTATTCACACACCCCTAAAAATTAGAAAAAAAGAGAGAGGCATTAAAAATATGGTTACTGTTCAATATTTGTTTCGATTTTATTCCTGATATCTTGTATGCAAGTACATACTATCTGTTACAGAACTCAAATCAATGCAGGAACTGGTCATGGTTATGGTGCTTTTGAGACTCCTCAATATCAGAAAGTCTCAGGTAACCGGACAAGGGAAAGAACACAGTTCAACGTTGCTCCACCATAGCTTTGCCTTATTATGACCCTTTGTTTGCTTCGTAGCATCATTTTTTCATCAATTTTCCGTGCTAGTCACATCTATGCACAATGGACAACAATAAACGCTCGTTCAATCAGTAAAGCAGGTTTGAGAACCAATATTAACAATTCAAAATATGTTCTCTGTTATTTTTTCAAAATATTTCACTATCCATTTAGATCCTCAGACGTCACTCACCTTCCTTCCAAACTGCGCAGAAACGGCATCTGTTCGTTCATGGCATCTTGAAACCTCCCCTGGTCTCTCCGACGCACTTGACTCCTGCCCTCAAAACCGCTGTTGCCTCGGTACCTAAAACCAATGGGCACATTATAAAGGGACGAGGTTAAAGGAAAAGAATTGCATGTCTTAATCCTTTTGTACGTTGTAAAGTAGACCAGGAAAAAATAATTGGCTTTATTTAGAAAGGCAAAATTGAAATGTGGTTTGCCAGTTGTTTTACGCTCGCAAAATTTCCAGAACAAAGTCTGCGTAAGAAAAGTAAAAATTATTGCCCTCTGTCGTTAGTTTGACAAGCTCAAAGTTTGATTTTGCGATTTCGTCGCCTGAAAGTGACAAAAGTTGCAGCTAACTAGATTAAAAACTGAATTTCTCACGTTTAGTTGAGGGCTTATGGCCAGAGCATGTATAGAGAGGGTTTGGTGAATGGGAGGTGCAGGCAGATCCAGGGCGTGCACCAGACGCAGAAAGAGGGCTTGACATGCTTTCTTAGTCAACCAAAGCCAAAAAGAATCCCCTAGCAATGGTAGCAAGAAACAGTTTTAATCATAGGTATATGGTTTTAATAAGCGTGTAAGAGTTAAATGTAATAACCCTTCTTGGTTGAAAATTTAATGCACCTGATGTTTTGACTATGATCATGCAGAAAGATGTAAGAAACTAATGTGCCGCTCAAACTCTGTTTTGCTCGGACAGAGTGTGACCGCTCGGACGGCAGATTCCCGGCCCTCGGCGCCTCGCGTGCAAATTATGTCGATCGTTCCCTTCATCATCTCGCTAGTTGCGCTCATCCACCATGATCTTGGATGACCGTGATTGAAACATCACAGGCACCATATTTTCAGTCATTGAAAGTTACTCCGTAGCACTTATTATTTTGTTTCTCACAACCACCGCCAGGTTATTATTTCCGGCTCCTGGTTGGCCACATTCGAATTTGTGAAGATGCCCTGAAACACGCCCAGCCCGCTTTCGGCCAATGGCACCTCCTCATTTGTTTCCTGTACTTCCCAATGAATGGCCACACTCTACACATACAGCTCTGCGTACAGCGACGGGAAAGCTGACGGGCTCGGGGAAAACAAATGTGTGCATGGGGAACTTCGACCTGGCTTCGTTACCGGAATCTAAATACAGTCAAATCCCGCTACAACGAAATTGGCGGTGCGCGAGAAAAAATTTGTTGTAGCGAAAATTTTGTTGTTGTGAAATTCACAAAAGAATGGCATACCTGAACTGATAGAGTAAAGAAATCTTTATTTCCAGAGTGTATAGAGCGTCGCCTGCTTCCTTTTCCTTGTTAGGAGCTCTGTCGGCTCCAAGACGCAGTTTTTGCATTCGGCAAGTAAGTTCATGGCGAGGTCGTCATCATGCGCAGCCACGTAGCTTCTGAGAACGTCGAACGCATCCAGTACGCGCGTCATGGAAGGTGGAGGCTGCAGGTCCGGCACGACGTCCTCATCTGACTGCGCATCGTCGCGGACACTTCGTATAATGTCCTCGTCACTCACTTCTTCATGAGCAATAACATCCATGTCAGCGTCGATGAAATCTTCCAGCGCGACACCGGACGGCGCAGTTCCGGCATCCTGAAGCGCAGCCCAAGAATTAACGGCCTCTCCCGGCAAACGCACTGTTTCGTTATCTTCAGCGGAGTCGGCGTCTTCTTTCGCTTGGCCGATGTCCCCGATGCAAGAACCTTTTTGATTGCATCTTTCGACTTTAGGATCGTCGACAACGAACTCGGAGAAATTCCTAACTTTTCGGCGATGACAGCTTTCTTCTGTCCACTTGCAACTTCGGCCAGGATGCGAGCGTTCTCTTGTAAAAATAAACACTTTCGTGTTCTGTTTGGCGGTGCCATCGTGCCATTCGCAAAAAGCCCGCGTACCGTCGTTGTACCGTACTGATAAAATGACAACCGACCAAAAAGAAGAAAAAATAACAACAAAAAGACTGAGCTTCGGCTTTGGATAGTCTGCAGCAGAGCGTTATCAAGCCAAGAGCTAGAGAAACATTGGTGCAATAGCGTAGGAAGGCCAGCCTCATCGCCGTCGCCATCGAGCAATGGCGGCCTGCACGCCGGTCAACGTTGCGCCCCGGTACCAGTTATTAGTGGCAGTTTCTGGTGGTTCAACACGCGATTTAAACTTTATAGTAGACATATTTTATGTGCCAAAATGCACGAGTGCTCGAAAGTTTGTTTTCTGTATGGAAAATTAAACTTTCGAACTTCAGATTGCTCTGTAGAATTTCGTTCAAGCGGAACAGCACAAGAAACGGTGTTCGCTGTAGTGAGAATTCTTATGCACTGACTCCTATGGACCGTTGACGGGGAACCGAAAAATATTCGTTGAACCGGAAATTTCGTTGAAGTGGCGTTCGTTGAAGCGAAGTTCGACTGTATAACAATTGTTTGAGCTGAAAGTGTCACTAGGCACTAAAAACAAATGGGAAGAGGGCAGCAAGTCACAATGTCATCCCCAGTACAATGGTTTGATAAAGCGTGCCAGTCTACTGGCCAATGCCATTATTCAGCTTTTGTGCATGTGGCATACTTTACTTGCTTTCTAAACCGGCAAACTGACAATGTGCTGCATCATGTAATGTGGGTATTACCAGAGAATATACAAACATTACGAATGCTGGGAACAGCTACTCGCGAGAGAGCATAGGTACAAATTTGATGCAATTTTAAAGACTAACTAATACATGTATTAAATGGCAAAATATTATACTACAGGAGTTTGTTATTTCAACGAAGTCAATGGAGCAGCAAAAGGTTTTTACATAAACAGTAATTCGAAAAAAGCGAGGGAGTCATAAGAAAAGCGATACAGGCCTAGAAGGTAGACGGGAATCCTGCTGAACACTCTCACCGTATATTTAATCGAACAATCCTTGGTGATGAACAACTCGCGGCACATTTCCCGAGGAGTGACAAAAATAATTAGGTGCAGTGTGCTAGTGGCTTTATCGGGGCGTCAGTCCTCTTTGAACTCCTTCGGGCATCGCAAGAACACTGTCACTGCTGCTGCACTCCACTTAGCTCCGATGCAGCTGTAGGGTGTTTCACGTCTCTGCAGTCGTCGGTATTTATCGAGGTGCCTCTCAGACGTCTCTTCGTCTTTACCTTGGCCGCACACAAGGACTACGATCCCGGCATCCATGACGGGAGTAACAACAGAAATGCTATTTCCATTGTTGCTCAAACATTAACGGATTGAAGTTATCCTCAGTGGTTTCATACTCCAGTAGAGATGGTTGCAGTACTGCGACTCATGCGCAAACTCTGCAAGCATGAGCGCACGAGAAAATTCGACGTGCACAAAGTGGTTAACAATCTCTTGTCTTTAAGTTGCGGGCGCACTTTCCTCTAGATGGAAAAAACTCTTCTCGAAACTGTCCAGTATGTGTTGCTTGTTTTGCAAGATGGTTGACAGTGTTGAACAGTCGATTCCAGAATGTTGAATTCCCTGGCAATTTTGAACTTGAGCCAGACCTTTTTTACAGTGGAGCTGTTAACTGCTAGTTTCCCCAGTATCGTGTCCACAGACAAAAAAATGTTGACACAAAACTCCAGACAGCTACTGCCATCTATGAGCAACAGCAGCAACCAGACAACTGGCTTGCGGTTGTCTGGTTGCCACCATCGTTTGGTGGCAACCTTTCCAGCCTTTCCGCTCTGGTGAAAACCAGAGTGGAAAGGCGTCATACTCTAGGCGTCGTACTAGAAGTCTAGAGGGCGATGTTTAGAGCACGACATCTAGAGGACGTCCTCTAGATGTTGTCCTAGAAGTCGTCCTTGAGGTCATCCTAGACGTAATCCTCGAGGTCGTCCTAGATGTCGTCCTTGAGGTCATCCTCAAAGTCATCCTACAAGTCATCCTCGAGGTCACCCTAGACGTCGTTCTTGAGGTCACCTTAGAAGTCGTCCTTTTGGTCGTCCTCGACGTCATCCTTGAGGTCGTCCTAGACGTTGTCCTTGAGGTCATCCTCGAGGTAGTCCTTGAGGTCGTCCTAGAAGTCATCCTTGAGGTAGTCCTAGACGTCATCGTCGAGGTTGTCCTAGAAGTCGTCCTTGAGGTCGCCCTAGATGGCGTACCTGAGGCCGTCCTAGTTGTCGTCCTCAAGGTCGTCCTACAAGTCGTCCTTGAGGTCGTCCTTGAGGTCGTCCTAGACGTCGTCCTCTAGGCGTCGTCCTTGAGGTCATCCAAGAAGTAGTCCTTGAGGGCGTCCTAGACGTCATGCTCTAGGCACCATCCTAGACATCGTAAAGGTAACCGCTTCGCTGGTCCTCCATCTTCACATGAGGTGGAAGTGCTCTACATAATTTTTAACCTCACAGATCGAGGTGACTTTCGATAAACACTCCCATACGATGCACGTGGTTGCCGCAACCATGCGGGTGTGCGTGTCGGGGGCTCCCGAAGGGATGACCTTTTTCGGACTCCTCTGCTTCCTTGACCAGATTCTGATGGGGGATCGGGCCGCGTCGGCCATGGGCATTGTGCATAGCGTCGGAACGGGGACGCTGCCTCCTTCCCCTGTCGGCCCACCAGCATCAGAAGCTGCGCTCTGTCCTCCGTCTTCCATTTGCCCCGTTTGCCTCAGTGGAGGAGAGGGAGGGAAAGCCAGGGTTTCCCCATGCGCCTCCACGTAGGCTTGTGTGCTTTCCGCACCTCGGCCTTCGTAACAAGTGTGGTCGGCCACTGACACACTTTGGGGGCCGCATTGAACTTCGATAAGATCGATTTCGATAAAACCAGAAACTATTGTAAGCTAGACTTCGTTTCAGCTTACGACCTAATGCAACCGATGCTACGAGTTGATGGGACCAATCAGACAGCGTCAAAGGCGCACTATCATGGTATATGCCATGTTCCCGTAAGTGTTCTATCATCGCTGATCCAATCATAAACAGAAAAAGCCCAGTGACTTGCGCTTTTGGTGGTGCCTAATCGGTCCGATTAGCTCGTAGAGTCGGCTGCGTCTATTCGCGAACTCATCTCTGTTTCAGTCACGGCGCAGTGGTGGTGCGTCGGGCGCACTTCAGGTCTGGGGATCTGGGCAAAAGCCGCCATGGGGCATGTGCATCCCAGTGTTACTTAAAAAGAAACCGGACAGAAACCTGCCTTCTCGTCAAAATGCCGCGACTGGGCTGTACCAAAAGAGTTGGGAAAGGTTTGAAGGTCAGTTTTCATGCGTTTTCTGCTTGCTCGGTTCGCCCGAGAATGTGAATAAGGGCCATAAAAAAAGAAAAACAGACACCGTCAGACCACAATGGCTTGGGCGGGAAGCACTTTGAATTGAATTCGCGGATACTTTTGATAGTCAGATTTATTTGTTTTGTTCCAACATGAACGCGGGAAAACCGTCAAGTTGCACAGACCACCTGCGGACTATGTTCAGTGCATCATCACGTTCAAACGGTCGCCTCATCGTTTGAGCTGTCGCCTGCTCTCTCAAACGTTTCTGCTTGCCATCTGCTCGTTCAAACGACAGCAGCCCGTAGACCAAACGTTGACCTGGTAATTGCAATAGGAAGTGCAGATTTCAAAATATGTTTAAGTTTGAAGATTCCTTCGGGTAAGTAGGCTCGGTGTAAACAGTAGATATAAGGAAATGTTGATAATTGTTACCAGTGGGCATCACCGACTTGTTATGCCTGATTCACTCGGTCCGATTCTGCTTGCGATTTTCAGTATCGACGTTGACATCTCAGCTACGGTTCAGGCTTTTGCAGCCCGAGCGACGTCATGACTGAAAATAGCGAGCAGAACCTCACCATGTGAATTAGGCTTTAGCGTCCATTCTGCGGCGTCCACGCAGTATGAATCGCTGCATGTTACATTATTTATGCCGAGTATTGCAGTGTAACGAGCCTCGTTAATTTTGCTGATGCCACTTAAGTAGACAGACATTGCCAGGAAGAAGTAGAATCAGCAATTCCAACACGAAAAAGAGCACTGGGACTCACACCCACGCCGACAACATCCCACTCCAATGGTTTAATTATGGGCGACGGCGAGCTTTTTGCCCACACCACCATCGCGCATGCGCGGCGTCATCCACTAGAGGCGCTCCGGTTTGTTTGTAAACATGAGTTGGTGTATAAGCTAAAACAAAGTATAATATTCAAGACACTAGACATGTAATGAACAAGAAGACGCCATTTAATGGATGGGTTACATAATATAAATCTTGAGCTGTGTGTGAAACCCAGTCTCAGTGGTCCCCGTTGTTTGTGTTCTCCATCAGTATCACATTTTTGTTCTGTTATTCTCAAATATGATACCACACCTTAAAGGGTAACCGCAAAGGAAAAAAAAGTATTTTTTTAAACAGCCTAATTGGGACAAGCATGTCACAAAACAAATGTTCCGCAAAAAAAATAATTTTTTTTATCAATATTTACGCCACAGGACGAAATATAGTCGGAGTCAGAACCTCTCCACATTTGAAACTCCCGCTCTTTTGACCCCCGCGGAAGAGGAGTACGCCCCGCCCCTCACTCTCCTTGTGTTGCGGAGTTGAACGACGCAGCGTCTCGACTTCCGGTAAGATCTGGCAACAACGCACGGCGGCGGTATTGTTTTGGTTTGACGCGGTTTGCGAGCACATGTAGCGAAGACGTGACCGGAGAAGTACCCCTGTGATGTTCCCGGACGACTGAAAGTATCATTTGTAATCGTCGTGCGTGCTTTGAAAGCGAAGGGAGTGACAGAATCCACGAGTGCGCAACCACAAGCCAAGGTTCACGACAGCGCTGCGTTGGTTTCGGCGATCTCGTTCTGTTCGGTGCAACACAGCGATGCGACAAAGAGCTGAAAAGTTTGTGGTGTGTGTAATGCGGTGCTAACACGGAGCGCAAATTGGTTGTTGTGGGGTTGACGTTCAACCAGTTAAGTCCCGTCATCGTCAGCTGATCCATTCAAACTGGTCCGGGAGGACGCAGCGAGCGTTTTTAAAAGTAAATCTGCCTCGTTCTGTTTCAAAATGAGGAAGTTTCCCAACGCATACCGTGAGTAAAAAGCTGCCGGCGTTTTTAACAAAATTACGTTGTTTTAATTGAACAATGGACTCCGAATTGTTGTCCTAAATCTGCCGTTTTTATGTTTCGTGTTGGACTGCGTTTGCTCAGCGACGTGTTGCATCGTGCGGTGTGAATAAATTTGGGCACGATTTCGTACCTGCATACAGATGCATGAACTGAGACCACTTTTTACGTAGTGAACATAGTGCTTTTTTTATTTTGTGTCTAGTCGCGGACGTTAGGTGCACACGGGGCAAATCTCGACGGCCTCTAGAGCAATATGACGAGAACGCAACTAGACACGTTTGTCGCTACGCAAACGCCCGATTGCCTCCAGCCAATAGCATTCCTTTCGGGGAAAAATGGCTGCTGGAAGGCTCGCTGTCGGGATCACTCATCTGACATCTCCGAAAAGTCGGTATTTACACGCGCAAGCAAACAAACAAAAAAGCACACTAAGCCAGCAAAGAGGAAAATGAAAGAACCGCGCTATGAAAGTCAAAACCCCGCGTCGCTTCCTATCACTAATACCTGCGACAGCTGCTAAACACACACTACTTCACTTCAAGAAGTCTCACTCAAGCACCTGAGTCAGCACGAAACACCTGTAATTTCGGCGAAACGATTAGTCGAGGTAGGTGAGACAGGCGGGAGCAGAGACTTCGGCGGCCATGAAAGAATGGCGAAGCTTTTGTTTGTTATGGTATGGATCCAAACGGAAGCGCCCGTCTTGTAAACATTTTGTAAAGATTAATAACTCTCATCACATGGGTTATTCTTTAAACGTAAAATTATGCCTTTCAAAAGAAAACTGCAACATATAACCAAGGTTTAACAACCAAGATCTAAGCTGTCAATCAAACTCTTAGCCAATGAGAAGTATAGCAGCCGATTGGCAATCAACGTCACGAAATACCAACTTCGTGGCACGCGATTCAAAACGGACGAAATAGCCGCAAACTAAAATCGGTCTCACGCAATAAATATTGCTGTAAAAATTTTTTTCTCTCGCGGAAAATTTTTTTTTGACATGCTTGACCCAATTAGGCTGTTTAAAAAAACTTTTTTTTCTTTGCAGTTAACCTTTAAAAAAAATGACCTACAATGTGCCTATTACTGATGTCTCATGCTTTTAAGGTTGCCTCACTTGCCTGGTGAATTCAAGGACATCTTCCAGGTAGTGCACTTCCACCGGATAAGCGATGCCCGGAATCTCCAGCATGGGGCAGTTACCTAAGGACGTGCACAAAAAAAACAACAACATATTAGTGTACTACAAAAAAAAAGGCAAATTACAGGACACACAGGCCTCGTGATAACCACTTTCATCTGTGGCAGAGTTGAATGGACAGAAAAAGACTGCGATTGCTGCAGATTGTTTTCTTGGGTCCTCTCGCAGCGACTACCTTTCGACTGCAGAATCAAACTAATAATTCCAGAAATTCATTTTTAATTTGATACGGTATGGGGTGACTAATTGGATTGCGCTGATGATTTCGGGGACCCTTTAAAGGAACACTGAACCTCCCAAAAATTTTTGTTAAGTGCATGGATATGACATATCTGTCATAAAAAACCACTTCTCATAAAAAAATATATATATATTTAGTCATAATGTAGAAAACCCGAGACTGTGGTAAAAGCAAGGAAACGGAGTCGAAGAAGAAAGACAGGGGAAAAGAACGTCTCAAACTCAGCTACTGTGTTTATTTCCTCAAAGTCTTATATACCCACAATCTAACCATCGACCACCGACGTCACAAGGTCATCCTTTGTTCTCTATACAATCCTACCCACACTGGTTTTCACCTCCACCGTACACGGTGACCTCAATCCCAACTGGAAGTTTAGGACCTTGAACAAAACAACTAAAACAAAACAAGCACACGGAACCACTGCCATTCCAACCGGAGTCTGGAAAGGCTGTGCAATATCTAACCGAGAACTGATAAGACTTCCGACTGAACCCCTGCCCCCAAAACGACTAATCCCACGTTCACTTACAACTATTACAAAAAAAAAAAAAAATCTTGTTAGATTTTAAGAAATTTCTTGGAACTACTTCCGAGTTGCATCGAAAGAGGGCTGATACAATTGCCGATGGATTTGATACAAACTGTCTCTCTTATGAGCCTCTTAGTGTTGTTGCGTTCTCTGTGCACAATGTCAGTTTGCGACCAATGTGCCGTACAATTGTTACACTCACTAATGTGTTTAGCAATCTCTGAATTGGATGCGTTTATTTTTACATTTCTTTTGTGCTCTACCAATCTATCATTTACACACCTTTGCCATCTGCCCCACATACTTGAAACCGCATTCCAGTGGTATTTCATAGACCACCCCTTCCTTGCAATCAACCGACTTCTCATGGTGCGCTTTCTGACACACTTTCTGACTCGTCTGAAACGGTGTCAAACGGTTCAGCTTAAAGTCGGACTTAAACGCTACATCTATAAAAAAATATTTTGCGCATGCTTTAAGGTTATGAGAAATTGCGTGAAAATACGGAATAACCGCATAATGCTTTTTCGCTTCCTTTTCTGGTCGTTGCTTAGCCTTTTGCTCTAGTTCCAATTGCCTTTTTATGAACACACTGTCATAGCCTGCATCCTCTAACCTTGACCACTGCCTTTCTACCGCACAACCCATAAAATGGGCACACGACTTATCCAGTGCGTTGCTGATTAGAGATTTGACTACACCTGCTTTTACTGATTTAGCATGGCAACTTTTCCTACTCAAAACGGGTTTTGCGGCCATTTTTCCGTACTCCCAACATAGACCCCCCTCCACGTGAATGTGTAAGTCCAGAAATTGTAAAAACCCCACACCTGCAGGCCTTGAACAGGCCCCTGCAGGTGTGGGGTACATACAAACAACAAAACTATACATATCAGAAACAAGAACCAGGACAATTCATGAGTGTGGGGGTGAGTAAGGGTGAGTGAGGGCTGTGAGGACCGTGAGTGTGTGATGGCCGTGAGGGCGGTGAGTGCGTGAGGGGTGTGAGGGCCATGAGTGCGTGAGGGGTGTAAGGGCGGTGGGTGGCGTGAGGGCCATGAGTGCATGAGGGGTATGAGGGCCGTGAGGGCGGTAAGGGGTGTGAGGGCCATGAGTGCGTAAGGGGTGTGAAGGCCACGAGTGCGTGAGGGGCGTGAGGGTGGTGAGTGTGAGTAGCATGAGTGCGTGAGGGGCATGAGGAGTGTGGGGGCCGTGAGGGCGGTGAGTGCGTGAGGGCCATGAGTTAGTGAGGGGCGTGAGGATGGTGAATGCGTGAGGACCCCTTCAGACGGAGCAACTTTCTCAGCAATTTTGGTGTTGCAGGCGGGTTGTTCCCTAGCTTTCCGTAGATCAACACGAATTTCTGAGATTGGGTCCGGCTCGAAACAAGCGAACAACTCAGAGCAATTCGAAGACATTTGAAGCGGCTGCATGCAATCAGGAACGCAATATTTTCATGTGATACCTCGTGCCGGTGGTGATGACAAAAGAAGACTTGGTTCTGGGTTTAAATTGATCGTTTTTAGAAATAAACTGTTTCAGAAAGATGCATTAGTATTCTAAAACAAGATTTAAATGCTTAAAACATGTTTATAGCGCGTGATTGGGAGTCTAAATAGTGCAAGAAAAATAAAATTTCGTGATGATGATGGCAAATTGCAGATATTAGTTGCTGTGTGTGAATGTGGGTGGCCCGTGTTGCTGGTGTTGTGATGTCAAGTTTCTGGGCGAAATTGCCCCATCTGAAGTGGGCCTGAGTGGCATGAGGGCCATGAGTGCATGAGAGGTGTGAGGGGTATGAGTGCGTGAGGGCCGTGAGGGCGGTGATTGCGTGAGAGGCGTGAGGGTTATGAGGGCGTGAGGGCCATGAGGGCGGTGAGTGCATGAGGGGCGTGAGGGCCATGAGTGAGTGAGGGGCGTGAGGGCGGTGAGTGCATGAGGGGCATGAGGGCCATGTGTGAGTGAGGGGCGTGAGGGCGGTGAGTGGCGTGAGGACCATGAGTGCATGAGGGGCGTGAGGGGCATGAGTGCGTGAGGGTCATGGTGCGGTGAGGGGTGTGAGGGCCTTGTGTGCGTGAGGGTCGTGAGTGCGTGAGGGGTGTGGGGTCCATGAGTGCATGAGGGCCGTGAGGTTCAGTGAGGGTGAGTGAAGGGCTGAAGGTGAGTGTAGCTGTGAGGGTGAGGGTGAGTGAGGGGCTTAGGTGAGTGTGGCTGTGAAGGTGAGGGTGGATGAGGGCGACCTAAAATGCCGACTTCTGCCGACAATATAGCTCTAAATTTTTTCTTTCATTATAAATTTGTTTTATAATATGCTTTCTTCTCTAGCCTGTTTAAAAAAAAAATGTTTTTTTCCTTTGTATGTGTCCTTTAATTAATCTGGTCCCTATGAATAGAGAATTGATAAATCCTAAGTAAAAAAAGGATGTTAAACTTTAAAGAAAAAAAAACAAACTTCCAAGTGTGTTTTTTTTTTCAGTTTCAGAGGTTTGAACAATGCTCGCTTAAAAAAACTTCAGTAAATTTGGTACTGTCGCTATCTGCAACACAGTAGATGAAAAAATAACAAAAAAGCTTAACCATGAGAAGAAAAAAAGTTATGCTATTCCTGTTGTTTTAAATTATTGGCCTATAGCAACACAACTTTACAAAGTTTCTACTAGCTCTAGGATATATGGCAGAACTGAAACAAAATTTCTTTTAATGAGAGATCATCCTAACATGGGACTCGTAAGAATTCACAAAATTGGGACATGATGTTTACAAAATCATTAATTGAAAACTTATATTCCCAGCAAATTGCAGATATGAAATTGCAACTGAGGAGAATTATCGCGCATGCCAAATTCTATGACCCCCATTGTAGGGCTTCCGCTGTCATTGGAGCACCATATGCAGTTCGCTATCACACCAGGAACCGCCAAACATCACAAAATCTAAAAAAGCATAAAAAGCTTCCGCAAAAGACCACTTTTCTAGGATAAATAAAAAAAACACATGATGCAGGCATTGTGCGAATTCATACCACTTTGCATCGAGACTCGACACCCTTTAAACCCCGTGGCCGCTAATTACGAGCGACGCTCGTAATTAGCGGCCGAGGGGTTTAAAGTTTGGTACCCGTTCTGGTTTCAGAGCTTGTTTCGTGCATTCTCCGACAATAGGCGGTGCTACTGCTACTGCTCCGACACCCCTAGGTTATATTGTTGTTTCGTTTAAATTTACACCAAAAAAGGCGCTATTGTCCAAGGAAAAAAAAATCCACTGCAAGCATTATTAACTTTCTCACAGAGAAGATGCTTTTTAAAGCCACAGTCACAATGCCCATACAAAAGACACGGTGTTCGCTCGAGACATGATGACAGAATTATGTGCAGACATGCCTCAAGCATATTCAAAGCATGATCGTACATATGTCTGTGCTTGGAACAAGTCTGCAGGCGGCTTTTGCATGAACAACGTGACCGTTGTACGAGCAAGACACGCGCCCCAGACAGTGCCAGCAGACTGTTTCTCGTACCAAGTACGAGAGCAGGGCACGTGCGACCGCGGCTTTAGGGAAGACTGTAACAATTCCCAATAGGTGGCGTGGCCCACTTCCTGGGAAGGGCAGCACGTACGAAACGGCAACACCCCTAGGTTTTTGCCATCGAGGAGCAGCAGACAGTTATCTGATCTTGGTGGTTGGAGGGCCCAAAGCCCATAAAATTCGCAGAAGAAGGCTTTTTTTTTTCCCTTCTACCTACTGTAAACAACATACTAGAATCACCGGACACTCAATCTCCGCCCAAATGTGGCAGTAGTGGTCGAGACCAAATGTCAAAACTTCACAACCTCCCGTTATTCGATACAAAAATTACAATCCATTCTGGGAGAAAAAAAAAATTACAGTCAACTAAGTTTATGAGTGCATGATGATGAATGATGCGAATTTGTGGAAAATTCCTTACAACTTTTAAATTGGATAACAGCAACTTCTGGAATGTTGGCATCCGGTATGAACCACCAGCACCACATTTGGGTGGAGACCGAGCATTCAGAGAGGCATGGTTTATCTTTTCAAGGAGGACACGAATCTTTTTTCTCCCGAACACCTGGTGCTTTTAAAGTGATCACTAGCATAGAAATAGGTTCTGATCCCGAAGACACACGGAACCACCTACAGGAGCTGTAGAAGCCTGAACTCTTTCAAGCTAACGCAAGTTTTTTGAGTATTCAAAGACTTTGCGACTTGTTCCTTTCTGTCGGTAGAGAATGCATGTGCAGCCATCTCACCGAAGTAGCGGGAGAAGAGGTCGGCGTTGATGGTGGCGCTCATGAGGACCACCCGGAGGTCAGGACGCACCGTGAGCAGGTCCTTTAAAACAATGGCCAGGAAGTCCGTCTGCAGGTCCCGCTCATGCACCTCGTCCAGGATCACATGCGATGCACTCGCAATGTAGCTGCGACGTTGTGAGACGGACGTGAATCGAGGGTTGAACAGCACAAAAAAGACCTAAATATACAAGAGGAATAAGATGAGAAATAAATGAAAGGAAAACAATATGCATATGTCATCTCGTTTGTCCTGTTTGTTTATTCTTTCATAACTTCAAAAAATATGAATAGTCATAGAACAACTCAGACTTGTTTTAAATAAGAATGAATGTAATTAGCGACCCATGTGGATAAAAATAAATATAGAGCAAATACAAAAAAGTGGTCAGTTTTTTTCCAGAAAGCATGCTTGTCATACTGAATCTGTAAAGCAATTCCTTTAAAGATTTTATGCAAGGTTTGAAAATGAAAAAATTGACCGCATCTTCACGTGGTGAATGATGTTCATTGGGGCGAAGCTCTGGTGGTGCTGATGATACTGACTTTGTTCATAGGTAGTACTGATGATGCTGATTTTTTTTTTTTGTCTATAAACGTTGAGCCATTGCATGCAAAGTTTAGCGCGATTATATACGCATTTGACCGCAGCGCCCTCTCCTCTATAGACATTGAGCGGCTCAATGCAACGTTTCATCCATGACATCCCCAGCTCTTGAGTTACTACAGTATAGACCACTTACAACGTAACCGCTTATAGTGCAGGACCGGGTATGACGCAGCTTTTTTAAACCACCGGTTAACCTGCCATAGAACTCCATGTAATTACATACCACTTAAAATGCAGGCGCGCGAAGGGAAATACCGGTTATAGTGCGGTTTTCGAAACAGCCCGGCGACCGCCCCGACTGACCGACGCAGAGAGCACGCTTCCCTGTGCGACACTAGATAACGGCGCGAGCTGCAACAACGCCACAAGTGGCACTCACGGGGCAAGGAGGTTGCTCGAAGAAGCGGGGAGAAGCGAAGAGAGAGGCTTCAGTTGCCATAGCGACGGAGGGACGCACGCACGTGTCGTTCACGTGCGTGCGTCCCTCCGCTCTGTGCGTTGGAAACAACCGCAACGACAGACCAATCGCAAATCGAGGAGAAGTGTTCGCGCGCGTTGCATGCCGGTTGCGGGCCGGCCGGCCGGCTGCTTTTATCCGCAAACATGGCGTCGGTTTTGATCGTCGACGTAGACGGTGTGGTAGAAGTTCATCGTTCCACGTAAAAGCGCTATCCTTGACTGTGAATTTTCGTTGTGTGTCTCTATGATAACCCAGCACGTACTAGGAGAGAAGATCCACCGACTCGTGCGGCGATGTTGTGGCGGCACTCTCAAGACGACAGAAATGCCCGTGTCGTCGTGCTTGTTTTTTTCGACTACAGTGGTGCTTTCTAAGCATTTGTGTTTTCGAACATCGCCCAAATTTCTTGTTTGGAGCATTTCATGCCTGTGCTCAAGTCGAAGGTATTACCGGCGCGTACCGTATAAAGGATACGAATTTTCACGCGTTTTCATTGCCGGAGAAAAGTGATTAGGGTTAGCAATCCAGAACGCTCGCAACATCCGTCTGCAACCCGCGACGCCGTTAAAAGGCTGCGCCAGGCAAAAGTCGCTCATTTCTTTCAAAATGTGTGACACACTTGAGAGAGAAGTGTACTAGTCTGGTGAAATAAAGACGTTCCTCAAAATAAGCTTTATTTTTCATCTAACATAAAATAAATTCTTTTACAAAGGTAAGTTGTCTGATGGCACGCATTTTGGCCTGAAAAATTGATGCTTTGGTTATAGCGCGGTACCGCTTATAGTGCAGATTTTCGCGACTCCCGCAACATACGTCATATGCGGTCTACACTGTACCACATCTCAGAGCCCCCTACTCGTCCCGCAGTCGTGGCCGAGTGGTTAAGGCGATGGACTAAAAATCCATTGGGGTCTCCTCGCACAGGCTCGAATCCTGTCGACTGCGCAAACATTTTTCCTTTTTTTAAGAAGAGAGATGGGATGGCAATCGATGTGAGCACGGACGCCAGACGGACAAGGCTAGACCCTAAGGAGCTTTGCCCCTAAAACAAATGAAGAAAAACTGACAGAGTACTGCCTTTTCCTCGAGCCAATCTAAATTAAAAAAAGAAAAGGGAACTCGCATAGCACGTTAATTCTATTGAAGAGACCATTAGATTTCATAGGACTTTATCACTCATGTGTCTATCAGGGGTGGAAGCGGGCTAGAGCCTTTTGTATCAGGGCTGGGAGCAGCAAAAGTCCCACTTTGGAGCAGTTTTGGAGCAGTAAAACGCTCGCTTTAGAGCAGCTCGGGAGCAGCAAAAATAAGCTTTGTAGCCGTCGAAGTAGGTTTTGCAGCAGGTCACGGAGGCCAAACAAATGTCTAAAAGTGATTTGTTTCTAAATGTGAAAATGTAGCAAAAATATATGCATGCACATCCCAGAATAATTTTCAAGCAACATACATACACACCTTTCTATTTCTATTGCATTGAAATATGGAATATTTGCCATTTATGCAAAGGAAAGGCTTTGAGAACCATTCCGGCAGCAGGCAGAGTCATGATAGACTTTATATGGGAGGCCCCGACAATAAAAGCCTAGCTTGAGCCACGCCAGTACAAAACCGTCTACTTAATAGACCAATTGTAAACATGTATCCAGAAAACTAAACCACTGCAAGGTGTCAGATAAACTACCTTCGCTGACTACAGTTTTTGTTTAATAAAGAATACACATGTTCAATCACTACTTAAAAAGCCCTATACAGTCGCTGACCTATTTTTCGCACTCTGAGGAGACTCCGAAATGGTCCGAATAATCAAACGGTCCGAAAAGTTGATCTCAGCCAAAATATTAACTTTCCGCGCATATTCCGCTGCGTATTGGACACTTTCCACTTGCTTGACGTCCATTTTAAGTTCTCGTGAAACTTCCACTTAATATTGTTCACTTTTCACTTTTTTGTTGATCTGTTTGATCATGGTGCTGCGCTTTGTCGGCGCCTTCGTTGGCACAAACAGGGAGCTTGAACTTGGCCCCATTTGGTACTACCGTATTTACTCGAGTAATAGCCGCACTGTTTATGAAGGAAACCTGAGCGTGCGCTTTTCCACGGAGCACGCGGATTGCCAATCACCGCGATCCACAGCATGGCTCCAGCTGTTTACAGGACAGAGATAGCGTCCTCGCACGAAGGTACCATCTGTGAAGATTGCATTTGTATGGAGACCTGTGTTCTTGATCTAGTTATTCGCTATGTTATTTATGTGCAACGCGATGATTGACTGTATATGTGCTTTACGGGAAAGCAGACACAAGGGCCTTGTTCATAAATAGTGCGGCTATTACTCGAGTAAATACGGTATTTGGAGACAATGTTTAGTCCGCCATTTTCGCTTCAATACTAAGCCTCTCAGCAAAAAAACCTTTGGCTCAAAGACCACAAGAACAGCAGACAGCCTCTCTTCTCGCGGTCGCACTCGAAAAACACGAACCATGAGAAGAACTGGAAGAACCATAACAATGGGCTATAGCGTAACCGGAAAACCCTACTATAGCATCAACCCAGCTTGTTTATTGTGTAGGACTTTGTATCGAGGCTACAGGGTAAAATCAAAACAACCAAAATAGCGGCAACTAAGCTCGCGGCGGTGTTTTGTGACTGTAAACTGAAGAAATCATGAAAATTATGTCCGAAATATTGAGCAATAAGCTTTATGGCGTTCGAAATTTCGGTCAATGTTATACATTAACTCTATGGGGTGAGTGACGGTTCGGCTAAAACGTCCGAATAATTATACGTGTCCGAAAAATCGGCGTCCGAAAAATTGATTGGCGACTGTATCAAGTTTAGTAACAAAATACAAGGCTACTGACATTTGACAAAAATTCAGATGCAAAATAAAATGTGTATTTTATATCTTTAGACTACCACAGTCGCTCGTACATATGCAGCTTTAAGCATCGACTAGAAGAGCAACGCAACCTTATGTACTCCATAAAATGCTGTGCATTGCGTGTCTCCATAAAAAAATTAACTTACCACAACATGTCTCAGAATAAAGCAGTCCTTGCTGACCTGTTTTCATTAAATACAAATGTTCTTAATCACTGTTCATAAAATACAGTAATCCCTACACCCAAGTTAACATACAAAGCTATATCTATATTACTTTGGATGGAAAAATATATTGTCTTAAAGATATCACAGCCACTAATACATATGCAGCATAAACACTGACTAGAAGAGCCCACAGGCTCCATGTAAAAAAAAGGGGTTGTGACTAAGCTGAATCTGTGTAATTTAGAAACAACTGAAGTTCACCTTTTTTTTCACAGTTTGAAGAGCAGAGTCAATTTCTTTTATGCGCTCGAGTACTTTGGGCAGTTTAGTTCACATCTCTTAGCAGGAGGTGTCCACTCCCCACCTTGTCCATGTCCTTAACTGCCTCACCCTTGCTTATGAGTTCTTGTGCACTCAGTAGAAGTGCTTTAAGAGAAGGCAGTTTGAACGAGACTGAAAATGAGATGTAGCTGATCAGGCGGTGATCCCTGCGGGGCAGGCTGCCTTCTTACGTGACAAAAAGCCCACCAACTTCTCTCTACCCTACCCAACCCCCCACCCCCCCCCCCCCCCCCCCCCCCCAACCAGATACACCTATACCCGAAACTTATACGAGTAGGGTGGCTATAGCAAGTTAAGGTACGTTCTTGACAGGAATCGGCAGCGCGGGAGTGTTGTACGGCATTTCTGATGTCACCCCCACTCCTCCACGCTAAAGGAAAGAAACAAAAAAGTGTAGCACTGCCAATTAACCAACTCGCTTACGATCGCGGGTATTGTTTTCGCTAGTGGTCTGACGGCGGGAGACAACACACGACAGCGTGCACATTCGCGCACACAATGATGGTTTTGGTTTTGTTTTGATAAGACAAATTGAGCTCGAGAACGGATGTGCCTGTGCTCGCGATTCTTCACGGCTAAGCGTCCAAATATGGTAGGCTACCAAATAACAGGTAAAGCTAGTAAAGACCACTTACTTCTGCTCATGTTAATGGCCAAGGTAGCCCACCGGTGCCGAGGCACCAACTCCCACGATCACGGCAAATCGGGACCACGGGCAACTGCATGCGCGCTCCAACCGCGCCAACCATATGCCCGAAACCAAACCGATGTGTTCGTATATCAAGCTCTTTGTAGTAAAAAACGACATCGCACTCTCGATGAACTAAAATCGGCGCTTCGCCCTGAGGTTAGACATGGTTCGGAGCCCCAGTCGAGTTGGTACGAGTCACCCGCAGTGACACCTAAGCAAAAGTACACACCACATGGTGGCCCGTGGCCAACCGTTTTCCGCTAAATTTAAAGAAAACACTAAAAAAAAAAAAAGTTGAAATTGGCGTTTTGGAGCAGGCTGGCGCAGGGAAGTGAATTGGCGCAGGGTGGCGCAATTGGCGCAGCGCTTCCACCCCTGGTCTATGGTTTTCAATTCTTTTAGCAGTTCTATTCATTGCACGATTCTTTAATATACGCTGTCGAGTGTCGGTGTTTTTCTGCAATGAGTCTCGCTTCTTCAGCATAATACATTGCTCACGTAGTACTTGCATTGATGGTTTAAAATTTTTGCAATGCGTTCATGTGCAATTTGTTTGTTTTATGCATTTAAAACCCGAGGATGCACTGCCCAGTCCCCACACCTAAACGGGGATGTGGCTTTATATTTGTGTTCTTTAGAAACAATTAAAAAGAATTAATGACGAAACTCACGGATCACTCTGCAACTGCTGCAGAAGGATTCCCGTCGTGCAGAAGAGGATGGAGCCTCGGTCTCGGGGCAATCTGCTAACGAAAGAAGAGAAAAAAAGCATATATATATCAGCGCCACGTCGCGGTGCAGTCCATTCACGGAGGCTACCGCAAACGTTATCGACCCGGTAGCATTTTCAGAAGTCCCGTTACCATTCCAGCCTGATCTGATATCCCGCAGACGCGTCGCCGCACCGCTCCCCTCTCTCGGCTGCCACTCTCTCTGCCACCTGAACACGGTGAAAGACAGGTGCAACGAATGACAACATTGGAGCGTCTCATGCATATGAAAAAACACTCCTAAATGACACCAAATGCGCACTGTGCAAGACGGTTAGCACAAACAAGCGATTGCCATTTTTTAATGTTTTTGTGTAAGAATTCAAAGGCTGCCATCAGGACTACTACTACTATCGTGGAAAGTGCTCATTTGGGACCATAGTACACGATAAAATTAGGAGCCCATCAATACCCTGTTTAAGTAAAAAGCGGTAACACGCAAAAGTCGTGCCTGGTGCTAACAATGTCGCACAGTGTACCTCCGGCAATACCCGCAAAATAAATGGCACCAAAGGACTGCTGCTGTTTACGTCGGATAACAAATAATGGGAATAATCTGTGCCTAATTCCTATTTTCATATAGCTCTCTATTGTCAACTTTCTGCATGTAAGTCTAGTTGGACACTGAGACAAGATCAAGATGTGCTTTTATATTATGCCAAAAAACGGCACCCAAAACATTGTTTCAAGTTTTTCTCTTGCACAGGCAGTTGCAAATGTTTGAAGTAATGGTTGGTATCAAAAGGGCATGTAGATCGCTTATAGAAAAGCCTGCCTTGTTCTTTCCCAAAGCTGTAAGCAACTTGCACATTTTGCTGAGTATTTTACGTGAAAAAAGATCAGTCGAAGAATGTCATCATTTATACCATATTTGCTACAGTATCAAAGTACAGCTTTTACTGCCAATTGTTCAAGTTTCGATCAATCTGAAGGTTCCCCACCTTAACCAATGAAAAAGTGAAAGGCGTTACCCAAAACTACTACTAGAAAGAAAAAAATTATTATTTTACAAAATGTCTATGTAAAAAGAATTTAGCTGAGCAATAGTCCATCTACCATAAAATATCCATTAAGAGCCTATGAAGACTTCTGAAAAAAACTATAAGAAAATTTAAGGGTGGGCAGTTGGTAGAGTAAAATTTGTTAATGATTTATATTCTTGAGTCTAACCAATTATGACATACTATACAGCAAACAAAGGTGAGCACTCTCACCAGCACGGGTACACAAGAAATGTTTTCTTGGTGGATTTGCTCTTCAAACGGAGGCAACCTCGTCAAATGTAAAAAACTGATTAGTTTACATGTTGTTTTTTTTCTCCAAATGGTGCAAACCCTATAGTAATTACCTCGTGGATTCTATTTGTGCATTATCATAAATGGTCAAGTAACTCACGTGCCGCAGAAGTGTGAGACGCATACATACTCACCGTTATGGCGCTGATTCGTCTGGGTTGGGTGCAGATGACACGACATGTGGACCCTCTCCCCTCGTTGATGTAGGTGTCCAGTATGAACTGTGGAATCTGGAATTCAGAGAGCCCCCTTTAGAAAGGGTCAACATTGGAGTTTTCAATTCTAGAACTTTGCAGGCCCCAGACAGCTCAGCAAGGGTGAACTGGAGGCCCTGCAAGCCCCTGAAAACGGGAGGAATGCCTCTACGGAAGGAACAAGCAGATCACCTGGGTCGTCTTCCCGGAGCCCGTCTCTCCGCTGATCACCACCACCTGGTTGCTTTCAATCAAGTCCACTATTTGCTTTGGAAAAGAAGAAAACAAAAAAGATAAAAGAGTGATCATAAGTTTTGGAAAGAACCTGTGCCCAGCACCAAAGGCTCCACGAAATAACTTCAAAATTTATTGCTTCCATAGTGCAGGCACAAAAAATATTAAATGTGCGATCCGGCTACAAGCCGGATTACACATTTTTATTCTTAGCAATGATGCAGGGCTGTATCACTACTCTAGCGCAAAGTTAGCATGCATCGACAGGGTCAACGCTGTTATTAATGCTGACTAATACCTCAGGGATAGTGTTGTAATGAATGTGTGAACAGGCCGTGATAGAAAAATTGTGATATCCCTGTGCAATTCAAATGCAGAAATATCGAGCAGAGACAGTTCGATAAATGTGACCAGTTTTCTTCTAAACACCAAAAAAGTTTACCCAAAGAACCTGTCAACCAAGAGACAAGAAGCAAAAAAAATGTGATCACAAACTACGAAGTGAGAACGCCCATCACATATTGGGGACGAGGACAGACCGTGACGCCCAAGCGGTTAACTTTAGAACTACACGGATGGGGATAACAAATTAAATGACTCAGTGCTCGGCTGACATAACCAATGGAGGGGCTCTTTTGTAACCACTCCGGCCTGCATAAACAATGCAGCATGCACGGTGCCCAGCTCAGCACAAAAGCCCAAGTGGGTCAAGCTCACATTCTCTGATGACTGCTTTTGGGATGGATCTGGCACTTAGCGTCACTTCGTCGATTGTTGGTATTTTCTACATTACACTGTGCCCCTCGCTCTCTTGTAGAAGATGACATGGACACGCCCATAAGGCCTGTGGACATGTGCACAGGCCTTGTGTTAAATAAACACCGAGGTGTGGAGAAACAAACGGGTCAGAGCGCCCCCTATAGTTCTATCTCCTGTCCAATAGTCGTAGCTTAAATGAATGAACATAAAATTATTAAAAGAAGCGTTCTGTACAAGTCGCTCTCTCGTTAACTCCCACTTGACTGGACGGAAGCGAGCGATCTGGGAGAATGCACCTGCTTCATCTTGTAGGCCGGCAGCAACTTCCGAAACTCCAGCATCTTCTTGAAGTCGGCCGACCCGGCTTTGACCTCCAGGTCCTTACGGAACCTCTCGTCCAGAGTCGGATTACGAGTCAGCCCCGCGCCGGTGACGTGCCCCGGACTGCCCCATGCCGAACTGCTGCCGGACCCGTGGCCTTCCAGATAGTCCAGTGCCACGCTGTTGATGGCGTCGATCCGCTCGTGGCCCTCGCCCTCCTCGCTGCGGATGCCCCGGATGATGTGCCTCAACTCCTGCTGGCTCTCGGGATCGATAGACAGGGCAACCCTCTGGATAGCAGAGGTCGGCACTTCAGGCTCAACTCTTTCAAACTCGCAACCGGCTCGAAACCGAAAATCATCATGTCTTCATCCACAAACAGTTAGAAAACCAACTCCAAACTCATGCACACTCACAAACTCGAGGACAAAAACTCACTAAAACTCAGAAATACCCAACTCACAAGCTCTGTCGAACTTATGCACACAGCCTCACTCAAACTCGGGAACTCTCAACTCACGAACTTGATCAAACTGATGAGCTAAAACTCGTAAACTCAAACTCACTTCTGACTTCACCAGCACAAACAGTCCAACCTTAGGTCAAGAGATTATGAAGACAAGAATCGTAAGACAAGACCTTTTTCGCACCCCTGGAACCTTCTCACTCCCACACTCAAACCTAAAGACAGTCTCCACAATAGTCGTAACGGTAGTATTGCTTAGTAGAATCTCAGCGTTTGAGAGAGGGTTGAGTGGCACATACTGAGAAGCTGATGATGCGACACCTGACGAAGGGTGAACAATAGGAAAGAGCAGACTGCTCACTTGGTTCTTCTGAGCCCACTTGTTCTGAGCACTGTTCTTTCGTGCAAAGAAGAGGCCGATCTCCTTTCCCCTGAGACCAGCGGGGTAGCTTCTACCAGGGCCGCGCGGAGGCCCCCGACCCTGGTCACTTTGCCCTGGGCGACGCAAAAGTGGAGGAAAATTTGTGCCAGATCGGCTACTCTCGGAAGCCAGGTTGGCAGCTTAATCAAAGAAGAAAGGTTCAAGCACAAAACTGTCAAATCTCTGCTGAGCTGCATCTTGAAATAACAGTGCTCACCAAACTTATGCATCCGTAAAAAAAAAAAAAAAAGAAAACAAACAAACACAGTAATATTTTATTTAAATGTATGACGCATGGCCTATTTTTCCCTATAAACTAAACTGCCTTGGCATATTTCATGAGAGAAAAAAAAAGGCAAACATTGAGTCTTTAACGTTTTGGTATTTTGCTCATTAAATACTATGCCTGTAGGCCTATGCATGTGCTATGGACTGGTATCACTTTAGTTTAATTTAATCTTACAAAACAATTTATAGAAATGTTTAAATTTCGTCAAAAAATAAATTTAGCCTAATTTAAACACTTTATTAAAAAAAGCCATTTTTACTTCTTTTTTTTTTTTTTTTTTCCAATAATGTTAACTTCCTGTGGGCACAATCAAAGTTCCTTCTTTCTTTGTTGTATTGTCTGTAGAAGTGCTCAAACAAAGATATGTGCACTTAAATTGGGCAAAAGTGTAGTTTCAAAAGTTGGCTTTACTGCAAGATTTTTAGCTTTGAAATGCAAAGGGTAGGCGGGTTGTAAGTGTTTGGGAGGTGATGGGGCAACGGAAAGTGGCGGTGGCGAAAGGAGAGGGGAGGGAGTTGTGGGGACGTGGCACCATTAGGAAACAATGTCTGCCCCTACGCATGTTCCTTTCTTTTTTTCCTTTTCGTTTTCTTCTTTTTTTTTGGGGGGGGGGGGGGGGGGGGGAGGGAAGATTTTATATTTTAATTATGACACTTGGGTCAGGCTGCATATTTTTGTTTATCTCAGTTAGCACATATGGTGTTTGCTCATCTCTCATCTCATCTCTATTTCTTTGTTGTTAAAAACCATGAGACGAGATCTGCAGCCGGAAGTCTTCCTGTTGCAACTATAATTCCAGTCACCTGCTCAAACTTTTTTACATTAGAAGTTGCTTCTGTTCAGTTAGGTGATTGACATTACAAAAAGATACATACTATTGTTTTCACTTCCATGCCTTTTTTGTTTAATTAACAAAAAGAATGGTTCAGTACCCTCCCCTTCAGTGTTCTTTTTATTGTGATATATTTGCTATATCTCTATATAACAAACGTGGTCAGCCACCGATACACTTGGTATAATCCAGTTAAAAATCTGTGCATTTTCGACGGGACTACGTACAAGTTCGTCTGCTTGGGCACCGCCGCCGTCATCTGACCGGCGCACAGGTCTATCACGTCTCTTTACACTTTTTCAGGAGCTTCTTTCGGGCTCTAAAAGTTACTTATTAGTCTTAGCTTTTTGTTATACTTCAGACAAAGATGAATAAGTTACTTTTAGAGGCCATAGGAAGCTTCCGAAAGAGCGCAAGCACCACGTGATAAATAAGGGCCCCTTTTCCGCGGCGCCCACGGGCGCCAACTACAAATTCGTATAGCACCGCAAATATAGCTCTAAAAATTTTTTTTCTTCATTGTAAAATCGTTTTATGACATCCTTTTTCCGTCTAAGCTGCTTAAAAAAATGCATTTTTCCTTTGCATGTGTCCTTTTTAACAGCTCCGCTGTAAAAATAGCCCAAGCATAACATATTCAGAAGAAAACTTATTGTGAGTGTTTTCGTTTTTACCCAATTATAACAACCGACACAAGTGGGTACAAACATCAAGCAGTCTAAATGTAGCATTTCATCTTGCTCCACTTCAAAAGTTTTGTAGCAAAAAATAATTTTTCTAAAAAATTTCAAAAAGTGGCTTTGTTTTTTGCGAAAATGCGGCTATGTTATATAATTTTTTAGGCAAATCAAAATGCCCACGCTGGAATGAGTGTTCGATTTCAAGTGACACCACCCACTCAAGAGCTCCGAAAGCGGGGGAGGGGGAAAGAAGGGGGGGGCGTGGTAGGCTTGAGTTTTCTCTGTCAGCAGAAACAAGAGGCGCAGTCCCCTGTAAAACAGTCAAGCAAGTTGTTTCTTTTTTTTTCTTGCGATATGTTAGTAACAATGTCGTGCTATCGCTCAAAGGAAAAAAAAAAAAAAAAAAAAGCCCATTTAGGTGGCAAGGTTAGAAATTCAGAACCAGAAAAATGAAGGCCCGAAAGTGTGCAAGTCCACCCAGCGTCTGCACCCCCTTTCCCAACAAAGAAACACAAAAAACAAAACTGTGTGTACGTGCGTGTGCATTAGGATATGGCACCAAACGTTATCCTGAAACCAAGTGAAACGCGTGGCTTAGCAGGTATCTCGATCCCCTTCTCACACAAAAGACTTCCTAAGCCTCTGCACCTACTTATAACCTGCAAAGGCTTCACGTCTGGCAGTATGTTAAGTAAATAAACAAAGAGTATATACAGGACAGGCGAGCTGAGTTTCCGCATGGCAGCACTATCCCAGGGGAAGCTAAACAACCGATCCCTGACGTAGCACTTTGGAGCGGTTTGCCGAGTGCTACGTCGCAAAACCGTTGCCTGGCTGTCGCCAGGACAGCGCTACAATGAAAAAAAAAAGAACACAATTTGTCTGTTCAACATAAGTTTGGTGAGCACTGCAAGCTTTTTGCAGTGCTCTATGCTCAAAATAAACAACACTTGGAAAACCCTGAAAAGATTGCGAGGCGCGCACGCTTCAGTCACTGAAACGCAGGGCGTGGGTTATTAGGTTCACACTTTTTGCTTTGCAGTTTGTTCTTGGGAGTTCTTCTCATCACAACATGAACCTTAATTGTGCAAAAAGGAAAGGTCCAAAATTTGTTTCTGTTTTTCAGTCAACAACTAGAGTGGCCAGACAGACACAGACAAAAGGCCCTTGTAGGACAAAATACTTGTTTTGTCGGCCTGCTGTCTCCCACGTCTCCTTTCAGGGGGGCGCACAACCCCAACCCTAGAAACCCCAGAAAGAAACGAAGAGGAGGGATTGGAAAGCTCACCTGCCCCCCTCCATCCCGAACCCCGGCCTCTGCCCCTGCCCCTGCCTCCTCTCCCTCTTCCCCGGTGCCTCTCCTGCTGGTACATGACGCCCCTGGAAATGGAAAGACGTTATTGCACGGGCATCAGGCACTCTCCACCGGTGCCCCAAGCAATTTGTGTACTGCTGGGCAATGATACGAGTGGCACTACAAACGTCCCTCTGAATAACCCATTCGGGTTAAAAAGGGTCACTAGACGACCACTTCCCGAAAATCTCTGCCTGCAACACTATGCACATTAACGCTCTTAGATCTCTTAGTAGACAAGCTCCCTGGAAGAGTGGAAAACGCTTCTCCTCTGCAACAGCTGCACGCGAGCGGGTACGGGTGGATAGCATTCCTAGCGCCACAAGCGGCAACGCCTCCACAGGCAACGAAGAAGGATAGTTTGTGAACGACATACTTTTTGCACAAGCTTTATGTTTACCATAAAAACCACAATAAAATCACTTTCCGCCAACTCGAGTGCTTCAGTCAATAAGGCGAGCTAATAGCGTAGCGAGTCCCACCAAGCGGACACGCCACGCTAGGGCGCCAGGCATTCTAAGTAGCTTGTCAACTGACTTTGATCTAATGTTGGCCCCAGTACAGCTGGCCCCAGTACAGAGTGACACTGTTTCAACCTAGACTTATATGTTAATGATAACAATTTTGTGAGACTGTACCTAAAGTGTGGGCTGTGTATGTAGAATTTCACTGCCTTCCTTGCATGGGCACCTCGTAGACGTCCCAGCGCATAAATTTTTGGCCCGAGAACTGAATTGAACAGCCCATCGAATCTGGAGCTCAGTAGCCGACTGGTACTCAGAATGCACTGCGAGCAGGCTTGCCGCCAGGGGCACGTCGATTTTGGAAAAGGTCTATTCCTTGGACATTCAGTGTCTTCTTCGAAATATTGATTGAAAACAAAATTAATTAAGTCATTTGAAAGTCATAAAATGCTAGAACATTTCGAGACTTTTTTCTTTTCTTTTCTCTGGCACGGCAATAAGTATTTAACTTCCTGCTCAGGTAATGATTGCCGTATGTCGATTAAAACAGAACAAAAGATCTTAGTGGTTGAAAAAAGAAAAGAAAAGGGGGGTTGCAAGAGAGTGGCGTTCGACGAGAAGCCGAAAATTACAGTTCGTGATTCGTCGGAGTGACAGAAAGCTGATTAATTTTCGCCAAGAATAATTTGATGTGGCTAGGTGAGTTTGGTAAGTAACATTCAACAGATAATGGGCCTTTTTCAGAGTTTGGCCACGATTGTGGTGTACCCTCGCACGAATCGCTCGAAACACTTCAGGGTTTCGAGCTTATTCTGTTCCGTCACTTTGCCGTCCTGTGTAGCGCGCGATCGTATGGTGCATCGCCGTACCCGGGGCAATGTAAACAAGCTCGGACGGGGTGAAATGATGGGCGATCTTGATATCGCAAAGGATCGCCTGCACCGTCAAAAACTAAACAATGGTATGTCAGAAACAATTGCTCTTTGAATTCAGCACGTTCACGAACCTCCGACTAAGTGGGCCCTACAAACAGGGGAGTTCACGGTTCGTTGCCAAGACGTTCCGTCAGGGTTCTGTAGCCGTAAGCCATGAATCAATTTCCCGCGCTTTAAGGGTTTTGCAAGTGACTGTTATTTTTTTCACTTATTAAAGTGGCAAGACGTGAATGTGTATAGCGCCCGCCTGAAAAACGAAAAGCTTTACCCATTTATTTTTTTACTTGAGTACCGGGTGCGGCGTGATTACGTTACATAACCTCACATGCACACTTTGTCTTTCAGTCGAAAGCAGAATGTCTCGCCATCACGTTGAGGACCCAGCCACCTGACATGGGGATTTGCGTCATAAACTTCTGAAACGTGGGTTTTTAAAAGCAGGGCAAAAAGGGAGGTGTTTGACATTGGGTGCTTTCGTGCATCACCCATGAAAGGCTGCTGAAACTCTATAAAACCTCGCATTTCACCCATTTTTGCTGCTACCCAAGCAACTCATGAACTCACCAAACTCGTGAACTCAACACACTCATGAACTCAACGTACTCATGAACTCAACATACTCATGAACTCACGAACTCAAGCAGCCCTCACTCAAACTCACTCATGATGTTTCGAGGCTTGTGAACTCACTCAACCTCACCTCATGCCTCAATAGGCAAGTGTGAGTGAGGTGAGTGAGTGCACTCATGAGTGAGTTTTGCCAAGGTCTGTCTGAAAAAAGTAATGGATGGATGGATGGCCGCTACTGGCTATACCCTTTGTAACGCGCGGTAGCTTGCGCCACCTAGCCTAAGTCTAAAAAGACAAACATATGATTCCTCCCGCCCTTCTAAGCCAATTTTCTCCTGCTAACTATCACCAGGCAGTGCGGGATATCACCAGGATGACCTTCGGGGGATCAGAGGAAAGAACTAAAAAACATCACCCCCCGCCTTTTCTCCCCGGCGAGGGAGTCGCCGATTTTCCTCTGTTCAAACCTAGTTGCATTACCCTAGCACCGGACCCACCGGTGGACAGGGTCGAGACTTTGGGCCAGAGCCACGCGGAAGGGAGTTCCAATTTTCCTCTGTCCCGCTTGTCCCCACCTGTGCTAGTTAGTTGTGCATCATTCAATTTTCCCTAGATAATTTCCACTGATCTTCTAATTGCTTTTTTGTTACTGTAATCCTCTTCTTTTCCATCCTTTCAACGTCACTAGCGAAACCCAGGGCCCTGGCAAAATCTGTTACCCCTTCAGGGAGGGCAGGGCGAAGCCCTTTGTACTTCAAAACCAAGTGCTTTAATATCTTGCCCTCCAATACCACTTCAAAGACAAGGCCTGCGCATGACGTTTGGTTAGTAGATCCCCGACCCGCCCCAAGACGCAAACAGGCCAAAGCTTGACGAGAGTTTGAGCCACGTCACAATTGCGTCGAAATCACTGGCCAGCACAGCTGTGTGCGCGACTGCTGAGCATGAGCTGATAGCAAGCTTCCACAGTTCACTAGCACTTGCATGCAACAACATTTACATTGTCCGTCTTAGCAGCCTAGTAATGTGAGCTCATGCGAAACCATCAAGATTGCCAATCTTAGCAGCCTATTAATGTGAGCTCATTTTGAGCATAACCACTGAAGCAGGCAATAGAGCCGACAATGGCGGAATCGGTGGCAAAGAGGGCTAGCACACACCAGCGCGGAGCACGTGGAGCAAAAGCTCGCGCTGCAGAACCCAGAATCCTGGGTTCAACCCCCACCCCTGCCCATATCAATTTGGATGAGCATCATACCGGCGTGTGGTTGTGTATCACCACTGCGTGATGCACATTAAAGACCCCAGGCTAACGGTTGTACTGCACTGGCGAAATTTATCATCCACAGATGGGAGACTCATCGCTCATTGAGGCAGATCAAGTTCTAGGCTGCATAAACATACACACACCCCAATTTTTTTTAGCCGACGATGTAGCAGATTATGGCGTTAATCTGTGCTACCTAGGCAGTGCTGAGGGGACCTACTAGTGATTACAGGCCTTGTCCTTCTAAGTGGTACTAGGGCCCGCTTCAGACGGGGCAATTTCTCCCAGCAACTTGACGTCGCAACACCAGCAACAAGGGCCGCCCGCGTTCACACGCAGCAATCGATTGCTGCAATTTGCTATCATCATCATTAAATTTTATTTCTATTGCACTCTTTAGACGCACAGTTACGTGCTATAAACATGTTTTTAAACATTTAAATGGTGTTGAGAATACTAACTCGTCTTTTTGAAATGGTCTATTTTTAAAAAACAATCGATTTCAAACCAGAACCAAGCCTTTAGTTGCATCATCACTGGCACGGGTTATCACGCAAAAATATTGTATCCCTGATTGGCCTGCCGCCGCTTCAAACATCGTCGAATTGCTCCGAATCGCTCGCTTGTTTCGAGCCGAATTCGGGGGGCTAAGCTCGACTTCGATGAGAATCTCTCCGATCTGACATAACGGGGAAGGGGAGGAGCTTCTTATGAGTCCGCTTTGGCTAGTTTCCCCCTCCCCCTGCAGCGGCGAGTTCCCCAGCATAGCTCCAGTTTGCCCCTATGCTCCACAGTGAAGGGTTTAATTTGATTTAAATTGTAAATGACAAATAAAAATCAGTAACAGCATGGATGCTAATCATAAAAATAAAGCTTGGATATGGGCTAGTTGGTTAGATATTGTGATGGTTTGCAGCGCTGCATAAATGCAGGAAAAATGCACTTGATAAAATTTAAACTATTACAGAGTATGAGGAAAAACAACGTACATGAATGATGCAGACTAATAACTGTGTAATTTCTTTCTCAACTTCCCCCCCCCCCCCCCCACAAAGCCACAATAATTTTTCAAAATACGATGGGGGAGGGGGGGGGGGAAATAAGAAAGAATTTACACAGTCGTTGGTCTGCACCCTTCATGTATGTTCGTTTTTCTTTTATCCTCCAGGGGGATCGGGGGCCCAGTCACGTGGTGCGAAAGCTCGCGCTGCAGAACCCAGGGCTCCTGGGCCCTGCCCGTTTTGATCTGGATGAGCATCATACCTGCGTGCGGTCGTGTATCACTACTGCATGGTGCACGTTAAAGGCCCCAGGCTAACGGTTGTACCACACTAACTTCCGGCTATATAAACATACACACAACAATTTGCTTTTTTTATCCTCTGTTTTAGTTTAAATTCTATTGAGTCTGTTTTTCTTGCATCTATACAGTGCAGCAAATGATCACAATAATTATCAAAGCCTGTAGGAAATGATAAATTGTGTTCCTGCTGCAGATTGCCGTAAAAACACATTTGCTTGTAGGATTCCCAACGGGAACAATGGTTCTTGCACGGCTCCATCGTCTCAAGCCCGGATTGCCATGCAGTTCAACACACAGCCACCTTACCACCTTTTTCAAGAGGCGATAGTGTTGTTGAAAATCAACACCGTCCATGTCACACGCGCTGGTATGTACGCCGACGGCAAAACACAAACAAAAACGCTGCCATTTTGAATGCTTCTCCCTTATCCCGTGCAAAAAGCTTGCTGGCTCCAAGGTTGGAGCCGGCAAGCTTTTCCCATCCTAGGCGGCTTCTGTCACCCCACAATGGCGTCACAGAATTTCGCCGCAAGTTTAAGAAAAGGCGCTCTTTGACCACCTCAGACTCTCCGTTGTGACATCACGACCTAGAGAGCGACGGCGCACATCGTCATGCACAGCGCCGATCAATCTTGGCGGGCGGCGAGTTCAGCGGAGAATTCGCACTGATCTCTCCATGTTGAGCTTAGCCCCCCCCGATCTCAGCAATTCGTGTCGATCTAGAGAAAGCTAGAGAACAACCCAACAACCCCTATTGCTGAGAAAGTTGCCCTGTCTGAAGCGGGCCTTATGGCAGGCAGCACATAATGTGTCTGTCTCCTGAAATCTAGCCCTATTGGCGACGAGATATTTAAGTGGCGCCACATCGCAGGCGCCCTCTCGTGACGGAGCTGGTAGGATGCAGGCAGACGACGCTCTATGTCAAAGCACAGAGTGGCTATGTTAGTTCACATCCATGTCGATTAAAAACGGCTAATTTAATAAAGAAACATGTATGACTGTTTTGTGAGTGATCTTTCTAATGAATAACAGTGCCCCGAAGTTGCTTTCTTGTATTAAAAAAACTTTGAAATGTTGAAAAACAAGCCTAGAGTTTCATATTACAGCCTGCGCGGTGTGCTTCAAGGCTATTCACAGGCACAGCCTTTGCGATTCTTGTTTTTCGTATCTGTGGTGGCTGCTCTAGAAAAGGGTTTTGCAATCACCATAGTAAATTACGTGCTGTTTTCTCAGCTGTGCATGCGTGCACTAATGTCTTGCAAAGCGCCGCACACATGCTTTAGCTACATTGAGCTTGCCGATACCGATGCTTCTCTCCAAGTGTGACTCGACAGTTGCTGGCCAGCAAGGCTAGTCAGCAACTGACACTTAGCTCCTCGCACATCGAATACGTGGCAAATAAGTTTGTCACGTCGCGACTTCTGCTCAAAAGGAAAGCAGGAATTTTCATAAATTTTTAAATTATCGGACATGGCCCGGCAAATTCAGGTGATTTATTTATTTATTTTACCCTCAGGGCGTGAGCATTAGAGGGGGAAGTGGTTGCATGAGATATTGAGAAAACACACACAGATACACAGGAAATACAATCAGTGTAGATTAGAAAAAATTATGTTCCAAGGCTTTTTTAAAAAGGTTGTGATCTATGATCGAGACTACGGGAGCAGCCAGGTGGTTCCAGTCAAAGGATGTAGACGGTATGAAGGAATGGTGAAAGACGTTGGTGTGAGCATATGGGATGCCAACTTCGCGTTGATGATCAAGTCTAGGTGAAACGTAAAGAGGAGGTATAATTAGCTTATTATGCAGCGTCTCATTAGTGAAATAAATTCTATGAAACAAACTTAGATGGGCTACTTTTGTACGAGTTGATAATTCAGGGCGAGAAAGATTAGACTTCATAATTAGTGCTAACGCTGGCTGTCCAATGGTAATTCGAAAATATAAATCTAAGAGAATGATTTTGGACGGCTTCAATCAAATCAATTAGTAGACTGATCTGTTCTATCCAGTTTTTACTTGGAATTGTTGACAAATTTAAAATCACTCGCTGAGAAGCGCATCACGCATATGCGCATTTGGATCCGCAAAATTAAATATACGAACAGTAGTAATTCATTGCAGGTGTATACCTCATTTTTTGGGACGCTGGTGTTACCGACTTACTAAAGACTTCGATCGCGATGTGATCTTACACGTTTCGTGTCGATCGGGTGAATAAGTAGGGGTTTACTTTAAACGACTCCGGAAGCCAGCCGCCACTTCTTCCTGCCAGTTATTTTGAGAAAATGTTTGTTTACTGGCTTACAAAATTCGAAATGGAATCAACTTGGAACTTGTAAGAGCTACCAGCACTTACAGAACACCCTGGAACCAACAAGATACCCAGAGTTGGTTTCACTGAATTGTTTACTACACACACAAGAGGTTCTAGACTTTCGCTTTCCTATTTTCAATTTGATGAGACATTCCTTTTTCAGTTTTATTTTGTCCGAATTGTTTGACGAAATATATTTTTGAAACCCGGCGTGAACAGTAGCCCTATCTTTGAGGGCCCGGTGAAAGTCACAAAATTGCAGCACCGGAGAAAAGCAGCACAGCATGCATCGACAGTCGCATCGAAAGCAGACTCCGTACCGGCGTCTGCTTTCGATGGGAGCTGCACTGCTTTCTCCCGGTGCTGCACTTTTGTAGAAATTTCGCCGGGTCCTCAAAGATGAGGCTACCATTCATGCCGGGTTTCAACAATGTTTCGTCGAACAACCTCAATCAAGCACGAAATATCACCCACGGTAGTGTATTAGATCTACGGCTACTGCACCCTGCCGCCATTGCGGTGTTCACCATATCACTATGATGGCTAGAGATAATATAACTCCACCAAAAAGATGGCCGACCGTGGCCGCATTCCCGTCCATAGGCGGAGCTGGTCAAACGCGATCCAGCAAATAGACATAGAGATCATTGGTCCTACCCGCGACGTAACAGACGATGACGATAATAGCTAGAGAAGCGCCCCCTGTAGTTCGCGCAAGCCCCCCCGTTCTCAAAACTCCCGTTCTCACCCCAAACAGTACAAAACAACTAAAGAAAGTGCAAAAATTAGATGAAGGGCAAGACAGAAGAATGTACACGACAGTGCTTGTCGTGTACATTCCTCTTACTCGTGTTTCGCCTAATTTTTTCAGTTTTCTTTTTTGTTGTAATGCATCATTAACTTGCTCAAGTTACCATTCTTATACACAGTAAAGAACTTCCCCGTGAATTTTCAAACAGATTTTCCTTTCTTATGTCTTGTTTTTGTGTCCTGTACATTGTTAGAGCAGATTATTCCTGCATTCTAACCTCTCAAATTTTTCTTTCTGCCTTTTTAACTCCCTTTTCCACTGAAGTAGTCTGCTCACTCTTCAGTGGTATTTAAATGTAAGCTTTCGGGTTCGGTTTGTCCATTTTGTGTTTGAAATTTTCATGAATAAATACTTGAATACCTACCGTGCCAACCGCGTATCATCCATTTCGGTCAACCTTTGTTAAAATTTCAACTTTTTCAACTTACTAACTGCCTCTATAACTAGTTCATGTCCCTCTGTACTCCCTCACTTGGCGTCTTTCCGTATGCTCCCAGTGCCAATCTGCCTACGCTTCTGCTCCCTGTATAAATGTGCCTACGCGAAAAAACCAAACAACCATTTTTCGCGTAAATTGCACGGAAAATCGTTGTTTTGTTCACCATGTTTCGTTTGTATTGCACTTTCTAGACTGCTCCAACAAAATCCTAAGAAGCGAGCGCGTGGTCTAGCATCTCGTTCGTACGAGAGCATGTGTAAATAAAACAATAACACTGAAGTGCTCTAAGGTGTTCGCTATCTATGAAACGGAGTATAAAATCAGCTAATCAGCATTATAACGGTTTACTACGGGCTGCAAATTAGCAACCGTGCCAGTGTTCCGCGACGTTTTATCGCAAAGGACGTTCCGATTTGGCTGCTAACGTCGTAACTCCTTCTTACTGCTCTAGTTAACACGTTCAAGATTACAGAGAGAGCTAGTTACCTCGCTGACAAGACGGTAGCACGCCGCCGAAGTATGAAGGAACCGAGGCAACCAAAGGAACTGACAGAAACGAGAACGAAGTGAAGCATGTGCTTGGATTGTCTTGGATACTAAATCACTAAATTACACAAGCTCCCTTCTCGTTTCACAAGGAGCTTGCGTTTCACTCACGATCAGGTTTATGTTGTTTCATGTTTGTGTCAGTGACATGGCACCAATGGCACATACAAATATAACCTAATTGAAACTAAGTTGAAACTTTCAAATATATTATACGTGATTTATTTAAAGTTAGCTTAATCAAGCAAGAAGTAAAGCTAGTCAGAAACAGAGAGAAAACGTGTGAATCACTGTTTGCAAGCAACTTGGCGCAGATGCAGATGGCGACGCTCATCGATTATCAACAAATCAAGCGCTGTCGCAAGAAATTGCGGCAGATTGATCACTTGGAGTCACTCAAACGTCCACTGACAGCGAATGAGCGTGCGAAGGTATGTCCCAAAGTTCTGTCTCTTGATCTCACTCAAACGTAAACACTATGCTGGCAGTAGCAGACGGTTGTTGGTAGTAGCAGACGATCAGAAAGAAAAAGGAACGCAACAGAGCTCCGTAAACAAAGCATGCGTGGGGGTTCTGTCTTTGTGTTTATGTCAACCTCTCCCTTAACTCTGGTAAATTTCAACCGCAGACGTGTGTGATCTGATGGTTGCCCATTTCAGCTTGAGAAGAAGGAGACACTACAACTAGGACTACGCCAGGCTTTGTCCGGAGACGAACGTTCTTTCGAGGAACAGTCTTCGGATTCGAACGAATCGAGCTGTGGAGAAACGGAGGTCGCTGACGGCCTCTCGGTTAGGGCAATGAAAAGACCGGCCGAGGCAGGGTATGACAATTTCGTCTTAAGCATGACACATAGTAGGTAGACCTTAATTTTTCCGGTGTCTTTCGGTGGTTATTTCTTTTAATCGGTGTATATCAGCGGTTCGTTTTGTACGGACGCTAAAAACGGTGATTATCGGTGAAAAATAAGAACTAATGAAAAACGAAGAGTTTAAATGTAAGTCAGAATTTGTATGCACACTTATAACACTTCACGCTTAAAATGCGACAGTACTTGTCTAAACAATGCGTCTAAACACGGGCCAGAGTTTGAGCCAAGGAGGTTAGAAGTACTAGGAGAGGGCACGGTGCAATATTGGTGAAGCCTAGTCATAAAAAGTTTAAACGATGTTGTGGCCAACGTGATTGTAGATCTCTCTGGCTATAGGTGCGCGTGACATGTCATGTGTGAGATGGACGGTTGATTGTAGAAGGACTCCTTGCAGGCTTGCGCGCGCTCCGTTCGGTAGGTTTTATCAGATTGAAGGCTAGTCTGTGGTGTATTCTAGTACCCCATAGCTAGACGAAGGCTAGCTACGGTCACGTGATGTGGTCACGTTGGCGTGGTAAGTAAGGAGAGTAAGGAGGAAAATGAGAAAGAGGTGAGGCGTCGAGGGAGCATGGCTTGTGGAAGCTACACGGCTGTCGTCATGCCCTCTCCTACGCTTCTATCCTCCTTGGTTTGAGCACTCTTTAACGTCATCATCCGGAGCATTTGGTTTTCTTCGTATCCTGCTACCCTTCTGATGATTAAAATTTAATTGTTCTGGAACAAAATGCTTCCACAACGAGGGAGGCAAGCTAGTCTCGCTATTCTTTTACGACATTTAACCGATACGAACCACAAGTGTAGTTTTGAACACTCGCCCAGCTCTGAAAGGACAACTCTGCTCAATTATGAAAATTTCGGGATAATGAGTGATTTCACATTAAAAAGCACTAATAAAAGGCACTACGTAACTTGCTTAGCAAAAAATAGGATATATATTGTTAAATCTTGCATTAAACATGAGCAGAAATTGAAAACAAAACTTCAGTTCTGCCTGGCAGCATTGGCCTCAGGCCGCCAAAAACATGGCTATCAGTGGTACAAGATGTCACATGAACCTCTATACAACGGCCGGCGGGCCACCTTTGGGGCGGATGTGGCCAGGCGCAAGTGTGATCTGCATTGCACTCTTCACCATATTTGGGTGTCTACGAATTTTGACGACGTCTGTACAACTGTGGCATCAGTCTGTGCATATAGTGTGAGCGAAACTCCGAGAGACAGTGATCACAAATAATGAGAACGACGGCAATTGTGACGCGGGAGACGATGGTAACTGCAGGACGGCTGGACGGTTCCCAAGAAGTGCGCTGTGCAGGCACGTTACGCCAATCACATAGACACCGCTGAGCCCTAAAAGGAAACATTGCTGACGTCACCCATTACGCTTGTCCGGAGAATTAAAAGCAAACAAAAAGGGGCAATGGTGATGACAATTAGCTCAATGTAGGCTCCGCCATCGCCATAGCCTTGACTGCACTGTGTGTTGCACCTCGATTCGCCTGCTAGAGTCAGTCGATCTCGGCAAGTTGGTGCTTTGCAAAGTTTGCCAAAAACATTTAAACAGAACTATAGATTGTAATATTTGACGTGTGGTCTTGGTAATACTGAAGAGGACTGCATTGTTCTTTCAAACAAAAATTAAGTGGAGTTGCCCTTGAAACAGATACTGTGACTAACTTACTTAGCTCTCATGCCGTTGTCCTTCAGGTTGGTTTGTCCTAAGTAAAGTTATGCACGCGACGAATGTCTAAGAAGGAAGGGTTTCAACAAGAACAATCCTCGCTTAGAGAAAACATTTCCAGAAATCAGTGTTCTTTGGTTTCAAAGACTGACATACACTTCACACGTAACACTTTTGCCTGCCTCTTTCTTTCCTATATCCCCTCTATAATTTTACTTTGTCCCTACACGGTTTAAAAGAGGAGCGCGCTAAGAGATTAATCTTCCCTGCAGAAAACCGACGTTGTTAAATTGACCTTTAGACGATTTTGCATTTGTGACACAGAGAAGTGTCTACTGGGATTTTCTGGCTGAAACCAGAAAGTCTACAGTCTACACATAGGCTACTTGGCAATCATTTTGTTTCTTAACGCGTGGTTGCAAACAGTGAACTTTTTTAACAATGCCTCGTTTGTTTTCGATTCTTGCGCATTTTTAGTGCTCTTTGATATTTTTGTTGGTCACTCTTGGCATTGTTGAATTCCTTTTTAGTTCTTGCAAAATCAAGGTGTTCTTTCTAAACCAATGCAGTGGTTCAATAGTGCGAATATTGCACTTAAATCAAAATTACCCTCGTGTCTCAGATTAATTCTTATTCCCTGACAAGGAAGGCATTGTGGCGTATGACATACAGACGTCTTCCACAATACATTCCGAGATTTCTACCGCAATGCACCCGTCAACTATCGTCACCCACAAGCAGCCATGTCCTGTCAAGATTTCTTGCAGATCGCCACTACTTACACGTGGCTTGCATCAACGTTATATCCGCTGCTATTCTGGTGGCCTCGTTGCTAAGCATGCACCTTCAGCAGTGCATTTGGTACCATTGAAGTAGTTTTTTTCTCAACAAGAACGACAGCATGGTGCAATAATGACAGATGCAAGCCATGTGTTGAAGTCAAATGTGGCCTCATAAAACATTGTGTGTTCTTCTACTAAACACCCTAATTCTTTTTTCTTCTGTTTTTCAGTGATAGTGCCGTTAAAGAGGAACACGAGAACAGAGACAACAAAGCGAAAAAGAGCCGCTGCCCCGAACGAGGCTACGTCGAGCAGTCCGAGCCAGAGGACGACCGTGCGACCACCTCTCGGGAGTCTCCGTCTCCCTGCTCCCATGGAAAAGTCCGGTGTTCAGGTCGGAAGGCTTAGGATGCGGGCTTTACATGATAATGCCGTTAGTGCAAAGGTGCGAGCGAGCTGGACAAGAGTGACGATAGTAATCCCTGGAGAAGGGGAACAAGGAGGACAAAAGACAAACACAGATCCCAAACATAGCGCTCCACTGGAAATAGAGAGGTCCCTGGTTCAATACCAGGACCAGGTGGCTTTTCTCGGTCACGCGTCAGTCATCTAGTTTTAGACTTTAGAAATATCCACTTTCATTGGCAAGAGTTTTTGTAAGAAGAAGTGAACCATGCCCGAACCATGCCATGCGTCGTGAATGGTTCAATGGTGCCTCAAAAATGAAGTTGGCATTGCAATGTCCTCGTACGACATTTGAAGTTGGCTGTTGGGACCAGTGTTATTCAGCCAGCTCAGTCGTGGGACCCTGCTCTGGAAGGGGGTTCCTTAGCGATTTACCTAAGGATGCAGACTTTGCGGTAGAACTGATAATCATAATCATTGACCAGCTTCCATCGCGCCTCGAAGGTGACGGACAGCTAACAAAATATTTTAGTCTGTTGCTTGTGATAATTGTTTTTTATTTTAATTTTTATTAGTAATTATGTTTGCCTGCTTGCTATGGCAATACATTTACGTGAGATACACCAAATCTCCCCCTATTCTTAAAAAAATAAAATCGTCCTTGTTAATTTTTTTTGGTTAATTTTTTCTGGAAGCCCAGAGCCGCTAATCTCTGGCATTTGTCGAGGAGGCTTGCTGTTGCACGAAACTGTCGTAAAATGCCAGTGGCACCACCGCTACAAAAAAATAGGACACGGTTACAGACATCTTCTATTTTATGGCATCTACGGGCAATTCCACAGCCGAATAGATTTAATGAAGTTTGTTAGAACCGTGGGATAAGGTTGCAGAACTTCGCAATATCTCATTAAAAAAGTTTTACATAATTTCCAGAAATTTTGTATGAGCAAATGATGTCCAGTTGAGCTTGCAGGTGCAAGTGCAAAAAAAGCTTCTGCTATCAATAATGAATGTGATTTTCTCATTAGAAATTTCCAAAAAACGGTATTGGAGTTTTTCGTGCATCTTTCTCCTGAGACGAGTACATATAGTGCCTGTTTGTGTTCCCATATTTGCTGTCAGGCTGAATCTATGAAGTTGCTCCAAATCTCACTACCATAAAATGCTGAGCAAGTGCCCACCTAAAAGTTGAAGATTATGGTGAAAGAAAAAGGGATGAGCTCTTGTTGGGTTTGAGAGCAGAAAACCAGGAGCATGTGGTAAGGTAGGCCCTTGTTTGATCCGAGGGTATGGTATAGGAGCAGTATAGGATTCAGGCGAAACCCTTAATTTTGAAAGCAATAAAGCTTCACTGCTTTGCATTAGTGTGTTCGGGGAATCAGCGCAGTAGGCTCAAAAGTCTGCTGGGGTGGGTGCTTGGTGAGTTCTTTATTTAGTTTTCCCAATGTTTAGAAAGGCAGCACGTGAGCGCTTACTGCAATGTGGGTGCATGCTCGGTATATTTTAGTGTACTGCTTTCCATTGATCCCGGAAGTCACCTTCCCACAGCCTTTTTTTGTGCCCAGTTTTCATGTTTTAATATTGGTAATGGTATCATATGCTCAATGGGGTTAAAGGTGTCTCAACATCTGGCTTTGCTTCTCTGTGTTTTGTGCTTTGCCCTTGAAATTTAGTGCCTGCTCTTGTAATGATGATTTTAGCCAGAGCGCTTCACCAAGACACGTCCATCGGATCAGGTGAGAGGTATGACGTGTACCTCCGTCAGCAGCTTGCCTAAAATTGCAGCGCAAGAGAGAAAAAGCCGGAGCCGACAAAAAAAGCGCCTCCCGCCCAAGCTGATGCATCCATACTCCACTCCGTCTTCGCCCCGTAAGCTGGCAACCTTTATTTCTGATTTTCACTTCATTGACTGCTTCAGTAGAGTTTCTGATCAGTGTCTGTAGAAGCAAGGTAGTAGGATGATATATTCTAAACCTCCAAATATTGATTGAGGTATCAGTACAGTTGAGCCTCGATTTAACGAAGTCACCGGGACCCGCTAATTGTTTCGTTAAATTGGAAACTTCGTAAAATCGAGAAAGACATTTTTCGGGCATAGGCTGCGCAGGGAATCCAGATTTGTTTGTTAAATCGGGAAATTCGTAAAATCAGGTTTCGTTAAATCGAGGTTCAAATTTATATTCTAAACTTTCGAATACCGATTAGAATATTTGTATGCCGATGGTGGCAAAACGAACCACATGTAGCTCTTTGTTGGTCAGAGTGGGGCCTTCAGAACCTGGAAACTATCGAGACAAAACAGTTAGGGGTGGAAAAATAATCTTTGTTCATGAAAGTTCTGCAATAAGCAACATGCTCAAAACAAGGCAGAGGAAATACTCAAAAGCATGCGACGCATGTGCTTCGCAATTGTGTGATCCAACTTAAATTCCTTCGAAATAATTATTAGATCCAACAGGTTTGGTTATTGCGGAATATCTGATTGGTGCGGCAACATGCGATTGACAGACCAGATAGCTGCAGCACAGCAGTCAGACTGTTGGAGCCAGTAACAATGCAGATGATGGATATGTGATGATGCCACACTCTGAGTACTGGCCGAATGGCCATCGGGCATGGCCTGTCGAATTAATTGGTATTTTATATTTCAAAATCAAAATAACTATAGTTTTTTTTTGTTTTTTTTTATATAGAAATGTATGGGCTTTGGTCGGGACCTTTGAACAGGGTCGAATTAAGCAAGTTGACTTAATCGAGGTCGAATAATGCAAGTCGACTGTATACTGTAAAATTCGATAGCACCATTCACACACTTGCAACTGAGTACCGTAAAATACCGGGCAAGCGCCCACTCAAACTTCAGAGATATCACAAAAAATGGGAGATGGGCGCTTTTCCGGTCATCAATTTTACATATAAATGTACCGTGCACATATTCTCAGATCTTACAATTTGGGGATGGGCGCTTAATGTGGAATGTTCGGATGCACGGTATTCTACGGTAGGTCCGAGAGAGACAAGACTGGTTTTTAAGCTTTTAGCAACGGCGTTGGACCTGCTTCGCTGGTGCACATCTTATCTTGTGCCGTTGCAAGAGGCTTAAAAACCGGTCTTGTCTCTCTCGGTCCTACTCGGTTGCAAGTGTGTGAACGGCATTTTAATGTTTGCGAGGCCTTAATTTTCATGGATTGAAAAATTTGCGAAATTGAAGGATACGGAAAAATTTTGGTCCCTCAGAGTTTCAATGCAGGCATCTGGAATTCGTGAAATTTAGTGGCCACGATTATGTCCTCTGTGACTAATTTGCGAAAAATAGGGGCCGCAAAAATGAAGGGTTGTACAGTACTTTGTTTTTGCTTTGTCACACCCACATCAAACAGACACATATTTCTAACAATTAAAAATGAGAAAGGAGACTAATAATATTGTCATTTTATATAAATAAAAGAAGTGGGAGGGGAAAGGCGGTGCTCACCGCAGTGAAGTACTCGTGTGTATGTGGTGAGACACCATTGAGAAATGACACAATATTCAATATTGGCAACACCTTCAGTCTGAAACACAAACCCACAATAGCGTGCTTCAAACCACATACCTAGCGGTAACTTGCCAACTGTCAAGAAAAACAACAACATAAAACACACACACATGCCACGTTTTACTTGTCGAGGATACTACTTCTACTTTCTTGTGGCTTGTATGTTTTGGATTTTATTTAACCGAAGAGCGTTTTCCACTCTTTCGTCCAAACAAGAACACGCTTTCCTGGGACGATCGATGCCTCTGCATTGTCTTCTTTTTTCTAGAAACAGCATTTTTTGCGAGATAGAACACTCAAAAGCGATCTTTAGTGAGAATCAGGTCTTTCTTGGCTTTAAAAAAAATTTTCTTCCTGATTGGCACCTTTTTTTTTTCAAAAGTGATATTTGGTCCTGCCAAACATTCAATGATGAACTCTGTAGTATCACTCACTTATTCACTCTACATTTTACGGTTGCACTTATTTGTGGGCCATCTCTGCAAAAATGTAAATTCGGACCAGCAGATATCCGCATGTGATCCGCATTCCCTGGCGTCCGCATGCGAACTGCCAAATCTGATTAATTTTTGTCCGCATCCGCCAGTTGATTGTGGATACCTGTGGATGATCTGCGGGCATTCTGCAGATTTGCAGGGCTCTATTGACCAGTATGGCTGCAGGCAGTTTGCTGGAAGTAGATTAACGTTTTGTGAAACCGCCTTATCGGGAGGCACGCGTAAGAAGCATGCGGTGATTGGATGCCGACTGTGCCGCCGGTCCCACTCTCTCGCCCCTAAAACCCCCTAATAAAATTTGTGCTTCTTACAAGTACCAGCAACCATTGTTCTCTGAACATGCGAGCCACGTGCTTCGAGCGAGTGCTCCGCTGCCATTTGCATTTCCGAGGGCCGCTCGAAGCAGCGGTCTCGTGCATTGGTGCATTAACACTACAGTGAAACCCGTTTAGAACGAACCCACGTACAGCGAATTATTGTCAATATCGACCTCTTAAGAAAATCTAAATAAAAGTGCACGTAAAAAGTACTTCTTATAACGAACAACATATTGGCTATATCAAACTTTTTCCCCCCGGGAACACTTCCAAAAACCCGCACACAATCGTCTTCTAGCCTGTCTCCCCCCCCCCCCCCCCCCCATGAAGAAAAAAAAAGTAGGAAAGAAAGAAAATTCCAAAAGCGCAAGCCACAAACAAAATTGAGCGAAGAAAAGTGATTCAGAAAGGGGATAAAGCTACAAAAACTCTCTGCACGTACGCAAAGAAAAAAAAACAAAAAAAAACTTGTCAGAATGTGGTTGCCCACTAAGGGAAGCGATTAAGAGTGGGAGATAAGCTAAAAAAACAAACTCTGCAACCATGCAAAAAAAAAAAAATATATTTTCCAGCGCTTTGTTACAAGGTGGAAGCGAAGAGATGAGAAAGGAAGAGAGCTCTCGCCTTACAACAAACGTATCGTTGAAGTTCGTTGTAAATGATTTTTTGCTATATTGAACTACTTGCTATATTGAACTGATCGTAGCGTTTCCTGCTGTTTGTTATAAACGGGCTTGACTGTATTTGCAAAAGAAACAGAAATAGATCAAGGGCCCTAATCTCCCCCAGCCTGCCTACGCCCCCTGGTGATCCCGACCGCGCCCACAGCACCCCTGGAGACAGCCCCCGAGAAGTGGCTGCTGCACTACAAGCGGCTCAAAAAGGCCGGTTTCACCGTGCGAGAACTCAAGGGCCACCACGACATCGTGTGGTCAGTGGCTCTCGACGGAAACGTCCTCGTCTCTGCAAGGTGGGTAGCACATTTGTGATACGACGGATGCCTCGTTTGTCGCCATGGGATGGAGTCATTAGTTTAGGACGTGTTTTGTTTTCTAAGGTTACTAGGAGTTATTGAGTTATAAATGGAAAATTTTTTATCGATCAAATAAGTTTTTCTTTAGAACAACGGTCTGTCTGGACAAAAGTAAGGAAAGCGATCTGCTACAGGATGCTATTCTCCGGATTAATGTCCGCACCCAGTGCCTGAACTACACGTAAGATATTCTTGTACAATGCACGTATTGACTAATGCCTGCTTTATTAGCTAACGAACAAACTTGTATCATACATAATAGGGTTCTTCGTTTTCGGGTTTTATATTTTTAAAAAATCGGGGGGTAAAAACTGGGTGCTATTTTTCGGGCTGATAATGGGGGAGAAATCGGGTCTTTCTGAAGCCATTAGGAAATCAGGTTTTCTCGGGTCTTATTTATGAAGGACAAGTACCTGAAATGTATTTACATGAACAAAAGTCAACAAAGTACATGATATAGCAGTGGTGCTCGATCTTACAGTATATTTCTGCCTTCTGACTCATTCTGAAGCGAATATACACAGAGGTAACGCAAATCAAAGAAGTTCGTTACCATCAAACGAGTGACCAAAGAAGCAGTTCTAAAGCAGATCCAGAATTGTTCCTTTTTTTCATAATTCAGCTAATTTCAAGGCCGGTATTCGGGGAGAAATCTGGTTTAACCCGATTCTGATAGAGACTGTTTGGGATGCAAAAATCAGGTAATATCGGGTTTTACCCAGAAACGGAGAACCCTATACATAAATCATCAGTAGCATACACTGTCATTCCCAAAATCTGTCTAGTCTTGTCATAATGAACGATCTAGAATTACAAAATGTACCAAATTCAGTAGGGGTGTGCGAATACTCAAATATACGAATTCGAATTGAATAGCAAGTTCCCAGATAATTTGATTTGCGAATCGAATTCCTAGTATTCAGTCGCTCGAATATTCAATATTATCGGCCAAAGACAGGCGGTCGGCACGGAGCTCACAAAGGAACAGTTTTATCTCCCAATGTTAGCGCCGTGATGTTCGGCAGACCATGCAAGAAACACCTCTTGGTCCTACCATTCCACAAAAATCGAACGCACAGGTTAGAAAAAAGAAAAGTAACGAACACTACAAGCTTTATAGCAAGCAGATTTACCGTATTTACTCGCATAATGAACGCATGTTTTTCCCGAAAAATTGGCACTTATTGGGGGGAAGGGAGGGGGGGGGGGAGGTTTATTACACGGGGTAAAATTTTTGCATTTACACACTTTGTGCAAATGTCATATTAGGTGCCTATATGACAGGGCAAGGTACTGTGCCACGTCTCCCGTGATGGAGGCGCACCCATGACTGATCAGGGGCACGCCACAATAACCATGCTTTATAAATTGTAAACCTTTTTAGGGCGCTTTCAGGATGCCTTTTGCCGAAGGAAAAGTGCCCTACGAAGCTCATTCAGCACAAAAAGCAACACGACCATACTTAGGCGATATATATTGCTAGTATCCTGCGGGCACGCTCAGGTATAATCCGCGACTACATGTATAAGAACTCGTACGAAATCCAACCCCCGACTGCCGAAGCCCGCTCGCACGGATCAAGTTTCGTTCACGGAGAGGCTACCAAACACTCAGCCTACAGCGCAGCGTGCACCTCGCTGCACCGTTCTGTCGCGGATTGCTTTGCTTTGCTTTGAAACATACAGTTGAACCTCGATTTAACGAAACCCGATTTTACAAATTTCCCGGTTTAACGAACAAAGTTGGGATTCCTTGTGCAGCCTATGCGCGAGGTCTTCCTTCCTTGATTTTACGAAGTTCCCGATTTAACGAAATAATTAGGGGGTCCTGGTGACTTCGTTAAATTGAGGTTCAGCTGTACAGTAAAACCTCGTTATAACAAAACGGGATATAACAAACTAATGGATATAACAAAGCAATCATAATTCCCCTTGCTTGCTAATAGTGGGAAGAAATGGACATTGGCTTTAACAAACTAATGGTTATAACGAAATAATTACGACCGCTCCTTCAACTTTGTTATAACGAGGTTTTACTGTATTTATAAACGCATTTACCCGGAGTATGTGAAATTAGGCCTAACCACTTTCACAATTTCACTCTCTGAAAGCGGATCACAGACGACGGCTTGTTTATTGACATCAATGCATCCGATAGGTGAAGAATGTCGGGGGTCGGCAATTCCTCGACCCAAGCTTCGTCAAGTGTGCGCGACACTCGGTTTCACGGTTGATCACTTCCGTAACTACCGCAACTACGCACTTGCGGCCATTACGTAAGCAGCCGCACTCGGCTTGACTTGACTTGGCCTGACCGCTTGGCAGCAAAAGAAAACTGGCTCGGTGGCTTCCTAGATTGGATGCAATTTGAGACTCGCGGATCCGAAAATTGGAGGTGCGTTGATTACGGTAGAGAAAAAAAAAAGTCAAAATATTGATGCCCGTTCTAGGTGGTGCGTTTATTATGCGAGTGCATTGATTATGCGAGTAAATATGGTACTCATAATCGTGACGCGATCTAACCTTGAATCACAACCAAAACATCCCGTTTGCGCCGCTTCCAGAGAGGAATTTTTGGGAAGCCAGAATTCCGCGCCATGCCTAATTCTTTTCACGAGTAAAGCCCCTCGTTTCAAATTGAAGCGCCGATGTAGAACACACTTGGCACACTCACAGAAATCAGCGACTACAAGATCACAAAAATAAAACCACATTAACTACCCCGATGAAACCAGCCAAGGTTTTGCCATCATTCTTTCGGAACCGCAAGCCGCAAATTTGGATTCGGAACCAAACGTAACAGAAAAATTGTGTGCCGAGATTTGAGAGGGTTTCCAACTGTTCGATAGCCGCGTTTGAATTACGAACTGCAAGAAGGTGACGAAAAGACAAAAGCGTCGATCGGGCAAGCGTCGTCGCTCTTCCATTTGCTCGCCTTCTTTCCACGCCACTAGACAACACATGCACACTTACGACCAATCTGCGCAGGAGCCGTCCCCATGGTTTCAGTTTCGCTTGCTCCCTCTTTTAAACCTAGACTCTCTAAAACAGGATAGATGGACGGAGGAATGGATGCGTAGCGGCAGTTGGACGGTGACTTGCGCCACCTAACCACACATTTTTTTTTGGTTTTTTACTTCAGATTATATTGTTTAAGGGGGAACACTGGTCTTGGAGCATATTTTCTTATTCTGTGACCAAATCCATTGAAACTGCATAACCTTGTTCAGCTTTTTGTGCTGATTTCATATATCTGGTCGTTTTTTCAGTCAGGAGAATTGACCCAAAAGTAATTAAAACTTGCCTGCCTTTGTTTGGAGGAATGATAGAAAAAAAACTGCTCAACAAAATATCCTTTTTGACAGATGGCTAGATACTAGAAAGTGTAGAACATACAATGTTGGAAGTACTTTTAATATAAACCCACTATTAGTGATTTTACCACACATTGAAGTTCAGTGCTCAATGCATGGCTAAAAAGTAATAAAACAAAAGATCAAATAGAACATTTTCTAGACTTTTATTAGAAAATCTGCTCTCAACATTGTATGCTTCACACATTTAGCTACACATTTCAGGAAAGGTTCTATTTCTAACTGCTCTGGATGCTGAGATATCCCTCCTGCAAATTTTGCACGAGTCTTAAAATTGTGTTTTGTGAAAGCAATGTTTTAGAGTCAACTTCAACTCACATTCAGCCCGCATAGACATTATTAGTTGATTTATAGCCCAAATATTCACCCACAAAATTAGAAGCCAGGTAAATTCAGAAGAACAACAGCCATCGCCATTTTCATAAGAATACAGTTTTAGGATGTTTTTGGCTCCAAAGACCCATGTCCCCCCTTAAGCCTGTTTACTCAGACTTAAGGGGGGACTGGGCAAGCGACAAGTCATCTAACATGCCGCTCCTGTTTGTAATCCAACAGATGCTGCTAATATGCACCGCGTGTCCGCCTCACGGCCCGTCGTCGGCTACTCTCGCCTTGGGATCCGGATTCGTCCAGCAAGAAACCTTCGTCCCGCCCGTCAACCACAGCATCGCAGGCCTGCTGCACAATCATCGCGCAGCAACCATGGAACAGTGCCGGAGCAGTACAAGAGCGGATCCCGCGGCGGCAATCGTCACTGGGCACGGCAACTTCGGAACCGACAAGTCATCTAACATGCCGCTCCTGTTTGTAATCCAACAGATGCTGCTAATATGCACCGCGTGTCCGCCTCACGGCCCGTCGTCGGCTACTCTCGCCTTGGGATCCGGATTCGTCCAGCAAGAAACCTTCGTCCCGCCCGTCAACCACAGCATCGCAGGCCTGCTGCACAATCATCGCGCAGCAACCATGGAACAGTGCCGGAGCAGTACAAGAGCGGATCCCGCGGCGGCAATCGTCACTGGGCACGGCAACTTCGGAACCGACAAGTCATCTAACATGCCGCTCCTGTTTGTAATCCAACAGGTTAGTGATGGAAATTGCGTTAACTTTAGAAGTGACTACCGATTTATTATTGTTCTGCCGTGCCCACAAGTGTTCTTTGATTGTGCCATGAATTGTCGGGATAATCTGCTGTTACTTCTTTCTGGTGACGTCGAACGAAACCCGGGCCCAGAGACGAGACTAGAAACGATGATTTCCCAAGTGCTCGAAAACCAAAAACAGCTGAAAAGTGAACTTAAGGAAGTAAAGGAAAACCAGATAGCGTCCCAGCAAAGACAAAACGCAATGGCCGATAAAATCACCCACCTTGAGACAGCCCTTGACGTCCTCCAGAAGAGTAATCAGCAGATATTGCAGCTACAAGGAACGCTTCAGAGTCTAGAAGAATTGGTCTACTTACAACGCGAAAAGATAGCAGATCTTGAGGATAGAGGTAGGAGAAATAACCTAATAGTATTTGGCATTCCTGAAACGCCAAATGAAACGGTTGAGAACCTGAAACAAAGTGTGATAAATACTGTCTTCCAACAACAACTAGGCGTAACTGTGAAGACAGTGGAACGAATACACAGGCTTGGAAAAAGGACAGATGGAAAAATTCGACCGGTCATCCTAAAACTGTATGATTACAATGAAAAAGTGCTTGTGTTTAGGAATTGCAAAAAGCTAAAGGGATCAAAGATATCGGTATCGAATGATTATTCCCAAGTCACCCTAGACAGGCGTAAACACCTCTGGGATAGCGCAAGATCGGAGAGGGCCAGTGGAACTCACGTACGACTTATTCATGATAAGATTCAGATAGATGACCAAATGTTCGTCTGGAACGATGCCGATGATTGTCGTGAAAAAGTTGGCAGCCATCGAGGTTCGCAAAAGCAAGCTAGATAACTCCCTGATAACAAAGAAAAATGCCTACGTCTGATTAACGTGAATGCAAGAAGCCTTCTTAACAAAGTGGAAAGTCTGGAGCACTTGTTACTGCTGTACAACCCGCATATTGCTGTAGTTACCGAAACCTGGTTACATGACCACATAAATGATTGCGAGATTGTGCCACCATCATACAAAATACTCAGAAAAGACAGAGGCTCCCGTGGTGGGGGAGTCGCTTTAATTTACAAGAACTACCTTTCGTGTATTTTGATGCCTGAGTGTTCATTTACTGAGAGTTTGTGGTGCCGAGTAAAGTTCGGCGGGCATTCCATTGTAATTGGCGGGGTTTATAGATCACCTGATTCATCGCCGCAGTTTTTAGAGAATATCTATGATTATTTACAAGAAAATGTCACCTGTAGATCTAAAATAATAATTGCTGGTGATTTTAATCTTCCTAGCGTTAAATGGGACCAACTAGATCCTGGTGTGACAGATGTTAAAAGCGGTGAATTATTGCTTGACATTGCTTTTTCTAACAATCTATCACAGGTGGTTCAAGAGTTTACTAGAATTACTGATTCTTCCCGTTCTATACTAGATTTAATTTTTGTGTCAGAATCTTTGAAAAATTATGAGGTGGTTGTTGAAGATGGATTGTCGGATCATAAATTGGTGTTGCTGTCCATCAAATTAACCGCTCAATCACTAAATGCAAATTGCCCGACAACTGAAGTGTATGACTACAGTAGAGCTGATGACGTCAGTATTCTGGATCATTTAGAAATAAGCCTTTCTTCTTTCGTAGATATACAAGACGTGAACCAGTTGTGGAATCAATTCAAAAAGATAATACGTTACTGTCTTGATAAGTTCGTTCCAAAAAAAGTGAAACGTGTTGCAAAGCAAAACCCCTGGGTAACGAGAGAGATAATTCATCTCAAGCGTAGAATAGCACGTCAACGAAAGAAAAAGCCGCGTAATAAAACTACAATCCAAGAGATATCTCGTATTCTTAAAGATAAACTAAAATCTGCAAAGGAACGATACTTTACTGAGGTCATGCCTGAATTTATAAGAACATCACCTCGTAGGTTTTGGCGTCACCTCGCGCCGTCGAGAGATAGTGTGCAGTGCGTGGCTCATGACAATCATGTCATCACTGATCCAGGTGAAATGGCGAATTCGTTTAATGATTTCTTTCAGTCAGTTTTCTTAGACAATTGTGACCTCGCCGAAAATGCTGGTGAATTTAGTCATGAGTCACACTCGAATATGCCAGAATTGCAAGTTACAGAAGAGGGTATCTTTGCGCTACTATTAGATATGGACACAAAGAAAGCAGTCGGTCCAGACGAAATACCCAATACCTTCCTAAGGCGCTACGCCGAGTGGGTCTCAAAATATCTTTTTGTTATTTTTAGTGCTAGTCTAGTAAATTGCGAAGTACCATTAGATTGGTTATCAGCGAGGGTCGTTCCAGTTTATAAATCTGGAGATAAACATTCAGTTGAAAATTATCGTCCCATTTCCCTCACGTGTGCATGTTGCAAACTACTAGAGCACATTGTTTCAAAGGAGTTGTTTAAGTTTTTAGAACATTCGAATATCTTTCTTTCGAACCAGCATGGATTTCGAAAATCCCTCTCCACTGTGACCCAGCTTACAGAAACATTGCATGACTTCGCCACGTCTATGAACAACAGAGGGCAGATCGATGCCTTATGCCTAGACCTATCGAAAGCTTTCGACCGAGTACCCCATCCTGAACTTATAAATAAATTACTGAAACTGGGTATAAACCATAAAGTTATCCTGTGGATCAAGGCCTACCTTACAAATAGAAAACAATTTGTAGAAATAAGTAAAACAAACTCTTGTTATGTCCGCGTTCCCTCGGGCGTTCCGCAGGGATCCGTTTTGGGACCTGTTTTATTCTTGTGCTATACAAACGATATAGTGGAAAATATAGGACCCTCTATTGCGGTGCGCCTGTTTGCAGATGACTGCTTGTTGTATTCAGTTATCTCTTGCCACGATGATCAGGTCCGGCTTAATTCGGCACTGCAGACAGTAGAAAAATGGTGTAAGGAGTCAAAAATGAAAATTAACTTAACTAAAACTATACATTGTACTATAACTAACAAAAAACAAAATATTCTACCATTCGTATACAAGCTTGGAAACAAACCTTTAGTACAGGTGAACGAGTTTAAATATCTTGGCCTTACCATATCATCAAACTTAAGCTGGAAAACTCACGTTGACAATGTGTGCTCAGCTGCTAGGAAAAAACTCTGGTATCTCAAGCGCAATCTCAAGCTCGCTCCCCCTGAGACAAGACTAACTGCATATAAAGCACTAATACGGCCTACTCTAGAGTACGCTTCTATAATTTGGGATCCTTTTAGAGCCTATCAGATAAATAAACTAGAAAAAATACAAAGGATGGCAGCCAGATTTATATTGTCGAGATATCAGAGAACAGAATCAGTACAGGAAATGCTTAACTATCTCAACCTTCCAACGCTCTGTGACCGTAGAAAAATAGCACGCCTTAAATTCTTTTATATGCTACAAAATGGCCAATTTAATTTTAATACGGACCCTTACATAGTTGCTCGGCAGATCAGGCCTCTCAGAGGCAACCACTTAAACCACTACCAAATAGATACGGCAAATATTGATGCATATAAATACTCCTTTTTTCCAAGAACGATAACTGATTGGAACAGCCTACCACAAGAATTAACAACAGCAAATACACTAACCTTGTTTGAAAAAAGCATTCTGAACCTTTTTCAATGATATCTATCGAATCCTTAGTATTTCCTATTCACGTATAATCATGAGAAAATTGTGATGTTATTGTGTGATGTCTTTGCTTCGTCGCTGTTTGACGATTTATAAATTCAATGTCAAGCGCTATTTTTGTATGTTTGAATTGTTTTTGATACAGTGTCCTTGTTTCTTTTTGTATTTGGTCATATGTATTCTCGTGCCTTGTGCACCCCTGTAACAACCCTAACGGGTTAACAGTATACCTAAATAAATAAATAAATAATACAGTTTTAGGATGTTTTTGGCTCCAAAGACCCATGTCCCCCCTTAAGCCTGTTTACTCAGACTTAACCCCTATTTGTTTATTTATATAAAATCAAATCCCAGGTGCCCTTTTTCTCCATTAAAATTGAGACCAAATATCGCAAAATACCCCTTTTCTGAGATACATATATAAATATAAAAAAATATAAATATAAAAAAAGGACATGTCGCGTTGTTAGGTCGTGCTTTTAACAAAAACAAAAACCATGCATGGCTGTACATTTTTTTTTTTTTTTTTTTGTGACACTTAGGGTAGATAGATAATGCTTGCTCCATAAAATTAAATCTTTTGGCGCCCATTGTCCATCAACAACTGCTTTTTTTTTTTCTTTTTTCACCAGAACTTTTATACATTTCAGCTTCTGCTCTGTACGAGATGCATATTCTGCACCAGGCGCATACTGTGCTCATATAAAAATCTCATTCACAGCACACTTGGAAAAATTCCTATAAATAAAATCCCTATTCGATATTCAATTCAATCTTCTGCTTTATTTTCTTAATTTGATTCGGTATTCGATTTGATAACTACTATTTAGTATTCGCACACCCATAAAAATCAGTGCTGCCACCGCACCGATTCTCGAAGAAATGCGTAGGCATTTCACGCAGCGGTTACATATTACAAAGCACTATGGATGCACACTCTCGGCACTTTTCCGCAGGGTGAACATTCCCGAAACCCCTCTTCTCGCTTTTGCAAGCAGGCCAGGTCACTTACGTAGCGTTTACATGAAGGACGGCGGCTGCGCAGGACTGGCTGATTATAGAAAGCGATGGCGTGAGGTAACACCTAGCAACCGAGGTGCAGTGGGGGACAGCGAGGCTAGGGCGCATTTGGGCGGCTGGCAGGGTGCTGCGAGGCAGCATGGTACGGGTGGCCGAAGGTGGGTTAATATTTTGTAATGGAGCCATCTGCAGAAGGGAAGGGGGGGGAAGGTTAACACACGCCCCAGTGATACACCTGCCGTACCCCACTGAGTGGCGCCGAAATTGGCGAAGGTGCTAGTCGCCGTCAATCTTCGGTTGCTAGGTTTTACATCACGGCGTCGCACCTTATAACCAACCAATCTGGTGCGACTTCCGTTGCTATGCTTCCTATCGCCAAGCCTCTCGATATGTGCACCCTGCCACAATCTGTCGGTGCTTCCAGGAGACGTTTCCTAGCTATAGTTTCCACAGCCAGTGGGGCTGTGGTGCCATCCTGTGGCGACGCTGCAAATTTTATATATGTGTGCTCCAAACCAGCCCAAAGTCAGCGCATGTACCAGGGCACTAATGCTAACGCATTAAAACAAATTCTTGCCTAGTCCGCTTCAGTCTGCACCACAAAAAAATGTTGACTTTTAAATATGTATAGTTTATGGACTATATAGTTGTGGACTAGGCTCGGATCGAACACCAAACACTTTGTCTTAATGAAGATTTACTGTCTCGCCATCTTTCTTGGCGCCCCGCAGTCGGGACACCACGTTGAGGGTGTGGAACGCACAGTCCGGCCAGGAGTTATGCAGCCTGCGTGGTCACACGTCCTCCGTTAATGCGGCCCTGCTCCTCTCGGCGGAGCAGACAAGAGTGTTGAGTTCCCGCCTGGGCTGCCCGGCGGCCCATCGCATTGCGGTCAGCGGTTCGTCGGACTGCTACCTCAACCTGTGGCTTGCTCTTCAAGGTACGTTTGTTGTATATGTTTGCTTTACGAGGTAGTCTACTGCGGACCATTACAGCAACCCTCTGACTGCTGCCATAGGCTTCTATGGGACGTCTTCGCACGTCTAAACTTGCAATGTTTGAACGTTTGCTCATGTATGAAAAAATGCTCTTGCCTAAGCTTGTTGGCAGGCACACCTTTGAACAGCTCTCGAGAATTAAGGTGCATCCTTCAGCCAGAGTGTGCTGCACTCACTTGCCAACCCTAACAAGGCTCTAATATCACTTAACAGTGATGCTTAGAGAGCACAACAGTAATAACTTGCTCCAAGTATGGTCTTATGCTATGCACATGAAGAACTTCTTTTGAAGGTGAAAAGAAAAGACATTCTACCACGAATTATTTTTCTATGCAACCAGTTTGTCACCACATATTAGAGAATGCATGAAGCATTTGTTCTTGAAAATAGAAATATAAAATTAAAGATGGCCAGTCTGCTAGAAGGGAAGCTTCAAGTTCAGGATCCAGACGGTTTATGATAACTGTTTATTAGGGCATGGCAGTCTGTTTGATGGCCTATTCTATATTCTGTTTAGTAGTCTATGGCTGTCTTAACTACTAGGTACTTCCTACAGGTATTTATATATAATTTCAAAAGATCTTGATTTGCGATGCACGTTTATGACGGAATCTAAATATTACGATTGTTAAAGCTTATGATTCAGGACGTCTATAGCATCTCACTTGATGCACTTCTGCTTACCGTGACACCAGTTGTTTTTATGTTTGTTAATGTAGAATGTGATATATATGACCGGCTCCTAGCAGATTTCATTAATGCAGATTCTTGTAACGCTCATTCCTATAATGCAGAATCATTGCACAAAACATTCGCCAGTACAAAAAAGCACCTGAGAAAATGTGCAAGCACTCAGTTTATAACCAAGGTCCCTCCAGTTGTGAACCCGATGGTGAACCAACTGCACCATCAATACACCCAGGAAAAGCGGGTTTGACACGCCATCACAACTCGGCGAGCTTGCTCGCACATACGGTGGAAGAGTGTGCAAGAGGCAAGGGGGGTAGAAAACAAGCATGTGTAGTTCTCATCTTCGTTGATAATGTATTGGTATTTGCAGGTGAGCTGCTCAAGTCAATGTACACATACAACCCCATTTCTACTCTGGCGGTGCTCAATGAGGACTGCCTCATTGTCGTTGGGACGGGTAAGTCAAGAAATGATGGACGGGAAATTTCTGTGGGAAACTGGGACGTTTTGAACACACGAAACCTCTTTCACTGCAGAAGGTGGGAAGATTGAGGTCTGGGACGTTGTCCAAGCCGTCGTGGTCAGCTCCGTGATTGGCCATGAGGGCTCCATTGCAGCACTGTGGGTAAGCGCCCGGACAATTTTGGAGAGATTCTGGAAGGCTTAGGTTTTGCAATTCAAACGCTAACCTAAGTAGATGTTTCGTGACTCCGCAGATCAATGTGGCAGTCAATGAAGTTATGCCAAAGGCAATTTATGTGACAGTGGGGGACAAAAGTAATGTCAACTATGAGTTTGTGACATAATTACACAGTATACACTAAAAACACTGAAACAATTTTACAACCACAATATTATGGAGCTGGAGTGACATCAGGGTAACATTTCATTATTTGGGTCGTCGCTTTACTACTGGAAACTCCGACCCTGTAAAACGGGGGGTTCTGGAGTACGGTATCAAATAGGGATGCCGCAAACTTTTTTCGAATCGAAGTTTTGAGGATCGAATCAAGCGGTTCGAAAGGTTCGAAAGATTTCGATTTTTCGAATTGTCTATATCGTAAAATTCGACGGAGGTCGAATTTTCGAACTTGTTAAGCTAAGAAGTTTGACGCTTTTCGAACCGTCGAACTTATTACGCTAAAAAATTCAATCTTTTTCGAACTTTCGAACTTATTGCGCTGCAAGGTTCGATGCTTGTCGAACTTTCGAACTTGACTGACCAAAATATTCAATGAATTTCGAACTTTCAAACTTATTTATCAAGAGAATTCGAAAAGTTTCGAACTTTCGAATTCTGAAAAGTCAGAAGTTCGACGAACTTCGAACTTTTCTCTAAACGGGTTTCACTGTGCATATGGTAAAGTATATGTGTGCCAAATTTGGTTGTGATAGGACAGTATTAAGAACAAATTCTTGTGCACAAACTGTGAAGATGCCCCAAAATTACACAAAGAGAAAAACGCTTTCAAATGTTATCATAGATATGTAGTAATACTCTTTTGCATTGTGGAAAATATTTTCTCAATAAATTTCCGTGAGATTTTGAAGCTACATGGAGAGGAGATGTCTAGGCCTACTTGTCAACAAAAATGCGATGGCAGGTGACATCACAACTTTACAGCGCGTTGTTACAACTTTAAGAACCACGCAGAGAAAAAAGGCTCAAATTCATGCCGTTCTGGGTTACGTGAAGGTCTTCACATGCGCACTTGACTAATTTCGCATTCATAACTGGCACTAATTACTTTTATGCATCAAATATAAAGATTCACTCATAATAAAACACTATGAAACCCCAGATCACATTTTTTGCAAAATATTGCTGTTTTTTAACTTGCACCTCCCCTTAAGCTGGCGCACAAAATCAGAGTGCGCTTTCTGAGAGGTCGGCTTTCCCGCAGGTTGACGGACCCACCACAATAGTCACGGGCTCCAGCGACAGGAGCCTGAAGGTGTGGCAGTTCCTGTCGGGCGAGCTGTGTGCGGTGCAGGTGATCGGAGACTGTGTGCCGCGCGGGCATCACATCCGCAGTCTGGCCACGGACGGCTACAGGATCTTCGTGGGAGCGGATAGCTCCAACCTCAAGGTCATCAACTGGTCCTCCGGTGAGGCTGCTTGCACGCCCCCTGTACTAGAACCACCCCACATGCACACTGCGGGCCTTGATTAGGCCCTTGCAGGTGTAGGGTACTGATCCAAAAGATGCAAATAGTAGAAAAAACAAAACACATTTCATAATTTCACCCATCGTTTTACATAACGAACAGTAAGGAGATTGGCAATGATTGTTGGAATAAACAATCAATGTACCGATCCAAAAGATGCAAAGATAGAAAAACTACATTTCTATATTCCAACCATCGTTTTACATAACTAACAGTGTTGCTAGTGATCCGCAGCCTTATCTAAGTCACGCGAAACATTTTTTTACGTCATCCAGTAATGTTAAAGCAGTCCTCCACAGAGCAAAACAATGTTGCCCGAGCTTCCTGAAACCACACCTAAAGCCAAGAGAGTGCATTTTCAACTCGTCAAGATCGCCGATCGTGTCCTCTCTGCAATAATCACCGGTGGCCCCAAGAAAATTGTGAAATGGAGTGCCGATACTCTCAGCGTAGCTTATTTAGTGGCTCTAGTCTGCATCTTGTCTGTCCATTGGAAGATTCTGAATTTAAACAAACCATAGATGGAGCTGCTCATTAAGGACTAGGGTTCTTAAAGGGCAACTCCAGTACATTTTCTCGATTTTGGAGTTACGACTGATTGTAGTGCAGGAAGTGCCCCTGAACGACGAGGTGTAATATTTGGTTCTATGCCTCGTGTAAGTTTTGTAGATCTTTGATCTCAAAGTTTTATTTCGGGTGTCTACGGCAAAACCAAAACTACTGGCCCTAGCATGATGGCAACTCTGGTGATCAGCTGCGTGGCCATTGTGCGACACAAATCTCGTTTCGCGGTACCGCAAAACGTACTACTGGCCTAGTCACGAACTGTTTCGATCACTCAGGTAAGATGCTACGGCTGTTTTACTGCTTTTCTTCGTAAATATCAAACGTCTGTAGCAAATATTAATACACATTCATAAAGTTGCCGGCCGAAAAGCGAGTTTGCCACAATGAATGTGGGCTCACGAGTGCCCACTTATCTTCAGAGAAGAACTACAATCTTGGTGGTGCGCAATGCACACTGCAGAGGCGTTGTGGAAGCTAATCCTAAGCTCGCACTGAGCAGGCACGAACTAAACTACGGCCACCAGCGAATACCGCGTTCGGCACCACAACGCGCTCAAGCGAGCAGGCAGTCAATAATCTTCATGCGCGATCGCTCAGAAGCACTTACAAGAGACTGCTGCTAAAACATAACGCAAGAAAAAGAAATCATCAGCTGGGAGCGCTGATAACGCAGCAAAGAAACACGACGAAAGAACTGGAAGTACAAACAAGTAACCTGCTTGGCCAGGCTTGGCCTCCTTGGGTACGAATGGGACTACCGTAATATCCCGAGTCATCGCCCATCCCCGAGCCATCGCCCACCCCATTTTTTGGGCCAATATCGATTTCCGAAAAAACACCAAGTCATCGCCCACCCCTTCAAATACCCCAGCGCGCACTCTGCGATCCGCGAACACTCATCCTACCCGAATGACGCGGCCGCGGACCTTACAGTTGGAGGACGTCCGTGACAAAGTAAAACGAAGGAGGGAAAGACACTTCTTTTTGTTTACGAATTTCCTCCGTGAGTGACCCCAAAGTGGTCGTGTATCCGTGCGAAAAGAAAACGACGGAGATAACAAAATAAGAGTTTGTTAATGTAACCGCGGAGTGTTAGGTCAAAGTCTGTCTCCGCCGAAGTAAGGTCCCCGCGAACCCGCTCCTTCTTCCCGCCCGTCGCGACCGCGGTTGTGCAATATTTTAGGCAAAGCCAACGCGTAAATAAAGCTTTGCTGGAACGCCCTACACAGACGTTTGCAGAGCGTCCCAACCGTGCATTGATAGCCCGCCGTGCACGGACGCACGTATGTACGCACCAAACAAGAAAGTTGCGCAAGAGCTTGCAATTGACAAGGCGCCCGACTTGGCCCGACGCCAAAGTATTTGCCAACGCGACCGCCGGCTTTCCCGCTTTCTCAGCATTGCTCTTGGTCGCTTCTTTGGTCCGCTCACTCGCTCGTTGCGCCTGGTCGGTTTTTCTATTTTCTTGTAGACTTTCTCTTTTTTTACTAACTAGGAGAACATAGTGGTGACATTCTTTTACGGAACAAACGTTCCCGCTATATGCAGATCGGCGGTGTTTCTAGCGCGTATGCAAGCACCGGACTTCGCTATAGTAAAATATTCTTTCGTGAGCATTTTTTTCTATAAAACAATGAAACTAAATCGAGTTTTGAGTTTGATGTATCTCTTGTGCATCAGCGCTAGATACGCAGAGAAAAATAGACGGTTCTTTCCAATTTTTTTCAAGTGTTTGTGCTCACCTACCGAGACATGGCCCACCCCACTTTTTTAATGGATTTCAGGCGGTAGAGGGGTGGGCGATGACTCGGGATATTACGGTAGTATGACATTGGGGCACAAGGTTGCTTGACAACCAGCCAACCCGCTGAATGCCCGCTGATAAGCTGGTGGTAGCCTTTCTAATATCGGTTTTAGAATGTATCGTGATTTCCCATTAGTGTAATAGTTTGGCAGTGCTCGTATTTAGTCTCCGGAAATCGACATCAGTCATTTATTTTAATTCGACTTTTGACCGGAGGTGCCCTTTGAACTTGTTTTCCAATTTCTTCCCAGATTGACTGACGATTTCAAATCTGCACTTGGATTAAGAATAAAAACTCTCAAATTAGCAATGTGACAAGAAACTCATCCTAACTATATACTTCTTTTACCAGTCGTTGAATGAATTGTCATTAAAATATATTTGTTTTAAACATATGAGGTGAACACTGAGAATTTCGCAGATATCATAAAGATAAAGATTTTTGTTATTTACTTTATATAAGGCAATATTCTTAACAGAAATAAGCCTGTTTCCCATACTGGCATGGAGAAACTGTGTACACATGTGGAGTCTGGATGGTGCGAAGCGGCCCTGTGTCGTGCAAGACAAGCGTGCGAGCACTCCGTGGATGTCTCGCTTGTGGGTGCCATCTTCCGCAGTTCCAGAGTAAATGCAATTTTCTTGGAGCCTGTTGGAGTGTGAGACGCAGTTCATTGGATGCAGTAGACGAAGCGTGTGGAAAACAGAACAGTTAGAATGCTGCAGTGTCGAGCAGAGTCCCGGCACCAGCTCACCGCAAAGGGAGCCAAACACTCAAACTATACCTCAACCTGTTGCTGCAAAGCGAGCGTCTGCTTTCTTTTCTTTTCTGCCACTCTCTCTTGCGCTGCTTCCCTGGAAAAACCAGGAGCGCGGTCGTTTCACAGGGCAGAGCGCCGCTGTATGTCCGTACATGTGATGTTTTTCTCTCATCGGGAAAAACACGGAGGCATTCGAAGGGGTTCGGCCGGCACTGGTGTCCAACTAGTGAGGAGACAAGTGCTGTGTCAGCACTTGGCTGGCAGTCGGCCTGTCGACTTTCGTTGCCGGCACCCAACCGGATATGGTTAGGTTCCAGCCACATAATAACATTCTGCCTGAATAAGACAGTAATTAACTGAAGTTAAAAGTAATTACATTTTATCTGTTTAGGTTGAAAAAAAAAGGGAAGCTTCAGGGTGCAGTTCAGATGCTGCAAAAAACAATGCCAGGTTTACTCAGATGCATCCGTGAGAATGTTGCTAAAATCTTCATCCACATGACAAAAGATTGGAGCTGAAAAATTATACTACTTGAAGTTTCTATCATGCTTTACATTAGGCACCTCGACACTTACAATGCATTGGGTGAGCACTGTAATGCATTAGACTTGGAGATCGAATTTAGTATATTCATTAGTTGTGGGGAGATCCTTTGATGAAAATTTAAAGACAGCAAAGCGTTGATTTCAAAAAGAAATATTTGCAATGTTCTGCTACCTTCCCCCTCACGCCTACAGCTCACATGGATCTGGTTTCTCCTGTGCAGGGAGGATAGATCGCCTTAGAAACCATCCGCAAGAGCAGGGATCCACCCCAGCTGTGTTCATCAAGGCTGGACTGGTGCTGGCCTCCTCTTGTGATCTGGACACTGGATGCAGTGCAGTCAACAGTAAGACCGTTTGCATACATTTGACAAACATTCATTTTGGAAAGTTCCTGCACTGGCAAGATGTCAGTTTCGTCTACCAGCTTATTAGAGCTGTTGGGGCCATATAGCGAACATCATTGTCTTGTTTTTCCGAATGTATAGTCCTTACCATTGAGCTAGGTAGTAAATTATTTTAAGGCCTTCGTGCCGTATTTTCCGGACTGGTGACAACACATCTTAAAAATGTGTGCTTTATTAAAATAGCATGCAGAAAAGATTGTTTAATCAGACATCATCTTTAAGGGGATCCTTCAATGAAATTTGAAATATACACGTCATGTTCAGAAATGGACTCAATATGATCCACAATATCTGTAAATGACAAACAAACGTTTGTATTTTGAGCCTGATGGCTGTATTTTTAGTTATTCGCGACTCCAGCGACCTATAGGGGGCGCCCCCACCAAACAAACATGGCGGCTGAGTCCAGGTCGCGGCGGCTCGGCTGGGCCGCCTGAACAGGTGGCGCATTCAATTTAACAGATTTTCTTTTGTTTAATGCCCAATTTTATAGGTATTTGAACTGAGACCGTTAAGTGTAGCCGGTGCAGATAAACTTGCAAAGAATAGTATTGTTTTGCCGGTGTTTTTTTGTTCTTTTCGTGTCAGACTTTCGTTTCGGAGATTTCATTCAAAACCGAAACTATGGGCTCCGGAGAGACGGTAATATACTAATCAGTTTTGATCATCTAAGGAAAGCGGCGATGACTATAGAATTGTTCCACAGAGGGTAACTTTTCAGCTAACTGCCTCGACCATGCGACTTATCTGTCCGCGAAATCGAGCTTTTGTGCATATCCGCATTTAAGAAACAGCTCCAGTCGTCTGCTCGGCCAACAACACAGGCTGCAGGAAAATTATGAAAATTAAGCAACCGCTTCTTGAGCCAAGGACCATGTTAACCCGCCGGCGCCCCACTAAGCAGCTGATACTCGTATTTCAATTCAGGTTTTAGTAGTAATCGAGAAGTCATTTTGACGAGCGGGTTATGTATTATATTACATACTATGGGGGGGTCCCACTAAAGCGATATTAGTATATCCTTTGGGTTGAAATATGAGTTTAGTTGACTAGCTATTAGGTGAGCTGCTGAGTAAAAGTATATTTGACAGACGGAGACATACTATTTAAACTTAGCCAAATGGTTCTATAGCCGGCAGCACGGGGACAAACTGAAGAGAGTCTTCCTTGACGATCCGCGGAGAACTTTTCTGCATTGAACGGAGAAAATTTGTATTTTTTTGTGGCCGGTCAACCTGACCAATGTAGATGTATATTGCTCTTGGCTTCCACGTCCTCGTAATATACATATTGGAGGCGCGATAGGTCAAAATGCCGTGACAGCACCTAACGTTGCGAGACTTGTCTCCCACCTTTTGAAACCAGATAATTTCCGTCATTCATCATTTGCAGTGAGCAAGTTTTCCTGAATCAAGTAATTGCGAAATCAGCCCAACTCCTTCAGTGTGGTCCAGAGGCTTTTTTGGCGAAACACAGCCAAGATGAATAGCCAACGCACCGACCGGCGTGGGTGGCTCAAACTTGAAGCTAACCGAACACAACCAAACTCAAGAAAAGCAGCTATCAAACCTTCCCATTCACTTGACTGCAACATTGATGTTCCCTCCAGTATCAGTTACCAAGCAGTCGTCACTTTGAATGCGATTCGAGACAGACAAGAAATCAAAAAGTTTTCCGTGATTCCTCCCCATCCAAGAAATCGAAAGCACGCGACCGTGTGCTGTGGAGTAAACGGGCTTTCAAACACGTAATAGAAGAAAACAATCTACTGAGGTTTCACCACACTAATGATCACTCAGGCAAACTTAAGAAATATTCGGACCTTCGTCAAATTACATCGTTCGCGACCGCGCCGACAACACGTCTCCGCGAAAGCCACCAGAGACGCGGAGGGGCGCGGAGCGACCTGGACCGGCTGGTTCCCGGTTTTCCCGCTTGGCGGCGACCGTTTTGCTGGAGTCGCGAATAAACAGTCCACTCTGGCAAGCGCTCAAAGTGCGGCAAGAAGAGAGCACATCACATCAGGCATATTGTGACGTAGTCTGTCTCGGGATGGAGCAAAGCTGCGGCGAGGCTGACGTCGTCAGCATGCCTTAGCTGTTCCAGCCACCGAAGCAGTCAAAGCATGCCAGCAGGCCACCGCAACTCACCACAAAGCTGCTTTTGTGTGAATTTTGAGTGACGGGTTAATCCCCTATAATCTTGTAGAGGGAGAATAGCCGCTACCTGTCAAGGTTCCTAGACGGGCATTACAAAACGAGGCTTTAGCGACATCCACCAGGTGATCTTTGCTAATGGTTTAATTCATTTTAAAATTCTTTTTCGTGTCTTCTTTAACAAGATACTGGTGTGTCCGATGCGATACTGCTCCCTTGAACACGTATGGACCAAAAAATAGGCGCCAAAATTTGGTTGTGGTATCCCTTTAAGGGCCCCTGAAAATAAAAAAGATGCTTTTTATAAACAATCTGGTTGAAACACGCAAATAAAAAAAACATTTTGTTTACAGCTATATTGACGGTGCGAGACACAATTTTACAGCTATATTGACAATGCGAAACAGAAAGGAGGTTGTCACCTCTTTTCCGCTTGTTTTCTCTCGGCATCTTGGGCACGTGAAAGAAAGGTGGATCGGCTTTGCCTTCACGTTCAGGAGATCAATGAGCATTTGCTCATTGAAGTCAAAAGAGCAAATGACCATTCCGTGACGTCATGGACTTTGCATGCAGAATTTCAAATAAAACTTGCCTTTAATACACGTGTCCCCCCCAGATTGTTTAAAAAAAAACTTTTTTTTTTCTTTTCAGGGATTTTTAACATCTCGTCATAATGAACAATCTCTAAAAAAGTATAGCGAATTGCTAGGCATTTGTGTTGCATAGCATACGTGGAACATTCTGGCATCACAAACATTTATTTCATCGTTTAGTAGCATGTCTAGCCTGTTTAGTCAGACGCCTACGTTCATGGCGCTCATCAGATAATTTAATATGTGGCATGTGTAGACGAAATGATAAACCTGCCGATATTTCAGAACCCTGGGAAGTACCCTTTCAAGAACTAATTACGGCAATCAAACTATGGCATATGCTTTACCAACTACCCTTAATCAGCTGATTAGGCAAGATATAGATATCAGCACTACATAGCTGGATTCTAGGGGAATATTGTATCTCAAACCTTATTATCAACAATGAGCGCCAATTGCGTTGAGCTTAGTTAGAGCGCACTGCACGTCTTAGCGGTGTGTGTGTTGATTCAATGTGTTATTGTTTTGTAAAACGCTGTTTCTTTTGTGTGACGATTTTTCATTTGTGTTATCAATTTGCAAACTTCATTGTATAATTCCTTTAGTGATTGCTTTGCAACTGCTTGTTTGTGGTGGCTAGGGGCCAGTCAAGCTGTTTTTACAACTTTTTTCTCTAGTCACCTTTCAACTTTTTGTGAGAAAAATAAAGGAAGTATTATTATGACCTTCTAACCCACTCCTCCTCTCCCACCTTGCCTACCTCTCTTCCTCGTTCCACTTCTGGTCACATGACCTCCCCATTAACCAAACGGTGTCGAGCACCTCACTCCTCCTCTCTCAACCGTCAACCAATCGGTATCGAACCTCGCGGCCATGCTCTTATTCAGGCTTCACTTTTAAGCTTCACAAAACACCGATTGCCTGACCAAAGAATGTTTTACATTAAAAGTAACGTTGTGTTCAGTAGGAACGGTGGTGTCATTGACACCACCGTTCCTACAATTCTAGCAAGTATATAAAGTGAGCTTTCCTTTGAGAAAGAGAAGAAATGTGCATTTGTTTTGCAGTGCGAATGCTTCCTGGTGGAGACTACGTGGGAACCTTACAACGGGAAGGCCAGGGCAAAGCATTCGCGCTCGCTTCGGACATTGTGGAGGACGTCACGCTCAGGATCGTAACGGGGGGCATTGGACTCTCAGTCTGGGACTGGACGCCTCAGGACAAACCAGGGTGGGTGGTGTCTACGGTGCTGCTCTGGTTGGAATTTGCTCCGGTGTGGCCCTCTCTCAAAACCAGTGTTTGGAATGTGAAGTAAATGGGAAAATTACTATAGATATAAAAAGTGCCAATATTGAATTAAAAGAAAGCCTGCTTTGCTAATCTTCTTCTTTTTTTTTTTTTCTTTTTTTTCAAAATAAGCAATTGTTTGGGCTAGGTCAGGCAGTTTAGCAGCAAGGTTCGAAGCTAGCTTTCGTGGCACATGGACCGAGAGAAAATTTTGTGGCCACCCTTACGTTTCCCTATAAAAGAAAAACCAATCAATTAAGAAACACCCTGTCTTTAAACCATCAACATCTACATCTATCATTAAAAGGATTGCACCACGACAGTCAGCATTTCCTCTTGGACACGGATCGGGCGACTTCGAGGTCATACAAGTTCTGAATTAGTAACTTACCACCATTCCTCTCACTGGATATGCTGAAAAACATGGACAATACGAAGGAAGATCTGGATATGCCATGTCCTGTCCAGATCTTTTCTCATATTGTCCATGTTTTTCAGCATATCCAGTGAGTGGAATGAGGGTCAGTCACTAATTCAGATCTTATGTGATCTTAAAGTCACGGCGTATCCAGACCTTCCTTTATATTGTCTATGTTTTTTTATGTATTATCCAGTGATGAGTAACCAACTAGCACAACTTGCCATCTTTTAAAGAGGAACTCAAATGGATTCTGAGATCATCTGTTTATGGTGATAACTATATCTACAAACTCAGCATCATAACAAAAAAAAAAACTACTAAATTACTATCGTGGGCAGCCAATTTTCCTATTACAAAATATAATCAAAGATTGTGACAAGCCCCTCTTTCTGCAATGTTTTTGTCAAAATATAATGCACAATGCACCTAAAAAGAGCAATAATAGTAACATTCAGAATATCCACGCAGTTAACTGGTCAAATTTTATAAAGATGGTGGAGACCCGAGGATGGCCCAACCAAGAGAAAATAGTGCCCGTATATTTCTATTGCTACGAGTTTACTTGGTCGTCTTGCCATCCAGAAGTGGTCATTTTTATTGCCCAGCAAACAATATGTCATTACAAACAAGCTTCTACAAAAAGGCACTCAGGTGCCCTTTTAATACTATTCTTCTCTTGTCCGAGCTTTCACCAAATGCACATCACCTCGGAACAGAGTTAGAAGAGGTGGTCAAGCGTGTGGGGGATCTCCTGTTTAAAATGCTTTGTGCCTCAAACATATGTAGTGGCACAAAAAGTTTGGCTGGTGGATATATTATCCTATTTGCGCACTGCATTTTACCCGTTTTCTTTCAGCATAAAGTGATTAGGGAGCATTTCATAGACGTATCACTCCATCCTGGTAAGCACAACTTTGTGCAATTGGAATGTGTTGCCCGAAAGCATTGTGTCTCGTAGCGAGTCGGAGCAATTGTTTTCTTCGTTAAGCCCACTTCTCGAGATTTAGAGATGTAATGATCTGTATGGTGTCCAAATAGGTGTACTTTAATTGCTTGTACCATTATTCTTTTTGTTCGAAGTGTTTCCATTTTACTACTCCTATGAGTGTCCTGATAAAGACCAATTTTATGGGAAACAAATAAACCAATAAATAAATAAAATTCTGCAACACATGCAGGAATGGTACCCCTAGTATCCTTCGCATAACCAGCAACGCACAACATCATGTCTTTTCCACCGAACACCACCAAACGTTGGCCGCCGACCGACTGGCTCACATTATGTTGCAGGGATCAGCCGGTGGTATTCCTGGAAGCGCTGGCGGAGTGCGCATCGGGCAGCACCAGTGGCAGCACCAGTGCCGAGAGCGACCACGAAGTAGACAAGCCTACCGGCAGCCCCGAAAGACGGCTCCTGCCATTCCAGGAGAGCCGCAGCTGGTTCAGTCAGTGGTGCAGCCTCATGTGAATACCGTGCTGCGAATACACGTGCTCCTGTTGCTCAAGGCACAAAGAGTGCCTTAACTTTTACACTCGGCAACCAGTCAAGGCAATCTAGTGGACGACAGGCTTAGGAGCCACACATTTTATGGACGGGTCATCTAGTGCCCGCCCTTTTATTCGTTTTTAGCCTACTCAATTTAATGAATTAAAGGAGAGTTTACACCTTGGCAAGCCTTCCCATCTTATTTTTACTTTCCGTAACAGATTTCCGCGACAGAAGAGCGCCGTGCAAGTGCTAAGTCGGCATTCGGCCGGAACTTACGTCCTCGCCGGCCGAACGCGACGTAGCAGTTGCGACTAGTGATGGACCAAATCTGCCGAACTTCAGATTCGGCAATGTTTGGTAAATGCCAAACTTTTAAAGGAAAGTTTGGCCCAGATTCGGCAAAAATTCGGCAAATGTCTGCACACGCACGAGAATGCGACGGGGCCATGGATCGCAAATAGACGCCGTGCAGTAGTGCAGTTACCGTCGTGCAGTGCACGGTGGTACAGTGTAGGCAACACAGTAACTGCATTTTTGAGCGAGTGTGGTTCTCTTATATATTTTCTGCCTCAAGAATAGAAGATCGACCAATAATTGACGCAGTCCACTGTGCAAGACAAATGATGCGGTACATTCTGAATAACTTGATTTTCATTTGACATTTCCAGTGATGCAACGAGGTAGTTCAAACATTGGTCGACAATTACTTTAAAGCACTCCTCGCATTTATAACAATCCTGTTTTCGGCTCAGAAGTAGTGTGTTCCAAAACAAAATAATATTGCTTTTTCAATTAGCGTTATTTCACGATTTTCCATGTAGCTGCATAAAACTAAACAGAGAACTATAATGCTCGACGTTGCACATCCGACATTTCTAACTCTCCCTATCTTCCTAAACGTTTGTGTGTGTCCTAACACCAGAAACTGGCATTTTAAAGGAAATGAGACATTGTGAATATGGGACGCACACTTTCATGCAAAGCTGACATCAAGTGACTCAAATTGAAAAGCATGCATATTTACAATATTACTATCTCTTCCGGTGAAGGCTCAGCAACTGTTGCATTCGTTTTCGCGCACAGAACGGCGACTCCCAGATAAAGCAAGAACGCAGCATTGTTGCCTTGTTTTAACAATGTGCAACACACATGCAGGCTGTGCTGATAATGCCTCAAAACCTAAACTCTCGTAACGTGATTCGTGACTGCGCCACGCTCGTTTCTACCCAACCTCGTTATCACGCCACTTCTGCAAGGAATCACTAAACTTGCCAGTAAACACAAAAACGGCACCGATACAATTATCTTGTAGAATATCACCTTATTTAGTAATAACTGTGGCAATATTTGTTACATGTCGCATTTAAGGGAAAAAAAAAAAAAAACTTTTTTTGTTAGAAAGAGCTAAATATCAACGTGGCAACAATGTATTTTCGCCGAATCTTTGAAGAAGTTCGGCAAAAGTTTGGCTTTGTTGAATCGTAAGATTCGTCGCCGAACTTTCCATTCGGCAAAAGTTTGGCCCATCACTAGTTGTGACCAATCTGCGTCCCGCGCCGGCCTTCTCCTCTGGGAAGTGTTGAGCGAGAGCACTGGCACAAATGGTTGGAGCGTGTGCAGGAGGCGAGGGAGCAAAACGAGCAAGTGCTTCGGAGGAAACGGGGAGACGTGCACTACAACCTCAAAAGAGCCGAACTTCGCTTTCCCTTTTTTTCCACTCCCATTCGAGCGTTAGCTTTTGGCAGGGCTTTATATCAAGAGATGCCCCATACAATGATGATCGCACCGTCGACGTTCGCTTGTGCAACATCATGGCGAAGCAACAGGTGCATTCGCCCCTTTTCCCACAATATTATGGGAAAGGGGGCGAATGTCTAGGTAGTTGGTCCCCTAAAGGCATACCCCATAGCCAGGGTTGCACAGTTTATTGTTCATGAAACTTGGAGGGTGTTTTTCAAAGTTTATTTTTACAGGGTTTATTGGAGTCTATTTAGGATAGCTTCCCGATTCTTCTATAGTATCCCAAGCTCATATATCTGACTCCAACCCTAATTTTTGAAAATTCAATATAAAAACAAATATTATCGGGACACAAAACAGCCCCAAAAACATAACAACCCACCTGTATCAAATAATATTTCTTCAGCTGGATTGGGCATTCGCCCTTTTGTCATTGGTATTACTGTCACACAACAAAACTTGCAAACGAGTGCTACTTTTATTAGCGTCTATACCCTACAATCACCGAAATCCTTGACGTATTCTTTGGAAAGCTTGTTTTTCTTTCCATCAGATTGCATTGCTGCACCTGCAGCTGAGTGGTGATATGGAACCTTTAGCTGGCCCCCTTTCTCCTCTGATAATAGCTTTCACTGTTATAAGGAAACAACCCCACCTTCCTCCAAGTCCAAACTTAAAGTTATAGAGCAGTGGCTTTTGTCGTGACCCAAAATTATAGTGGCCAATTTCATGATCAAAACTCAACAAGATTTGAAGACAAACTGGTGAGGCCTCTCTTCAGGACCACTGACCCAAGCTTATTTGCAAAATACCAGGTTGTTTTTTTTTTTGCCATGGAGACATTAAAATTTGGAGCCTTTAGAATAAATCCGAATTGACACAAAATTTACTGGCGAGTGTTTTTCAGATTTTACTGGATTAATCTTTCAACACTGGACTCTACACACGGTGAGCAAATCGAGAAACCCATAGCAACATTAGACACCTTACGTCCTCAAACTTTTCTATACTATCTAGGAACCTCTCTCTCTATTAGTGGCCGAGGAACCTTACCTGGTGCCAGCATCGATCCAAAAGAGCATTGCAGAAGCACACAGGCCCTTTCAACAATAATTCACATACAGGGGAGTATTTGACTCAGCAAGTGGCTCAGATCCACTAAAATAGTGCTCAAATGGGAAAAATGCTTTGAAATTTGGAAGCTTAGAGAACCCTCTATGGTACTTTGGGGAGACTTTGGATCTCTAGGAAATTAGTTTGAAACCCATGCCATACACCATAGTGAAGGTAAGAAACACAAGTCTTGTGAACGTCCGCAAAAACCCAAGACACAAGGACGGCCAGCCGTCGTGGCCAAGCTCCTCGTTATGCCATTCCAGGCTTTTGAATATAAAATGCCAAGAGTGCGACGGGACTCTGTTTCGAAATTTTGCATCAAGATTATATAAATCTTGCGAGGAAACAATTGGAAAAGAACCTAGATGGAGCTATTATTCGCACCAAGCTAATAGCTCTAGTAGTGACCCGTCTTGATGGCAGATGACTGCCAACATTCCTCGAAATCAAGCACCAGCCGATGTTCCTTTCTGTCACAGACCATTCTGATTGGTGAAGACAATCACGATGGAAACGCAAATCGATTTAGCTTCAAAGCACTGCCTCGACGCACAGAAACCGGAGGGCTACGTTTAGTGTAGGTTTTTATGAGAAGTATGTCGTGTCAAACTTTTGTATGGTGTAGTAATACATCACAAACAAACGGCAGTGGCAGCAATACAAGTTCTTTTATTTAGGCACTGTTGCTATGGGCATACATAACTTCAGTCAGACAATGCCACCAGGGGCGGATGCAGGTGTTTCCAGGGGGGGAGGGGGGGTTCAAAATCTCAGATGCTGGACAAAACAGGCTCCCCTTTTTTCCTGCCACTAAAAGCATGACCCCCATCCCCCTCTAAATCTGCTACTGAATGCCACACTGTGTTCTGATCCTTGAACAAACAGATATTATTGAAGTGTCCACAATGTTCTCTTTAATACTTAGGGTTTTGTGTTAATGAAGTTTACTTCCTGACAAATTTGAAGGACATTTTCCACAAGCATTGTACAAAACGTTTTTTAGTTTATTAGTTTAGTTTTTTACTTGGTTTTCGAAGTTATTTGTTTTGGAACTGTATATTTGGCTTTCATACGCCACACATTTCCAAGACTTCTGAAGAACGGATTGTCTGTTCAATGGCTATTTAGTCAATCGGATGTTATTCAACCTAGCTGCATTATTTTATGGGACGAACCTGAGATCAGAAGACCAACTTACTATATACCACCTTACCTGCTTTGTATTATTAGGTTGTGCACTATTTCTCATTCTTTTTATAACAAAGATGTTTATAAAACTTGAGGGGCTCTTCCTATAATGCTGTGGATGGCATTTGCAGTTTGAAATTCACAGAAGCAATTACTTTTCACCTGCAGCCCCCAAAGCTGGCTTGCAATTCTCGCAACATCGCGCGGTATGTACCAAATGATGGCATCCTCTTCCTACCATTCGTATATCAAGATGTGTAAAAATATAAGGATGTTGCTAAATTGTGAACTGAGGATGCTTGGAGCTCAATTACTGTTCTAAAAATGAATCAAAACCGTACAATTGTTTACTTACAAGCCTTTATTGGATTAATCTTAAAATCCTAATTCTATGTATGATTAATAAAGTATCGTCCCACATACAAGCACACGTGCGCACAGTACCATAAACATGAAGGTTCAGCGACTTTTAAATTTTCTACAGCTCAGAGAAATTCCCTTGGATAAAGATCCCCTCTAGCATGAAAAGCTTGACCCTAAAAGCGTGCCTGAAATTGACCCACTTTAATATGTAGTCGTATTAGTTCTAGTCCTCTCACAATCCAAATTTTACAGGGGTAGCTACTTTACTATTCGCAATAGTTTGATAAAAGAGAAGCTGTCGTAAAAAGGCAGTACCATATTGTCACTTTGATGAGCTTGCTGGTACAACGTTCTAAATTTCTGACTATTTTTCATTTACAAATATACCACTTCAAATCTGTCCTTACCTAGCCCAGTCTACTTACACACAGATTTAGAAAGTTGAATTACTATGTACAGTGGTGTTAAGAGCCAACGAAGTCACAGGAGCATGCGCTCTAGAACTACACACGCACGTCATGCTGGCGGCGACCGGATCCACACGAGCCGGGCGCCGGCTGGTTGCAAGATTGGCGGCAATCAACATCCGGCCATTTGGCCTTGCTACGTTTGACTTACAACACTAGGTCAGCCCTATCAAACTTGGCAAGGCTGGATGTGGCTTCGTTGGCTTTTTTCACCACTGTACTTGGGCACATAGTATTAGGTAGCTGGACACAGGTCAGTTCAAGTGTTTCAGCAAACAATGATGCGCAAAGAAGCATATCTTGGAGGCCGTCACAAAAGGAATGAACCGCACACTGGTTGCGAGAGTTTCACATATACAATTTATACAGAAGCTTCAGTGCTGGCGAATCTCCTCGATCCTGCTCCTCGTCTCCTTGCCGTGCCCTTCAAGGAAGAGACCAGTTTTTATACACCAACTGATGTTTACAAACAAAACCAGAGCACACTCAGCGGCAGGCCACCGGCACTGCACATGCACAGCATCTCGCATCAACAAACAATTGGAATGTGATGATGTCGGCGTCAACGTGGGGCCTTGTGCTCTTCTTTGTGTCTCCCTAGCAATGTCTTACTACTTTAGCGGCCCGAACAAAATTATGAGGCTCGTTACACTGCAAAACTTTGCAAAAATTATGTGATGTGCAGCGATTCATTCTGCAGGAAAGCCGCAGAATGGACGCTAGAGGCTGATTCACACGATGAGATTCTGCTCGCTATTTTCAGTCGCGACATCGCTCGGGCTGAAAAAGCGCGGACGGTAGTTGCGATGCTCAACGTCGATACCAACAATCGCAAACGAGATCGGACCAAGTGAATCGGGCATAACCAGTTGGTGATGGCCACTGGTAACTATGGTCAACACCTCCTTATATCTACTGTTTACACCGAGCCAACCCAAACAACTTTCAAACCAGAAGTCTTTTGAGGCCTCCACTTCTTATCACAATGTTTGGTCGACTGGGCGCCAGTGTTTGAACGAGCAGATAACAGTTTGGAAAGATCAGACGACTGTTTGAACGTAAAGACGCACTGAACGTGGGTGGTCCGGACAACTTGACGGTTTTCCCGCATTCATGTTGGAACAAAACAAATAAATTTGACGACCACAAGTACCCGTGAATTTGGCACAAAGTGCTTCCTGCACAAGCAGTCGTGGTCTGACAATATCTCGTTTTCCCTCTTCACAGCACTTAGCTATGTTCTCAGACGAACCGAGCAGGTAGAAAGCACATGAAAACTGATCTTCACACCTTTCCCAACTCTTTTGGCACAGAACCCAGTCGCAATATCTTAACAAAAAGGCAGGTCTTAGTCTGGTGTCTTCCAAAACAACACGGGAATGCCCGTCCTACTCAGTGACTTCCGCCTAGACTCCCAGACCAGACGTGCGCCCAAAGTGCCACCACCGCAGCGTGACATAACAGAGTTGAGTTGGTGCATAGAATATTTCCCGGCACGCAGTAATGGCCAAGGCATTTCTGAACTAATTCTACATAGCGAAGACATCACTGTCCCAAGCCTAATCACGGGTCAGATAAAATACTCTACTACTGCTATTACAAAAGTAATGAACACTGCACAATTAACTTTTACCTATATTAAATCATTCCATTTTCCATTTCTGCTAGTAGCATTGCTAAAACAGATGGCTACGTTGTTTTTGTGGTTGCGCAGAATGTAACCAAAGAGGTCTATCGATGCAGCTTAGCAGACAAGCTTATTCAATGAACTTGACACTAATGAAATGCACACAAGTAACGGACATGTGCACTCTGCAAGACTGTTAGTAAGAATGCGACAGCAGCCATTTTTATATTAATTTTTGTTTCGAAAGGGTATTGTTTGGCCCCACATCTTTCTGCTTAGGTTAGTGTCAGTGAACTCCTTCTACCACCCTGGTAGTTTCGACGACAGCTTTAGACCTTAAAAGAAAAACTGGCAATCGCTTGTTTGCACCAACAGTGTCGCACAGCATACTTAGCTCGTCGTTATACTAGTGGCATCTTTTGCTGTACCATATCACTAGGAACCTTTTTACTAAGTGATTGTTTACCTTCCTCAAACATACTTCCCTATCCCCCATCCAAATATTGCATAAAAATACATTTCATCCAGCGATTGTGGCCTAGAACAGAAACACACCTTTTTCAAGACACCGTCCAGCAAGTGCACTCCAACAAACACTCAACTGGTCTAGTCCGCATTACCAAGAACCCTTCTCACCTTGTCGCCGAACATGTCAGTCTCTAAAGCCCAGCCGTCGTCTCAGCCACTCTCATCTCCTGCTCTGGTGAGGCAACCTGCAGCCATAAACCAATGCACATCTTAATCGTATAATATAGAGCAGGATGTCTCAAACACGCGGCCCGCGATTCGCTGAATGCGACCCACAGGCCCAACCGGCTACGAGTCCCGGTTCCCATGTCTCGAGCGTTAGAAATGGCACGCGCCATCATGATTTTATCTCGCCGAGTCATTTTCACTCGAAAAGCAGCGCCACTCTTTTACCGTATTCACATAGTTCTTACTTGTCTGTGTTCATTTGCCTTTTGTTGCACTTTATGTTTTCCTTCCCAGCTTTTTGTATGTAACATTTTTGTTACTAGGCTGCAAGCGTGAGCTCTTTAATGGAGGATGCATCTCGGCTCTGCAAACCCTCGATCAGCAGGAGCAACTGTCAAAGATAAAGCTGCGAGCTCGGGATTCTCGTCTTAAAACAAATAGCCACATTAAAAGAAAAGTATGGGTGTTGTCACAGAAATCGTCAGGAAAGCAAGAACTGACAAATTAACAGATTACTTTTTAGAGACATGTTGAGCTCGGTTAATTCCCGAGTAAAATGTGGAACGGGAACGACAGTGTACTTTCTCTCGTTTTGTTAAAAATGCGAGCATGCTAGCGGAGCCGTGCCATTTTAATTATAGTTATCACATCAGGTCAGGGCCCAAAGTAGTCATATAAACAAATCATATCTAAAAATGTTACTGGCAAAACAGAGTTTACAAAAAGCATAGAGCACCAGGTCCCTTCTCTTTAAAACCCTTTCAACCACTTCCCCTCCCCCTCCCCCTCCCCCCCCTTCCCCCCACGCTCAAATGAGTTCGAGACCTCTGATATAGACCATAGGCATAGACCAGCACAAATCTTAACCATATACCATGGGTTCTCAAACTGGGATCTTAGCAGGGTGGAAAATAAAAATCAAGATGATTTAAATTGATTTAAGTCAGATCAGTGATGACGATTTAAATCAAATCTTTCCTGCAAAAATATTGAAAATAGTTTTTATTTACTTACTAACCATGTTGGATTAACCTGAGACGGGGGTAGAGACTGAAGTACTTAAACTGTACCATAGACTTTGTCCTTTTGTGTTGGTGGAGATGACCTTGAGATTGACACTACATAAGGGGGTGGACTAAATAAACGAGTTAGCCGAGTTTGAGACGTCGTCTCGTCTACTTTTTGTCTCTTCTACGTTTTGATGTTTCTTCTCTGCCCTAGTCTCAGGTTAATCCATCATGGTTAATATTCACCAGCTTGCCTGCACCCTTACGAAATTTATTTATTTGGCGTTTGTCTATTATTTTATTCTTCCTATGTGCATTTGTTTTGTACTAAAATCAAAGAATCGTCAAGCAGGAAAAATTTATATGAGGCTGAACACGAGCAGAAAGCGGCTCTCTTCTGGGGAAATCGGAGCAATGGACTTTCTTTCTAGCTTCCACTCTGTTTGTCCGTCACGTGATATCCTATTCCAAGCAAATTAGAATGTGAAAGAAAAGCAAATAACGCTTTTAGCTTTATCCTCGTTATGTCCGGGCACCTGTACAACCGCTACAGATTTCGAAGCCTTTGCTTCTACCTCTCGCAGCATGGCACGCAGCTCGTGAAACGTGACAAAGGACAAACGCTGGCCGCCGCACCCTTTGGCCTTGGCCTGCTTCTTGCTCGGCTTGTCCATGTGGCCATCCTCCCGCGCATCGGTCGTCACCTGATCCTCCGCATCCTGCGACTGCACCTTCAGATTCTTCTTGATGCTCGTCACCTGCAAATGCAAGAAGTGGGCCTTGGCGTTTCTAGCCGAGAAAGCCACTTCCTACACCCCGTTTCACTTCAAGCACGAGCAAAACCAAAGCTATGAGCACGGGCACGTTCCCAAGCCAAATATATGCTCGTGTTTAGAGAGCGTTGGTCTGCCTTTGAGGTGTGGCAACACTGGCTTACAGTGCAGATGAGAAATTTAGCCAGTGCAGTACAAATGCCAGCCTGGGGTCTTTAATAGTGCAGCACGCAGTGGCGATGCACGACCGCACGCCGGTACGAATCTCACCCAGATCGGAATGGGCAGGGGGGAGGGGATTGAACCCGGGACCCCCGAGTTCCGTAGCATGAGCTTTCGCTCCACGTGCTCCGGGGCACCAACGCACTCGGCCACTGATCCCCCGGGGCACATTGCCCCGAGCCGATGCTTCCACTGCAGCATTGCGCATGCTTGACAGAAATGCCGAAAGCCTGGCGCTCACTCTTGTAGCTTTTGCTGTGCTTGCACATAAAGTAAAACAAAGCATAGTAGCAGTTTTCAAGTTTCTATAAACTCTTTGCATATCTAGGACATAAAACGGGTATCAGTTTGTAATAACACCGCTGGTATTCTAAAGAAAAAAAAAAGGCCAGAGGTTTAAATTTATTTGCTTTTCTTAGATTTTGGCCAGTAGACGAACCATCGCATGTAATGCAACGCATTCTCTGTTATTGGAAGCGTGCAGCAAGACGGTGGCATCACGTCGCCGCTCCTATCAGAAGGGTGGATGGACATTGTGTGCAGCAGTCGACCGTAGTTTCTATTCGACGTCGGCTCACCCGAGCCTCCCGCTACACAAATTGTTCGGGGCCACATTCGGCGCCAACTCCGTTTACACTAAGGATGAAAATTAAAAACCCTGGTCCCCGTTATGCGCTGGTTAAAATAGCTGCGATCATCTCGTTCCCAAAAGGCTTACTCGATCCGCCAGTGAGAAAAGAGCAACCTGATAAAGAGAGGAGCCAAAAATACCTCTCTAATAGATTTTATCAGTCACTGACACTGATAGCAGTTACTGGACGGACGAACACGCAAGCACTTTGTTGAAGCGTATTCCAGCATAGACATACGAAAAGCATGCCGGTGCGTCACCGTTGTTGCTGCTTTCACCGCGGGGACACGACCGAATCTGAAGTTTCAACTGGCCTTGCGGGTCAAATCACGTGAGAACACACAGACAGCGACAGTGGATGCTAGTAGGTTTTTGAATATCAAGGTAGGAAACCTACAATCCCAAACGAGATTGAGAAACACGGCCACATGCAGACATGGCCACGGCGAACGCATTAAACTGCATTAGTAGCGGACAAAGCGGGCAGAGCGTCTATGCTGTGTCGTACCGATACCACTGTTGATGGCACTGCAAGGTGGAGCGGCATGCCCTCTTTAGGTGTCGCACGCTCCCCATTAAGAAAGCATTTTTCAGAAATTAATGCGAGGAGCATCGTTTCTTGCAAGTAGACAATTCATTCGACGAAACAAAAGCTACACTACAATAAGATTGCAGAATCTCGGAGCGAAATAGGGAAAAGCTTGTCCAAGCTGCACGACTGACACATGATTTTGTTGCTCTTGGAACCAGCAACCAATTGAAGTACATTTCTTGTTTGCTCAAATAAATCCCGGGCCAAAATTTTAGTTAAAATGCTTTACTTGCTTTGGCTTGCCATTAGATATAGTGATAGAATGCGCACTAAAAAGACCCTGCATGGGCATATAAGCGGCATAGGCGCAGCTGTCACGCAGTAGCCAGCTCTTTCCAGCTACTGAATTGCCTCTAAGGGTTGGTAAAATTCCGAGAATTAGTACCTCCAAAGATTAATAAAAGGACCAAACAGTACCCCAGTTCAACTCTGAGGTTTTCTATTTGTCAGCATACTGTAATACCCCGAGAGATAGCCCATCTAAAATTGACAGCGAACCGGGTCAAAATAAGCAGTAGCCTTAATTTCAATGTACAACCAAAAAAAAAAAAAAAAAAAAAAAAAAAACTATTTTAGGTCATGTTTTTCTGCGAAAGTTGTTATTGCAGCGAGACACAGTGAAGCAAAGATGACTGTACTTCCCAGTCAGCAATGTTTGCTTATATCCCACCATAGTTAACTATAGATGCATTTATGCCGAGGCCACACTGATCTGAACACTACGATTACTAGGAGTAGGCAATCTTTCAGCGTTTAAAGAAAATACCAAATAAAGCTAAAAATAGAGGTGGGTTCTCTTTCAGGGGTGGCCCATCTCTCAAGGTATTACGGCATGTGTTTTCCAAAAATTTGAGACATATACGACGAAACGCTTTACAAAACTATTAATCAGCCGAGAATGTGGTCAAATCGGTACGTATCCTCTCGTCGCTAAGCCAACAGCCAATCAAACAACAGGAACTGCCACCAACGTTGCTGGGGGGACACATTTGCATGGGGAAACAACAAAGCGACCACAAAAATTTCTAATTTCTCAGACCTTTCCAAAAGCTTTCCTAGACTTCTCAAGCATTCAGAAACTTCCAAATTACTCCCAAAACTGCTACAATCTTTTGAGGGCTTTTCATAGCTCAGTCACAAAGGGCCTTGGTTATGCCGTCAGCAAAACAAACAAAGAGCGAGAGGCCCTTGCCCCCAACTTTTCCCAGACGTCAACACGGGGTTACCTCGTTCTCGATCTGCTGCTTGAGCTTGATGTGCGAGTCCTTCATGGCGTTGGCACGGCTGATCTGGCACTCAATGTTGTTCAGCACCACCTCGCAGCTGGTGCACCTGCGACAAGACAATGCAGCCGAGCAAGGTGAGCCTCTGCTTTCGTCTGGCACGCTGCCCTCCTCCCACTTTGAAAGGAAGAACTAGTGTGAGGAATTAACTAGAGCCACTCAGAAAGCTACGCTAAGAGCGTCAGCACTCCATTCCTTGATTGAATTGTGAGTGGTAGTGCATATGTTAGTGTAGAGCGGGTGCAACTGGAGATAGTTTCAATTAAGAGAGGTCTTCCTCAGCATGAGATACGACGTCAAAAAGCTCAGGCGATATCGTTTTTCTCTGTCACGGTCTGTCTTAACGTGTTTGGAGGCCGGAAAAGCGCTTTCTTGGATTTCAGGTAGAGGTTCGGATGACTGGCAACCATGATTTTGAGCACCAAGATGGCAGAAGGGTTGTGACACTGAAGAGTAACTGATTTCCCGGCTCTGGGAGTAATCAAATGTGCCGGAGTCAGCAGGATGGCAAAATGTATACCTCCTGAGCTTAAAATGGCTATAGGTTTAGGTACTCTCCAAAGACCCATGCTGGCAGAGGCAAGTCAATGATTGTTATCAATAGTTGTGCAATATTCAAATTTTCAAATACCGTAATATCCCGAGTCATCGCCCATCCCTGAGCCATCGCCCACCCCATTGTTTTGGGCCAATATCGATTTCCGAAAAACCACCGAGTCATAGCCCACCCCTTCAAATACCCTAGTGCGGACTCTGCGATCCCGAACACTCATCCTACCCGAATGACGCGGCCGCGGACCTTACAGTTGGAGGACGTCCGTGACAAAGTACGACGAAGGAGGGAAAGACACTTCTTTTTGTTTACGCATTTCCTCCGTGAGCGACCCCAAAGTGGTCGCGTAGCCGTGCCAAAAGAAAACGATGGAGATAACAAAATAAGAGTTTGTTAATATAACCGCGGAGTGTTAAGCCAAAGTCTGTCTCCGCCGAAGTAAGGACACCGCGAACCCGCTCCTTCTTCCCGCCCGTCGCGACCGCGGTTGTGCAATATTTTAGGCAAAGCCAACGCGTAAATAAAGCTTTGCTGGAACGCCCTACACACAGACGTTTGCAGAGCGTCCCAACCGTGCATTGATAGCCCGCCGTGCACGGACGCACGTATGTACGCACCAAACAAGAAAGTTGCGCAAGAGCTTGCGATTGACAAGGCGCCCGACTTGGCCCGACGCCAAAGTATTTGCCAACGTGACCGCCGGCTTTCCCGCTTTCCCAGAATTGCTCTTGGTCGCTTCTTTAGTCCGCTCGCTCGCTCGCCCGCTCGCTCGTTGCGCCTGGTCGGTTTTTCTATTTTCTTGTAGACTTTTCTTTCTTTTCTTTTTTTACTAACTAGGAGAACATAGTGGTGACATTCTTTCAGGGAACAAACGTTCGCGCTATATGCAGATCGGCGGTGTTTCTAGCGCGTATGCAAGCAACGGACTTCGCTATAGTAAAATATTCTTTCGTGAGCATTTTTTTTTTATAAAACAATGAAACTAAATCGAGTTTTGAGTTTGATGTATCTCTTGTGCATCAGCGCTAGATACGCAGAGAAAAATAGGCGGTTTTTTCCGCTTTTTTTAAGTATTTGTGCTCACCCACCGAGACATGGCCCACCCCACTTTTTTAATGAATTTCAGGCGGTAGGGGGGTGGGCGATGACTCGGGATATTACGGTAGTAGTTTCAGATAATAGGCTATTCAATCTTCGCTTCGAGATCAACTGAGATATTTATACTTCTCGAAAAGTTGATTGCGGCGGGTGAGACCCATTGAGTGTGCATTTTCACCAAGCACCCATGCACTGCGAGGAAGCAAGACTCGCGGAGCTCGAGATATTGCTTCTCCGCAGTGCATGGGTGCTTGATGAGAAGCGCACTTAATGGGGCTAAACGCTCACGAATATCCAAAAGCGTATGTTACCTACGCAGCAATGTCTTGACAACCCCCATTCATCATTTGCACTTTTTTTCCCTTCGTAAAAATTAAAATTAGTAAAAAATTTGCATCTAGCAAGCATATTTATAAAGCCCCTCGTGCAGATTATTTGCTGTTGGCTTGGATATTCCTACATTAACCGAATATTCGACCATAACTGAATAATCAGAAATTTCAGAATATGCAATTCTCGAATCGAATACCAATCGAATAAGAAAAATATTTTATTTGTATTCGAAATACAAATCAAATATTTTTTATTCATATTTCGAATAGCACACTCCTAAAAGCTCTTATTGTTTGAAAATATAATGCATGTGTGGAAGGCGTATAAACGCTGACACTTCTACAGCTATTCAAATTAAATGACAAACAGAAGAAAAATTCAGAATATACAAAGAATATACAAAAATTCAGAATATACAAGGGCCATTACTTCTGAAAGTCAGCATACTCTAACTGACGTCTTTTTTTTAGTTTGTCGGAGAGTTAGTCTCCGTAACAGAACAGCTTTTCAACGAGGGAATGCTCATATTGGTTAAACACAGATAGTACACCTCACATCCCCAGTAGATTGCTTTCTTTGTGTTCTACCTTCATTTTGTCATAGCCTTGATTGCAGTTCCCTCATATTTAGAAATTTTGTCCGCCTTGTTGGGAACATAAAAGAGTGCACGCCGGCTCAGGACAGCACTAGAAATTATAATGATGCTTACCGACAACCATCTGTTAAGCGATGCCTATAACATAATTTAAAGTGTCCCCAGAGGTTTTGAGGTCTAAAAAATATGCCACGATACAGTTGAATAACATGTATCAAGCCATCTTTTTTTACGAAGAATGACGCCAGTAATTAGCCGAGTTAGACATGTGGAACCACCGTTCTTAAAACTATTTTTTACGACCCACCAGCTTGTGATAAAGCTCAAACCTAAGTTAGAATTGTAATTACAGTCCCTTGGCTATCTACGAGATTGTGGGACCAAATGCTCTGCACTAAATTTAATTTCTCGATGGCACTTGAAAACTATCGATTCCTGGCGATCGATGGCCTATGGGCTTGGTAAGGAAAGAATTAGGTACCATAAACGGCACGAATTTCATTTCAATATTGTATATAATAAAAAAAATCTTTTCCCCTGACACATGTCCTCTCAAGCTTATAAAATATTTTCTATTCACAAACAGAATAGCAAATCCTAAAACTAATGTGCAAAAAAAAAAAGGGAAGAGAAAAAACAAAAAAAGACACACACTTAAATGATTTTTGTTCTGTGGACCTCTGTGCTTATTTTTTTCCAACTCGGTCTCGAGGTATACCATCATGTTCAGTACACACCAGTTTTCCTCCACTTACCAAACGGGCGCTGACAGCCCAAAATCTGCATTCTTTTTTACTGCCTTACTTGCTTCAGATTTGCGTCATATAACTATGATTTTGGGTTTTCTGAGTTTAATTCCTCATGAAATTCTGAGGGTGTTTTTTCGGAGTTCATTTTTCCCATTTTACTTTTTACTGCGTCGTTGTGACCTCAAAATTTCGAGTCTTACAGATGAATCTGAATTGGCAGAAAATTTACCGGCAAGTGTTTTTCAGATTGTTTCAGATTTATTCAAAAACATGAAACACTGCATATAACCAAAAAAAAATTACCAATGCAGGGGGAAAGCTTCTAGCACTCAAACGCAGATTTTAAAAAAGCACACCCTTTTCTCCTGCCAGACACCCCCTTGCAATTGTTTTTCTGATTGTGTGCCACGACGTAATCGATGGTTGAATATACAGAAACTTTGGGGTTGCAAAAGTTGCCTTTTTATAACATTTATTAAAGGGACACTGACACTTTTAAAATATGTTTTATTATTTTTTGTTAGGCGATTCCTTATGGTGTCAGAAGACTACCCAATCAATATTTTGCTACGGCGTCATGTGTATTTTTAATAAAGTAAAAAAAATGCAACTACTCTAAACCGAAACTGGACTGGGAAGAAAGGAAAAATATAGAGGAGGAGTGTGTTGCAAGAAGTCACGTGGCTGTGCAGCCTATCTTTATTTCAATAAGCGTATTTGCACCTCTTTAGAAGCCACAAAAAATATGTATAACATTTTGTTTCTAGCTTTAACACTGAGTGTGTGCCTTTGATAACCCATGACTTCGATTATCTTTGGTGGTTGTGTCTAAACCCTAGAAAACGGCACGTGACCACAAAGAAGATGGTGAGCGCGACTCAAACCGACCAGTTGTCGATCGGCGGTTTTCGGGCGGAAAGAACACGAATTTCGAGTCGCAAGTTGTGTTCTGGGAAGTTAAGTTCTCATATGTCATGCACAAATAAAAACCTTGGTGAGCATAGATACCCTGTCAGTGCCCCTTTAAAGCGTGCACGAAACATATTTTGTACAAACGTGGCTTGCACACGACAACTCCAGTCTCAAAATGTAAAAATCAAGTTCTGAAAGTGGCTTCATCGTGACGTCGACGCATTGATGTCATCTCTCTGCCGCCTTTGCTTCAATCTCTCCAAATGGCGACGCCCAATGGTTGTGCCGCAAGAGAGTGCGATGTTGGCGATTGCTCGGAAGATCGGGTGTCTTTTTTGGTACCAGACGACCTTTCTGACTCTGAGAAGGAGTCAGTCGAACATTCACCGAGGTTGGGTCTGGTACCGTAAGAGACGCCCAATCGAGAGACAGAAGATCCCAACGAGTATGTCGCAGAGTCGTCAATACTTTCGCCCGCTTCAGAGTTGTGGCACCTCGACAACGCAGACTGGTAAGATTGCATTGCATGCACCGAGCAGTTGTCCTGCAGGAATTGCCTTTGGCCTGTCTTCTTCTCTGCCTCAGTCTTTAGAAGCTTGTGTAGAGGGACAGTATCGGATGTGCCGGCGCAGGGACAGTCTTTGACGCAACACCAACGCTCATCAAAGTTCGCTGCACTTTGTCTTCAACTGCACTGTTTTTGAAACTGGTTTGAAACACCTAAGCAAGAACAGTGGACCAACAATGTATCAAAACTTGCAACTGACATGTAAACTGCTTACGTATGCATGGCCGGCGCAGAGCTGGCAGAGTGAGATTTAAGAGCAAGTTCGTGATCAACGAGGGGTGGTAGAGGGAAAGACGAACAACACTTCCGGTCGGAGAACAGCGGAAGAAAAAAAGAAAAAAATGCACCAAACCATCTTTCTTTCGGAGGAGCACAAAACTTCAAATTCGGCTTTCTGAAAAAGAAAATCCTATCCCTACAATTATGTATGTTGTTTCTAGGCTTTAAATTTTAAGCGTGATGTCTGAGTATCAAGTCTGAAGGGACCAAAGGTTCCTTCAATTTATTTACAGCAAACAAACTATATACAAGAGCTATGTAAATAAAAAGACGTCCGAGATCCCCGAACACCGGTATGCTGCTTCGGTCTCGAGCATTCCCTCGTCTCATGTCACTTCTTCCTTGTCTTCTGCTGGAACCGGATAGGTCACCCGCTACAAGTCTAACCATATAGTAAATTTGAAGAAAAAAATAAAAATGCATTTGGGGGAGTCAGTGCTTAATAAGCATTTTTCGATTGCTTGGTTCTCATTCAGTTTTGAAAGCTCGAAAAGTACATATTCTTACTTGACCCTCGTTCAGTCTCAAACATTTCAGAACAATTCCATCTGGATTCACAGCACTCTGCAGACTAACTTTCTATATGTTTATGTAAACTGCACAAGAAGGAACTGTTCTGCAGCCAAAGGTGAACTTAGCAATTTCCTGCCTTACGCAGTTTTTTGAAGTGCCACCCGCCACCCGCACCGCCGCCACTCGCGCCGTCGCTCCCCCCCCCCCCCCTTTTTCAAGTAAAGTTTTTAGAATTAAATTGGCTTAAGATTGTGACCAGTCTTGGGTAGTAACGCGTTACTAGTAACGCGTTACTGTAATTTCGTTACTTTTTTAGTAACTTGTAACTGTAATGAGTTACTTTTTGAAAATGTAACTTGTAACTGTAACTGTAACTTGTAACTGGAAAGTAACGACAAAAGTAACGACGTTACTTTTGTCGTTACTTTCCAGTTTTTTATGAATAATATATCACTGAACGAGGGTACAATTTAGACATTCTTTTTGCTTTGGAAATTGTCTGTTCCGACATTTCGAGTGTCAAGTTATTTTTTACACAAACTTGTGAGTACGCTCTTTCTCGCCAGTCACGACCCGAATATAGCCACGTGTAGATTTGCACGCGCGTATACTTTGTGTGTGAACACTTACATCTTGGTATCTTGAAGAACTATCTCTTTTGCGGTTTTTCTTTTTTCTGCGCGAGCGCTTTTTAATCGGGTGAATCAAACGTGAAAGAACAATACACGCGGAATGCAGTGCGAATGTTTCGTATTTTGATTAGCGCCGCCACTCCGCACTACGCATGTTTCGTATTTTGATTTGCGCCACTACTCCGGCGTAGTATCAACAGTCGAGGCAAAATGTTTTGCTGTTTGCGCGGGGTTTGTTTCTGGCTTGCCGGGTACGAACTGAAATATGTCCAGGGACTCTATGAACCCAGCCCAACCGTCAACGAGCCAGCAATGTGCTAGTGCTACCAAGGATAGGGATGTTGATAAGAACAAAGAAGAACTACCATGGCCGGCGTACAGAGAGTATTTTGCTGTGGTAGAGGCGGTTACCAACAACGTGACCGCAGAAAAAGGCACTCTGTTGCCTCAACGCCTAGTCGGTAACCAAAAACCTGTTCCGGCGAAACAACACAGCAATCCCATCCAGCGCGTTAGACGAACCCCTGTTGATCAAGGGCAGGGACGTGTTCGTTATCAAACAAGGGAATCTTTCAGACACTAATTTCGAGAAGCAACTGCTGCTAAGTTACAATATGAAGTAAAAAGCACACTTTTTAATTTCATGCGAATAAACTTGGTGAAAAGCGTTTTCTAGTTTTTCCTAATTTTTTGTTATAAAAAAAGTAACTGAAAAGTAACGTCGTTACTTTTTAAAAGTAACTGTAACTGTAACGAGTTACTTTTTTATTGCGGTAACTGTAACGGTAACTTCGCTACTTTTTTTCAGAAAGTAACTGTAACTGTAACGAATTACTTTTTAAGAGTAACTTACCCAAGACTGATTGTGACCAGTCTACAATGTCTATAAACAAGTGGAGCTGCCCAGGTGTACTTCAGAATGGCATGGGATTGAATTTGATAGCCTGAAGTAACAACTGGAAGATACGGTTTCCAGTTAGTTCATACCCGTCTTCCAAAGCGAGACAGATTATTGCAGCTGACACCAAGATGACCGTGAAGCTCACTCGAATAGTACGTGCCATAAAGCAACATCGCATAACACATCTTTGTCTTGTGCACACCGCTTTACAAAGAAGTTTCATGGTGGGTCCCGGCTCCGACGTGCCACGTGCACAGAGTAAGCTCGAGAAGTATTGGCGTCACTCTGGTCAGTGAATTTTGCTGGCCCCCAAACTCTGCCGCTCCAGGCAGCTGCCTACTCTGCCCGTTGGTTAGACCACCCCCGAAAGCGGTCCAGGCTCACCACTCCTGCAGGACCTTGATGACGGTGCCGATGTCCTCCGTGCGGATGTCCCGTCCAATGGTGTAGTCCACTTCCAGCTGGTTGTTCTTCTGGTCCAGCTTGCCCCGCACCACGTCCGCATAGATCACCTCGATTATTAAGTCCTCCAGCTCACGCAGGTTCTTCATGTCCAGCTCCTTGAGGAGCGTCGAGTATGGGATGCACTGCAAGGAATTTGTAACACGCAAGAAGGACCGTTTGGGCATGCCCACTAACGGCCCGACAAACGGAACTTTGTCGGTTTGCCGCAATGCAAGAAAAAACAACGGATAATATGAGTCGCGGGCGCAAAGTTAATTTTAACCCCTGCAAATAAAGCGGGAAGAGACGGCATGTGCAGCGTGCTTTGAATTGTGCTGGGTTGGTGCGAGATGAATATAGCGTCGCACGCACGATGTCGTGTGACACCAGGACCAAACTTACGACCGTGACAAGTATATCATGGTGTCCGTGTCGAGTAATGATGTAATGTGATGTTATATCGGGTGACCGCATCGTCTGTTGTGACATCGGGTCACCTGAGGTCAGTGTGAGGTCACAATGTCGCGTGACAAGATTCATGCTGACGCTGTCACCTGAACAGCGTCCAATAACGAACACTCTTTCCATGTCCTTATATTCTTAATAAAAGCATTCACTACAGTTAATGTCACTCACCAGCACTACTTAAAGAAGCCCTTTCCGAAATTCAGTCTGGCCGCTTTGATCACTATCATCTGAGGAATGGCATATGGGCCGTACTAATGGCGGCCTTGTGGTTAACTGATGATGAAAGGTTGAAGATGCTCCGAAGCGGATGATGCAAGGTCTATATATCTGAATCGTTAGTATGATGCGACACAGAAATTGAGTACAAGAGTTGTGTAAACGTTTCTTTCTAACCCTGTTTCAGCCCATCTGTGGGCGACACGTAATCGGCTTTACATCCCTTTGATGTATAAAATTTTATCATGGCTTCAATGTGAGTCGGTGCTTCGCCCCTACCGGTTGCATACTTGTCACCATCAAAACTGAGAGATCCAGAAAGAATTGTAAGGTAAAAACAGAATTTTTCTCGACTGCTGTTGACTAGTGAAAGTGATGGTGCCCGGCAAAATACTACAGACTGCAGGTCGATTACCGCCATTAGTATGGTAGAAGATAAACTGCAATTTAAGCCACCAGATGGCACTAAATTTCGAAAAGAGCCTATTGGGTCACATTTGGCTTAACTAAGCTTAGTGAAGACCAGTAGGGTTACCAGCACAATTGACAGAGACGCAACAAAAATAAGAATGATGCAGTGTCACCTTAGTTTTTGTTGCCAGCGAAACAATCGTGAGGTGTCGCAGCTTGGTGATCATGGCCGGAGTCAGCACTGGAAACTGCTCCTTGTTATCTGAAGAATGGAAAGAAAGCCAGGCTCACGTCAACAACGGCAAATTTTGAACTTTACGTGCCGAACTAATAAAGAGCATCGGCACACCCGAGAAAAAAACTGAGGATTAATTTCGACCACGTGGAAATTTTCTCACATGCAACCGAAGGACTCTTTTGCCCTTTTGTAATAAAGCTCAGTCAGACTGTGGGCACCTCGGCTGGGATTCGAACCTGCCAACTGGGAATCCATAGGCCGGCGCTTTGCCTTAGAGTGCATTCTCAAACTGGGTTCCTAGGAACCCAGAGGTTTCCCCAAGTTCCTAAATATATCAACAGTCGAACCCCTAAGCGAGGTATGCATAACTAGGAGTCAAAAGCTCCCTACTTATGCACATTATTGTTTACAAGGTCCGTAAGCTTTTACACCTCTTTATAAAATAAATGCTGTGATTCGGCGGGGTCGCTCGGCCATCAGTCGAGAGAAATAGGCTTTCCTCGATGTCAAAAAAATCGGGAGCTTTTGCCTCGGAGCATCGGGTCAAAAGACACAAAAAAAAAAGTGAGGACGTCTTACCATGATAGCTGGCATAAGTCCCAAAGGCAAACAGGTTAAGGAGGTTCAGGTAGGTGCTGTGAGAGCCATTGGCAAGCTGGAAGAGGAAAAAAGAACGCCTGGCTTTGAAGTTGTGTCAAACACGATAAAGGTGCGACGGCATTCGATACAGGTTTTAACGAGAGGTATTTTTTTAGCGGAACAAAAGTCAATGCGACACGTGGTGAAGGAATTGTGAACACGTAATGGACCTTTCTTCTGCGTCCATGCACCTCTTCTTTGGAGGCATTGCGTAATTTTTCCCAAAATGCCATCGAGCGTACCGTCTGACCGTGAAATGCCTCCACGCCTACCGACTGTTCTACTAATACGCAATTCCTACCCTACTATGCGGCCCCTGTTCCTACACAGCAGAGGAAGGGGCGAGGAAAGTGTCGGCGCACCGCTTAACCCCCACTCCGCAAAGCGCTACACTTATGGTTGCGTGCGCCACAACATCGAACCGACAGCTGCGCTCTGACATTCTCTCCCACGGCCTCGCTACAGCGAAGCCAAAGCCAAAACCGACACGAGCGAACGAAGATCGTGTATGGTTTCCATACAAAGCTATCAGCTTAAGAGAGCGTGGCCGTGATACCCGGTCATGCCACGCCGCAGGCTGCTCCTTTACCTCCTGTATGTTGGGCATGTCGAGCAGTTCTCCGAAGACATACACGCCCGGGGCTTCCGTGACTTGCTTGATGAGTTCGGCGGCCGCGGCGCCCTTGGCCGTCTTGGCCAAAAGCAGGTACTGTTCTAACTGCGACGACTGCATCAGTGCAGTGGGGCTCTTGTTGTCCGACATGGCGTGCCACCGGCGGGTCCAGGAACTGCACAAACCCACCAAGTCACGAAGAGGTGTTGGGAAGAGGACCAAACAGCAGAAATTAATTATGCTGTTCTCACAAAATTTAAAAACTTGTATGCAAAAAAAGAAAAAAAAGCAGCTTAATTATTTTTAGGTGAAATTTAGGCAGTTTACAATATACTGGGCTCACCGAACAGTTTGGCTACATTGCCACTGACTGCCACAATGCAGCGAGGGAACTTTAGCCTTTCTGTAAGTGCGACAAGATAGCTGCACCTCTACACGTGCAAGAGATGTCCCGCTGCCACCTATCAACTAAAGTTATGGCGGCGGCACGCATGCGCCAAAAGCCTGGTGAAATCGGTGGGAGCCTACGAAAAGTATAAAGAATGTCCCAGCAAAAAAGTGAGCTTGTTAGCTCCCTTAGGTACTGATATAAGTCCTTGGTGGCATCAAACTCCCACACAGCTTCTTTTTTTCTTTTTTTTTCAGCATCAAACTGCTGGTTTTTAGAAGATAGATTATTGATGAAAGAAACAGAACACTTACAGCAACAGCGCATAACCAAATCCCAGAACATACTAATTTTGGTTCGGCATGTGCTCTTTGCAGTCGACTAACAGAAAACTTCATATTAGAAAACTTTTCACACCAATGGAAATACCGTGACTTTGCAAAGGAGACCAACAATAAGGCACATTAGTCGTGCGAATACCCTCTGTACTATCACAGTGAGTATAATGGTGTAGATGGGTGAGCATGTTGGTGTCTAAATTACGAAAATGAAAGTGGGACATAGAATGCAATAGAGACGATGCAGCCTTTCAACTTGCAACAATACGTTTTGTTGCGAATCGAAACTCTGTGTCATCTGTATTGTATGTCCCTCTTTCGTTTTCATTAGTATAATGGTGAATGCCAAATCCTCATTATCCCTGCCAAGAGACAAAAGCACCACAGAAATACTTATTGCCCGACTATGTGCCTTTCTTAGACGTTATTCTCCTGAATGTTACGAGTTCACCATCATTCTGAGTGTGACAGTGCATCCATAGTGAATATAAAACAAGGATGCACAACTGCAGACAGGCAAAGCAGACAGCCTGCCATCATTGTCACCCCTCGTAAACTCCCCTATCAAGAAATTCTCCCCCCTTCCCAAAAGCGGATTGTATTATCTTCGCGCCAGCGTGTTGCAGCGACGTTCGTCTTGCTGGCTGCAAATACTTTTATGTCTTATACGATTGTATAATGGCCATATATGTTACATGAAACAGAAAAGCAATGGCTAGAGTAGCTGTACTTCTGCACAATGACAGAAATAAAAACAAGCAGTGCCATTCTACTTTTCGTTGTCAGTCTTTTTCGACATCTATCGTGACTAAGCAGTTCTACCACTCAAACCAAATAAATAGGTTCTGTGCTCAATATCCATGCTGCTGTATAGGCTGCAGATGACATAAAAAAAAAGTAAAATATTACTCCTGCAAGTGTGTGGCACTAACGAGTGGTGGCACAGCATTCCTCGGTTTAAGTTCTACCGCCCTGCGGAGCAACAAGCAATGGTCTGCTATGATGTACAGAGGTTAGCTCATGTCTACTATGCGTAGCAGTCCCCTAACACTTAGTAGTCAGCTAAGCAGTGATAACCATGACTCCTTTGCTTTGCAAGATACACTTGACCACCTATATGTGCCTCAATATGCCATTCAACTATAAGTCATGCAGGGAATATACAGTTTTCACACTTGTACCTTGCCTAGAGCAACAACTTCAAATTTGGGAAATTGTATGAACAGAAAATGTACCACGAACTGCAAAGCCAACCCAGTAAAGTTTGATCAGGTTTGCAAGTGAAGGCCTATGGGCTGCACTACAAGCTTCCTACACCAAGCTGCCAGCGTGAGAATGAGTGAGCTCAACGTTGCCACAGGATTTCCTCTCAATCAGCCAACCGCGTCCACTTACACAAGCTTACTACTTTCTATGAGACTCCTGTGTTTATGTCGTCCTGTAGAAAAAGAAAAGTATCAGGTAAAGTATGCCAGTCTCAGGTAGTCACTATGTTTACTAATATCTTCACCGCCACCTCCATGCACTAGGGCAGCGGTCTCAAACATGCGGCCCGCAACTCGCTGGGATGCGGCCCGCAGGCAACTGGCTACGAGTCCAAGTTCCCATTTCTTGAGTGCTAGAAATGGCATGCACCATACTGATCTTAACTTGTCGATTCATTTTCACTCAAAAGTAGCTCTACTGTTTTACTGTATTCCCGTAGTTTATGCTCATCTGTGTTCATTTGCCGTTTGCTTCGCTTTATATGGTTGCTTCCCAGCTTTTTGTAATGTATAACAATTCTGCTACAAGGCTGCAAGCGCGAGCTTTTGTTGGAGGATGCGCCTCGACTGCGCACACCTTCAATCAGTAGGATAAACAGCCAAAGATGCAGCTAAAAGCTCGGGATTCTCTCCTTCAAAAAATTATCACCATTAAAAGACAAACAAGTACATTTGTCAGAGTGTTGTAAAAAAAAAATTGTCAGAAAAGCAAGAACTGTTAAATTAGCTGATAGTTTTTTTAAGAGACATGTTGAGCTTGGTTGATCCCCGAGTGAATTGAGAAACGGGAACAACTGTGTACTTGCTCTCTTGCTCCATTGAAAATGCCAGCATGGTGGCGGGCAGCATCACTTTAATTCTTGTTATCACATCAGGTTAGGGCCCAAAGTAGGCATATAAACAGATAAAATCAAAAGATCTCATGGCAAAACTGTGAGTTTACAAGAAGCACAGACCACGAGGTCTCTTCTATATAAAAAAACTCTTGACCACCCCTTTCCCCCCTTCCCCCCGTCCTACGTTGGCCCTCGACCTTTCCGGTGTGGGCTATCCGGCACCCCACACTGAAATAAGTTTGAGACCACTGCACTAGTGCGTCTACATGTGCGCACATGAGCGCACCTTAGCAGTGTTGTGGAGTTGTCACTCCAGTATTGGAATGATTCCGGAATCCTTTCGCACTTTCGCTACCCTGGAATGGAATGAGACTGAAATGGGAATGGAATTAGATGCCTTTTGCAAAGATGGACAGGGAATGAAATGTGTTCGGTTCTTTTGCGAGCAGTGTTGATTTTCATCTAGGGGCTGATGGCACTATTCATAACCACATGGTAAGTGACTCTTGAAACAGCATCATTGCACTGAAGGTGTCTGACGGCTTGTTGTCTCACTGGCTTGTACTCCTTCAAGGATGAAAATGGCACGCCCTTAGTGAAGCAACCAAAACTGAATACTTGCAGATGTATGTGTTGTTCCTGGAGCCGCGACAAAGCAGCTGTTGTAAAAATCCACGATTAGCATGTAGTTGTTAACAAGGGTGTCGAACCGAACCGAAAACCCGAGCAAAGCTGTTATTTTTAACTGAACCGGAACAAGACTGTAACTGAAATCACACATTTGACACTGAACCTGAACCGGAACAGAACAGTAATCTCATGCAGCGGTTACTGATTCATTGGAAACGTTTCGGCGTAATAAAATGTGAGCCGCGCCTTCCTGCGGATGGCGGCACTAAGTCAATTAAATATTTGCGACGGTGGCGTCAGCAGCTCAGTTCTGACTAAACAAGCGACAGCGGCAACATGGAGACAGCTCAATAATATTGCAACAAATAAGTACAGTGATGTCTCGTTAATATGAACACCTCCATTCCCATAAAAAATTGTCCAAAATGTGAGTTGTCCATAATAACGAGACAAAAATGCAGGTATTTTCCCAGTTTGTCCCCGAAGGTGGTGTCCATTTGGCAGGGTATCCATGTTAACGGGGTCCATATTAACGAGACATGACTGTATTAGTATTTCACGTCTATGCATCGCACGAGTTGGCGTCGGCAAGTCAATGTGGAGGCGTATACACTTGTATAAAAAAAAAGTCTGATTATGCCGAGTTTAAAAAACTATTCTTCCTGCACACGCGTGTGCGTGTGTGTTCTTTTGCTGCAAAGAAATATTGCTCAAGGAAGGCAAAAGCAAACATAAACGTGAAAATAAAAAAAAGTTGACGTCTGTCGGTGCGTCTGTTCCACGGTGGCGATATCTGTAGGCGCCAAGAGCCAAAACCACGACGAGCGCAACACTACGGTGCCGGTCACCGGTACTTTAGTCGCCCGAACCTTTGGACACTACATGAAATAATTGTGTGTGTGTGTGCATATGTCTGTGCACGTGCGTGCGCGCATGTTTTTTTTTAGAAACGGCAAGTCGCCATTGTACTGTTTGTCCTTTTTTGTTTGAATTATCATTCGATGGGCCTTCGCCGTCTTTCTCCTCTTCAACTCAATCGTTCGAGCAAGTCGTTTGGGCGTGCGGTGTGGGTAGATTGCCGTTTCGATCTGGATGAGCATTGTACCAGCATGCGGTTATGTATGAGTACTGAGTGATATCCATTGAAGACTCCACACTAGCAGTCGTACTGCACTGAATAAATTTCTCATCTACAGTGGGTAACAATGTCGCCATACTCTGGCAGACTAAACTCCTGCTGTCTAATCAACGACTAATTTGTTTTTTGTGGGTGGTTTGCGAGTATGGTGCGTGCTACCATTACAGTGTCACTGTGCCTGCTGACTGATTGACTTCACATGAGTATTATACTTTGGAACAGTTTCCAAGCACCTGTATAACCACGTAATTTTCATTGAATGGTGTTTGCATTAAAAATTCAAGATCATGAAACGAAATTAAGCATGTACTTGTTTTAGTGTCCTCGTCCCTGCAGCACGGCTTCTGGTGACCTAAGTTTTTTAAATGCAGATGACACCGTGTTAAAGTAACCTTTTCTTCTTGATGGGAGCTTTGGAAATTTTTCTTTTTAAACCGGTTTAAACTGGTTTGCATTTGATGGAACCGGTAACCGAACCATTATTTCAAAAACATCACATCACTGAACCAGAACCGAACCAGAACAAAAGTGAATGCTACTGAACCCAAACTGAGCCGGAATAATGACCACTCTGACTCGCTGCTTTTAACCCATGCTTATGTTTAGGTTTTAACTTTTAAGGCAAGCTCTATAGACCTTTCCAGCGGCAGTCTCGAACGAAGCGATTTACAGCAGGCGTCCCTGGTTTTGAGAGTGTACATCAGTGTTGCCCTACTGTGCTGGGCAGTGGATTTTCTCGTCACTGGGCTGTGGCAGCTTGCATAGGCGCAATTCCGGATGCTGGTGGCGGCTACATTGCCGTGTTTTGTTTTTTTCTTTTGTGTTCTATGGCGAATAGAATTTCTCGAGGTTTTTAAAAAAAAACATTTTACTATTTTTGTGAAAAAAAAATAAACAAATAAAAGCTCTTTTTGGCGAGTCTGTGCGCGACGGAACAAAGGCAACTGGAATGTTTCTTACATTCTATGTTTATTTTTTTCATGTCACCATACACTCATTCGTGTTAATCTGCAAAGGTCTCAACTGTTGAAAATATTTGACCACACGGGATAGCCGAACTGCATGGGTATTCCCCTCTCACAGCATGAAATTCAACGAGTCACTATAATCGAAAAACATGTATCGTACGTACCCCATGGTGCCGCGATACCCGAGCAGAATTTGAGAGAGATCTCGATTAACACAGCATACGCAGTATACAGTGTCGACGACAATCACTTCATGACGATAGGGCGGAATACCGTTTGTTTTGGAGCACGTTTTGGAAGAGCTGCCTTTTGGCACCGCACCAAAGCAAATGAACAAACGTGTCTATGCCAACCCCATACCCCGACGCTATCAGCTATCTTTCTCACGAAGACCGGGAACACAGCCGGCAAGGCCTTTCGGAGATTATCTCAAAGGAAATAATCCTCGAAGAACTCCGAACGGCCCGCGTCGTGGGTCGCTTGACGTTCGCTCTCTTTGTTTGTTTCGTCCGAAGGCCGGGCAGGCTACGAGCCCTGGTATTCCCTGATTCTCACAGTGAAAGATAACAGAAGAAGGGGTAAGCACCCTGAGCAGGCAAATAAAGTAAAGCTTCCAATAAAAGCCGGCCAACTCCGTATGCACAATAGAGGTGAATAGTCGCGCTCACCGGGTTTCTATAGCTTAGGCGGGTGGTAGAAAATTCTGGCTGATAGGGGCCGTTTGAGTCGCAAAATGGCGGTGGCCAGAGAGCTCTTTTTGCAAAGGTCCACAGTATGCTGCTATACTCCCATACCGATTGCAATTTGTCAGCGGTTTTCTGTAGCCACAGTGCAATAGAACCACACGACCTAGACATTTTTAAGGTCTTATCCAACAAGCAACACGCTAACCATGCATCTGCTGTGGGTATACGGCCCGTGTGCGGAGAAAATGGGTGGTTTTCGTCTTTGGCGTGTGCATGCAAGCCTTTTTTACGCTTGATGCCGCAATTGACGTCTGTAGTGACACCAAGTGCCACGAACTGCTTTGTGTGACCACCCTTCGGCTTAGTAGAATGAGTGCCTTGAGGAAGCTTTGCATATTTTTGCAGTCGTCTCTGCGTTTTATAGCACCAGCATCTTTATGCTGCCTTTTTTCCAGTAACACAATCTGGCTGTCGATTGCCGTGTTTGTTTTTTTTTTACGTTCAGGAATTAAAGGGATGTAATGGTTGAGTTCAGCCATTCCAGGAGTGGGAATGGGCCCAGTGTTTTCATTCCGAGAAGGTGAAAGGAATGGAATTGTTGGAAGCTCTCATTCCCAGGAATGTAATTACAATGGAATGGGGGTGCCCACTTCGCAACACTGCGCCCGAGTATGCACTCTATCGCTGAATGCGATCAATGCACATCCTGTACATAGTTTACATGTGACGTAATTCGTAGACATGACAGTATTTTATGGGCCGCGAGCGTTAGGTTCAGAAGTCGTAGTTCGGAGAAACCAGTAAATAGAAATAACCGGCAGTACCCAACAATGGCGACTTGCAAGCTAGGTATTTGTTCCAGAGTTCACCGGTTGTCCGGGAACATCCAAAAGACAAGACCACTTAATTAACTAAACCTCCTGGAACTCGGCTCGCTCGAGACATCGGTCGGGGGCGCAAACATCTACGTGCATGACTGTGCACTACTGTCGTTACTTTTACGTCGGTATCAAATCGTGATTGTCGCCTGAGGTAGACTCTACGTTCACGCTCGGCGCTTTCGAAGCAAAAGTACGCCGAACTAAGACGACTGAGAGATCCAGGCAGTTCCAGGCTTACTTACTATGACTTAGTTATGCGATGAGCAGCACCAAACAGTAGGAAAAAAAATCTAGAAAAAAATAACCACACAGCTATTTTGAACCGAAACACCAGAGAAAGAAACGACACAACACGAACGGAAGACAACAAGCCGAACGCGAATCGGCTAAATCCACTAAGAACCATCACAATTGATGGCAGCTCCGTATTATTATTTACAATTATATTGATTTACTTCAAATATTTTATTTAAAAACTATAAAAAATTTTAAAGATATAAACATAAAGTTTTAAATTAGTCGGAATAAAAACGAACCTTAGAATACGCTACTGCCACTGCGATGGATTGTCACTCTTGCCACGCGTCCCACGTTTCTATGGTTTCCGGGTGTGACCAAAACCGAACATCGACGCTGAGTCGACACAGTGGAAAGAGTCGCTCGATAATGCCTTATCTGGCGGCTCGTTTCAAAATTCCACCACCGTGTATTTACAACGCGCCAAAGCAGCGTCTTTTACACGCTGTCCACGATGCGCTGTAGTAGCACGCTCGCGGCGAGTGGCGACGACTTTCCCCGGCGATGATGAATCTCAAAGTGAAGCGTAAACTCACCCTGTGCACAGCGTGCGGCTTCTTCCTTCTCACGGGCGTCGAGTACGGTGAGTGTGACAGCTCTGTTTGTTGGTTTCGGTTGAAAAAAAATATAGTGGTGTCAATGCGGGTGTAATGTTTTTTTGTTTTGTTTTTTGGGCAGCCATCATCTTCCCGTCGCTATGGCTCTACATCACGAACCGTTTCAATTCTCCGGACTACATGCTCGGCGTCATCGTGTCCGGCTTCAGCCTGACGGGTTTGTTTCTGAGCCCGTTAATCGGCATCTGGGCTGACGGCACTGACAACATCCGGCTCGTGTTGCTAGCGACGAACTTGGCCGAGATCGTCGGGAACTTCCTGTACTTCGTCGGCCTTTCCCACTGGTTGCTCTTCGTCGCTCGCCTCCTGTCGGGTAATGCGCCACTTTCTATGCCCGCTAAATGCCGTTCTGACCTTTCCGTGCGCTTAGTTCTCTGCATCGCCAGTGTTATGACAGACTCACACACGAGTTAAGATAGCGTGATTAGATTGGGTGTAGGCATTTTATCACATGTATTTGTAGTCAATCGGACATCTTTCCCTCGCCCCCTCTCTTACTGCCTCTTTCCCCTCTGGGACCAATCGGAAAAATGCCATCAGACACAGATAAAAATGGGGTCTAACAGAAAGCATTGTGAGATGCCTGTTAGAAATGCAAAAGATTAGCCTATGTGATATGAACGCTATATTTGTAGAATGGTCAAGTTTTCTCTGCTGTGGTGGTGAATTCTGTGCAGCTGCTTAGTGCTGCTGAACAAAAAGTCTGTCCGAAATGCAGAGGCATGAAATGTTTTTTTTTTTTATTTTGTTATTCACATAGTTTCTCACTTTTTCCTGCATGTCACCTAGTGCCTCATTGAAGAGCATTATATGAGGGGCACGGTTTACAGCCCAAAACAGGTTACCCTGGTGATTTGGAAACAAAGCGTGCAGGAGTGCAAGTCCCTGGTAGGCGGGTTTGAATCCTGACCAAGGTCCTTGCAACCGAGATTTTAGTTCCACGTCAAGAGATCCCCAGATGGTAGAAATTAATCCTCAGTCCTTTGCTGGGGCATGCCAAATGCCCTTTGTCGGTTTGGCACGTAAAACCTCCAAATTTGACTTTTACAACTTAAACATGCAGAACACAAAATGAAAGTACAGGAAAAGTGTGGCACTCGAGTTAAGCTTACAAAAATGAGTATTAAATTCCTAGGCCCATTTTGTGTGTATCCCCTTTTTGTTACTCGTCGTCTCCGCTTTAAGTCACGCATGATAAAAAAGCAACTGCAAACTGCATGAATATACTGGACAACAATTAGGAGTTGTACTATCATAATCAATATGAGTGTGAACAGTGAACACTGCTCCACCTGGCCTGCGGCACTATCAGTACCCCCTATTGAATGCTCCGTAAAGCTTAGATGCAAGGGGGATCGAGATAAGCTGACTTCTGCGCTCGTTGTGCCGGCCTTCACTTCCAGGTTGTCTGCTTGCACTAATCGTGGCCTCCGCAATTTGTCGAAACTTTAGTTGGTGATTACGACGCTCCTACTTAAAGGGCAACTCCGCTTCTTTTCCAGTAGTACAAAACTATACAGTTCTCTTTGTTATCATCTACAAAACCCCCATGGCAAATATTACGACGGAATTCCGCCTAGAAGTTCATTAAAATCGCTGTCAAAGTTTGACAAGCACGAATCCGCTGGTTTTGGATGAGACGTGCGGGCCAGACAACACTGCCCGGCTGCATTTCCGCTTCCTCCAAATTCCTTCTCCCGGCACGTCCGCGACGTCATGAAACATGTACAGCTTCTTCTTTTTTTCTTTTCAATCTTGTTTTTTTTTTTCCGGGGAGAGCACGGGTGGCGCCAGTGCCGTGAAAGACGTGAGTGACGCGCACGGCCGGCCCGACGCTTGACTATTGATACTACTGATAAGCCGATCGCCTCGTTGAGCGCGGCTTGTGTTACATCCCATACTTTTGAACACCAAGTAAAAGGAGGAGAGGGAAGCTGCTTTTGTAAGAATTTCGAGTGACAGGTTAATCTTCTATAATCTTCTGGGAGGAGAATAGCGACGCCTGTGCTAATCCAGGAGGCACAAAGGAGGATCCTGATAAGAGGGGAGCTCCTTTTTCCCCTTGTATATCACGTGGGTGTACATGCTTAGTGATGCCGAATATACAATGTTGTCCGGCTTTGCCACCGTTTCGGTGTCGGTTTGTAATCATGGCTAGAGTAAAATTACACGAAAAAATATTTTATTTTTCGCGAAACGAAGGATTGGGGATTGTTTTTGAGTGCTTCAAAAAGCAAAATCGACCACTATCTCAAATTTTTTTAAATTAAGCGGAGTTGCCCTTTAATATGATCGAAAGAAATCTTAAAGAGATACTTAAATGAAAATTTAAATATACCTCTCACGCTCAGAAATAAATTCAACATGATCAACGAAATCTGCTAATGACAATTGCACATTTGTATTTTGAACCGATGGCTATATTTTTCATTCTAAACTGCCGATTCGAGTGAGGGCTTGAAGAGCCACCATCGGAGAGTGCGTATGTCTCGGAAGATCCAGCGTTTCCAGCGCGTTTGTGACGTCATGTTTGACTTCACGGGCATGGCTGCAGGGAGGCTGGTGTGATTGTACGCTTTGGCACTTGGTGGCGTTAACGCAAAAAAGTGGCTCACCTCCGCTTCAAACTCCCCTCTCCCCGTGCCCTGCAGGAGTTGAATAGGCGCGGGGAAAAAAGGAAATCCGGTTTGGCCAACTTTGACAGCCTACACGCTCTAGGAGCTTGGCACCGTACTTCCGCGGAGCAGCGCTGCTTTTATGGGACGTTGACATAACGACATTCAGGAACATCCACCAGGTGCGATCTGTGAATCGGTTTATTTGTCTTAAATAATGTTTTAATGTCTTTTCAAACAAAAATTGGTGTCTCTGTAGTGTGGCCAGAGAATGGTTGACATTTAGACAATAAAATAAGCGCCAGAATTTTGTTGCGGCCCCCCTTGAAAAGACATTTGTTAAGATGCCTGCATTAAAAGTTTCACAGTCTTTTTTTTTTTTTTTTTTTTCGGGTTTAAGGATTTTGTCAACTTCCCTTTAATGCATCGGAGATGCATTAAAGGGATTCATTTTTGGCTCAACTCCAAGCAGCATGCGGTGTCAGTATGACCTATATGTAGACTTTTCCCACAAGTAAGCGACACAGATATTGCTAGTATCCGGCGGCGCGACTACGCATATAAGAACTTTCGTGCGAAGTCCGAGCGAGGCACCGAGCACCGAGGCCGCTCCCACGGATCATTACGTGGAGCTGGCTGTTACCGGGCGGGGTCTCTGCAGAGCATGCTCTCAACCTATGGCGCAGCGTGCGTCTTGCTGCGCCGTAACGCCTGTATGGCGACGGGAAACGAAAACCTCAGCCTGTGTGGCGAAAGCCTCAGCCTGTGTGGCGGCACCGAACCTCAGCCTGTATGGCGACAGAAGAACGGAAACTCAGCCTGTGTGGCGACAGAAGAATGGAACCTCAGCCTGTGTGGCGACACGGAACCTCGGCCTGTGTGGCGACAGAAGTACGGAAACTCAGCCTGTGTGGCCACCCCAATTCGCACTATAAGTAGTAAATCTCACTTTTATCTTCTTTTACCAATGTGAGTAGTCTCCTTTTCGACCTTCCGATCTCAACCAAGACAAAGAAAGATAACATATATAGTCGACGGGAAATCTTGGCCAACTTGCTCCTGTTCTAGGCTATCACATACGTGTTCTTGCTGACGGCGCGCTAGCAGCTTGCATACAGGCTGGACATGTTCTCACTATATCTGCAATATTGGCATGAGGTGCTTGACACCATAGCAAAAGGAACACTCAAAATTTAAGGATTTTTTAATGTCTTTTTGTTATAACAACTTGCTCTAAGTGGGGCCAGGGGGCCCACTTAAAGCAAGCACCAGCTTTTTTTTTTGGAAAGAAATGTTTAGCTTTTAGGTGTGCGTGTATGTGTTAAAACATAATTGTCAAACGGACGCCCCGTCCATTGCTAAGAAGAAGGTCGGTGGTCTTCGTCATTCGTGGGAAGTGAGCCACTCCACCAGTGTCCCGGGGCACTGATGAGGGGTGAGAGGGGAGAGGGAGGTGAAGTGTCAATTATTAAGTCAACAAAATAGATTAGGGCAACGCTTCGCCTGTGAGGTCACATCTGCACGGGATGTCAGATCTCTCTGCAGACACACCGCCTTGCTCCTCCAGCCAAATTCCCACTGCCCCCCTTCAGCCCGAACCATAAATCCGCCCTGAGTGGAACCCTCTTTGTCAGGGTTCCATGTTTGTGGGTTTATTTTTCTTCGAATTCAGGGTCGTTCTTATGGGAAGTTAATTCCTTCTTCACAGATTCGGCATTCTTCAGCATCGGTTTCGGTGTGGAACAAAACATTGGCATTTGTCAGGGCTCATGTCGAAAAAAACAGGACACTGGAATGGGATTCTCCAATCTCCAGAGAATGTGTGCATGGCTTGAATACTTGAAAAACGTCCGGTTCCCGACGAACGAAACAAACTAGATAAAGGGTGGGCTTTCCGAAGGAAGAAGCAGCATCGGAGACAATTCATTGAGGTTTGTGCTCCGGGTCAAAACAAAATAAAGCTGTAGATAAAGACTTCTTTCCGTGAAGTTGAGGTTTTTCTTGTTCAAGGAGCCATTTGGGAGTTCCTTGGTTTTTCCTGATTTTCATAAAACTGGCTCGGGGTTATTTTTGGAGGTCTATCGGTATGTACCGAAAACATGGAACACTAATTATAAGTTTGCCGCACGGCAGGGGAATGGTAATCACATTAGCAATTGCAGCAGTTGTGGTAATGCTACTAGCATTAGCCTCCCCTGGGGAGGATGAAGGCATGTTTCAGACGTAGGCGAGTGCGGTCTTCGTGATCCCGTGTGACAGTAAATTTTGTTGTGTGTATGTTTAGACGGCGAAAATTTAGTCAGCCCCAGTGCGTGTCTGGTGCCTCCGCTGTAGGAATTTTGCCAGTTCAGTACTGCTGCTACCCTGCGGTCTATAACGTACGTCACGCAGTAGAGATGCACGACCGCATACTGACACAATGCTCATATCCAGATTGAAAGGAGCAGGGGTGGGGATTGAGTACGGGATTCCTGGGTTCTCCAGTGGGGAGCTTTCACTTCACATGCTCGGAGCTGCTGTGCATTAACACGCTCGGCTAGCAGTCCCCCCTCCGCATGGCAGTTTTACACCGACATCTGTCGCGGCTCCTCTTGCAGGTCTGGGCGCTGGGGCCAGTGCGGTCATAATGGCGGACGTGGCACGGTCGACGGAGGAAAAGGACCGCACCTCGCTGTTTGCGCTGCTCTCGGGTTGCAGGCAGCTGGGGCTCATTCTGGGACCTTCTCTCAGCCTGGGCCTGCAGAAGCTCCACCTCCAGATGGGGCCCTTCCTTCTAGACGGGTACTCATCCCCTGGAGTAAGTTCTGTTTTATTAAAAATATTAGGGAGGCTTAGTGGATTGTTTTGATAACTCCAATAATGATATCCGACAACAATACCCTTAATGATACCAGATAATAGAGCCCTGCATATGCGAATCATCCACAGATATCTGCATTAAACTGGCAAATGCGGGCCAAATACAATCGGATTTGGCAGATCGGATGCGGATGCCAGGAGCTGCGGATCCGAATATCCGTGGGTCCGGATCTACATTTTTGTTGAGGCAACCCATAAATGTGTGCGACCACACAGTGTAGAGTGAATAAGTGAGTGATGCTATGAAGTGCACCATCGAACGTATTGCGGGAGCAAAGTAATCTCTCGGGTAAAAGGTGCCAATTGGGGAGAAAATTGTCTTTACGCCAAAAAGGATTTGATTCTCGCCAAAGATCGCTCTAGAACGTTCTAGCTCACCAAAAATACTGTCCCTTGAAAAAGGTGAGGAATGCAGGAGCATCAGTCGTCCTGGAAAAGCGTGTTCTTGTTTGGCAGGGAAAGACCGGAAAACATTCTTTGGGCAAAGAGAACCCAAAATGTTCAAGCCACAAGAAAGTAAAAGCTTGCAAATGGCTTGTTCACCTACAAGTAGATCAAGAAGATTTAATTAGATCTTGTGCAGTGGTGGAACTTGCACCAGCACAAGTTTCCGCACCTTATTCTTGTAGCGCAGTTCGTGCATGCCACCCCAGCGTCAAGTGCACCAATGGAGTGAGCAGGTATTAATTTAAAAGAGGAGAAATAGTCTAAATCCGTCCATATTCACAATATTCTGTTTCTTCTACACACGTTGCTGTGTAGAAGAAACAGAATATTGCCAAGTAAAATGTTGCGCGTGTGTGAATTTTTTTTCTCTCGACAGTTGGTACTGAGTTGCTTTTAATTATACGTTTCTAAGCATGCAGTTGACGGTTAGTATTAAAAAAAAACTGAAACCGATAGGAGGTGCTGCCATTATTGAATATTGTGATATTTTCCCACCGCACATACATGTGTACTTTGCTGCAGTGAATGAGCACCTTTCTTCTCCCACTTCATCATTGTTTTGCCTAAATACAATGAAACTTTTATTGGTCTGTTCTTTGTTAATTTTTATGTTTAAAAAATATGCATCTGCTGGAAGTAAGATTTACAAAGCAAAAAGGAAAATAAACATTAAAATTTCCTTTCTTTTGAGTGCACCTTACGGACAGAGTGTCAGTGTCACTGACTCCCAAGACAATCTCATAACTGCAGTCATCTTTCCAGTGATGCAACGTGTCTCTGGAAGTATGATCGCTTATTTTATAAATATGGTCAAACAGTATGTGATACAATGACTTTCACCGTATTCTGACACAAAGAGTTCTTTGTACAAAGACCAACTGACAGGTTATAAAATACCATCCAAATGTTTTTTGTTCTGTTTTTGTTTTATTTTATGATATAAAATGAATGTGCGAATTGAGGGTTGGATGCGGGTTCGAATTTTGCGGATGCGGACTTGGATTGGATTTGGATACATTTATTTAGGAACAGTGCGGAAGCAGTTTGGATGCGGATACGAAGTCTGCGGATGCAGATAATCAAACTGTTATCCCCACAGGGCTCTACCAATAACGATACCCGATAACGATATCTGATAGTGATACCCAATAATGATACTTAATACCGACACCCGATAATGATACTTAATAAGGATACTCAATAACGATACCCAATCACGATATCCGACACAATGCATGCACAGAGGCTCCGTTGAAGTGTTAGGTGTCGTTATCGGAGTGATTGGAACGGTCTACTAAAGGCCCAATCACACTCTTGCAACTGAGTACGACCGAGAGAGACGAGACTTGTTAAAACCTCTTAAAATTTCTTAGGACGAGAGAGCACGCTGGCGCCATCTATGCGGTGACCCTGGAACTGCATTTCACAAGAGCGAAGGTTTTGCGGGATTTTCGAGGTCAAATATGCATAATACATATAAGAAAGGCTCGTTTATAACGTTGACTAAAGTTTTTCGAATCAAGAAAGAAAGGATAATGTGCGAGAGACATAGAAAATACGCCGGACCGCCAAGTTTACACTGCTACCCAATAGATGGTGCCAGTGTGTCCTCTCGTTGTAAGAGGTTTCAAGGAACCCAGTTTTAAGAGGTCGCAAGAATGTGAACGGGCCTTAAGACTCACTACGATCAATATGTTCTCCAGCATCCCTCAGAAAGCGTGGATTGTAGATCTTTATTCATGTTAATTCATACCATCCTCGGAGACTCCACGCAGAAGGAAAAAAAGAGATGCATACATGTTAAGCATCACAACATAGTGTCACGGGAATTGCTGTCGCACGACGTCATGTTACCGTGTGATGTCACAGTGCCACATGAACGCCGTCCGCTAAAGTTGTTGGGACGTAAGCCCACAAAATTTAAATATGGCAGTGTAACTGTGTGCTGCAGAGTGCAGCGTCTCGGCTGTCGCCACAGTTCATTAGCAGGACACCGCCAAAAACCCGGAATTTTTATTCAATCTCGAATGAAACTGGAGCTCTTCCCTCCATAGCACCAAGGTCCAGTTTTGGCCTCCAGAGCATAAGGTGCAGGGTTCTAGGTCTGGACTATGGTATAAGATATATATATATATATATATATGGGTGGTTTCATCTCAAATCGTGCAGGCAAAAAGGGTCGAATTTTTTATTTCGATGAAAGAAATATATGTTATGGCGCCGTTTCTAAAACCGCAGTCACCACAAACCGCAAGTTCGTCGGATTTTTTGTTCTCGACTTATGAATTTTTAAAGAGGCCGCGGCGAAAAGCAGTGTTTTTCACACTCGCCGTGGGTCAGATGTTTCGCTTGATCTCCCGCCATGGATTTTCAGTCCACATTATATTATATTTTTTAAAGCACTCTGTGGACACATTTAAAAGGCTCCAATACCATAAAATAATTTTAGGCGTTTTGCTTTTTTTCTGTAAAAATGTCAAAAACGCCTCCTCGGTGAATTGTTGACGAACTTTGACAATTAATTACTGGCGATCTACTTGGGTTACACCGATTTTTTTATGTCCACGGAGAGCCCAAAACACGCTCTTTATATTTATTTTAAAATGACTCGGCTGTATAAAATATCCTTTGCGGTATGTTTACGTTAATATTATGCAAAAACCACAAAGTACCATTTTTGAAATCGATTTTCTCAAAAAACCCATTTTTTTATTTTTTTAATTTTTTGTTCAAATGTAGATATGATAGTTGTCTACACGAAAATCAATCCTAGAAAGTGTATATTTTGTTTGTATGTTTTATATTTAGGCCTCAATATCGGAAAAAAAAAAACGTCTTTGTTTTGCAAGACCTAAGTCAGACATTGCGACCCATGCGTCTCTATGAATTGTGAAAAAGTTTTCTTCAATTTTCTTCTGCATTTTGTAATCAATTATAAACGAATTTTGTGGTATTGAATATTTATGTATGTTTTGATAAGAGCGGGAACCACAAGATACATATCTAACCGAATCAGCAGGCCTAGTAGACCTTCAATAACCAAAAGGCACAGGCGTTGTATTGTTTCGATTTATAAACCTTTCACAGTAAACTAGCACGACTAGCTATTAGCTGTCATATTACTAAGACAAACAAAGTCGCCACACCCGTCGATATGTTATATACGATTCTTTCCGAAACCAAACACTGGGGTTTGTTCACCGCACATCGCACAGGTCACCAGGGAATGTCCTTTCACTTCCGTAATACACAAAAGTGGTGACACAGAAACGGTCCGAAACACACAGAGAGTGTGTCATGGAGAGGGGTAGGAAATAAAAATAAATAAATAGGAATTAAATTGCCCAACTGCGATCTTAGCGAAAATTGCGTTAAAAAAAAATAAAGTATTTAGGTTCGAGTGGTGGCAAGGCGATAGGTCCACGCCTGGTGGAGAGTCAGACAAAGAAGTCGACGGCACGTAAAGGTAAAACAAAAAAAAAATCAATAATTTAATAAAGACGGGAAAACTCAGCCGCACATGGCAAGAACAAAAACCAACTCCTCCGGGCATTCCCTAAACGGGACGCAACCAAATGCGGGCGAACACGCTCTCTACATCACCGCCTAGGCCGCTACGCCATGACAAAATAAACCCAACAACTGAACAGTGCTAACAAACAGTTAGTAAAAAAACATTGAAAAAAAAAAAAAAAAAAAAAGTTCAAAAACGCACTTGAGAAACTAAGTTCAGCGGGGCGAAGAAACACACACGAGTCGGTCCCATGACACTGAAGTCTGGCAGGATGACGGCGTCCAGATGATGCTCGAATCTGTTCTTCCCTCTATTACGCACATCCACGATGGCTGTGCGGAACAGTGGCTGTGCGAAAGAAAGTGAAGAATAGATTCGAGCAGGCGATGCGCGAGAAGGTAACCGAGACTATGCCTGAAGCTTCATATCGGGAGAGGAGCTTTCGAGGTAGTTTCTGCAGTTACTCAAACGTTTTCTTTCCCCTTCCCTTTTTCAAAAGAACACGTCAGCCGGCGCTGACTTTTCATCTCGGGAGAAGCCCACTCTTCACAAACGGTTATAGTTTTCAAGGATGCTGACTTCGACCCAACTAGTCTCCGGGCAAAATACAAACACAAGTATATTTACCAACACGCTCGTTTTAATGTCAGTCTCCAGGCTTTGCTGTTTCCAAAAGAGATAGCCCTTTATAAGGACAGAATGAGCGGGTTGGTGGGGATAATTAAACTTAAACAGCCCCTTCTCGTTTTCTTCCTCAAGTTTAATAAATAACCCTTCGGTGCTATCGGATCTCCCCGGAGAGAGAGAGAGAGAGCACGGCCGTTTCAAGGTAAGGATAGGGCGCTCGAAGCTGGGGCAAACAGGCGGTATCGTTTCACGCATGCACGGATGGCTGGTTTCAAATTTTCCCTCATCCCTAACGAAACCGGCCCATCTTCGTGTGTGCGTCTGTGGGATTTCTGTCCCGCGCCGCCGGTTTTAGCGCGCACGCGACGTTGTTTTGGCTGGCAGAACAGTTGTTGACCGTCGATATTGTAAGGTCGTGGTGTCCTCATCCTTTCAGGCAACGATTCCTTTGCTTTCCCTTGTACAATACTCTGACTGACTCCTCCTGGGTGGCTGTCACTGTTCGCCGCATCAACGACACAATCGTACCATTTCACTCCTCGTGACACAGGGTGCGCTGCTCGCTTTACTGTTACGGGCCGTCCTATCTAACACAACGAGCGCGAAAGGTCGTGGTCATCTGCTGGCTCCGAAAGGGCGGGACGTTCATGCAGGCCAATGAGGGCCCCGAATCAATACACGACGTCTGCCGACTCCTACACGTTAAAAATTTTTGACACCTGCTGGTCTGTTAAGAAGTGTTGCTTTCTCTTTTTGGAACTCCTCCAATGTAGCTTGCCGCCTATAATAAAATTTAAATAATCAATAAATATAACAGGGTGAAAATACTGTATTTCATTTTTATGTGGGAACGTTTAAAAAAAATAAAAAAAACTCTTTCCAAGCTTGTGAAGACGCGCAATTCGTAAGTCCATTTCGTGCCGAAAAAACACGTTTTTGTACGATATTGATGCTTAAATATAAAACATAAAAACTAAATATACACTTTCTAGACTTGATTTTCGCGTAGAAAACTATCACATCTACATTTTAACAAAAAATAAAAAAAATAAAAAATGGGTTTTTTGAGAAAATCAATTTCAAATATGGTACTTTTTGGTTTTCCCATAAAATTAACGTAAACGTACCGCAAAGAATGCTTTATACAGCCAAGTCATTTTATAATACATATAAAGAACGTGTTTTGGGCTTTCCGTGGACATAAAAAGTATTGATGTAACCCAAGTAGATCGCCAGTAATTAATTGTCAAAGTTCGTCAACAATTGACCGAGGGGGCGTTTTTGACATTTTTACAGAAAAAAAGCAAAACGCCTAAAAATATGTTATGGTATTGGAGCCTTTTAAGTGTGTCCACAGAGTGCTTTAAAAAAGTTAATATAATGTTGACTGAAAATCCACGGCGGGAGATCAAGCGAAACATCCGACCCACGACGGGTGTGAAAAACACTGCTTTTCGCCGCGGCCTCTTTAAAAATTGATAAGTCGCGAACAAAAAATTTGACGAACTTGCGGTCTGCGGCGACTGCGTTTTTAGAAACGGCGCCATAACATATATTTTTTTCATCGAAATTAAAAATTCGACCCTTTTTGCCTGCATGATTTGAGATGAAACCACCCATATATATTATACAAGGGTGTTTCACGAAAGGTGGACAAATTCGATATTGCAAAAACTATGCGTCGCAACAAAAAAAGGCTTGTGTCATTTTGATCCTGGGCCAGGGCCCTATTTAGGAAAATTATTAAAGTCCGGGATAAGTAGATTGTTAATTATTTTTGCATAATTAACTTTTTCTAATATTGTGTTTAAGGGCATGGTTTCAATTAGAACATTGCTCAGCATCTCCAAAAAACAACAAATCAACAAATTGCAGAATGATAGACAGCACGCAAAGCATTTTGCGGCTTTCTGAAAAACCGCACAAATTCGACAGGGTTTTAAGTCTCGGTCTGCTATCGGAGCGCATCTTGGCCTCGGCAGCACCGCGCCGCCTTATGGAGAGATGGTGCAACCAACCTCTGCTGCGCTATCATCGCGCGACGCAGCAGAGGCTGGTTGCACTATCTCTCCACGGGGCACGGTGCTGCCGGGGCCGAGATGTGCTACAATAGCATACCGAAACTTGAAAACCCGTTGAATTTGCGCGGTTTTTCAGAAAGCCGTAAAATGCTTCGCATGCTTTCTATCGTTCTGCAATTTGTTGATTTATTGTTTTTTGATGATGCTGAGCAATTTTCTAATTAAAACCATGCCCTTAAACACACATATTAAAAAAAGTTGATTACGCAAAAATGATTAACAACCTACTTATCCCGGACTTTGATAATTTTCCTAAATAGGGTCCTGGCCTAGGACCAAAATGACACAAGCCTTTTTTTGTTGTGATGCATACTTTTTGCAATATCGAATTTGTCCACCTTTCGTGAAACACCCTGTATATATAGGTAGGTGTGGACACCGTGTTATTCCCAGCTCCCTCTTAAAGTCCTTTTTTTGCCTGGGTTGCGAGCGGCTTCACCAGATGACTCTTTAAAAAGCAGCTAGTGATAGCCTATCGCAGGCCCGGTTTTCCATGCTTCTTTATGGGAAATATGCTGGTTTTTAAAGGGATACTGAAACGAAAAATGAACTATACAAATTTCGTTCAAAAATGAGTCAAGCACGATGGATAATAACCATAAATGATAATCACACGTTTGTATTTTGGACGACTGGCTATATTTTTCATTCCAAACGGTGCACTCGGGCAAGCGCTCCAAGAGGAGCGAACGGAGAGTGCGATGCGTCGTGGAATATCTGGCGTAAACAAAAACAGAAAAATGGACGCATCTCCTTGTGGTGACTAGGCCCTAGGGAGCTTCGCCCCTAAAAGAGATTCCCTGCATTCGTGACATAGCAAGGCTGGCGTGGTTATGAGCTTTGCCGTTGGTGGTGTTGTCAGCGTTGGGTGGTGTCAATAGCATCAATGCATTACAACCGAGCCGTTAGAAGCACCCATGGGGTGACGAGCGTGTGGCTGGCCCAAGGAGCATGTAGCTTCCACAGCACTGTCAGCTTAGGGTGAACTGGGTAAGGAAAGCAACTTTTGTCCGAGTTTTGAGCGACGGGCTAATCTTCTAGGGGGAGAATGGCTCTGTTTGGGTACACAAATGAGGGTCTGAGCAAGAGGGGAGTCCCTCCTTTCCGTCTTCTTGAACTCTTTGGTACAATGTGCGATTTGTGAGTTGAGGAAAGCTAAGAGGGAAGAAGTTGAAAAATCGTTTAATGACTGCTTTGAACAGTTGAGCGTACTTCTAAAGAGCGGTGCTGCTCCGACATTAAGTGCAGCTACGTAACAGTTTTTGCTACGTCATGACCTACGTAGCAAGATCCCCAACGTTGTTAGATTACCTCCCAACTAAGCTTCACAGGCATCCACCAGGTGCACATTTAAAGATCGATTAATCAGCTTTAAATTAAGTTTTCGTGTGCCTTTCAACTAAAGTCTGGTATCTTTTAGGTTATGCTTTAACATGCAACACATTTAAGCTAGAAAATGAGCGCTGGAATTTCGTTTCCGTATTGCTTTAAAGTTGTTTCTTGGGTGTACTTCATCATATCTGTGTTACTGTTAGACTGTGTGTTTCCTTATTTTTCTAGTCTGCTGTTGCTGTTGTTGGGTGCAGCAGAGGCTTTGTCAAGCAACTGCTAAGTTGCTTTTTTCTCTGCCTCCCCTCTTCATTTTTGAAGAAAAATAAATAATTTGAATTTGAATGTAGAACTTAACACTTGTGCTATGTGTGTTGCTTAGACACAGCCTAATCATTGAACCTAGTCTTGTGTCTTAACGGCGGCAAGAACAGTTTTATTAACGCATTGAAGCTAAAAGATCTCCAGCACGATGCTCAAGCCAGCGTCTGTCAAGGTCAGAGCAGACGCGCCAAGCAGAAAGCACATGTCCACAAGTGCCAACGAGACACTTTTTTTTATTTTTGTTTGTTTCTTTTTTTCTTTGTTGCACCATCTGGCCAGCAGAAACGCTGTCGACACAGGCTATTTGGGCGTGCACCAATAGGGCTTCATCCGGTCGATTGCATTGCAGCGTCTGCCGTTTCGTGCATCTCCCCATTGCACTGTGATCCGGACGTCGCCTTCCTCGGGGAATCTCGGGGGCGTCTCTCGCAGCCCCAGCTGCTTTGTGGCTTAAAAGTACATTCTTCGTTCCCCCCCCCCCCCGCCGACCCTTAGCTGCTGATGGCCTTCCTGTGGGCCCTGATGGAAGGGGCCCTGCTCTGGGGCTACCTGAACCTGGCCCAACTGGTGCGCCAGCAGCGCCTGGAGGACACGCTGCAGTGCAGCTACCTGGAGGCCAGCCTCCAGTCCGAGGGGGTCTCCCCGAGCCCCGCTCCCCCGAGGCGGGTCCTGCAGCCCTCCCTCTCGGCCCTCCTGGCACCGGACCGAGACGACGGCGTGGGCGAGCCAACCGTACCCCACACGTGGAGGCGCCAGTCCAGCCCCGCTATACAGGCACGGTGGTGCGCGTTGAGCACATCTGCAGTCCGTTCGCTTGGCAGTGCGGCGTGGCTGCGTCAACGCGCTCAGTACAGAGTAGCTGCGAATTGACCGCGGCCTTTAGCCGCCATTGTTCTCCACACGACGCAGTTAGCACAGACGCGACGTCGGCGCCCCTTGGCGTTTTACTTCGACGCGGTATTGGCGAACGGTAAATCTGGCGCGTTACGTCAGTGCCCCGAACGAGCACTCTCCACCGCACTGTAATCACCGAAAGGACGAGAACGGCAGAGAGGTCTTTCAATCGTCCCGCCTTCAGCACAAACTTCTAGCTTTGATAGCACCTTGGCGTCTCGTGAGCCTCGAGCGCGCACCCTCGCCTGAAGCATGGTGGAAAGCAATGGGGGCATGCTGGAGGCGGGGCGCCTGAAAGAGATGCCCCGCCATTCTCATTCCACCAGCGACTATAGTAGTCTTCATTGCAGCTTGGGGCGCTCACACCCGCCCCGCCCCGCCCTGGGGCGGAGGGAAAATCTCTGCCCCGCCTCCCTCCCCCTCTCCATTCAGTTCAACTTGTACACCAATACGTCAACCCTCAGCGCATGCGCAGAGGTTTGACGTGAGAGGGTTAAGTTGGTCTATAAACACACATTTTCCGGAGTAATTCATTGAAGACAGAAGTACCTTTCTATCCCAGTTTTAAACAGTGAGAAAAGAATGTTGCCAACCAGAGCACGCCAAGTTCAGTAATATAAGAAGAGTCTCCTATACATACGTCTATCATTGATGCGAACAAGATGCAGAGACACATGTGACCACCGAAAGAGCTCGAAGTTGTGCTCTATGAATGTTAGCATTTTCATAGTAATATGTTTATTTTTATACATTTCACTTCCCGAGCAATGTCGCGACTGAAAATAGCGACCATAATTTCATGATGTGAATCAGGCTTTAGCGTACATTGTATGGCGTTCACACGGAATGAATCACCACACATCGCATTCTTCACAGAAAGTTATTACGGAGTAACGAGCTTTGTTATATTTGCTCAGGCCACTAAAATATTAAGACATTGCTAGGAAGACGTAGAATCAACAATTCCAACGCGAAAAAGAGCATGGGGACTCTCACCGACGCATACATCACATTCCAATGGTTTGCTGATGCGGGACGCAGCACTTCTTGCCCACACCCCATCGCGCATGCACGGCTCCGGTGGTATGCCAGTGGGGCACTCTGGTTTGTTTGTAAACATGAGTTGGTGTATAATAACACAGCCTTTCTTCACTCTAAGAAGAACAAATACCTAGTATGTTCAAAACTGGAAACCGGAAGAGTACCATAGTTTTTGTTGTGATCCAGAAGTACATTGGCCCATTGTACTGAACGAACCTTAACGAGACAAACTGTAACTCTGCTTTGTGAATAGATGAAGATAAAAAAAAAAAAAAAAAACTGAATTGGCTTTTTCTTAGGACCACTAGACCTATGCTCCGACAAACTTTATTTGTAAACTATTGTCTTCTTTTGCTTTTTATTTTGTGATTGTCATTTTGCCGAGTTGTTGAAATATTGACCGTCAACTGTGATTCAAACTTTATTGAATTTATCCAAAAACATGGAACCCTACTTGTGACTTCCCCGAGCTCAAAAAAAGTTTCTCGGCCGTAACATGCCTTTAAGGACACGGCCTAGGAATCGCGATTTTTTCAAAAAAGTTGCGTTATTGGAAAATAGTTTGACCAGCTTTTACAACTCATAAAGAATGCTGTCCAAAAATTTTATTCCTGTAAGTGAAGTATTTACTCCGAAATAAATTATTTTCAACGTGCTGGCGGTTGCACGTGCGCGCCGACGACGCGGCCGATTTTGAAAATGTGCTATTTTCAAAGCGCGCTCCCTCCACGTTTTTTAGGACTAGCATGGACAGGCCCCCCTCGCTCGAATGAGCGTCTCGCCCTCTTTCGTTCTCTTCGCAGCATTGTTTGCGATATCGTGCTCACAGACCGTAACACCCCGTAGAAAACATAGCTGTGCACGCTCTTATTGGTCAAGCTGGCAAAACAAGAGCTCTGATTCGCTAGGACGAGCTACGGGACGTCATAATCGTCTGCTAGCGCGCAATTTCTGTCAGTCGTTGTTTTGTTTGCTAGCTGCTCTACGCGCCCTTGACCGTTCTTAGACTTTTTATCGTTACGATGCCAGCAGCTTTCCGTAGCAAGCCTTCACCGTTTAAGTTCGGTGGCCGCAAGCGGTTTTCGAAGCGAAGAGGGAGCGGACGACCTCCCAAGGAAGATGACAGGGGCGCATCTTCGCCGTTTCCAAGCGCTCCGCCGTCGCCGAGTGCCTTGGAATCGCCCATCACTTTGCTGCCTCCCGCCGAACGTCACCCGGGACCATCGGCGTCCACATCATCCTTGCTGATGACCGAAATCTCAAGCGCAGACGACCTCGCTGCAATCGAGCGGAAGATTGCGATGATGCAACGAAAAGCGCCTGCAAAATGTTCCGAGCCCAACAAGCCCGACGATTTCGAAAAGCAGCTAGGCCTAACCGAAGGCGAAGAGCTCGACGGCTACCGCTTGCTTGGCGTGTCCTGCATCGAAGCTTTAGTGAGTGCTTTGCTGTGCCCCGAGTGCACAAGAGCTTCTCTCAAACTGTCCGAGACCGGGAAGGGCGTCCTCCTTGCGTTCATTGTTCATTGCCCAACTTGTGGAGAAGTCGCGAGGGCTCCACACTCTGTGAATATTGGTGACACGCGACAGAACGATCTCGCAGCGCGCATCGGTCTCTCGTCACGTGACTGTGGCGTGAGCTTCACAAAATTAACTCATCTTTTTACCGGGATGAATATGCCGCTGCCGATGTGTTTGAAGACGTCTCAGAAAGTTGCCGCGAAGGTACACGATGCAGCCACAGTGGCCGCCAGCAATGTGATGAGGACCGCTGCGCAGTCGGTGCGAAAAACGGAGAACGCCAAAGAGGGGGAACTCGTAGACGTGTGCGTCACGTACGACGGAACCTGGCATAAATGCGGCCACACGTCCCACTTCAGTGTTGGTGTCGCGTTTGAACTTGAGAGTGGTCTTGTGCTGGACTACAGCGTCCACAGCAACTACTGCCAGCTGTGCACCGAGGGACCAAAGCCAGGCACAGAGGGGTACACGGAATGGATGGAAGACCACCGACCCAACTGCCAGAAGAACTTCAATGGGTCTGCCGGTGCCATGGAAATGGAGGCAGCCACTGTTATTTTTGGCCGTTCAGTTGAAAAACACGGTATGCAGTACACCACCATGCTGTGTGATGGCGACAGCAAGGCTTTTTCCAAGGTAGCTGGTCTTGAGCTCTACGACAAGAAAATCAACAAAGAGGACTGCGTCAACCATGTCGCGAAGCGTATGTGCGCGGGTCTGGAAGCCCTGAAGAAGGCAAAGAAGAGACTAGGCAGGAAAGGGAAGCTGACAAACCTGAAGATGAAGCAGCTTACCAACTACTATGCCTGTTCGCCAAAGGACAATGCACCCGACGTGACGGGCATGCAGCGAGGAGCGTTTACAAGCCTTTTGCACTCCTATTCCACTGACGAGGAGCCGAGGCGTGTAGGTTGTCCCACTGGCACGGACTCCTGGTGCCATTATAATCGGAGCAAGGCCCTCGAGGCAGCAGGAGAGCCACCTGCGTTCCAGCCACACAAGCCAGCCTTCTCCAAGGAAATTGCAAGGGAGATGGTGCCCTTGTACAATTGCCTGTCACAAAGGGATCTGCTGGAGAGGTGTTCCCGGATGAAGACTCAAAACAACAATGAGAGCTTCAATGCCTTGGTGTGGAAGAGGTGCCCCAAGGTGGAGTTCACCTCCCTCAAGACTGTGGAGTGTGCCGTGGCCCTTGCAGTCCTTGAGTTCAACCTGGGGCCTCGAGGGATCGAGGAAGCTCTATTGGAAATGGGCATACAGCCAGGGAGCTACCAAGCGTCATACGGAGAGAGGGCCACCAAGATGAAGGTTGCGAAGGCCCAAGTGAAAGCGCTCGAGTCCTCCAAGATGTCCCACAAAAAAAGGAAGATAGAAGCTGTGGCCAAGGCACAGAGGGACCGTGCAGAGGAAGGAGTGACATATGCCCCTGGAGCATTTTAGATGAAATGGCAAGCCCCATCTAAACTAAAACACTGTTCAAACTTTCAAACCCGTTTTTCTCAGCTTCATGTTTTCACCGTTTTTTCACAGCTTTAAAACAATTGTTCGATGAGTTAAGTGCCCCCAAGTCTAATGTATGGCTTTTTTGGCATGAAATTTACTGGAGAACTCGGTTATGCGCTTACTTTTTGCAAATTGTTATTTCTTCATACAAAAATGTTGACGTTTCTGAAACAAACAAAAAAATTCATACCATTATTGAAAGTTAATTTTTACATGAAATATGGCCTTAAAATTTATTTCAAGCCTACTACCGATTAGTGTAGTCATTCAGCATTATATCCCAACAAAGAAATTGTGCCTTTTTATTCATATTTTGAAACGATAGTTTTTTTCCTTTGGCACTGCTACATGTTCATTTTTTTCAACGAATAAGGCTGTAACTTGTCAAAAAATAAACTTTTTGGGTTGAAAGTTGGTGTAGCCTCCTAAGTTTTGACGTTTAACATACCCTAAAAATTTCATTGACCTGGCACAAATACTTAAGAAGTAGACCCTCCAAGGGAGTGCCTCCCCCTAAGTAAAGCTTTCTTTTTTAAGTTTAAACGCTACTTTAGCAGATCTGAGCCACCCGTCGATGCATAACTATGAGCCCAAACACTCCCTGGTATGTGCATTAATGCGTACATGGTCTGTAGAATCGTTTTATTGCTGCCAAGACCGAGACTGGGTGGGGTTCCTTGGTTAATCATTGAGGGAGATAGGGGTTCTTCGAGGTTGAAGAGGTTAAAAGACCCTGCTCTAGTGCAAACGGTTTGAAGGAAACATTATGAATAGGGATGGGCGAATATTCGGTTATTACGAATAGCCAATCGAATTCTGTTCTGTTCGGCATTCGCTTCGAATCGAATTTAAGTATTCGACAATATTGAATTCTTCGACAATATCGAATTATTCGACAATATAGAATTATTCAACCTTTCTAAACACACTCAAGCCCGACTATATCAAACCCGTTTACATCGAATTATTCCTTATATCGAACAATTTTTGTGCACAGTAATCGTACAGTGATAATATATAGCAAAAACTATGATTGCTTCGAACAAAACTAGCAGCCGCTACCGATATATCGAACTGCCAAGACCGCCGTTTTGCTCTGCAAGCTGGCTTTCCCCCAACGCGAGCGTTCGCATTGGGGGAAAGCCAGCTTGCAGAGCATGCTGGGTTTTTTGTTTTTTTTTTCTTTCTCTTCCGAAGCGGTTGTGTCGACCGCCCGGAAGAAAAGAAAATACATCTTTTGCATAGAGAGCGGAGAGAGGGTGCTCCCTGCTCCCTCTCCCCGCTCTGTCCGCAAAAGAGAATATTATTTTTTCTTCCAAATTGATGCGGCCGCCCAGAGAGGGAAAAAAAAAAAAGCCAGCTTGCTTTGCTAGTTGGCTTTTGCTAACGCAGCCACCTCTTTTAGGGGAAAGCCAACTTGCAGAGCAAAACTGCGCCCTGCAGGAGAAGGTGCTCCCATTGGACGTGCTCCGTGTTCTCGGCATAGTTCGGCCCTAATGCACGAATATAGAAGGTAGCGGCCTCAGCATTTTGGAGTCCGTCGATAGCGTAAAAAAATATCGTTATCGCGGATGCAATGATGAAAAAGCAGCAGAAGATGCAAGACTACTTCATTGTGTAATATTTCTGCAGGAAGTGGATTTTTGAGTCAAATTAAATAAAACTTTTATATTGAATTACCCGCTATATCGAACTTGTAGACGTTTTTTTTTTTTTTGCGAGTTCGATATAAACGGGTTTCACTCACTCTGGCTTAGATTTACGGCCAGGTGGCGCAAGCTCCCGACTGTTTCGTGCTACCGAACTCAATGCACTTAAAATTAACAATTACAGTATATCTAATACCGAATAAGGGCAAATATAAAACTATAGTTTAAACATATCTTGTGGTATTTTTTGCTTGTACTATTCAAACTATTCAATTCGAAATTATTCGACCAAAATCACTATTCGCTTGAATTCGATTCGGACCCAAAATCTTCTATTCGCCCATGCCTAATTATGAAAGATAAAAATAAAAAGAATTTTTAAGGGGGGCACTACCCAAAAAAGTGAACGTTTGAACCACTTGTCTGCTTTAAATGATATTTACAGGGCTTGTTTTTGTTGATGTTGAGAACATTTCTGCCAAATTTTGTTAACCTGGGTGAAGTACAAAAAAAAAACTGCAAATGTTCAAAGATGAAAGTGGGCGTGTTTGTGTAGGAAAACTATAGTTTCGAAATTACTTATAAAATTGTTGTTTTCATGTTTTATATTGTTTTAGGACAGTTAAGAGCATATAGCTATGGAGCTATATTTCTCTATTATACCATCTTTCATGACAAAAAAGCCACATAAACAAATACTGTTTTTCTAGATTCCCATTTTTTGTCCAAAATTTTAATTCTTGAACATGAAAAATGATAAAAATAAAAAATACAAGCTCATAGCTATCTTCGTCTTCAAAGTTCATTCCAGAAAAACTCGCAAAAATGAATCCAAGTTACATAACAAAAGAATAGTTTTCCTAAAGTGAAATTTATGCCGAAAAGTGTAATGGAAAAAGTTTGTTCAAAGTACTCCACCTTTTCTTTAGCATCAGTGGACCGAAAATAATTTATAAAAAATTAACTATGCAGTGTAAACTAACGAAACTTTCTGGAAATAGTCTCTAGATGTTGGTGGATGTAAATATGACATTTTTCAAAATCTACTTTTTTTGCAGAAATTGTTTTTTCTGGGTAGTGTTTGCCTTTAAGATAGCTTATTAATTAATCGCTCGGGCTTCTAGGTGAATAATAAATCTATCAAAATACTACCACATTGCGAACATCTCCTTCCTGGTCTACCATCTCGATGGCGAAATGTTAGGAAACAAAACGTTTTGTGTTTTTGATCCGGCTATTAATCTAAGCTTGTTTTCCTAAAACTGGCAAAGAAACTGATGCTTCTACTCGCACCCTCCAATATTCGACATGTTTGAATAGCACCATTGGGGCCAAAGCAAATACTGAATCTTATTACGCAAAGCAATGTTATTATTTGCAGTTTGGAACTTTTCCTCCCAGGGCTGCACCACCGTAATTGTTTGACTACATTGCCAAGGCTAAGGTTATTGGTGTGCAACCTTGTGTGATTTTGTTTCTAGGCTCACCTGATAGGGTCCCTGAACGAAGACGTTGTCAAGAAACAGCACCATCGTTGCCCCATCCAGCTGTCGTTGGATGACAGCGACCTCATGAGCGATGCCATGATCGAGAGCGCCGAGAGGTTCATCCTGAGCTCGGAATCGACCGATCTGGCAGTGGCGGTGAGGACGCCGTTCAACATCATGGGCAACGCCAGTGACGACACGGAGCAGTCGACCTCCTGCTCCACCGCAGAGGTGAACCTCAAGCCAGAGACAGCCATCCCAGACACGCTGGTCTTGCGCAAGTATTGCTCCGGTAAGTCATTTCGAGCGAATGAAGTGGTGGGCGTGTTAGGAGGGCACTAAACCAATTGAGGCGACAGTCTATTCATGGTTATAACTCAATTTATGGGCTCTAAGCATCCTAAAATAGCGTACATTCACGCGTGGACAATTTCTTTATTAAAATCGGTGTCAAAGATTGATTACCTCGGAACTGTCAAGGGCACCAGGGGGCACCGTCGGACGAGGAAAAGAGCTCGCGACTGCTTGTTATAAGAGAATGTACCTTAGCTGCCTCTACGGCTTGGAGGCGAAGCACTGGCCTGCGGATCTCCAGACAGCAGGTTCGAACACCGGCCGACTGGCCTGCAATCCGACAGAGGCTCGCTGCGGGAGAAGGAGTCGTTTAACCGAGATTTCGGTCGCTCATCAAAAGGTTCCCGGGTGGTCGAAATTAATCCTCAGTCCTCCGCTGGGGTGGGCCAGGTGCCCTTTGTCGTTTTGGTACTTAGAGCTCTCATTTGGATGAAAAAAACTCGCCAGCAACACGTATCGAACACTTGCAGTTTGCACGTATTGCCTCATATTTTCGCGCATCATTCTTTTACCACGGGCTGAAAAAACTTTTGACTGTGTTATAAACAATTGTTTCTCGTAGGCGGTGTTTATGTTTGATCCCGCAAATACTGAAAAGCCTTTATCCCGGTTAAATGCAGTTCTGGGGCAACCTCGTGGATGGTGCCAGCGTGTACTCTCGTCATGAGGGAGCGCAAGGCCACACAATGCACTCGGTCGCAACCAAACGCAAGTGTGTGAAGCAGCCTCAAGTGCGCTCGAGTGCGTTGCATTCCCTCGTAATCACCTACAATGAAATGAGGCACCTGCACACCGATGCCATCTGTCGGGCAGCCCTGGAACACTTACGATCTGCATGTACCGTATTTACTCGCATAATGAGCACACTTTTTTCCGAAAAATTGACCCATATTTTGGGCGCGTTCATTACGCAGGGTAAAGTTTTTGCATTTACATACGTTGCGCAAATGTCATTTTAGGTGCCAATATGACATGGCAGGGTACTGTGGCGTGTCTCCACTGATGGAGATGCGCCACAGCAATCATGCTCTATAAATTGCAAACCTTTTTTAGGGCGCTTTTGGCTTGCCTTTTACCAAAGAAAAAGCGCCCTACGAAGCTCACTCAGCATGGAGAGCAACGCGGCCGTTCTTAGGCCTAACCACTTTCACTCGCTGTCCGAAAGCGGACCACAGACGATGGAGTGTTTGTTAACATCAATGCATCCGATAGGAGAAGAATGTCCAGGGCTGGGCAATTCCTTGACCCAAACTTTGTCAAGTGTGCGCGCCGCTCGGTTTCACAGTTCACCACTTCCGCTACTGCGCACTTGCGGCCGCTTGCAGCCACTACGAGAGCAACTTGGCTTAGCTTGACTTGGCCTGACCACTTGGCGGCAAAAGAAAATTGACTTGGTGGATAGCTAAATTGGACGCAGTGCGAGACTTGCACAGCCGAAAATTGGAAGTGCGTTCATTACACGGGGGAAAAAAAGAAAAGTTCAAATATTGGTACCCATTTCGGGGGGTGCGTACATTATGCAAGTAAATACTGTACAGGGTTTTCTTGAGTGCTTTTGGTGCATAAAATAATTCTTTTAAATAAGCCAGTGAAACGAGTGCCACAGAACTTTGCGCAAAGGCGTTTTTAGGTGATGCATCGATCCTACTCAAATTTTGCAAGTGTACGTTTCTAAAAAAAAATGTGAAAAAATAAAAAAAAATTTTTTTTCTTATGCACGGGAGGAAAACGGAAGCAAATTGTCAAATTAACGCTTCTTTTCACATATGCTACCACACACGCTCGAATCTTCTCCACCTGCTTTAGGGTGTTAACCTCTAAGAAGCTTTAAAGTTTTTGTACCACTTGGTGCGAGTAGCAGCTTCAACTGACGATTTGCTTCTTTTTTTCCTTCTACGCATCAGAAAGAATATATTTTTCTTTTCTTGCATGTTTTCCCAGAAACCTGCACTCACGAAATTTGAGCACGATCAATGAACCACATTAAAACGTCTTTGTAAAAAGTTTCGTGGTGCTCTGTTTGCTGGCTTATTTAAACACATCTTTGGACGCCCTAATGTCACTCGAGAACACACTTATATTACGCACAGAATTTGCTTTTTTAATCGTTTTCTATGAAAAAAAAAAATAAATTGCCATGAACGAGCATTATGACTGATTGACATGGACAAGAGTTGTGAACGAGTGACAGGGTGGGAGCGTTGCGCGACATTAAGGTTATATATAAAGTGTAGTTATAAAGTTATTATAAATAACAAGCACAAACCACACAAGGAATGCGAGTCGTGCTAGTGCTAGGAGTGAGTCAGCTCTCACTGCACAGGTTGGCAAAGGTGGCTCTCGCACGATTCGGGGAACCTTCCTAAATTTTCGAGTACAGGGCGACAAGATGCACGTCTGGATAGGGGCGCTTGCCCATAATTTTACGGTATAGCGCTTTCCAAATGAAGCACTGAAATTGGCATACATTTCTGCATTTCATCTGTGTATAGTGCATAATCAAAGCACTACATGGTTACTGACAGGACGAGAATGGCAGGAAGGTCTTTCACTTGTCTCGCCTCCGGTGTGAGTTTCCCGGCCGCCTCCAATAAAGGCTGGTTCACGCACTTGCGACTGCTTGCAACCGTGTGCCTCAAAACCTCCTAAGATCGCTTACGACGAGAATGCATTGGCGCCTCCTATCAGGTGGCCGTGGAACACTTTGTGTTTCTCTATATTTCCTATTTTTTTCGCACATCATTCTTTCTTTCTTGGCTCAAAAAACTTCAGACAATGTCGTAAACAATCATTTCTCATAGATGGTATGTGTGTTTGATCTCGCAAATGCCTCAAAACCTTAGCTCTAGTGAAATGAAGTTGCAGGGTTGCCTCATAGATGGCGCCAGCGTGCGAGTGTGTTCTCGTGCCGCAAGAGGGTTGCCTCATAGATGGCGCCAGCGTGCGAGTGTGTTCTCGTGCCGCAAGAGTTTGGAAAAAGCTCGGTCCTGACCGAACGCGAGCGTGCAAAGAAGCGTCCTGTGAACTTCGACCGTGCACGCGTGGACAGAGCGCGGCGGAAGGCGAGGAGCACTTGCTGGAGGCAAACTTCTTCCTTTTCTTTTGTAAGTGCTCGTTTCGGTGCCACTTCTTTGCAGAGTATATCCGAGAAGAAGTGGTGGTCCTGCTGGCAATCGCATTCCTCGTGACCTACAGCCAGACCTTGCTCGAGGTGAGCAACGACCGTCCTTGGGTAGCCGTGGGGTGCTCTCGGGAGGTTGCAACTCCAGAGCTCTGGTTCGCTGATCTTCGAAAATGTCGTTGTGTAGCTGGTGTTCGAGCTGAACTGCTTTGTGTAGTTCCTGGATTCTCGTGCATAAGCGTGCATTTTGCGTGTCTGATGGGGTCAGGTAGACCTAGACTCAAATATTGATTTGAATAATGACATATTTAATTTGTGCACCAATTTAAATTATGGTGCATTTGTGTATAATGTTGCTACGAAAAAGAAAGGTTCTTACACTTGTGTATTTGATTTGGCTGTTGGTGTGATTAATGGTGCATTAATTTCAACCTTTGACTCTAAAAGTATTTGAATATTTCGGGAGTTTTTTGGGGTGAAGTGTTCATCTCACTTGAGTGCACTTCGGCCGCAGCGAGAGTGCTCTGCTCCAATCCAATGTGCCCCGGCAATGGGGTCGCAGGTCGTGCTTTTCTGCAATGATGAAATGCAAAATTTAGAAGCACGCCTTCTAAGCAGATTTACACAAGCACCCGGGGTTATTGAAAAAGATCAGGCTTATTATTTGTGTGTAATTAAATTTAATAAAACTTGCATGCAGCAAAGTGATTTCTGATTCTTGGGCTCCATTATAGCTAGGTTATGCCACAAGCCTTTCTAAATTTTATGCCAAATTTACATTTTTCATTGATAATATGAGTGTATACAAATAAACTATTCTATTAGCCGTATGAATGAATGCATGGTATTTATGCTTCTTTGCTGGACATCTGTAATGACGTTGGCTCTGTCTTTTAAGTAGGCTCGCGATAATTCAAACTCAGATATTTCATACTTCTGGTTAATTCAAACAAATTTCAAAATTTTGATTCTCCTGCTACTTTTTTTTATGCATTCATAAGCCGCTTAATTCAAACAGCGTTTTCGTGCAATCATTTTTTTTTTTGTTGTTGTCGCGGTTCCGTCGAGTGCGCTTCTTTCCGAGCACCAGTGCACTGCAGAGTGGCAACACCCGCGGAGCTTGCTTTTGCGGATATTGCTTCTCTGCAGTGCACTGGTGCTTACTGAGAAACATACTCAACGGGGCTCAAGCGGGCACACATGAACTATGAAAACGGGAGCCACGCGAAAATTTCCCTAGCAACTTGCGCGGACGCTGTGACGTGGCGGTATGGCATAGGTCCATGTCACAGTGTCCGCGCAAGTTGCTATGAGAACTGCAGCGCAGTGCCCATTCTCATTGCTCATGTGCCCCTGTCCACATTACACAACTTGTTGGCTTGATGAACAAAGTTAATTTGTTTTGAGTTGTCATGTGCTATCTAAACAGTTTACGATAAACAACATTTTCGAGTGGTAAATAAACCTATGACATACATTTCATAAATGCTTCATGGGTGTCGTACCTGCTTATGATCAATAGGCCCTCATGTAGAGGAAATAATCAAATATCTGTTTTGTATGTGTAGTCATTCTTGTGGCAAATCATTATTTTATTTTGCATCATATTTAGATTAATTTCTAGTAATTCAAACATCTGATAATTCAAACAAAATTCATGGCTTCCTGGAGTTTGAATTAATGAGTCTACGTATTGGGGTATATAGTACACTTAAAAAAGTAATTTGTGATTTGGTGTTGCAACTTACCACATTCTTTATGAAATACCATTGGATACCATTAAGGCCCGTTCACACTCTTGCGACTGCTTGCGACCTCTTAAACCTGGGTTCCTTAAAACTTCTTAAACCAGAGAACACACTGGCGCCATCTATTGGGAAGCAGTGTAAACTCAGCGGTCCGGCATATTTTTTTTTTATTTCTCGCGCAATATCCTTTCTTTTTTGGCTCGAAAAACTTTTGTCAATGTTATAAACGAGCCTTTCTATGGGTATTACGCACATTTGACCTCGGAAATCCCGCAAAACCTTCGCTTTTGTAAAATGCAGTTCTAGGGTCACCGCATAGATGGCGCCACAATGTCAGTGTGTTCCCTCATTCTAGAAACATTTAAGAAGTTGTAAGAGATCTCGTCTCTCTCAGTCGTACTCGGTCGCAAGAGTGTGAACGGGCCTTGAGAGCTATTCTTGAGGCCTAAATAAGAATGGCCTTTCTTCATAAGTTAGCTTTTGCATTATATTTGAAACTTTATCTCATTCATATTCAATTCAGTCTAAAAACCATAACCGTTCACACATGTAAATGAAATTACCCTACAAAGCCTCAAGCAGTGAATCAATAAGATCTATATACAGGCTCAGCAGATGATACAGTGTGCAACGTTTGAGAAACTCTCTGCTTTATGTTGCCTCGGAGATTATATACCGAGTAGCATTCTGATTATTAGTCTTCACAACCAAACTTTGTCTTTCTTTTTTACTGTGCAGACTGCACTCGCCCCTCTGGCTAAGGAGTTCTATGGATACGGAGAACTGAGGAGCAGCATTATTTATCTCATCTGCGGAATGGAGGTAAGTGTACCCTGCACATTGTGTCTCATTCTCTCTTAGGCCAACTCCCTCAAAGTTTGGTCGCGTCTCTCGTTGCAGATTTTGGTTGTGTTCATTGGAGTGCAAGTGCTGAGCAGACACGTGTCTGACAGAAAACTGCTCCTCTTTGGTCTAGTCTTCATGTGCCTTGGTGCTGGCTTGTGGTTGTATTTTAGTCTCTCCGCCAAACCCGGTAAGAGTGCTCCCACTTTTTTACCTAGACTGCGAATTGCTGGAGATCTTGAGAAAGACCCGATGATGCAGCATTTGAAACGCTGGTCTTATGCAACATGCTGGGATGCCTGAAGGGAACTCTGCCACTTTGCACTCTATCTAGGGTCATGTGCCAGTTTATGCGAGGCTCATCGTCGTTTGTACTTTCTGTGGTGTCATCAGCAGTGCACCAAAAAGAACTCGGGTGTGCGCTTTTGTTCGTTCTTGCTCACACAAGCACAATCATAAGCAGTTTTGCTTGTTGCTTGTAAATATATCCCCGCCATATCAATCGCCATGTCAGTACAAAGTGAGATGAAGGCACTTTGCACGGTCCTGCCGCACAGTCCACAACATGGGGGGGGGTGCATTTTAGGTGTTCGCGGAACCCGTCAGACCAGCTCACGGAACCCCTATATTCCGTAGAACCCAGTTTGAGAACCCCTGTCCTGGGTAGTACCAAGAATGTAACTGTCAAAGCTTTCTTCCTTCTAGAGCACTGCTTTTCGGCAGAAATTAGGGGCTGACTCGAAGCTTTCCAGTTCACATTTAGTCTGGTAGAGAACAGCTGACAGCCAGTTTGTTCATCGTGACTGCACTATTTATTAGCCCCTCATTGTTTAAGAAATTTGCGACTTTCAGGAACAAATGCTGCACGAGACATACAACAAAAATAATGGAGGCAATGATACTGCATAACATGAAGACACTATTGTTTTCTGGTGGGAATCGCAGTATGTGTGACAAAGCAAGCAGCCCAAAGTGACTTTTGAATAAGCTATCTATTTGCTCCTAAAGCACGCATACCGTACTCTGTATTCTTCAATTAAAATTCTTACGACTCATTATTTTGGAAGAAACAGATTATTTGTACAAACTATGTTACACTGTGTAGGAATGCTTCATGCTTCCTCTCTGTAGCTTCGACTCCAATGCAGTCACTCACATCGTGATTGACTGCATCGAGAAAGAAGTAGGGACAATTCTTAAAGGTACAGAAGCTGCTGGCAAGCCCAAAAAGGCAGACAAGTGTAGCCAGGGTCTCTTGTGGTGTCTAGTCTGGCAACGCTTTTAAACAGTACAGCCGAGGGGGGTTACTCGCGCAAGTGTAATAAAGCTTGGTTTCGGCTTTGTCATTGAATGTCTTCTGGTTAACTTCCAAAGCTCCTAGCTCGGACCCGGTGAGGTGTTCGGGATTTTACGATGCAGCACCCCGTTTTCTTTTTTAGGACAGCACAAATCACTGCCATTGTTCATCCTGGCTGCCTTCGTAGACCTTCTCGGAATGCCCGTCCTCTGCGTGTGCACAACCTCCCTGATCTCAAAGGTCACAACGAGCGAGCATCAAGGTTTGTACTTCTCCGCACGTGCCGCGCACAATTGCAAGAACGGAACGGAGGCTTTTACCGTCACGAGCGCTCTGAAGATGCTTGTGCTAAATAGACCAAATAGTGCATGCCAAGTGTGTAGGGTTCATTAGTCTTCGTTTCAGGACTTCAAAGTCAGTTTGCATATATAGTTTTCTTCATTTACCTTTTTGATATTGTAATTGTCCAGTCTTCCGGTGGGTGGGGTCCCCCGTCACTTTCGCCGATGCAGTGGGGTTCCCAAAACGTTGGTGGTTGAGAACCACTGGAATAAAGTATTGCCACTCCATCCCAATTTTCTCGTGGGTGCCACCATTCTGATGCTTAGTGCAGAGTGGGAACGATAGGCCTTTCTGGAATATCCCACAAGGCCTCTCCTCAGTCCCACATTGCACCTCACGGAGCGGGGAATTGTGGGGCCGTTTGGACGCAAGACCAACGCTCCATACGTCCTGGATTCCTTCTTTCTAATTGGTGCGAGTTCAGAACACGACAAAAACAAAGCGAACACATCGGAAAGCCGATACTCCCCCTGTTCTGTTATCGTCCTGCTTTTTTTTGCGCTATGAAAACGAAATGCTAAACATACGGGAACCACTTTTTCTATTTACGGGCACTCCTTCGCACACTGCACATTGGATTGCCGTAGTGCACCAAAAAGACTATGAAAGGCGCCTTGCATTTCCAGAATGGTTGATCGGCGATCATTACGATTAAAAAATTCGACTTCCCTATTTTTATATAGGAAGGTCGGGAAGCTCGGGCGAAATCATTTTGCTATGTTGCAGACTGTTCCAAGGGGTGTCGGTGGACGGAAAAGCATTTCCCACGACGGCCGATAAAGCTCGAGGTAACTGGCAACCATGATTGGAGGCACCAAGATGGCCGAAGCGTAGTCACTCTGAAGCGTAGGTTATCTATAGTCGCTCGCGAGGTAAAAATGGCGGGGAAAAGCTTCAGTTGCCCCGCGTCCAGCACAACCTTCGACAACGCTTGGGCGTCTTGTGCACGTCGAGCGCGCAAAGTCCAAGCTCATTGGAAGGTACAAAGCTTGTGCTGGAGGCCGGGCGTTCAAAGACGTGCCCTTTTCTCTCCGTGAGTAACTATAACAGCCCCGTTCCATCCTTCTCGCAGCCGTGACGCAGTCGCTGCGCATGGGGCTGGTCCAGCTGGGCTCCACGCTGGGCCCACTGTGGACTGGCGGATCCCTGAGGCGCAAAAGCGTGCTGTTCGGCGTCCCCTACGGCCTCTGCGTCCTCTTCACCGTAGGTGCCCTCTGGAGGCTCTGGCCGAGCGTGCCGCCGTCGGCATGTGCGGGCCGCTGCCTCTACACTCGCTTGCCCACCAAAGCCAGCTGACGCATGCAAAGGCTCTCTCGCCAGGCAATAAAGCTGTCTCCTCTTGAGTGCATGGCTTCCTTCGCTTCCTGGGTGCAAGCTTTCTGGGCAGCAACGGCGGGGCGGTGCAATGACAGTGTTGCAGTTTGGCTTAACGGGAGCGGTACCGCTTGGGAACGCCAATGGTCGGTAGAAAACGCAATTGATTTCTTTATTTGGGAATGGCTTTTATCATTTGGGGTGGGTATTAGATTGATCTGAAGCTATTAAGAAAATGTGTGAGGTGGACCTATCTATAGTATCTGCCTGCTGCTATGAAGTGTTATAACTGCATCAGATGAACTCAAGGCTGGTTCGCACAAATGCGTTTGACTGCGACTGGCTGCGCCACAGCTTTAAACCATTTTTGACGGCTTACGACCGTCTGCGCCGCTGCAGCCAGTCGTAAGCAGTTCCAAGTGGCTTAAAACCAAGTTTTAAGCCTCTATGGTCATAAGCTGTCGCATGTGTGAACCAGCCTTTAACACGTATCCAGTCTGTTGGCTGATGGTAGCAATGGTGGGCCCCTCAAGAGCTGCTGCGTCCTAAACACATGGCACGGCTTGGTTCTAAGAGAATGAATTTTGCTCAAAGGAAAAAGATGGCTGTGTTAGAAGCTAGTTTTCTAAAACTGGTTTTTACACCTGTACAAGTGTTTGGTGCAAAATTAAACTGGTTTGTGTGTGTTTTGACCTTCCCCTGACAGTTTTTCAATGAACGGGTTGCCTTGTGAGAGGCAAAGTACTTGCAAACTTTGTGTCGCTGGCTGATTTTTTTGGGGCTTAACCGATTCATTCATTTGCCAAGACCAGTGCTAGAAGACCGCTGCAGTCTGATTGAGTTGTGGCTTTTTGTGTGAACACTACTTTGTTTGAAAGCACTGTGACCGAGCAGTTCTGATGAGAACTATGAACACTTAAAAAAATGAATAATTGGGCATACCATATTATCCCGAGTCATCGCCCACCCCCGGCCACCTGAAATTCATTAAAAAAAAAAGTGGGGTGGGCCATGTTTCGGGTAAGCCAAAAAGTTTAGAAAAAGTTAAAGAAATGGCCACTTTTTGTACAAATTTAGCGTGGCTGCACAAAAGATACATCCCACTCAAGACTCAAATTAGTTTCACTGTTTTATGCTAGAAATGCTCATGAAAAAATGTTTTACTATCACTAAGTTCGTTGCTTGCATACGCGCGATGAACACCGCCAATCAGCCTACAGCACAAACGTTTGTTCCGTGAAAGCATGTTTCTAACACTTTTAATGTTCTCATTAATAGTACAAAATTTAGAAAACCAACAAGAAAATAGAAAAACCATTTAGGCGCAACGAGCAAGCGAGTGGGTGGACGAAAGAAGCGATGATGAAGAGTGATGCTGGGGAAGCGGGAAAGCCAGTGATCACGTTGGCAAAAACTTCGGCGTCGGGCCAAGTCGGGCGCCTTGTCGATCGTAAGGAGCAGGCTCTTGCACAATTTCCTCGTTTGGTGCATACCAGACACGGTTCTGGTGCATACATGTGTGCGTCCATGCGTGGCATGCTGTCAACGCGGGTTGAGGCGGCGTTGCTGCATGGTTTGGACGGCACCACGAACACCGAGCTCAAAATGGGATGATCTACAAATGTCTGTGTGCGACGTTCCAGCATATCTTTCTATATTCGTTAGCTTTGTATTAAACCTTGCACAACTTTACCAACTGCGGTCATGACGTTCCGGGAGAAGGAGCGGGTTCATGGTGGACCTTTCTTCGGTGCAGACAGTCTTTGACCTTACACTCTATGGTTACATTCCTGGATATGGTGCGCTCACTGACCTCGCAATACTGAATGGGTTACTGCTTGTGTTATCTTTCCGACTTTGTTTTTTGTCCGAAGAAACTATTGTAAGGAAAACAATCTTTCATTTTGTTATCCATCGTTCTCCTCTTGTACGAATTACGCACTCCCTCGAGGAGGGAATGCTTAAACAAAAAAGAAGTGTCTTTCCCTTCATTTTACTTTGTCACGGACATCCTCCAACTGTAAGGTAAAACCGCGTCATTCGGGAAGGATGAATGTTTACGGATGGCAGAGTCCACGTTAAGGTATTTGTAGGGGTAAGCAATCACTCTGTTTTTTGTTTTTTTTAAAATCGATATTCACCCTCATAAGGTGAGGTGGGTGATGACTCGGATATGGGCGAGGATTAAAGATATTACGGTATCTAAAAATATTGTTAGTCATCTGGATGCTGCGTAAGTACCTATATAATGAAACTACTCTAACAGAGAGCTAGAACAAAAAGTTGTAACAGAATGCTACAATTTATAGAACCGCCATATCTCGTAAAAGTCTCTGCTTTTGACTCGCAGGACTGAAAACTGACATTTGTGGCCAAAGTTGCTGGCAAATTGAAGCAGGCTGGCAAATTGGTCCTAGGTGTAGCACCATCGGCCATTTAATTTTTTAGTATACTTGTCTGTTATTCTCTTCATAAATTGTGTCCTTGAACTTGATGAAATTAAACATCATGGCTAAAGAAACTTCCAGCAAACTATCAGTCATTCTTCAGTAGTTGGAACTCACTTATGTCAAGGAAGAGGAAGAAATCATTTCAAGCTAAAGTACCCGGAATTTCGTGTTGGGTGGAAAGTCTTCTGCACTGAGTGTCGCAAACAAGCGAAAAGTTATTTCTTGAAAAATAAAATGAGTCGGATTTATTTTATTTAAATCTGACTAAATCACTCTAAAAAGGTAATTTTTATTTTGGATGTTTTTTTTTTTTAATGTGGAAGATTTTTTTTCAATGCTTCGAATTACTGAAAACTGTGGGAACAAAAATTTCTTGTAAATGTAATCATGTCACGAAGTACAGTTTAATTAAACACTTTATTCTTGATGTAAATTACGCCATACGTCTTGTTCAACAGAAGCAGCTTGATTTTTTTACTTGGTGAAAACACTTCATTTGTAGCGATACATTACCAAATCAGAACACGAGTCAGTTGGCTTCCAACCATATCTTTTATCTCTTCTCTGGAAAGCTCACAGCCTAACTTTTTCCCATCGGTTTGGGGCAAACGGTGCCACTGTGGCCGTTGACTCTGCGGCCAACTCCAGGCAAGGTATGAGCAGTCTTTAGCAACATAGAACTGTGACCTTTAAACTCTAGCACAGTTTGCGAGTTGCCTCTCAACAGTGACTTGTTCTTTTCACTTCAAAGGGTGCAAAGTAGTGCTATGATCTCATAAAGCCAGTGGGAGGATCATGTAGGACAAAACAGCGACCTTATGTCAGTCTATGTATGATCAATCTGATGCATAACTCAGCCTGTTTCTGTCGAAGCCTGTATCTCCCCCCGTTGGTCTGTCTTTGTTTTCCATGTATATGCACGCGTGCATGCACGCACTTGCTTTTCTTTCTTCCCCTCGTCTTCTATTTTGCTTGCAATGGGATATCAAGTGGCTGAAGAACAAAGTGGAAGGTAGAAAGACAGCTAAATGTTCCAATTTGCCCACCACTTTTTCCTCATGTTCAGCCTGATTGAAATCTTGCTTGATGATTCCTTGATTTTATTACGAAGAAATACACATGAAACAACTCAAATTATGAACAAATGGTAAATAAAGATATATCTTGGAGATTAATTTTTTTAAAAAAGGTTTGATTGAAATTATGATTTAAAACTTTAAATAGTCTTAATTTTTTTTTATTGTGGTTGCAAGCATGTAGCATTTAAACGGATCAGTAACCTTTGGGCATAGAACATTGAAGCCCTAGACGAAGCTACATTCTTGCATCGTGATATTGTCACGAATGACAATCGATGAGGCAGCGAAGGAGTGAAGGAAACTAAACGTTCAATAGGGCAAGCTTATGCCCCAAACAAAATAGAAGGCTAGCGTCAATGGCGGCGCAACAGCAAGATCGAGCGGTGGGGCAAGACTGACTCTGTCTCGCCGTGCGGAGCCCCTCATGTACACGCTTGGGCTTCTGGAACTATCGGCGTAGTAGGTTCGGCACGTAGAACATTCGGACCTTGAGAAAGCCTACAGGGTTCTCGAATTTACCGAAACGCGACATTTACAGAAATAGCAAAAAAGTACTTCCACTCCCGGGAGTCGGACCTCGGCCCTTTGCATGAGAGTCGAGCACGATAACCTCTGAGCCATGGACATGCCTGCTTGGTGACGCATGTGGCAATATGCTAGACGAGGTGCATTTTTAATGTTCGGAAGGCAAGATTAGCCAGGGTGTTATCATCCTACAAAACATGCGTGTGTGTGAAGGCTTCCTATTTAAACCACTCTAACCAATTCACTTCCTGCTGTCTCTCAAACACCTACTTAAAGTCGATCTGCCATTGCTGATGTAAACAGAAAAGCTACCAATTATTACAGTTAATTGTGTTGCAAATGAAATTACCATTTACAGTGGAGTAAATTGTATGCTTACAAGGAAAATGTCGCTCTTTAATTTAGAGCACAGCTCTTAGGTGCCCATTCCCGGCTTGAGCGGCGTCGGCGTAACCACAAGTAACCCTCGTGAGGGTTACGAGGGTTACTCTCACGAGGGTTACAAGGGTTAGTTACCGTCAAAAGGATTACCCTCACGAGGGTCACGAGAGTTATGAGAGTTACCCTCACGAGGGTCACGAGAGTTGCCCTCATGAGGGTTACTAGGGTTACCCTTACGAGGATCCCGATAGTTACCCAGGTCACGTGACCCCCCCACCACCCAAGGTCACTTGACCCACCCCCCTAGTACCCTTCCCTCCTCAAGTGCTGCGCTCTAATTCGGCATTACAGGGAGTTGTAATAGGTTTTTTTTTTGTGCTGTCTTGCATAGCTCTAGGTAGCTCGTGAGGCTGGCATGATTGGATGCTTGACAAACCAAGTGTTTTTTTTCAGCTTTTTTTTTTTTTTTTGATCAGGAAGTGGATGATGATAAGGAATGTGGATGATAATAGACAGAAAAACCATGCAGGCACGTTTATGTACAGTCAGCCTTGCACCTGCTGCACAAGTGGTGACGTTAGTGCAGCACTGCACTTCCCACATGTTCCAAGTCTTTTTAAAATTTACCGACCTAGTAGTTTTCAATGGCACTCGAAAAGTGTCTAATTGGAACCATATGTTCATCTTTGCCAATTAAAGAGTTGAATCGCAAGTTTTAGTTAATTAATTGACTTGTCGTGACGATTGGGCCCCTATATTGTGTTCCCCTGGCCATGTAGCTCACTTACAAACTCCACTCCTGGATAAATTTTTATGTGTCTCAATAATCCTGATAAACCTAGATACACATGAGTGTCGTGTGTGCAAACCATCCGAAACCATAACTCACACATAAGGCACACATTACACATTCTGTGCTTTTCGGATTTATCAGAATGATAAGACAAGCTTCATTTTTTTAATATTTGCTTTCGATTCACTATAAAAAAATTTGGTATTTACACACCTATACTTTATATTATTTCCTAAACAGTATAAGAAAACAATTTAAAAACGCTTCAACACTAGTTAAAAACTTAAATTTCATTTGCATGTTTTTTTTATCTGCCATTGGGACATGTTTTGATTACTCTCTATTTGTGACCATGTCTGCTGTGCGTTTTTCTTTATGACCATTCCTACAACAGTCCTGAACAAGGACCAGTAGTATCAATGGATAAATGCAGAATGTCGTCGGTCATTCCCCCAAAGGCTAAACATTTAAAGGAGCTGTGCAACGATATTCAGTTGGAATGTTTTTCACTATAAACGAGCTTACGGGCACTAGTGGGACTCAAGTATACTCACACGCGATGCCACTGGCCAAGCAACTCCTTTGTTGCGGTGTAATTTCAAGGACAAAAGCGATCATTTTCGTTCAATCTCTCCTTTGCAAAATTTGATGACGTAACGTGGGGATCGCAGAACACCCAAGTGACGATATTTGAATGCGGTTCATAGATTGGACCCGAGCATTGCGTGAGCACTCGATTCGGGCTCGTGATAATTGCTAGCTCGAGAGGCATTCGGGTAGTGACGCGTGTCCAATTGCTGCAACAACGACAACAGCCGAGCCATAACAATGTCGGGAACTCAGCGCGTGTCCTGCGCTTTGCCAACCGCAGCGCGTGGCTGTGATCAACACTGGAGGCATATAATCGGCTCCAGATTACGTGGCTGCTTATTCTGGCTGCGAGTTGAGGGGGTGAACGCTGCTCGTTTTTCTTTAATTTTTTTCTGGGACTTCTATTGCATGGGGTGAAAAACGAACGCGCGTTTCATAGGTCATTAACGTTGGGGATCCGTTTTAAGCGCTATTTGCGCAAAGTACAAAAATTGTTGCATTGCTCCTTTAAGTTAATGAAAAGTTAATTTGCCAACATTGACTTAGTTTAAAATCTTATGTTGATCACTAGGTAGTCATTCATTTGCTATTTTCATAGAAAACACAGCCGAGCTCCCAGATCAGTCGCTTAGGCAGGGGAGTGGTTTGGGGGATAAACCCCCCCCTTCTCTTCCCCCATTTTTTTTTTCTCTTCTTAGTGAAGGGTAACAAATATTGACTGACTACTGAATCGTTCCAGCCAGCCGGGGCTGGAACAATTCGTGGAAGGTCGTGTCCATACCCGTGAATTGTACAGTACATCGACTAGTACACGCGAGGATGGGAGAACCCCTTCTCCCCCTCCCTGGAAATTAATTCTGGCTATGCCACCGTTCCATATGTTTATATATATTTACATCGTTAACAACAAATATTGTAGAATGTACTCAAGATAAAATGAGCTACTATAGCTATTTTATTACTTTATATATATTTTTTTTTGTACTTATCAAAATGTACTTTGCTTCTATTTTGCAATATTAATATTTCCAATAACATACATAAAATGTATAAACTCATATTTTGTGTCTAGATTCCCGTACGACCGGATTTGCTTTTCCAGGTCATGTTCCTCGCCTCGTTTCCTCGGCTGAGAGTGCAGCGCCCAACGGAGGACGAGGACTGCGCAGCGACCGAAGAGGTAGACGTCTCTCCAACACGCCCACTAACAGCGGACGATGGGAACCACTAACCTCTGCCGCGTCACAGTTACTCCATGAGCATCCTAACACTGCCCCGCCTTCCTGTGTTGCAGGACGCCAAAGATTCCGTGCACATACCTCTTTTGAGGCAAGCCCATGATCACATGTCTGAATCAGACTTTTAGAGGACTCGTATATGTGTGTTATGTAATTGCCACCCCACAAGTGCCTTTTTTTGAATAAAAGCTTTTTTTTTTATCAGCCTGTCTGGTGTGTTTACTAATCGTGCTTGCCAGCCGATTAATCAGTGCGTCACCATGTTTTTTTGTCTAACCGCACGTACGAAATAGCTTGCCATCTTTTTGGCTAAGAACAGATTTTACTGACCCTTGTGCTCGTAAATTACTACAAAATAGGTTGTGCTTTAAGCAAGGTTTTACAGTGATAAAGGCACGAGGAAAGTAAGCATGTGCCAAAATCCCAATTACTGTAGAGGCTGGTTTGGCTTTTATAACAAAGCAATCTGCTGAATCTGCGGGTTTCCACACCTCATATTTTACATAATCTTGCAGCCGAATCCTGCTGACTACATGCATCAATCTTATCATTTTTTTTTTTCTATTTCAACATACTGCAGATTTATTGGCCCGGAGTTATTGATTCCATAAAAGTTTGGCAGTTTCTCACAATGAAATAAACGGTCAGCTTAATGAGTGAATTTAAGGACCCTCATGAATTGTCTTTTCTTGCATTTGTCACCAAAAAAACTAGCGTATATTTAAATGTGGCAGCCAAGTCAAGGGACTCGAGTTGTAAAATAACTGGACGATATTACTGGCTAAAGCATGGAAAATGGGTTTAATGGGACGATGCCCGTTTCTGAATCACTGGAAAGAGCCCAGCAAGCTCTCAAGATCGGCAATGCCATTTCCATGCAAGCCTCAAGTCGACTTTGCACCTCATCAGCTGTGTAACGAGCTCACTGTTCGTAACAGTTCAACCTTTTGCTGCAATAGTCGCCAGCTGTCAGAACTCCGAGCTTTGCGGGATTGTGATATGTAAGGGATTGTGCCCTTTCAATAAGAGAGTTCCCAAACATTTCCTACATATAGTTTTTTTTTAACCTTTCGATCAGCAGTCTTTCAGTAAAGCTGTTTATAAACCATAGAAACATTGCACATGTTAGTAAGGAAGGTGGGAGCATCTAGCTCATAGTCGTATCTCGATGGATGACTGAACTGTTAAAATTGTACTCTGACTATGCTTGCTAAGATGGAGGCTCAAGGAACCTCTGGGTTTCTGGGAACTCATTTTGGGAACTCGTGATACTGTGCAGCATCAAGTCATCCTTCAGACTTCTCATCCCAACCTAGCACTTTCTTGAAGATGCTTAAGGAGCAATCGTCTAGCAAACTTCCAAAGTGTAAATGGCAACTGGCTGTTCGAAATTAAAGGGTACTCATTTAAATTTTTAGACGGGGGCCGAGTTGTGCGCCAATTGATGCTTCTCCAAGAGAAAAAAATGACCTACAGTAACTGCAGCAAAATCTGAAAAACATTTTCTTTTTTTTTTTCAGGTTGGTACTGTAAGGCGAGAAGTATATATGTGCAGTGGTGCTACTGCCGAGACCAGATTTGGAGCAATTTTTGGAGCACCTAAATATTAATTTTGGAGTGTTTGGAGCACCAAAATATTCATTTTTGAGAAGTTTGAAGCACCTAAATGTGAATTTTGTAGCACCCTGGAGTGCCTAAATATACTTTTTCGGAACACTTTTGAGCACTTGTGTACAGAGTCTAGCACTTAAGAGAACTTAGGTGTAGATTGACAATTTTCGATGCTGCTAAGTGTTATATTAGTAAGTTCTTCACACAAGTATGATATATTGGTCGCAGAAAGACATCGAAAATGAGAAAATCAACACCTTTCAGAAAATGTTTGCGAGGAACTAGGAAGCACTACCGTCACAATAAAATGAATGGCAAACCGGCTCGTCTATCTTATTACACCTTGTTTATTTCAAACACCAAGAGCTTATCGAACTGCTCATCTAACATATATCACCTAATTTATTTCAAACACCATGAGCTTATCAAAAGCCTGCTCTTCAAAGTTTTTTTGTAGCTTTTCATTCATACTTGCATACTTGGGTCTTATTTTCAGCAAGACTTGCGTTTGCTTCAGCCAAAAGCATGTGCCCAGATTCAATTTTCTCCAGGTTTCTGCGAGCCAATCCAGTCGATCAGTCCCTAGGCACGCTCCAGCATTGCCTTTGACGATTCGGACGATTCTAAGTGACTAGGTGTCCTCCAGTTTGTTGCAGCGAAGTTCACCTCGACTACGATAGGTGGCGGTAGACGCCACCCAATTCCCATCACCCGATTTTGGAGCAGTTTCCTCCAAAATCATCTGATTTTGGAGGAAACTGCTCCAAAATGTACAGTAGTAGTCTGCATCCTCCACATACTGTTAGGAGGATGCACATGAAAGTGAACCAGCAAATTGTTCCTGGCACAATTAATGCTTGTCTTTGTTATGGGCATTGCTTTTATTAACCAGCCCTTTATTAGAGATCTATTAAAGCCTTTTTATCGTGTAGGATTAGAACCTTTCATTAGTTTTAGTTATATAGGGTGTGCCGAGCAAATCTTTCGGCATAAAACGAGTTGGAAAAATTGGCACTTGTACATAGCTTTTGTAGAATGTGCACTGAGCAGGTCCGTCTTAACTCGTTAACTTTTAAGTCATACTTCTCTTCCTGTAAAAAAATTAGAACAAAAAACTTGGCAAAGTTAATGTTGGACGCGTTCCCAAACAACCGAGTAAGCAACACTAATTACTCGTGGCACCATCTTCCGATAGGTGCTGCGAGCAGACGGCATGCCCTGCTGTCAGCTTGCTGTGCCTATTGGGAGATGGCGCTACATGTACTTAGCATTGCTAAACGCACCCGACTTCGGCAAGCTTTTTGCTGCAGTTTTTTTTTACAAGAAAGGAACTAAGGCTTAAAATTTTACAAGGCAAGATTGACCTGCTCAGTGCGCACTCAGTGAAAGTTTGAGCTTTCTATATGCAGGTGCAGATAGTATTTCCGGCTTGTTTTAGAGCGGAAGGTCTGCTTGGGACACTATATATGTACACTGTGCGACACTGTTAGTACAAGCACTAGTTCTTTTAACTTTGCTTTTAAAATCAAAAGGCCGCCATCAAATATACAAATGTGATGGAAAGTGCTCACTTGGGGCACTGACCTAAGCGGTAAAGTTTGGCACCCACCAATACCCTTTCAGAGTAAAACATGGAAATGCGTTGATGTAGTGTTTGTGCTAACACTGTCACACGGTGCACGTTCCGAAATATTGTGCATTCAGTAGTAGTAGTTCATGCTTCTATTTTTATATGCACCTATCTTTTTATTTCATTGTAAACATGACAGTTTTACGTTTCATTTTAGTATCTTGAAAACTTGAGACCGAGGAGAAAAAAAGGGGGGGGGGGGGGGCAATGCACACGGAGGTTTTCGGGTTTTCAAGATGCTAAAAGCTTACCAGCTCGCCTGCTTTTACTCTTAGTAATTTCATGTTGTTTTGCCTTCAACTCGTAAATTAATGAGCATTATCATTTTTTTTAAATATATGATTAAGACTAAAAATGCATTGACTGAAATGATTTGGGCACAAATTTTTTTTGTGAATTTATTTAATGACTTTCTACATTTTCGCCATTCCCTCTCATAAACCTTGTTATGGGTGCTAACCTGCGTGAAGAAAATAAATCACAACGACTTGTTAAAGAGTGTCTGCACAGTCAGCATTGAGCTTTTATTTGGAATTAAAACAAAGACCACCGTAGCAGCACACATCACATTGCCATGCTGTTTTATGCCTTGCAGATGCTCAACATAAAAGTTCCAAAAACAGATGGTAACAACAGTAACAACAACAAATGAAAATAATACAGCGCACTTCAAGACCCGAGGATCAGCCATCCTACTAGACGGGAGACGTCTTTACAGACATCTCGGTTTCCAAATGCTTACTTCCACAGCAGAAAGGTTTTCAAGCTTCCAAGCGTTCTTTACAAAAGAAAAGAGATAAGGGGGAGCATGAAAGCTACATAAAAAATAAATCCAATTTCCATGATGGCACATATAAAAATAATGGTTTGATATGATAAGAATATGCAGTCAAAAACATGGTTGAACGACGTTCTAAAGAAAAAAAAATCAAAGGGAACGCATCTGAGTCTTTTCAAACCATGTCGTCAACAATCCTGCATTTCCAGCCGCCTCATTCACACCCTTCTGAGCAGCAAGGAACAATGTGACAGGAAAAACGAGGAATTGACTGGTGCAGCATCGACAAGCTTGGGTGTTCCCACACAATCCCCTCGCAGAAACAACGCGCTCGTGGGCACAGTTCGGAACGTACTGCTCTCGAAACGCAACTCTCGGGTGTGCCGAAGGAGTTGCAAGAAAATAAAGTGAGTACTACTATTAGGTACATCACAACAACGGTCGACCATCAATCGTTAGTACGCGTGGGACTAGAGGGGGGGTATCGTAGCGGCGTAGTAGCGACTCCGTACGGTCTTAACTTAACAGAGTAATGAGTGCCCCAGAGCAACGCAATGCTGAAATGGTTCATAAAAAGGGCTCTGAATCTTTACAATCAACTTCTCTTAATGCAGCCCCCGTTGACCCAATGCTTTGGCTTTTTTTTACAAAACGTGTAGGCCAACGTATGTTTTAGTCCCGTGCCAAATTGACCCCTCCAGTAGGGTCGTAGGACCATGAAAATGGAAGTTGCCACATTAACGGAAGTTGATCGTATTTTAAACTGGTAAAGGAGGTTTCTGTGGAGTAGTGCAGGAGTTGTGTGATCCTATACGAGATTATGAGGGAAAAGAGGATTGCATTGCATAACTGATGCATGGGGCTTTATTGGATGCTTGACACAACTATAGTATAGCACATATACATGTAATATGGTAATAAAATCGAGTGGTCTCTTTGTAATGCAGCTTGACAGCATTTCAGAAATGCATACCTGACAATCCATCTATAAAACCAATTCCACTAATCGAGACAGCAGGTATGTCTTTCAATTATTCTTTAATACACATGCAAAGGCATTAAATATAAAAACTAGGTTACCACCCCAAATTTTAGAAAAGCAGATCATCTTATCACCTTCTCTCGTTTCTAGCAAGGCTGACCGTTTTAACTTTTATATCTCAAAAAGCTGGCAGCCTTACCTTGGAAACTTTTTGGTGCTACCTTTTACGACGATACGTGTAGCTTCTACTTAGAAGTCTCTCATAATCTTTTCATGAGCCACATAAACACTTCCCGCCCTCACGACAGCATGAGTACCACTAATTAACTATGAGCTTGTTTTGGTCAAGCATACTTGTTAGCAAAATCTTCAAAAGATATGGCGGCTTTGCTGCCAAATCCAGAGCTTCTCAAGAACCACATTTTCGAAGCTCCACACTGCTCCCTCAGAACCACCTGTAACTGGAATGTCAATGCTCTCCCCAAAACGGGATGTTTCACAGGCTGACAACTCAAATAGCATTTAGTTTGGCTGGCACGTTCTGTTCTGCAACATCAGCCTCCAGAGTGTACATAAAAAATAAAAGTTCATCTCGACGTATCCTTTAGCGCCCCTTACAAAATGCCTGTTTCAAGGTGACAACTGCCTCCACTTAAGAGGTCACGATGGTTGCAAAGAACTGAGTAAGGTCTTTTTTCTTCGCTTAGAGAGCTCGTAGTATGTAACAATAACCTAACTGCAGACATTTGTAGCCAATAAAACAGAATCGCAAACATTGGCAAAGGGCAGAAATATCTGTACCTTGGTTACCGGCCACGCTTGCCAATGTGGTGAGGAGCGCCTGCTGAAAGTTGTGACGTTAAAAGATTTGCATACCCTTCCCCCACAAAGAACTAGGTATGCGTGACCGTCAACCGTTGTTTTAAGGGTTTCTAGAACAAATATTATAGTCTAGTTTAAAATCCTCGATGGTTCACTGCCTTTAAAAGCTTGCGTCTGTGAACCTCCTGACAGGCTGTTACATTGATAACGAAGCACTAAAATTCGTCCCATGAAAGCAAGGTGGTCGAGCTAACGGGGCTTCCGAGAGAGTGTGCTAGCGGCAGTCTCTATTGACGGCACACCGAATCCAATTTGCTATAGTCGTGCAAAGGTTACCCTTGCTAGGTTTAAGGCAGCTGTGCAGTCTCGCTTCTCCACAACACGAGTGATATCCAAACATCCTTCAGAAAAATTAGACTAGCAAAAAAACAAAGAAACTACACCGCTAACATTGAGTGAGTCGCCATGCTGTCCCGTGGGCCCAAACAACGGAATTCACTACTATTATGCCTGTGCTTTGCCAGAAGTTACGGAAATAAATGGGTCACTTCGTCGGAAATGCAGTCCCTATGCATTCATGCACGTTCCTACGCTATGGGTGTCCAATTACTCTTTTTTTTTAACCGAAAAAAATCTTCTCATTGCTTAGCATCTCGGCCAATGTTTGCAGAGGTTTTTCCAATGGGAGAGCCTGCACACTGTCCTTGAATCTGTAGTATTCTGACCCTCCTATGCTTTTTGCTTTCACAGTGCGTAATCGTAATGGTGTGCCCACGCACAAACAATAGAGCGTAGGAGTTACAACTCGAAGGATGACGAGGAAAAGTGTCACAACACAATTTGCCAGCACACGTAGGCACGTATAGATATATACACATCAGACAAATATCGTACACAAGAAAATACGGTATGTACACTAGGTAGCCGCCTGCCCCAAGAAGGATTCTTCGAACAATAAAATAGAAAACCTCGACTCGGCCACTAAAATTGTGCATCTCAAAGCAGCGCTGACTTCAAAGATGGTCGTCTTTTTTCTTTTTTATTCCAACAAATAATTTAATATCCTCTTCCAAACAAATGTATACCCCCAAATGTTTCCTTCTGTGTGGACAAACGAAAAAAAAATTCAAATAGTCTCTCTTGAGGAATTCAGGAATCTTCTCTAACAAGAGAAACGCTTGGGAGGAAACATTTGTAAATAATTTCATGTATATATATATATATATATATATATACACATAAACTTAAAACCTAATAACCATCACAGTACTTCCTGAAATTTGCATCTTCACCAGTGCACGCTTACAACCGAAAGCTAGAGCTAGTCCCGCCAGCCTGAAGCGCGGTTGTTTCGTCACACACCTCCAAAAAAAAAACTCTGCTATCGAGAGGAAGAAAAAAAAAGAACTAATTAAATCTAATCTCACATTGTATACCTATAAAACAAGCATAAAGTAGCTGTACAGTGATATCATAAATAGTATATACTATGGTACACCCAATGTAAAGACTAAAATGTATACAGATAAATAGATCTCTCTCTAAAAGATATCTTTTAAGGTAACACATCTCAAATAGACCAACGGCTCTGGTGCGTCCCCATTGCAACAAAGTATACTTTAAAAGGCTAAACGTAAATGGAGTGTAAAAATCAAGCAGATCTCCGAGAAAACCAAGGTCTATGTGCACGGCACAATGAAAAATCTAAAACAAGCGGAAAGTGGCCCAACTAGGTGCCGTCGACGAAAACTGTGTGCACTTGGGGACAGCCGCCCAAGAACGTAGGGGTGCAGCCTTGCTGATTATTGCGAGCTGTCCCGTCGTGAGCTCCTCTTGACGTGGACAGCTGCTGCTAACAAAAGGTGGCCAATCACTTACAGGCAGATGTGAACATTCTGTTTTCGTGCCAGTTTCGATCTGGAGAAAAGAAGAGAAAAACATCTCCCAATTAGTACAGTGGAGCACATCCAAACTCCCAATCACATCAGTCAAGGTCATATTTTTTTTTTAATTACTGAATCTTGCTTACCTGCACCAAAAGCAAGTCATGTGCAAACCACATATTTGGGAGAATGGCCGGGTTTGCCCTTTAGTGCCCGATATCAACTCTACAATTTTCCTTATTTATACGAACAATGCAAACGTAAAAACCATTATCCGAGATTATTAAAAATGTAATTTCTGTGACGAAGACAATTGAGAGTCTACTCATTTCCTAGTCTCAAATCTTGAAACCTTGCAAAATCAAATTAGAAAAGGGTAAAATGCGAACGGAACGAAGGAGGCTGTCGAATACTGTAATATATCCCGAGGGATAGCCCACCTAAAATAGAGAGTAAATTGGGGAAAAAGAAGGAGTGGGCTCAACTTCGGTGTGCAAACAAAGAAAGTTGAAAAAAATGCTATTTTTAGATCATGTGTCCCTGACAAACTTGTTATCGTGGCGAGGGGCAATAAAGCAAAGATGACTGTACTTCCCAGTCAGAAATGTTCGCTTATATCTAGGGCTCCGTGTTTTCGGAGTTTATTTTTCGGGAAATTCGGAGGGTGTTTTAGGACTTTATTTTTTATCAAAAATTCTGTGTTTATCGGAGTTTATTTTTCGTATATCCCCAATTCTCCGAAATTCGGAGATTAATTTCGAAGTGTTTCCTACTAAAAAAATATTAAATAATAAGCGGATGCAAACGTACGACAGATAAAAAATAAAATGCGCTTGTATCAATTAAGATTTCTTCAGTTGAATTTGGCGTTGGTGTCATTGACAATACTACTTTGTCCCACGATAAAAGTCGCACACAAGTGTGGCTTCGATAAACGTCGATACCTTAAAATCAATAAACTGCCCGAGGTAGCCGCAAGGAATCTCGTAGTCATCCCATCAGTCTATCCCGCGGCCGCGCGAGGTGGAGTGGTTAAGGATGTAATAGAGAAGTTTCGACTGCCTCTCTTCCCTATTTTATACAATCTCTATGGTCCACAGCTTTCACTGTTGCCCACAGAAACATACCCTCCCCTTTCTCTAAATCCCAAATCCCATGGCCCAAACTGGAAACCAAGAGAGTGGCTTTTGTCGTGACACAAATGGTACGATGACCTGTTTCCCTGAACCAACCTTGACGAGACAAGCCGTAAGACCCCCTTTTGACAATGGTCCGAGGCTAGAAAGATAATTATGGTGTCATTTTCCCAGGACCATTGATCCTGCGCTGCTCAAATTGTAAAAAAAAAAAAAAAAATACTTTTTTTTTTTTTTTTTGTTTGGAGGGGGGGGGTTGGCATGGGCACATAAGAATTCAGAGTTTAGACAATATGTTTACCGGCAGGTGTTTTTCAGAGTTTTTCGGATTTATCCGAAAACACGGAGCTTTACTTATATACCGCCATAGTTAACTAGATGTTAACGCCGAGGTAATCATTGATCCGAACACTAGGATTACTGTGGTGGGCTATCTTTTGGTGTTGAAAAGAAAGTAGCATATCGAGCGAAAAATAGGGATGGGTTACCTTTCGGGGGTGGGGAATCTCTCAGGCTATTACGGTAGTCATGAAATGTCCAAAATTACCTTTCTTGTTAAAATTTGGTTATAGTCGTTCGCAGTTTTTCACTTCGTTTATTTGTGTCATGCTAGTCCTTTTAAAGCTTCCTACACTTCTGAGACACACAAGTTTTTCATGTATCTAAAAAAAAACCAACAGCTACAGTGAATCTTGCTCAAGACAAGCGCCTTTGCTTAGCAAAGCCATTAGCAATGAAATGGATGTGAAATACAGTCGAACCCGGATTATTGAATTCAAAGGGGATCGTAAAATAGTTTGATATATCGATAATTTGATAAACAAAAATATGTTAGCTTAAACTCCAGTTGAAATTTCCACGCGTCTCTGCTAATACCGAAGGCCATGACAAACGGGACCTTACCAAATAGAGCCTCTAACAGCCGCTAAATACAGTAGAGCTCAGTTGGTGAAGATCACAAACACCGCCGCGTTTACATGACGGTGTTTGTGATCGTTTACACGGGGCCACGACCTCCACACAGCGCCCGCAACAAAACACAAAAATAATTTAAAAAAGAATGAAAAACCCGAAAAAGCGAGCTGCATGAAAAAAAATCTGATCCATGGAATAAAGTTAAGCGAGCAACAAGAAAGAAATCTCACTAAATTTCGGCAGCAAAAAAAAAGAAAAACTGGGCAAAGCAAAAACGACGAAAGAAAAGGCTAAACAAAGATAAGGCGTTCAAAGTGCGATTGCTCAACCGCTGTTGTCAACACACTCAACTTCACGGAAGACTTTTTTTCACTTATTGGGGTTAAGGAGTTGCACAGCGACAGCGGTGTTCGGGGAAAGAGCGCACGCTACCGTTCCAACAGCAGGCACTTCCTACCCTCCCTATGCGCCCCTTGCTTTTGCCATCCCTCACTTTTTCCTTTTTTTTTTACAACTGCTCTTCAACTGCTCTTTTGCTGCGTATCCCCGTGCACGTATGCTGACTTGGCGGTCTGCCAGCCCCGCAACGCGAGCTATGTGCTCGCCGCCCATGCTACCCAACCGCGGGCAAAGCAACGGGCCGGCTGCCGTGCTTAGTGACGCTATATCGAGTGTCCCTGCCATGGGAGTTCGATACAGAAAAACAACGCTCCCATACTATTACATGTGATTTTCAAGGGGATGTTTGAACTGTTCGATATAAACAGTAATTCGAAATACCCAAGTGTGATATAACCGGGCTCGACTGTAGCATACTACCGTATTTACTCGCACAATGAACGCACTCGCGTAATGAACGCACCCCCCAAGTCGGCTCTCAAAATTTCGACTTTTTTTTTCACTCGCGTAATAAACGCACCCCCAACTCGGACGTCAAAATTTTGACCCTCCCCCCACGCGCGCGAAATGAACGCATTTTTCTATCCTGATGCAGCGAGGTCGCGAATGCATGGGCAGCGTGGGCGAACAAAACGCCTTGCAAAAGGCGTTAAAAAAAATTCGCAAAGATCCAACGGAAGCAAAAAAAAAAACATAAAAAGGAGCTTTTTTTTTTTTTTTTTTTTTTTTGCACAGCGCAGTTTGGATTTTGGGTTTGCGCGCCGCCGCGCAAGGAGGTAAGAAAGAGAAGCGCTCTAAGCAGCGCTCTAAAAGCGAACGAAACAGCTTGCGAAGGGCGGTAAAAAAAAAACAAAAAAAACACAGAACTAAGAAAAAAACAGTTTTTTTTTTTTTTTATTGCACAGCGCAGTTTGGTTACGGGAGGTCGCGCGCCGCGCGCAAGGAGGTATGAAAGAGGAGCGGAGAAGCCCCTAAGCAAACGAAACAACTTGCGAAAAGCGGCAAAAAGAAAAAAAAAAAAAAAAAAAACTTACCGAACTGAGAAAAAGAATAGAAGAAAAAGAGAAGCTTTTCTTTTTTTTTTTTTTGCACAGCGCAGTTTGGTTACGGGGGTCTTGCGTCGCGCGCCGCGCGCAAGGAGATAAGAAAGATAAGCGGAGAGCCTTGGCCTAAACAACACCTAAGCAAACAAAACAGCTTGCGAAAGGCAGCAAAAAAAAAAGGAACTAAGAAAAAGAAAACAAGAGTTTTTTTTTTTTTTGCATAGTTTAGTTTGGTCGGGGGTCGGGCGCCGCGCGCAAAGAGATAAGAAGTTACTTCGATTTTTCAGGATAAAAGGCCCGTCATTATGCGAGTAAATACGGACACAAAAAATTACTTCGCGTAATGAACGCCCCCCCTAACTTTGCATCGATTTTTCGGGAAAAAAAGTGCGTTCATTCTGCGAGTAAATACGGTATATATTCACACAATACGCGTGTTGCAAACTTGTTTATATGCAGAGAGAAACTTTCTTACACAGTGCAACCTAATTAAAGCAGCCATATCATTATCACACGCACTCCTCCATAAACTGTCATACTTTCTGACAGGCTTACTGCAGTAAATACCTGTCTACAAACAACCGACTGATATAACAAGCATATGTATAAAAACAGACATTTTTCCTAGTCAGATTCACGGTAACAGTATGGCTTGTTGTAAATAGGGCTGTTATACATCAGTTTAATAAATTATTTAGAAACTATTTAGAAACATCTTTTCGCTAAATACTTTTAAAAAAATGCCCAGGACAGAAGCGCTTTGCTGTTGTACAGGAACTGCTCCAAAAGAATTTGCCTAGCGCCCAGGGGTGCACGCCACTGCACTCACTGCGTCTGACATCCCACGCACCTGATCTGGCCAGCCAGGAGAGGATTGATGGCGTACAGCCACTCGTGGATCTCTTTCTCCTCCAGTGTCTGCAGCAGGAATCCTCGGCTCTTGGTCACCACCGAAAATGTGTTGGGCACCTGAAACATGCGGGCAAGGGGGTGGAGGAGCGCAGAAACATGTAGGATGAGGAACATTGCACATCTACTGCGTCCACATAAGCGTGTCTCTGAGACAAATTGAGCACTGGAGACACATGTAACAAATTCTTTTGTACAACAGTGCATTGCCACTGCTTAACATTATTTCACATATTAAAATATTAAAAATGTATGCAGACCATTGACTGGTACCTGCAGATGCTCGTGCCTTCTTGCTAACTTGTTTAGTTTGTTGCATTAAAGATTTAGAGGGGAACATTTTGTCAGTGCAAGTAGCATCGCTGACAACCATTATCCACTAGCGGCTGCATCCATGCAGTATGTACATGAAATCTGTTGAAATTCTTTTTGGCAATACATTTCTTGGAGGAATAAGTGTCAAAATGCTGACCAATGCCCTTTGAATGCACCAAGACATTACGCAAGTACTGGTTAAAGTCTAAAATACAAATCCATTATCTTTTAGCGCAAAGTCACGCGAAAACTCAAATGCCGTTGCTGTCATTACTGAAGTTTAACTTATAATTACTTAAGTGCATCATGGTGCCACCAAATTTGGTGGGACATTTAGTGAAAGCATGTACTTGGAAAAACCACGAGAAGGTAGAAAACTTTTTAATTTCACTGCACTGCTTTCAATGTATCTATTAATGTACATCTCAGCACAAGCATTATCAATTCTGCACTATTTCACCACTAATTCGCTTGGAGAGCACAGCTCTTAGGCGCCCGTTTCCAGCTTGAGTGGCGGCAGCATCGCCGTCAACGTAACCGTACGTTGCATTATGGGACATTTCCCATAATAACGTAACACGTGACATCATGACGGTCACGAGTGAAGTCACGACCTTCAGACTGACCTTCACGAGTGACCTTTGTGACATCACAATGGTCACTTGTAAGGTCACGACTTTCACGAGGCCTTCACAAGTGACGTCACAAGGGTCACTATGGTCATGAGTGACGTCGCAAGGGATAAGGGAGGGAGGGGTATGGAGGGGAGAGGAGTAGGAGATGAGGAGGGGGAGGGGGAGAGGGTACGGAAAAGGAGGAGAGGATACGCTCCTCTTTGTACTCTCCCCTCCTCCTCCTCAAGAGCTGTGCTCTAATTCAGCATTACAGGGAATTGTAAATGTCTCTCATTTTTTTTTTTGCATATACATGTGAAGCGTAAATGAGCTCCCATGATTTGGCTTGGATTCTTTTACTCTCATTAATTTGTGTGACAAATGTATCATTTTCCATTGTCTTGACACATTCACTGACATGGTCTCTTCTGATAGCATACATCAGGGGTTCTCAAACTGGGTTCTGGGGAACACAGGGGTTCCACAAGCTGGTCTCATGGGTTCCGTAAACACCCAAATTGCAACCACCCTCCCCTCCCTCCCCCTCCCTCTTTCTCCCACTCTCCCCCCCCCACGCCACAGGCTGCACGGCAGGACCATGCAAAGCGCCTTCACCTCACTTTGTACTGACATCGCGATTGATATGGCGGGGATATATGGGAAGCAACACAAGCAAAATTGCCTACAATTGTGCATCTGTTGCCTCTCGGTCGGCAAATATGGAGGAGAGGGGGAGGGGGAGGGGGGCTTTCGCAGCAGTTTTTGAGGCTTCCTGCGGTTCCGTGAGGCCAAAAAGTTTGAGAACCTCTGACATACACTATGTGAAGCATAAATTTGGTTTCTTAAAAGCCTTTGATTACATTAATCAACCCTTTTAAAAACTCCATCAAGCAACACTGGCGGCCGCCACTTCTTGGGCACGGTCCGAGTCCTCTTCGAACACTGACGCAGCACTCGTTTTTAATACGAGCTGGGTCAAGTTCACCCCAAACGCTGGAGCAGACCTTGTGCCCAATACGTGCTCAGGGTAGGTGCCTAAACAATGGCGGACTTGGAGAATTGACACAGCAGGTACTAGAGGGCATAGACTTTTGAAAAGGGACTATTGTTCCTAATTTGTTCCGTGTGCCACACTGACCACCTTTTTTTTTATACAGAATGTGTTTTATCAGCCGATTTCCATGGGGTTCCACAACGTTTGGGTGTAACAGTCAGCTGTAACCACAAACCGACACCGAAAAATGTTAGACCTTAGGGAACCATAGGAAAAGACTTCAGTTCTCTGGCAGGATTTGAACTCTCCACCTCGAGATTGTGAGCCAAGTGCTTTGATGACTGAGCTATCCAAGATCGGTGTTCAGTACACACAAAAGCAAACTCTCTGGCACGAAGACACGGTCGCGTGCTCCGTGGTCTTTCCTACCATGCTGCGCCGTCTCGCAGCGTGTGTCATAACTGAGATTGAATCTTTGGTAGGTGGTGTTGTTTGGACGCCCTTCTCTTCTTTCCTGAGAGGCCTATCCTGTGCTAACTAGTCTTTGTCAGCATGATCAAGCTTGTATAATTTGTGTTACACTTTTTTCAAATATTTTTGGTATAAAAACATAGTCCTGATTCCTTCCAACCGAAGGTAGCGGTATTTGCGAACAACTAAATTAATGCTCGGTAAACTTGTAAGTGCAAACAGAGATGGACACGGAGCAGGAGACGGGAACCTGTGCCCATCTCTGTTTGCGCTTGCAAGTTTCCTAAGCACCAGGCACCAACCAGCCCAACGAGTCTTGTCAAACTTGTCAAAAATGTAGAACAACATTCTATAAGGTAGTTTCATGAAATGTCTTTTCCCTCCCAGTAAATTATTTTCTGCCATGTTGATGAACAGCATCCACCACTTTGTTCGTTAGTTTACATGCAGACGATTAGATATTGGCCACATTTTTGCTGTTGGTCAGAAGCACAGGCATTTTGAGCGACTCAGTCAATGACAGAAGTCGGTAAGTACTGTCAGGGCCATATTTGGGCCACATAAACCCATACTTTATATTCTTTGCTCTTCGGAGGTACCCCGGAGGCATCGACTGAGGCCATTTCAGCGCCAACGGATTAACTTTCCGATTGCCGGCTCATCTTAAGGGAGCACACCCCCTAGGAGGGTCAACTTTTGAACCCTTGGCGTAACATTAATGTAATTTACAGGGTAGGCTGGTGGTCATGCTAGAGGGTGCATGATAAAATTTCATGTCTGTCGGTTAAGCGGGAAGAAAATTGGGGCAGCTTTTATCAGCAACACGCCTACATTGTTTAGTTAATTTATCGTCGAAAACTATCACGATATTCAAGATTTTTATTCGCTAGATATGTAGCGAAATGCCTAGGAGGTGCGGCTATGGAAAGCTTTTTGTAAAAAGTCATTTATTTCTATCAATTTTCTCTTCTGAAAAATGGGTAAACTTTTTGGTCTTCTGTGTCTTTGACAAAATGTCAACATTTTTTTATAAAAGACATCTGTAAAGTGACAAAAACATTCCATAGCCGCATTCCTTATTAAATTTCAGTCAGGAAAAGTGAAGAATGAGCCTTCCCTGTATTGCCATTATCAAACGATAGGTTGACTAAAATGGAATTTATACCAAAAAGTGGAACGGAGAAAAATGTGTTCAAAGTGCTCCAAACCCTACCTTTTCTTTGGCTTCAGTGGACAGAAAATAATTTATAAAAATTAACTATGCAGTGTAAACTAGTGAAAATTTCTGAAAATACTCTCTAGATGTTGGTGGATGTAAATATGTAATTTTCCAAAATCAACAGTTTTTGCAGAATTTTTTTTTTCTGGGTAGTGTCCCCCCTTCAAAATAAAAACGAGTGCGTACAAAGACTGAGTGCCAGCCGACGCTTTATTTATGGTCCCCGCAAAACGAGTGCGTACAAAAACTGAGTGCCAGCCGACGCTTTTTTTTTTATGGTCCCGGCAACTCCGGCTGGTGCAGTCGATCACGACGCAAAAGAACTCGAGCGAACTGGAAAACACTGCCTCCACAGAGAGAAAGACTAGGGCGAAAGTTCATCAACATGGCGACCGGCAAGATTTTGAGCCAGAATGGCGCATGTGAAAACGCCCTATGTTTCGAGTTTCTAATCATTGAGCTTCCCCGCATGTCGGGCACCGTCCTCCGTACTGCTACATGAAGGCAGGTTACACATTGAAGCAGACGACATACCTTGAGCATAGCCTGCTGCTCTTCATTGTACTCCACCTGTGCTGTGGCGAGGTTGATGAGCTCCCGTTCAATGAAGTCCTTCTCGTCGCGGTAGATGAATACGTACGGGCGACGGATCACCTGGAATGGGAATTAGAGTCGGCGTCGGAATCTATCGCAATATAGAATTTGTCGTCTGCTGGGTCGGAAATTCTCAAACAAGGTTCCTAGGGACCCAAGAGGTTCCCTAGAATACCCCGACTTCCCGAAGCTCCCAAATTTCCTTAATCGTCCCTTCCTGTAAGAAAAGTGTTTCCGTAGCTCAAGCATCGTTTTAGAAGATCAGGGCCACCCATTGATGCATATATTTGTGCCAAGCACTCCCTAATGTGTGCATTATTGTTTAAAAGGTCTGTAGGTTTCTACCGTAATATCCCGAGTCATCGCCCACCCCCCAACCGCCTGAAATTCGTTAAAAAAGTGGGGTGGGCCATGTCTCGGTGGGTGAACACAAACTCTTAAAAAAAAGCGGAAAAAAACGCCTATTTTTCTCTGCGTATCTAGCACTGATGCACAAGAGATACATCAAACTCAAAGCTCGATTTAGTTTCATTGTTTTATAGAAAAAAATGCCCACGAAAAAATATTTTACTATAGCAAAGTCCGTTGCTTGCATACGCGCTAGAAACACCGCCGATCTGCATATAGCACAAACGTTTGTTCCGTGAAAGAATGTCACCATTATGTTCTCCTAGTTAGTAAAAAAAAAAAGAAAGAAAAGTCTACAAGAAAATAGAAAAACCGACCAGGCGCAACGAGCGAGCGAGCAACGAGCGAGCAACGAGCGAGCGGACCAAAGAAGCGACCAAGAGCAATGCTGGGAAAGTGGGAAAGCCGGCGGTCGGGTTGGCAAATACTTTGGCGTCGGGCCAAGTCGGGCGCCTTGTCAATTGCAAGCTCTTGCGCAACTTTCTTGTTTGGTGCGTACATACGTGCCTCCGTGCACGGCGGGCTATCAATGCACGGTTGGGACGCTCTGCAAACGTCTGTGTAGGACGTCCCAGCAAAGCTTTATTTACGCTTTGGCTTTGCCTAAAATATTGCACAACCGCGGTCGCGACGGGCGGGATGAAGGAGCGGGTTCGCGGTGACCTTACTTCGGCGGAGACAGACTTTGACCTAACACTCTGCGGTTACGTTAACAAACTCTTATTTTGTTATCTCCGTCGTTTTCATTTCGCATGGATACACGACCACTTTGGGGTCGCTCACGGAGGAAATGCGTAAACAAAAAAAAGTGTCTTTCCCTCCTTCGTTTTACTTTGTCACGGACGTCCTCCAACTGTAAGGTCCGCGGCCGCGTCATTCGGGTAGGATGAGTGTTCGCGGATCGCAGAGTCCGCGCTGGGGTATTTGAAGGGGTGGGCGATGACTCGGTGTTTTTTCGGAAATCGATATTGGCCCCAAAAATGGGGTGGGCGATGGCTCGGGGATGGGCGATGACTCGGGATATTACGGTATACCGCTTTATTGCATTAATGCAGAGAAAGAGAGGTGTTCCTTGGCCGTTGAGTCATGAAAGACGATGTCCAATAAATTAAAAAAAGAGGCCGGATCTCCACGTGGTGAATGATGTCGATTGGGGCGAAGCTCTGGTGGTGCTGATGATACTGATTTTATTGTTCATAGGTAGTGCTGATGGTGCTGATTTTTTTTATTGCTCATAGGTAGTGCAGAGTTCCGGGTTGCGTTTCGACTTCATTATTACTGCTTTATGGTCGGTGAAATGCAGAGCCAGTGGTTCTTCTAGTGGATCAGCTTGGATCCGCTAGAAGCCGTGGGAATGCATCTCTAACGGTCCATGTCAGAAAAAGAATATGTGGTATAAATCGTGGTTATATACACAGTTGAGCATTTGACTGCAGCGCCCTCTCCTGTATAGACGTTGAGCGGCTACATGCAACGTTAGAGTGTAACAAAGTGCCTAAGACATCTGCCTCGTAAGCAAGCGGTCCTGAGTTCAAAACCCCGTGCGGGCATACATTTTCTTTTTAAAGTGGGCCGATCCCGGAGGTAGTGCAGTCGATAAGAGCACGGACGCCGGACAAATAGACAAGGCTAGACCCTTGGGAGCTCTGCCCCTAAAAGTTTGAGGTTCCCTTGTATCTAAGCTGTGCCTGTGTTTTTTTCAATTGTTTTTACGCAGAGACCTGAAGCCAACCAAATTTTTTTTTTTTTTACATAATCCATTACGAGCAGGGGCCAACAAACAGTTTTTAAGAGAGAAACCCATTTGATTCCACAACAGCCGTTCCTAGTCGAAAGAATGACTTAAGCACAAGACACACGGACGGCAGAATCGTCCGAACCGACAGTCTGAACGCTGCTCCGAATTGCCGCACGCAACAGTTTCAGACACACGCTTCCGACCTTGCATGCGACACGACAATCTGTTTGGCTCCGCCCAGGACCCAGGAGATCCAAGCGTTCCAGCGGACTCCGGAGGTCATCTCTGGTCCCAGATTGACGGTTCAACTCGCACGAGCGAAATTACAAGCTCGTTCTCAATAGCATGTGCATTCTTTGCTGGGGCCATCTTTCTCGAATGGGTCAGTGGGATTCACGCATCCGGCTTCCCCTCGCCCGTCCCGTTATCGCGTTCGATTCGTCCCACCAGACCCAGTACATCATCATGACGTTCGCGCTAGCTGTGCTGTCATTGGCTAGACGCTTCCAACAGTCCGTCTGCCGCGCGAAACTATCTGGCATGTTGAACGCACGCCGGATCGCCAATCCGACGTCTGAAGCGACCAAATTTTTCGGATCAGGCAGTCGTACTGCCGGATCCAACGTCAGATCGGAATGATTTTTGGCGCATGTGTCTCGTGCTTTAGGATGGCAATTAACAAATGGGTTTTCGACTAAGTGATTTTGGTTTATGAATTTAGAAAAACAAAAAAGTTCACTTTTAGAAAATTAATTTAGAGCCTCCCAAAATGTGTGAAAACAATACTTTGGTCACCGAGCGGTAGAAGGAGCCTAAAAATAATTTAGAGACTTTTCTGAAGGTGACGTTTTCTACGTGCCACCAAATATTTCTCTAGAATTTAGTATGAGTATTTCTTTGTGAACTAGGACAAGTGATGACATGTGGCGACCACCGACACTGGAACGCCTTCTGAAAACTAAATGCAACAATTCAATCGAACTCAGTAATTGAAACCTCGCTAAAAAAACAGGGAATGTAAAATATTCATGTTTTACATATTTTACATTCCCATAAAATGTACTGAATGTGTGTGATAGCAAATATTCAAATTCTATAATAGCCACTGACAAGGCCAGAATGGCTAGGAGGAGCTTCTTATTTTTGAAAACGCTTGGGCAACTCCCCACTCACCAGCCATCTCTTGACCCAGTTGCCTGTGCGGTCGTCCAGGCAGCCCAGGTAGCCCTTGCGGGACACGATGGGGCTGGCACGCACTTCCTCCACCTCGGCCACAAACTTGCCGGCCGACCCCACGCACGTCGGGGGATGAGAGGCCGGCTTGAGGCCCGCAGGGGGTGCCAGGGTCGAGGGAACGCCCCTCGCCGCCTCGTCCAGTGGCAGGCAGGCTTTTTCCGGGGACAGCAGACTGCGAGGGGCACGCGTCGTCACTTTAGTGTGTGTGCACTCTGTCTGGGTTCCTAGGAACCCAGAAGTTCCCCAGAGAACCCCAAGGGGTTCCCTAGAGTACCTCTGAGGGTTCCCCAGAGTACCCTTGAGGGTTTCCTGAGCTCCCAAATTTCCCCAGCTGTCCCCGCCCGTGAGTACCTAGACCATGGCTATCAATCTAAAGATATGGGTATTCCTCAACATTTAAAAGTTAAAGGACCCCCGCTTTAGAGCATTCATGACCGAGTTTTAAGAAGTCTTAACTCGCACATTAAGTCACATCCTGGGCATGGCTTCTAAAGGCTGATTCGGACATTCAGGTTTGAGCACGACCGACTGCATTATGACTGCTTGCAACTGCTTTCGACGAGGTGCTATTACTTTAAAGAAAACACAGTAGAGAAACCGAAGTACACTCTAATTAGAATTTGCCAGCGTGAGTTTCAAAGTGCTATGTTTCAGGGTGACATTGGCTATAACTAGGATTTTGTGTTTTCGGAGTTCACTTTTTGCCGGAGTTTATTTTTGTTATATTCCCAAATCTCCGAAGTAGAAAGTTTATTTTTGTTACGTTCCCAAATTATAAGGACTAAAAATAAAATTCGGCAGGTATAACCCTGCCCTAGATGTATAAGAATGCTTGTGTACCATATGACATTGACGCCCTTGCCATTAATAATACTACCCAACTGTCCCACGACAACACTTGACAAAGACACATTAAAATCACTGAACTCCTTGACATAGTCGTTGGAAAGCTTGTTTTCTTTTCATCCTATTCTACCGCTTCTCCATGAGGGTGCGCGGGTGGAGTGGTGAGATGGATTCCTCGGCTGCCCTCCTATGAAATCTAGGAGTTCATAGCTTTTACGGTCATCAAATCAGAACCCTACCTTCCTCTAAGAAGTTCAATCGGGAATCCACAACAGTGGTTTGTGTCGTGACCCAAAATTACAATGCTCCGTTGGCCTGAACAAACCCAGAGAGGATAAACAGTGAACCTTGTTTGGTCAATACTACAATATTCTAAAGGAATCTGGGGAGGCCTCTCCTGATAATTGCTGAACGTGTACTCTAACCAAATTATTTTGGTATGAATACTTGAAAGGATAAAGCACTGAGGACAGGGACGGAGGACTTCTTTCAAGACTTTCAAATTGACGAAAGAAGTCCTGTCTCTGTCCCCATCCTCAATGTTTTATTCTTTCAAGTATTCATATCTATTCACCAACACGCTCCCTTTCAATTATTTCTTTTGTAGAAAAAAGTGTTTTATTGTTTCTTTTAGGCCATCATAACCTCCAAATTCAGAGATTTTCAAATAGATCAGAATTGAGAAAAAGTTTACCGTTGAGCGTTTTTCGGATTTGATTACATTTATCCGATAAAATTTGAAACGGAAAGGAACTCTAGCTGTAATGCACGAGAGAATCTCTTGACAATGCACCCCGACCAACCTGATAGTTTTAATTCACTGCATACACGAAGAAGGAAGACCGTAAAGGAAAAAGATGTGTGCTAGCTCTTACTCTTGAGAAGAACTTGATGTCATGCTTGAAGAGGGTGAAGATCCATCTCCTTCTTCAACTGGAGTCATTGCTGACTCTTGTTGCTGCATGATGGAGAAAAAAGATGTGTGCTATGTTACAGCTCTGGTGACATACTTTTCCCCATGTGCACCGTTGTGTTCCAACGGTGCACATGCGTGTTCCAAAGATGTGTTCCACGAGCGTGTTCCAACGATGCATATGGCCAAAGTCACACTACTTCAAGATGAAATGCCTCAAGGTATATGAAGTTACATTTTGTTATACAGTCAAACCCATTTATAACGAACAGCAGGAAACGCCACGATCAGTTCGATATAGCAAGTAGTTTGATATAGCAAAAAGCATTTACAACGAACTTCCACGATGCGTTCGTTGTAAGGCGAGAGCTTTTCTTTCTTCCTCATCTCTTCGCTTCCACCATGTAACAATGCGGTGGATTTTTAAAAAATTTTTTTTTAGCTTACTTCTCTTTTTTAATTGCTTCTTTTTGTGGGCAACCAACTGCGTTAAGATGAAAAGTTTTTTTTTTTTTTCTGTGCGTGCATGCAGAGTGTCTTTTTTAGCTTTCTCCCCTTCTAAATCGCTTCTCTTCGCTCAATTTTGTTCGCGGCTTAAGCTTTTGAATTTTCTTTCCTACTTTTTCTGAGGGAAAGGGACAGGCTAGAAGATGGTTGTGTGTGCGTTTTTGGAAGCCTTCCCGGGTGGGGGGAAAAGTTTGATATAGCCAATGTGTTGTTCGTTATAAAAAGTGCTGTTTACATGAATTTTTATTTAAATTTTCCGTGAGTTCGATATCGACAATAATTTGCTGTACGTGGGTTCGTTCTAAATGGGTTTCACTGTACTGCAACGTGGACTTCCAAAGAAAGTATATATTCTTCACTTTGATTTTACCATTACGTCATTCAGGGGGGGCTCCAGTCTCTCTCTCTCTCTTCCCCCCCCCCCCTCGTTATTTTGGACTGTTAAAGAAAAGAATAGGGGAAAGACAGCATGGTCAAGCTTATTTTAATCTGAAATTATTTATGCACATGTAGAGCCTACTGTCGCTCTTCACTGCATAAAAGATTGCATAGATGGTCATTGTTAGAAACTCGTTGTCAGAAGGCACTACTCGTCACATGCTGGGTGTTTCAGAAGTTCAAAGCTATGTCTTTTCGACCTAAATAACTGTGCCATTGGTAACAATATTGAATAAATAAACACAACAATAAATGCAAAAATAAAAATCTAGAGAAAAAAAACCAAAAAACACTATCACGAACCCACCAGCAGTGTTGTATCCTTGCATATTCAGAGGCCTGGAACTACGAAACAAGTTCCTCTAACCAAATTGCGTACAGGCCTAAAAGAAACACGTCCCAAAAACGTTAAAAATGTTTTTTTTTTTTATGACGTGCTAAATTTGAACAATTTTAGAAATCTTCCCCCATGAGTTAATTTATTCCTCAACGTGAAAAAAAACAATGAATACATTATTTTGTATTCTGCAGATGGTAATGATATGTACTGCCTCTGGTGTTAATTTAAATGCGATACCCAAACAATGTAGACGAAAAAAATTACCAAGTTTAGGGCATAATTGCGCGTAGATGCATGTTTGGATATTTCTTCGAAACTCGTCTTGAACAACAATAATCATATCTTAAAACGACACTTACCTAGGCTATACATAGATCATTCTTAAAAAGTTTAACATCTCTAGAATAAATAGCTTCGGCTATAGCGCGCTTCAAATATGGCACAAACGACAATTGTCAAAAACCCGTCGTCCTTCCTCGCTCCTTCGGGAATCTATTTCTTTAAAACCAAGCATGCCAGATGATTGAAATAAATGGCATTGTCTTTCGCATGTAAAAATGCGAGAGAAAAAAAGTATGAATGCACCTCACCGCTTGAATCCAAATGAAACCGCCCGCCGGTCTTTCGAAGTTCGACGAACTTCAAACTTTTACCCTAAAAGTTCAAAGTTCGTCGAACTTTTAACTTTTCAAGAATCGAAAGTTAGACAATTTTCGAATTCTTTGAATTAATAAGTTCGAAAGTTTAAAAATTATCAAATTTCTTAGCGTACAAAGTTTGAAAAGCTTCAAACTTTTTAGTGCAAGAAGTTTGAAAGTTTGAAAATCATCGAATTTTTTAGTCTATCAAGTTCGAAAGTTCGACGAGCATCGAATTTTGCAGCGTAATAAGCTTGAAATTTCGAAATGCGTCGATCTTTTTAGTTTAATAAGTTTGAGAATTCAACTTCCATCGAATTTCTCAATATGGAACGTTCGAAATCTTTCGAACCTTTCGAGCCGCTTGATTCAATCATCGAAACTTCGGTTCGAAAAAAGTTTGCAGCATCCCTAGAGCTGACCTAAAAATAAATTTTGTCCGGAACTAGAGATAGGAAACAAATTATGGCATACTTCCCCCCCACACATGTACACCATTATTTTACTACCTACTCTGCCATTGACCATTACAATAGAAGGGAAACAAAAAAATGCTCGAGGTACACCTAAGCACTTCTTATGAGTTGTGAATGCGAAAGCATGAAAGCGGCTCGTCCGCTCCCTTATTTCGTCTGCTGCATACTTTTCGTCGCCGGACAGTGCGCGCGCTCTCCTGGGCACGCTGACCTCGGACGCTCCGTGTTAATGGCGCGCCGACGGAAACACAACGCCAATGGATGAACGGTCGTCGAAACTGACGCGCAGCGGCCAATGGGAACGTAGTGAGGAAAAGTAGGTGCCATTGCCGGGCTTTCCCGTGGTTTCATAGCTGGGAGCTGGCTGCATTTGAAGAAAGGATTTAAGGGGCCATTTGAAGCCGATGACGTTGGCTCGCTCCATGGAACCCCCAGTTAATGCTTTCGCATTAAAAGACAAGCACAGCAAACTGGAGTTATCGAACTTCATGATTTTAATGTCACATCAACTGGGAAGACGCTTCATTTAGAATATGGACGATCGAGGCAATTTGATTTCTTGGGGAACAATGTAGGATTGTTTTGGGAGTAGAAGAAGAAAAGCATGACTGAGGAGAAGAAGGCTCAGGGTATAGGAGTCCATGAGCACTTGCAACAAGAATTTAATGTAGAATCGAGAAAATGGGAAGTCAAGGGACCCTGGGGGTTCCCTAATTGAGGAACAGCTGTGGAATCCCCGAGTTCCTGGCAGCATTCGGCATCAAAGAACCTAGGTTCTTTGCAACCCAGCCTGAGAACCAACAGGGTTAGATACAGGGGTTCTAATGACTCCGTTCCTAGGAACCCAGGGGATACCCAGAGTAGGTTCCTGAAGCACCCAAATTTCCTCTACCATTCTTTCCCCTATGTAAAGTGCCTTTTCAGTTTCAGTACTATTGTAATAGACCTGAGCCACACCTTTATGCACAACTACGATCCACACACTCCCTGGTAGGCATACATATTATTGCTTACACGGCTATCAGAAATTTCTCGGCTATCAGTAGGGCAGATAGGGGTTCTTCGAGATCTTGACAACCCCTAATTCAGAAGAACGAAGACGCACCTTGGCGCGTGGGCCCGTGGGGGGCGGCTTGCTGGGAATGTGGCTGAGGATGAGCCCCACAGTGCGGGAGGCCAGCTCCCGCTCACGGGGGCTCATATCCCACGGGGCGTAGACGCTTTCATCGACCGCGACGCCCCTCGGTGCAGGCACGGCTGTCGGCGAGGGCAGCTGGGGCGCCACTGGGGTGATGCCGGTGCCGACCTGGCCCTGCCCCTGGGGCGCCCTGCCTGCGGCGGCTGCCCGGGCCACCAAATTGCAGGCCTCTTTTTCCCACTTGCTGATGTCCTGGTGCTGGGGGGGTCCCCCGCGGTCCAGCCCTAGCTTCTCACGCAGCAGCAGGAAGTGGCGGACCTTCTCCACCTGGATGCGATGTGCAAGCGCGGGCAAAAAGGGAAAGTTTACTCTTATCTGTCTATTTATTTGAGAATACAACTTGTAGAAGTGGACACAAAATTTGAAACAAAAGGAAAATGCAGTCGTACCCCAACAAGACACTAACTAAAGTGCAGCTCAATAGCCCCTACCAAAATTATCAAATGTCACCGGAGTGACAATATCATTTGTGGAATCATTCCATTCTTGAACTGCCCTTGGGAAGAACGAATAGAATCTAAACAGTCGTTTCTGAACTTGTATTCTTTTAATGCTCTGCAATGGTTTAACCGTGCGGACCCTGACGATAAAATTATATATAATTAGAGCTTTCGGTGTGGTGGAGGAAGCCATTGATTATGTTGTAAAGAATTTTCATCTATCAATTTTGGCTCTAGTTTGTAAAGTATGAAGCTGAGCTCCTTTAACTACCTCAGTGGATGGCGATCTCGCTAAAAAGTATCAAACCTTGTTTTAAAAGCATTAAACTTTATGTGACCTCTAAAATGAATCAGTATAATATCTTTAAGAGAGATGAAGTTACTAATTCCCCAAATTCGAAAGCAAGAAACATTGAGGGGACGCCTATTCGTCTAGGCAATTAACGGCTGTCCCGTTTCTAAGTTGTATGCTTTTGGTCTTCACATCAGGTTTTAGGCTCTCGAGAGAACCTTCTTCCAGGATTTGCTAGCAAGATGTGGCAAAGTTTTATGAAGCAAAGTATTATGGGGGCAAAAGCCATCAGATAGCCTCGGAAAAAATGGAAAAAGGTCCTTTCAAGCCCATACATTTGGACTCTATTTTTAAATTTAAACCAGCTAATTTAGGCAGGTAGCAGGTAAAAAAAATCAAAATAAACAAAGACAACACTTTGGTCTAACAATAATGAAACATAAAACGAAAATGGTTGCTCAATGCCAATGTCTTTCCGATAAACGACATTCACAATGTGGTCCACATGACAGCTAATAAACACATAAATGGGCAAGTATCCAAACCTTCAAAAGGCACGCTGACAACCAAATAAAATGAGATTATCCTTTCGATAGCAAGGCCTTCAGTGTGTTCCTCAGCAGTCATCAGCTGCCAAAATGTAACAGCGGGTGGCAGCGGTGGAAAGGCTCGACCCCTTTAGCGAGGCTCGACTATCGGGCAATATACACATACGAGCAGCAAGCTGGCGGGGCTCAGAGGCTATATACTTGCAAATGCGTGAATAGAGAGACGCCCGCCCAGGGCCTCACCTCCTCGAGGCGGGTGAGCTTTTCAAGCTCCCACTGGTGGTCGAAGATGAGGGAGTCACCCCTGGGCTGCCAGCCGTGCAGGTTCTCTTCCCCACGCACGTACGTCGTCGAGGTGTCCAGCACCCGGCGCTGCCTACGCTGCACCCCTGCACACGCACAACAGGGAGCACAGGAGCCACTAAGTGAGTACTTTAGAGTAAGGACACTTTGGCCACAATGGTTCGTACAATCAATGTTGCCACCTGTCGCCAGCTTTTGCCGATGTAGCTGGCGGAAGATGTGAGAAGTGGCTAGAACAGTTTGCAACAGAGCAAAACAATACCGCAGTGATATCTCCTAACATTGTAAGTACCACTAAAAAAGGCTTGAGGTGCACCTAAGCACTTCTTATGAGTTGTGAATGTGAAAGCCGTTCTTCCGCTCTCGTGCTTCGTTTGTGGCGTATTTGCGTCGGCCGTGCAAGCGCTCTCCCAGCTTTCCTCGCAGCTCTGACCTTGGGCGCTTCGTGTAACAGGCACGCTCGTGGCACGGACAGACAGTGCCATGGGGCAAAAGTTGTTGAAACTGACGTGCACAGCGGCCAATGAGGAGCCTCGTCGACACGCCAGCCAATGGGACTGTAGGCAAGATCCATCAGCTTTACTCCGCTCCTTTGGGATCAAGGAAACTAGGTGCCGTTGTCTAGGCTTTTTGCGTGGTTTCATAGCTGGGAGCTGGTTTTATTTGGAAAAAGGATTTAAGGTGTCGTTTGGCGCACTTATAACTGATGACATCGGCTTGCTCCATGGGACCAGTTAATGCTTTCACATTAAAATTTGCATTTCAGAACAATGGCAGTCGTGAATGGAGCCAGCGTGGCTGTAAGAAGCGCTGGCATGTAAACAAATGTCATGTGACGCACACGGACAAATGATCGTCGTGACAGCGTCAAACAATGGAAAAAGAGTGCTGATACTTTGAGCATAGGTTTCTAGTGACTCTAGGTACCACCATGAGGAACTCGTCCTTGACCAGTTAAGGTACAGTAAAACCTCGTTAATTCAACCCCTGCTAATTCAGAAATTCTGATAATTTGAACTGCCGATCCGGTCCCGTCAAACGTATGTATTAGTCAACCCAGTTGAAAATTCCCATTAGATTCCAATTGAAATTTCCAATTGGTACCAGCTAGGTTTTGGGACAACCAATTGGTCACTGCAATGGGAACCAATTGGAACCCATTAAAATTCCAACTGGAAATTCTTTTTCAATTGGTGAGACCCATTGGCCAGTGTGCTTTCAGTTGGAACCCACTAAAACCAATTGGTTCCAATTAAAACCAGTTAAAATTCCAATTGGATCTAATGGGAATTTTTAGCTGGGAATGTCAGCAAACGCTCATTAATTCGGAGGGAACGCGGCGCAGTATGGTTAATTCGGACGAATTCGGCAGGTGGCGCTAGCTACCATCCGTTCCAAAGGGTACGACCGCTATCCATCCGATGTGCACATGTGGTTTTTCCGGTTTTCCCATGGTTCTTCGCTCTTCTGGTTCTCCGTGTTTCGTGCCAGTTTTGCTCTAGATTGTTGTGCTTCAGCACGTTACTCTCCTGGTATGAAAGCGGCAAAAGCATAGCTGCAATGCAAAAAGGGTAGCACAAGTGACCGATGACCGGAATGGCAAAATCGCGACACGCGGGGCTATTGTTCCCGAGCGTGCCGATAGCGAGAGTGACAGTCACGTTTTATGCCTCAACGTGGGGATCCTAAAGCCCGCCATTTTAACAGCTATCTTATCCCTCAATTTTTCGCCGGCCACCCTCGCGTTGAAAAATTCAACGTGACAGGCACTTTCGCTATCGGCGCGCTCGGGAAAAATAGCACCAAGTGTCGCGATTTCGCCGCTCTGATTATTGGTCAGTTGTGCTACTCGTTTTCCGTTGCAGCTGTACTAGGCTAAGAATTTAGTGACGAAAGTGGAAATACTGAGGATCTTGAAGGACGGCGTCTCTCGACAAGTGACAGAAAGTAACGACGTCAAGAGAAGCAGTTTGGCCACGTACGTGAAAATCGAGGCCGATATCCTACGGGCTTTTGAGAGCGAGAAGTTTAACGCAAAAAGAAAGCGGCCTTGGAATGTGGTGCACCCGAAACTAGAAGAGGCCTTGCTGTGCTATACTGTCAGCGCACGGGATGCGTAGCTCCGACAGTGTGAGTGCGGTGGAGCACTCGACCGCGCTAAGGAAGGTTGCCGTCTCCGCCCAAATGTCGTCCAGAAAGCAGGCGGTAATAACAGATTTCTCCTCAAAATAAAGGTATGTCACAGGGAAACGTTTTCGCGCAGTTTTCTCTGTCCTTTCGATATTTCGACCTTCGGATAATTCGGACATTTCTGCCGGTCTCATGAGATCCGAATTAACGAGGTTTTACTGTAACATGTACAGAGCGCTGCCCTGTTATTGCAAACAAGTGATCGAGGGCTTTTCCTGTATCTTTCTCAGAACTGAAAGGTTTTTCCTCAAAACAACTAGTGTAGCAAAAAGTGCTTATGTGAGGCACTATAACCTCACCGGTAAAATTTGGTGCTAACCAATGACCCTTCGAAGAAAAGTGAAAGAAAGTTCCGACGTCACGTTTCATTAACTGTGTTGTGCAGCTTAAGTAGCATGACTCTGTTAGTTTTGCCAGTTTTTGCCATTTTTATCTTAGAATCGAAGGACTGTCATCAAAACTGTTGTGGAACATTTGGTACCGCATTCACGCAATTTGTGGAACTGCCTTTCTTTCCTTTCCCCACTTTTCGTCTACAAAAACACAAGAAAGGGTGGTCAGTTGGATTTTAATAGAAACTTATTGAGCTGCCTGTAACCTCTGAATGCAATTTATTCCTTTGTTATTTCTGCAGAACAAATCAACCATAGAGCTGTACCGTATTTACTCGCATAATGAACGCACTCACATAATGAATGTACCCCCCACAACTGGTACCAATATTTGGATTTTTTTTCCGTCACGTAATCAGCACATCTTTACTTTTCGGCTCCGCGAGTCTCAAATTGCATCAAACTTAGCTAGCCACCAAGCTAATGTTCTTTTGCTGCCAAGAGGTCAGGCCAAGTCAAGCCAAGCCAAGCCGCTCTCGTAATGGCTGCAAGTGCGTAGTTGCGGAAGCAATCAACCATAAAACTGAGTGGTGTGCACACTTGACGAAGTTTGGGTAGAGGAATTGCCCAGCCCCGGACATTCTTCGCCTATCGGATGCATTGATGTTAACAAACACGTCGTCGTCTGTGGCCCGCTTTCGGGCAGTGAAATCGTGAAAGTGGTTAGGCCTAATTTCACATACTTAGGGTAAATGTGTTTATTTAATTCGTAACAGAACGGCGCAGTGAGGTGCATGCTACGTGGTAGGTTCAGAGCGTCTGATAACGGCCGTCTCGGTGAACGAAACTTGATTCGTGAGAGTGGGCCTTGGCGGTTGGGGGTTGGACTTCGTACGACTTCTTATACTCATAGTTGCGGTATATACCTGAGCGCGCCGCCAGATACTAGCAATATATATAACCTAAAAAGGGTCGTGTTGCTTTCCATGCTGAATGAGCTTCATGGGGCGCTTTTCCTTTCGCAAAAGGCATGCCAAAAGCACTCTAAAAAGGTTCGCAATTTATGAAGCATGGTTACTGTGGCGCGCCCCCGACCAGCCATGGGTGCACCTTGATCAGTAGAGACGTACCACAGTACCTAGCCGTGTCATTTTGGCACCTGATATGACATTTGCACGAAGTGTGTAAATGCAAAAATTTTACCCCATGTAATGCACGCCCCCCGCCCCCCCACCTCCGATATCTGTCAATTTTTCGGGAAAAAAAGTCTGTTTATTATGCGAGTAAACACAGTACTTTATTTTGTGGCCATTAAAGCATTATATTTTGAGAAACCATTTTTTCCAGTTTGTTTTTAAGACGGGCTCAATCCATTTGGCCCCAGACTGCAGTGAAGAGTGCCCAATAAGAGCAGTGATGGCCCGAGATAAAGTTAGAAAACTGCTTACCCGGGCTACCTGAATCTGCCGCTCTCTTGAGGATCATCTCGTAGATGCCGGTCACATGGTTGGCGTCGGCGTTCTTGTAGGCACCAGTGAACAGGTGGCGCAGGGAGCGTGCGTTTGGAGACAACCTGCACACCCGTCGTAGCCTTGTCAAACACCTCTTGCCACATTATCGTATTTTCTGTTGTATAAGCGTTAATTTTTTCTGAAATTTCTGTCGGTGCATTTTACACAAAAGTGTGACTTATATGAGCTTTTATTTTTAAGTATGGATGTTAACTGTGCAAAATGTAGGCCATATCGAGAAAAGGGCTATTTGTAGGGGTGTGCAACTTATACAACTGCACAACTTATTAGACAGGAAAATATGATACTGGGAATTATCCACCATAAGGAAGTGATGGAATGGAACATCTGGCTTGTGAAGAGAATTGAAAGATGAAGCTGTACTTTTTTGGTTCACTGCCTTTAGTTAACCACCCAATCATGTAATGCACATCAGAATATTACAACCAAAAGACGTCTGAAAATTTTCAGCTAATGTTGGACTCGAAGGTTTTAAAGTCATTGGGTACTGACAAAATACATAATAGGTAAATGTTACATATTTTGAAGCACATTTTGTTACCTTCTCTTACCTTTTTTTTTCTCTTTTTTTTTTTTTGCTTGCTACTTTTGGGGAGTGAAAAAACTAGACCTGCCTTGCAAAACACTGTGTAGGCCTTCAAAGCCGCTTCACACGGTGCGGTTTTGCAAAATCATGTTTGAAATGATGGATGGGCATTGTCGCCTCACTAGCATAGAGAAAAAAGATGATGATGATGCCTATGCAACATTTCACTCTTACAATTTTGTGAAAAAAACGCAGAGTATAAAATGGCCTAGTTCTCTCCCAACTCCTTCAATAAACCCTGCGAAAGTTCTCCAAAACGAATTTATCAAATCCACGAGCAAAATCTTGACCTTACCTTGGTGCCAGTCTCGCATCTCTTCCGTAAATGATCAGACACAGGTCTTTCGTTATGATGGCTGGCTGAGCACAGTTCTCCAGCTGCAAGAACAAAGACACAAACATCAAGACCCTAAAAATTGTGGTCGATATCGCTGCCAAGATTGTCATGAAAATGTGATGGCATTTTGCTCAGTCTTGTACTGCATAAACAATTCTTTATTAAATTGTTGTAGCTTATTATAGGGATATAAACATAATGTGTATATAAACATATTAAGACCTTGTGTAAATGTATCTGCCATTCAGAAGCTAATATATCACATTTTCTGGGGGCATCACCCACCTGTATGCATAATTGAAGCAGGTATATGACAGGTCCCTGCCTCTCACTTTGTTGGTTACAAACCGAGCCATGGAAATGCGAAAGTGTGTAGGGATTGGTTATCATTAGCATCACATTAAATAACTATGACAAGCACAGGCAAAAAAAGGCCTCAAACTGAGGGAGGAGGGAGGGGGGTGCTGATCTGTCACTGCAACGCACCTCCAGGTATGCTGAGATGGTGAGGTACACCCTTTCTCCATATGGGGTCACCCTGTTCAGAAGAGTGGAACTGTGCAGGGAGGAGTCCCAAGCAGCCTCGAAGTGGTAGAAAGTCCTGCCGGGGACAAATAAAAAAAAATTATTGCATCCTTTTTCTTTTTTGAACTCCTCTAGGATTAGCGAAAGAGTCTATACAGTAGATTGTGTTATGTAGAAGCTGCCTTGTCAAACAGAAAATGAGACAGCCTGGCATTTCTATGAGTTGTCAGACATTACCTTTGTTGCCAGTCGCTATGTTCATAGAAATGTCTTGCAGCCTTCTCAGTCTGTACGAGACAGGAAGTTTTAATGAAGCTGCCCTACGATAGTCATAAAAAGTAATCTTTTTAAAGAAAAGAAATGAGCAGTTTTCCTTATTCCTTGTTAGCTCGAAACTCCTCTCTTTTAAAGTCACTTCCTTCTCGTTGCACAAACATAAAAAAGAGGTAGTACTCAAGTGGCCAACACTGAGATATACTTTATTCTAAACACTCAAAATGTTACATATCCCCAACGTATGTTCGTGCTTACTATGTACAGTCAAACCCGTTTATAACGAACACCAGGAAACGTTACGATCAATTTGATATAGCAAGTAGATTGATATAGCAAAAACCATTTACAACAAACTTCCACGATGCGTTCGTTGTAAGGCGAGAGCTTCTCTTTCTTTGTCATCTCTTTGCTTCCCCCTTGTAACAACGCGGTAGATCTTTTTTTTTTTTTAGCTTACTACTTTTTTTTTTATTTTATTTTTTGCATGCGTGCAGATTTTGTTATTTTAGCTCATCTCCCCTTCAGAATCGCTTTTCTTCCTGGGCAACCGCTTTGGGATGAAAAGATTTTTTTTTTTCTGCAGTGTTTTTTTTAGCTCTCCCCCTCCTAAATCGCTCCTCTTCGTTCAATTTTGTTTGCGGTTCGAGCTTTTGGAATTTTCTTTCTTTCCTACTTCTTTTTGGGGGGGGGGGGGAGTTCGATTGTTTGCGCTAGAAGACGATTGTTTGCGCATTTTTAGAGGCCTTTCCGGGGGGGAAAAGTTAGATATAGCCAATGTGTTGTTCGCTATAAAAAGTACTTTTTACATGCATTTTTATTTAAATTTTCAGCGAGTTCGATATTGACAATAATTCGCTGTACGTGGGTTCGCTCTAAACGGGTTTCACTGTATAAACGTTGGCAAGTCCGGTCTCAGGGTGCCGCCATCTTCCTCAGTGGGGTGCGCTCTTGGGCGCGGCCATAATCCGATTACGACGCCTTAGCAAGGCTTCGTAATCGGATTACGACTCCTCCCAGTGCACCCCAGCCAAGCAAGATGGCAGCGCCCTGAAGCCGGACTTGCAAACGTGTATATATGTTAGTCAAATAGCCACAATCAGGGCTGCATGCCCGAATGTGAACAAAAGATCTTTAAAAAATGGGCCACATTCAAAACAGCAGCATAGTGACTCCCTGGTCACTATGCAGTGACCAGGGAGTGTAGTGACTCCCTGGTCAGTGTGAATCCAGCACAACCCAGTATATTCAAGGTCACATAATTTTTCCTTTGCACGACCGCTTCTCCACAGTGCAAGAGTGGAAGTGAGTGTCTCAAGATGTAATTTTTGCAAAGAGTCGGTTGCACACAAGCACTCATTTTGGCACAAACTCGGTTTGCCCAGAACCTGCACTTAGCATCGAAAAAGCGTAGGAATTCAAGAATGCAACTACATCAAAACACTGATGCAGCTGCAAGTTCCAGCATAGTGAGCACCTGACCCCCAGGGTTCTTAACAAACTTATATAAATAAATATATAAATAAAAATTGAAAGCTGTTTACCACTCCCTGTAAGGCCGAATTGGAGTGCAGCTCTTGAGGAGGAGGAGGGAAGGGTACTGAGGGGAGGGTATACTCCTCCTCCCTCCTCCTCCCTCATGATCCTGCTTGCCACTCCTGAACGATAGGGCTCCGGTTCAAAGCTGGCCGAGGGACAAGTCTTTTAAAATCATTTTTCGGAGTAATGAAAATTCGGATTCGTCCCTCGTGCTCATCCTCTCCTCCTTTCTGCTGCTCCCCTCACGGGGGTCACGTGATCTCGGGGGGGGGAGGGGGGGGGGGGGTCAAGTGACCCTCGGACCTGGGGGGGTCACGTGACTTTGGGGGGGGTGGGGAGTCACATGACCTCCCAGGTCACGCGAAGGGTCACGTGACCCTTCGCGTGGCCCCGACGACGCTCAAGCCGGAAATGGGCGCCTAAGAGCTGCGCTCTAAAAATTAAAAAAAGATTAGGAGGTGGCGTACCTGTCGTCTCCAGCCATCTCGAGGTACCCGCCCGGAAAGATGCCCAGAGAGAGAACGGACGAGTCGTTGTCTTCTTCGTCGCACTCTGGAGTGCTCCTGACCCGGCCTGGAGCAAGAGGGCATGTGCGAAGTCAGTAACTGCGGTAAGGGGACAGCAGCGATGATGTGCTCGGAAGAGTTTGGATGGAACAGACAGCCTACATTTGACTACGCTCCATTCACACCCAAGCTGACAGTGAGGTGGAAGCTACCGTGCCCATTGAACCAACCATATCCTCTGTCCTCTGCCATGTGACCACAAATGGTGAGCAGGGTCAGGTGATAAAAGGGAGGCGGCTGACTGGTTCGACTAGTGTGTAGTTTCCACCGGATTGGTTCGGTGAGCGTGTAGCTTCCACCAGACTGTCAGCTTAGCGGTGTACAAAGTAGAGCAAGAACAGTAGGGGTCTGACAATGTGATACAATCCAATACAATTTGTTCTGTGCTGGTCAAATTGCCCATCTTACAGTGGAGACACCAGACATCATCTCAAAACAGACTGACTTTTGGTTAATTAAACCTCGATACAATAAAGTTGACTTTTCGATGGGTACCCATGAAAAGCAGTAAAATAATTTTGGAATGTTGAACGGGATATAATGACATGTACATTTTTGCAACATGCCTAAGGAGGAATTGAGAGGGAAATAAACAAGTAAAGAAAGTTTCTGTTGTACGGACCTCAAGACACACATGAGTGTCAGCAGACGCTGCAACTAAACTCGCTGAGATACCTAATAGACTCTCAGAGATACATCTCTTCACATTTTATCGACAGACGATAGTTTTTGGAGCAAGGAGGAAACAGCCCTGTGAAGCTGCTCCTTTTAAGGGGGGACATGGGTCCTAGGAGCCAAAAATGTCCTAAAACTGTATTCTTTTGAAAATGGCAATGGCTGTTGTTCTTCCGAATTTACCAGGCTTCTAATTTTGTGGGTGAATATTTGGGCTATAAACCAACTAATAATGTCTATGCGGGCTGAATGAGAAATGAAGTGGACTCTAAAACATTGTTTTCACAAGACACAATTTTTGGACTCGTGAAAAATTTGCAGGAGGGATATCTCAGCATCCAGAGCAGATAGAAATATAAACTTTCTTGAAATATGTAGCTAAATGTGTGAAGCATACAATGTTGAGAGCAGATTTTCTAATAAAAGTCTAGAAAATTTTCTATTTTATTTTTTGTTTTATTACTTGTTAGGCATGCATTGAGCACTTAACTTGAATGTGTGGTAAAATCGCTAATAGGGGGTTTATCTTAAAAGTACTTCCAACATTGTATGCTCTACACTTTCTAGCATCTAGCCATGTGTTAAAAAGGATATTTTGTTGAGCAACTTTTTTCCTATCGTTTGTCCAAAAGAAGGCAGGCAAGTTTTAATTACCTTGAGGACAATTCTCCTGACTGAGAAAACAACCAGATCTATAAAATCAGCACAAAAAGCTGAACAAGCTTATGCAGTTTCAATGGGTTTGGTCACAGAATAAGAAAAAAAGCTCCAAGACCAGTGTTCCCCCTTAAGGTGACATTGACCGAAAGAGGCACAGAAAAAATCACGAAAGTTAAAGAGCGTTCACATTACACCACAACAATGTAGTATTCTCTCGAGGGTATTTGTAATACATAGATAGAGAAAACTGCCTGTCCTCCTGGTATATCTAAAAGGCACTTTAAATGCACAATATTTATAGATTCTCTGTGGCTTTGTACTGTCACCATGACGCCACAGTGTCACATGACGTCGTGATGTCACATGGTCATTAAGAAAGCAACTGCTGATGTGACATGTCATCGGGCCACATGATGTCAGTGTCACATAACGTCATGGTGTCACGTGATATCCCAGTGTTATTTCATGTCGCACGACCGTCAGGAAAGCACATGGTTTTACGCTGTGCCATCACGAGGCCATGTGATGTCACAGTGTCGTGTGCCGTCACGGTGTCATGTGAAGTCTGTAATGCCGATAATGTCGCGACAACATCATGACATTACAGTGTTCATGCGATGGCGTCACAGTGAACCGTTTAAGATGCCGACGATGTCACGTGAACACCGTGGCATCATCAACGTGACGTTACAATTGAGGCCACATGCCACGGCCACCGAAGTACTAAGAGCTGGCCCTATAAACGTCGCAGATTTAACGGCTCCGTGCCCCACAAAGGCGGGGTGCCTCACCGACGACCACCTCCCGGACGTCCTTCCAGCAGACGTTGGGCGTCTGCTCGTGGACCAGCGTGAGGCGGATGCGCCTCTGGATCCCCTGGTGGAGAGAGTATGTCCCCCTACAAGGAGCATCGTCGCTGTGGTCCACCACGGCTGGGGTGTACCTGCAACGCCGAGCAACAGCAGAGTCAGAAACTGGCCATGGTTGCCACGACAGTGACGGTGCTAAGACTCGTTTTATAAACCAACAACTAGGTGCATGCAAATACAGGCTAAAATGGAGTGGTGCAGCGTCATCCCTAGCTTTAACACTGCAAAGAGAGACTGTATGTTGTGGGCTTCCCCGGCATTGTGCATGCTACGAATGAAGCGAGGCTATTAGATTCAAACCAATATTTGCATGCCCCATAAAAATTAACCTTCTTAATAAGCTGGTCTATCATCGACGTCCTCAAAACCTGAGATCGAGGGAAAAAATGGATGGAGCACACAAACCTCTTGGGTTTTCACAATGTTGAGTGCCAGCTTGCCCGTCTTTTTTGTTATTTCTATGGTTCTCGCAACAGGCTTTTAATAATCTTTGGTGGCAGCAAGATAAAATGTTCATTATTAGGCTGGTGTGAAAGTCTCAAAATTCAATAAAAGACCAATTATTGAGAAATTCCTGATATTTGTGGAATTTCTAGAAACATTTATAAAACTTCAGCATTTATTAAACTTCTACAACTTTGTAATACTGAATGTGAAATACTTCTGCAGTTTCAAAATCTACTGCTTGATCAGACGGTTGAACTGAACACACCAACATTCTAATCAAGGTTCATAAGCTTAAAACATGTTGTTTTGTAGCAGTCTTGCTAAAGCAAAACTTGAATTTTGACACTTTTTGCTGCCCCTCCAAGAGTGAGCTTGCTCTTGCATACATTATGAACATCCATTTGGATCAAAAAGTATGAAGGTTTTCAATGAACCAATGAAAAAATTACTACAACTGGGTTATAGCTACGAAAAGGGCAACTATTTCAGACAGATACCCAGCAAATCTCTAAATGCCACTAAAAGTATGCTCTCTAAAGCTTCTTATGAAAAGCACTACGTAAACTTTCAGTTGTTTCAGACTACTAAAAGAAAGGTATAAACGTTGCACCAAAAAGAAAAACATGGCTATTATACTTACTCGCCGTTGGGGGTCAGTTCGCAAATCTCGAACCACACCAAGACATCGTGCTTTGCATAGATGTGATTGGTGCTGCAAAGATATTACATATATCACTTTCTCTTTAAGCTTACAGAGGGTTCAAGTCGCTCCTAAGCAAAGGAGGCATCCACAAACCTTGGACACTGAAGAATGCCAAATTTGGGTGAGCGCACAGGCTGGGAAATTGGAAGAGTCCTTGGGAACATGCGTCTAGGAGGTTGGCGTACACTGCTGCAAAGAAAATGACACAGTTTCCTTATAAACTCTGCACAGAAACGCCCAAGTAACAAGCTGATGTGTTTGCCATCATAATATATAGCTCTGCATTATAACATGTTCCAGTCCATAACAAACTCTACTTTGAGACGACAGCGTTAAATGTATACTCCTTGTGCACTGTATGATTGGCTTGCAACCGTTATCAGCATTTGCCAATGTCACGCAGCTTTGCTGCATGGCATCAGCAAAATGTCACCTAAATGATCTAGGCTTGATGAAGACTTGTAACAGTAGTTCATAAACTTCCATGGTGACTCCAAATGACTCGTTCTTGAGAATTCTCATCCACATGACATGAGGGGTAAGGGAGACTACTCACTGCTGTTGGCAGACATCCCTGGCATCTCGATGCAACGGGTGCTGCTGGTAGTGACCAAACACCTCAAACACGATTGGTCGGCTTCGCAGGTAGTCGACGAAAGAACGCGTGACGGTCACAGTGATCTAGAACAATCATTGTAACTGTCTCACACACTCGCATCAGTAAAATATGTCATTCACGAAAGGCTGGGGTGGTATATATGGCTAAGAAATAATTCTTAAAGCATCCACGACTCACATTCTGTACATGGAAGAATCCGGGTGGTGGGCCCTTTACTGTGTTCTTCAAGGGCTCCGTCGAAAAGGCTTCGTCGTGACGGTGGAGGAAGCTGGAAATCAAGAACGCCTATCAGCCAAGGCAGCCGAGACAGCCAGTGACCACCTTCAAACAACCTTTGCACTTCATAGCAATGTGCAACTGCCACATTGTATGTCTCTTTAAACAGACCCCTGTTGCAAGGTTTGGCCTCATGCTGCCAGGACGGATCTTTCTAAACATTCATTTTTTTGTACGGACCATCTCAGAGCGACACCTGTTACTGGCGGAAGGAGCGGTGTGCCGCTAGAAAGCAAATATGTTTCATAAAGCATTGTGCCCCCGCTGCAATATTGCTGAAAAAGGACTGGGGTTTTATGGCGGTAACTGTTAATGTGCCTTCCTGGCAAAAAATTCTCATGTACAGACTCAAAACCCCACTCTACAGCAGAGGCAATCCTCTACCTCTTCCCGTCGTTCCTCACACCCACCGCAAGGTCCTCTCTCGCTTCCCCCCTCCCTTCCCCCCTGTAGACCGTTCCAGCAATGCTCCTCCTTCCTCCCCTCAACCCCTTCCGGCAGCCACCGTTGCGAAATACCCCCATGGTTGCACTGTGTTGACAAGCTCTCTTGCCTCCCCACTGCCACTGCGCAGGTTGCGTTCTCGTGTACTCTCTGTGCCTCTAGAAAAGAGCTCGCATACATACTTTCGCTTCTTTCTATGTACTAGGGGTGGTTATGGGTGTCAACCCCCTTTTGAAAGAGCGTTTCAGCCAAAAAAAAAAAAGAATGTCTTTGTGTACTTCTCTAACGTATTCAACATCTTGCAAAATAGTCCCACCAAAGCACATATCTCATGCATGTCTTCTACATCTTTCCATTAAAGGCAAAGAACCCCTTGCAAACATTAGCCAGCACACTGCCTGAAGGCAAATCTCCCTCAACATGCCTTTCCACAACACAGCAGCTACCATATTGTCATTAATCGCAGCACACTTTCTGTGGCCGTTTGCATTTTTTGTTAAATAAAGAATAGGAAATAAAAACAAACGGTACCCGTCTTCAAAAATAGCTCTCTTTGTCCTTTGTGACAGGCAAAAGAAAACTGGGAAAACTAATTTCTAAGCGATTTAAACCGTGAAAATAGAAAAACTTGAGAACTGGCTTAAGAGACTCAGTATGCTCCCCTGCTGCAGGGTAGTGAGTGCTTGAGACCCAGTGGGGCACTTTCCTTTGAGGCAACCCTTGGGAAGGACCTAGGACTCTTTTTGAAGAGATTGGTGCTATGTGTAACTGACAGCCTACGAAAAGCTGGGCGTAGCGAATCCCAGACATCTTATTATTGCTCTGTAGGCAAGGCGATTGCGGCGCAAGCTGATGACAACGCCAAGGAACAAATCGCGAAGCAGCAAGCACAAGCGTAACACGCAACGCCCCACGTTCCTCAATAAAGCGCAGTCGACACCGACATGTATTCTGGATTTGTACACCGGAACCCGCACAGAAGCCCACTTCCAGTTCTGACGCCACTGCTCCGTTTTTAAGGGGTTCCCGCGCCAGTATTTGGAGTTAAAATATCTTGACTTTTACGTGTCATGCATTTTGACGTAAGTACCCGTATTGTGACGTAGGCGTTTGCATTAGGAAGTGTCCAATCACAAAGCGTGCTTTCTTCTTGCCGCCGAGCGCATACTTTTTGCGTGCTTGACGAACGGACCGACGATTGTCGTCTGCACCGTCTCTGATGCCGGGACACTAGGGACGCCAGCCGGTGTCGCCAAGCATGGCCACGCGGGGTTGGAGGGGTGCGCCGCTGTCGGCTTCTTGCTGTGATTTTTATGTGCCGCGTCACGTCTCTCCCATCGCGAATTTGTGTCGGTATTCACTTTTGTGTGGAGGGGTTTTGATGTGATGATGTGAGAATTGAACTGTTTCACCAACGACTTTTCAACATTCTTAAGCTTGGTCGAGCCGCGCGTGTAGACGAGGTGCCTGTCAAAATCAGAGGAAGGTTTCTTGGCGCCACTTCTCTGTTCGTCAAGTTGCGTCGCAAACATGTGTTGGTGTGAGCTTCTCTCACGGTGGTTTCTCTGGATATTTATGTCGGTATCCGCTTTTCTGCGCGGTAGTTTGTGTGTGATGACGTGAGAAATCCCCTTGTCAGCCGACGACTGCTCAACGTTTCCGTGCTTAGTCAAGCCAGACATGTGTATGAAGTGCCTGTCGAGACCGATGGTGCGAGCTTCCCTCGCGATGGTTTTAGTGGGGCGCCATGAACATGTTGTGTTCGCCACATGCTCAAGTGATGCCACCACCGCACTGCCTCGCTGGACTTTGTCTGCTCCTCTGCTGGCGTTATTAAACAAAGGATACTTACTGAAACGTTGCCTTCAAATAAGTATTAATTCATCCGTAAAGTTTGGTGTTCATGCAAAGTATGGTAGTTTCCGATCAGTCTAGTGGTAAATCAGGTAACCAATATAATTGCCTCGTCCTACCTATGTTACGGATTGAGGCTTCATTGGACAATGTTACAGCTGTGCCCTGCTGTCAGCCGTTTAGGTACAACGACAGGAAGTAGAAACTTTTTCGTCTCCCTTCTCAGTTTCGTGCCAAGTAGCGAAGGTAATTTTTTCTCCTCGCAACAATGTCGTTCCGCTCAATCGGCACCGAGCTTCGCACCTAAAACCGATTGGTGTTGCCGATGTCGCCACCTCGTAGAGCAGACGACGCGCTATTTTCTCGACAGCGGAGGCACTTGTAGCAGCCGCATTACGCCCATTGCCGCAAAGGACCTCCACTAGCCTCTCCCTCCTTCACATGTATTCGGAATGCGCCCATGTTTTGCGTGTGGCAGTCCAAACCAAGACGTGCAATCCCTCTCCGTATTTCGTGCGTATTTCTTTATGGGTTCGGGCACACATATTTCTTTATGGGTTCCAGCACACGTATTTCTTTATGGGTTCCAGCACATGAATCCAGAATACATATCGGTTTGGACCGTGCTAAAGCCGTCGGAGATTGCAGATGGCAGAGGGCCCTCACTTGAACTGCGAGAAGATGTCGGCGTATTCCTTGGAGATGCCGATGGCCTGCAGCACGGTCACCCTGAAGGTGAACTCTTTGCCGATCTGCAGGTGCTCTGGAAGGCTGTCTTCCTCACACTGCTCCGGGCTCAGGTTGTTGTTCTCGCCGTCTTGCTTGTAGGCCTCCAGCCTGCTTCGCTGCTCTGAAATACAACACCGCGGGAAGGTGTAACGGGCGTCACATCAAAACAGAGTGCGTCCAAAGCCTTCGATTTGTGCGCGCCACAAAGACTCACTTAGTCGCCGAGAGGGTGAGAGTGGCGGGGAAAAGCTTTGGTTGTCCCGGCTCCGGCACAAGCTTACTACTTTCTACAACACTTCAAAGTCTTGAGCACCTCAAAAGCGTGCGCTCAGCTGAAGCACGCGGCGGAAGGCGTGGAAGGCGTACTGGAGGCCGGACGTTCGGAGAACACGCCGTTCTCACTCTATCGGCGACTAGAGGGTTCCTCGTTTTCTCCCTTTACCGATAAACCCCGAAAATGAACCGCTCAGCCGGCTTTTACAGAAATTGGAGAAAAGCGAAAAACTCAGAATTAAAGCCGTCTTCGAATAAAAAAAAAAAAAAACACAGCTTCACGACGAGAAACCTTTAATTACAGCTAAAGTTTGTTCCAATCTAAAACACGGCCCACCCTAAACTGTTCTCGAGGCAGCTTGTTTCTTTGGGAACCGTGCCAATTATCTCGTTTTTCTTTCCTTATCAATACTGGGATGTTTCCCGAGCATTCAAATCGTGCGCATGTTCCATGGAGGTTGGGGAATCTAATGTCCGTGTACTGTTTTCTTTAACGCAAGCCCCGACGAACGCCAATATTTCGCCTGACATTAAAAATTTACGCCAAAAAGCACTAAATCTTTGGGAAAAAATAAACCCATAAAAACACCTCTGAATTTGAAAAAAAAATAATGAACTCCAAAAACACAGAAAGTTGCCTTATGGCCTTATTTTTATCATTTACTTCAAATCTTTCGGATACTTTCAGACAAATAGAGTGTGTGCAGTGCATGAACCTATGTTCCCATCATTCTTCTTTGTGCATAGGTAATTTGGCAAAAGGTCTATTGGCATTTAGTTTGGAATCACGTGAGCAGAATGTTATCAGAAATAATATGAAGATTGATTTCTATGTCATTAAAGCTAATTTTTGGACCCCATACAACGCAACATGTCGTGTTATGCTGTATGGGGCAAGCCAACTATCCCACCTGTATTTGCTGTGGGTAGCCAGATGCCCTCGTGTAATGAATTTAAAAAAAAAAGCCTGCGTATAATAAACAAAAGTGAACGGTAAGTGCAGCAAACAGATGTTAAGTAATTCTACAAATTTATATTCGAAATACCATTAAAACCTTCATTATAGCTTCCTATTGACAAGGCATACTAGCATCAACAAAATATACTTGATCATCCCAAAAACCAAGTTCTTTCCTCCTTACATGCACCAAACAACCAAGTCCCATGTACATAAATAGATCAATAACATAATTTTTATCCAAGATATCTTTTTAAAATATTTCAAAACTTCAAAGCAGACAATGATAAGGACTTTTCTATGTACTCAACCAACATGTACCTACCATAAATTCTCTCACAAAGTCAATCTACAAAACTGCCGTCAACTGAGTAATTTTATTCAAATTCTTTTATGATCCAGGAGAGAATGTTGGAAGAGCATGACTGACCTCCAGTCTACCCATGCTCACCTTCTGGCATATCCTGGCCTTGCAAATCTTGACTGGCCCCTTCCACGATACGCTCGTCCGAGGAGCTGGGCCCCACCAGGCAAGATCCCACGTCTTCACCGCTCAACTCCTGGAAAGCACACGCCGTACACCCACAGTTTAAAAATGATCGAAGAAAGGCCAATAACGACGGGATGGCAGGACATCAATGAGTATAACCCTATGTCTATGGCACACCACATCATACCGTCATTGGAGACGCACTGTTAGAGAGCAATGCAAACGGCAAGCGGCACATGCAATCCTAGTTTTTATTAACATTTAATGACATACAGAATTAAAACTAAGCTACTGATAAAATAGAAAACGAAGGTACTAGTTATTAATTCTTCTAGTGTACATAAAAATAAAAGAAAAACGCCCCTGCTCGCTTATTATACACATTTCAAGAACTGACACATTAAAAGCTACGACTGGTTTTGAAAACAAAAACATAGTCTGTAGTAACCCGCCAGTCAATCAGTTAATTTTACAAAGATACGTACTGAAAACTGATGTTGACAAAGGATTCCAGACGATTTTATTGTTTTCCACTTATAGACTCAGTACACACAGAAGAACAATCTGTAAGGCATATACACTTTGCCATTTGCTGATGGCGGTTATGTTGCACACAAGTCCCAAGCCTTCTCACCTTCCTGGGACTGCTGAAAAGCTCGTCGTGAAAGCTGATCCTCGCAGACTGCCGCACTCCCGTGCTGCACTCCGAGGTCTCTTCGTCATCTGCCACACAAAAGGTTGTCATCAGAACAATCACATGAGTAATGGTGAGGTATCAAACATAGGGGAAAAAAGAAGTGAAACATTTGAAGGAACATTTAAGAGAGGACACTACCCAAAAGACTAGTGTCTTCTCTTAGCTTTTGAACCTTTGGCTTAATATGAATGAAATTTACAGTACATAATGGCAGCTGGGAGGCAGAATGCAATGCAAAGTTTCATCTGTGTATATGAGTTGTGAAAGAAATTATGTGTTTTATGTTCGTCCCCTTCTTTGCCTGTCGTCTCCAGTTAAAAAAATATGTAACATCAACCAGCTCACCTGTTTACTTACTCTTTCTTAAAATATAGTCGCTTCTATCAGGGACACACTGACATTGTTTAGGAAACCTATCTTTAGAATAAGGTAATACCCAACATTTTTCTTTATTAGATACGCAGCAGAGTGCCTGGAGAGTGCAACTGTGAAAACAAAATTTCCAAAAAGTAATTTATTCATCGTATGAAAAATCAAATAACTTTTTTGCTTATATTGCAATTAATTGAACCAGGACCAGACGAATATTTTCGGTCGCGCACAAGTCACCTACTATGTTTGGAGATTTGCATTTGTCCTTCGTCCCCTCTGTTCCCTTTCTCCAGGGATTATTATTGTAAATTAAGACATCTACAAAATCTTGACATCTTTCATTAAAGACACCGACAAAGTAAAATAAAGCAATGACTCAGTTGCACTGCCCATAAATTACAGTTAGGAAAAACAATCAGTGAGCCTTTCTTTTTGTCCCGTTACAAAACGATCCCTAAAGTGAACTTTAGGCCAAAAACTGGACGGAGAAAAACACATTGAAAGTGCTAAAACATCTACCTTTTCTTTAGCATTGGTGAACCAAAAATAGCGGGCTCACAATAATTCAAACTTGGATATTCCATAATTCTGGTTAATTCAAAGAAATTTCAAAATTTTGGTTGTAATTTATTTATAAGCTACTTAATTTGAACGGCGTTTTCGTGAAATTCATACTTTATGTTTCAACGGCCTTGTTGAGTCCACTTCTTTCCAAGCACCGATGCACTGCAGAAAAACCACACCTGCGGAGCTTGATTCCGCGTGTGTTGCTTCTCCGCAGAGCACCGGTGCTCGGTGAAAAGCGCACTCAACGGGACTCCAGCAGGGCACACAAGCTATGAAAACAGGCACCACAGACAGCGTGGCTCACGTCACAGCGTCCGCTCAAGTTGCTATAAACTGCCGCGCGGTGCTCGTTTTCATTGCTCATGTGTCGCCCGCTTAATAGTTCACATAGGAAAAGCTTCTTGGCCTGATGAACAAACTTAATTTTGTTTTGAGTTGTCATGTGCTGCCTAAAACCCACAATAAATTTGAGGGATAAACCTTTATCATACATTTCACAAATTTTTTATGTGTAACATACCTGCTTATGATCAGTAGGCCTATGTAGAAGAAATCACCAAATATCTGCTTTGCATGTGTCGCCATTAATATGGCAAATCATAATTTTACCTTGCATCGTATTTAGAAGAATTTCTGATAATTCAAACTTCTGATAATTCAAACAAAATTTGTGGCTTCCTGGAGTTTGAAATAATGAGAGACTACTGTAATTTATAAAAACAAATAACTAGGCAGTGTAAACCAATTAAACTTTCTGGGAATACTCTCTAGATATTGCTGGATGTAAATATAAAAAATTTTCAAAATCAAATATTTTTTGTTGAAGTTTTTTTTTGGACAGAACTTCTTAAGGGGGACACCCTCTTAAAGGGAGGCACGGCCTAGGAATCACAATTTTTTTTAAAAAGTCACATCATATGAAATTAATGAGCGAGTGAAAAATAATCATTTGTATGGCACATGCATACGTGAAAAATAATACATGAATTCCTTATTTTGTTAACCTGGAATGGACCCAAGACCAACCAGATAGGCTATGGGTCCAGAACGATTATAAAGTTTTTTTTTTTATGTCTGTATGTGGTATATAAACCATCTATGAATATGGACTCAACTTCTGGACTGTTCTGGCTATTCTGATTGTACACAAGAAATATGTTTGCATTCATGCAAGTCTGGAACCCTGCTAGTAGCATCAATATCATGTCGTTTGCAGCATCATTCTAATGCAGACGAAATAGCCCTGGACAAAATAGATTCAGACAAAATGGTCCAGTCAAAATTAATCATTTTAATTTGTATATCAAATCCCACTGCAAGCCAGTAGATGAGCCAAAAAGAATAGAAAAGTATACTGTAGAAATAATATACAAGTATATATCAAATAATGCACCTGTAATATTTGACATTATGAGGATGAGAAAAGAAGTGGTTCCCTAACATGCCATCGAAAATATAGGTAGCATGTAAACGATAATGCCTTTGACTCATGTTTTACACATGCTTTCTTGCAGCTCCATTCTGCCAGTTCGAAATTTAAGACAATACATTCGCAAGATGTGACTATTTTCATCCCATGCTTACACTATGTTTCACTAAAGTCAGAGGGCAGCCGACGCCATGAGCTGATAGGACCAATCAAGCAGTGCTGAAAACAAAATGCACTAATTTCCTTCATCAACATTCCTTGCGTGTATCCTCATGGCTAGTCCAATCAGGCACAGAGCGCATCGCAACCTTGCACTTTTAGTCAAAGCGTCTATGTTTCTGTAGTGACTTCCAGGGACCAACTTTGTACAGTGCTCAGACTTATGCAAACAGGAGAATATAAAGCCAAGTGAGCGATAATAAAAGCTTAATTAGCTTTTGTGCTCCTTTAGTTGTTTCCTAAAATATATCACAAAAAGCTTCAATGCATTGAAATATACATTACACTTCCACCTGTGTTGAATAAAGCTTCAGAGTAGCAGTTTATTACAACCCTCCAAGAGCGCCCAGTGTGAAGACAATCGACTGAGGACATTTTGTCCGGGTTAACATTTGAGAGCATTTTGTCCGGGACCGTTATGTCCAAGATCATAATTGTCCAGGACCATTTTGTCCAAACCATTTTGTCCAAACCACTTTGCCCTACACCAGGAAATATCATGTGAACATTTCGGTCGTGCTGATCAAAATACAAAGCGTATATACTACAAGTTTATTCAGAACGCAGATTTTCGTATCCATTAAAAGTTCTAGAAGGCAACACTGGCAAATTCACAAAATACTGCATGCTCTACGGCTTATCGTGCTAAGTGTGGACTAAGGAAAATATTTCTAACTTTTAAATTGACCTCAGGGAACTTTTCACAGTGTGCAGAAGATATTGTACTCCAGAGCAAAACCGACAGAAACAAATAAACCAGGGGTTCTTAAACGTTTTGATCTCGAGGAATGCCTACTTGCTTTGAATGGCAGCTGAGGAACATCTTACGGTCTTGGCAATGATCCAATAAAGCAATGCAGAAACTCACAGCTTGTAAACAATAAAGGACATATGTACCAAGGAGTGTTTTGCTCATAGGCATGCATCAATAGGTGGCTGAGGTCTCTTAAACTAGTGAAGTAGAAAGACACTTTACTTCGGGCAAGGTCAGTCGAGTAAATTTCAGGGCTGGGGGAACCCATAAGGGTACTCTGGGAAACCCCTGGGTTCCTAGAAAAAAAAGAACAGGAACCCACATGCAGAATAAAGGCAGATCTTAAAGTAAGCTTGGCATTCACAGTGCAAACATCTTTACTAATAGTTTAGTGAAGCCCTCCCAGACGATGTTGCCGCCCATTCTGCAAAGCATATTAAAGCCACGGGTGTCTCCTCTGAAAGCGCCTCACCAATGACAGCTTGAACGGCCACCCGAAGGTATCCCTTGACGTCGCCTTTCTCATTGACAATGGCCACCTTTTGAACCAGAGGAACGGGGTACATCAGGTTGCTCAGGTACACAAAGGCCCTAAAGAGAGACAAACAAAAATAGGCAACTTCAGAATCAAGACACAAAAATCCTCATCTCATCTTTTTGTTTGTGGGATGGAAAGCATATGATAGAAGGGATAAATGAATTCCAAACGAGTATGAGAGGCAAAGAGACTTTTAACCAGGTATTTATTTATTATGTCAAAAGCCTAATGGTCATCATTATCATTGCTGCCACCATCACCCTAAGTTACTCGATGGAGGTCAGTTGACAGGCTTCCTAGAACACCTGGCACCTTTTTGAGGAGAGTCTGTTTGGTGGTGTTAGCCACACTACCAGCCCGTATAAATGGGCAGAAGCAACACAACTGGTGGAGTGTTGAATACACATTGTCTGCGGTGGAAAGCGATTTTATGTAATGTTTGTTTAAGAGTTTGCACAAAATGAGAATCGTTCGAAAATAGTCGTTCTTTGTGGTCCGTAGGAATGATGCCACTAGTGGTGCTAGGACCGCTATTCACCCATACTCTCACGTGTGGGCAACAGAGGACTGTTTTCAAATGATGCTCTTCAGTGGTGCTTGTCGACTCATAGCTCTAAGAACGTTGCTGCTGCCCGCACCAACAACGAAAGACAGGCATTTATATGGGCTGGAGTAGACCCTCAATGTTAAGCCTTGCATTGTACAGACCTGTAAAAAGCAATGAAGGACTAAATGATGACTGACCTGCCAATGAGCCTGAACCAAGGAAATCTGTCGTAGAAGGGGTCTCCTCCCGTGATGCTGCTCTCCACATTGTAATCGGGCGACGTGGGTGACAGCTCTGCTTCGTTGTGGTACATCTCTCGCATGAGCTCCAGCCGCTGCCTGCAAACAAAACAACAACCTCGGTCAGTCCACAAGCTAAATTTTTCATGGCCGAGATTTCTTCACATGCTTTGTATAAGATCAGGAGCCAGACGCATGCATGTAGCACATGCAGATTACTTTTCTTTTCACGAGTGTCACTTTTATGTAGAATGTTCCAACAGGATATAGAGTGATGATCACATTGTAAGCTGAGATTGGCAGTTTATAACAAATTTGTTAGGTCAATAGATGCATATCGTCTAATTGGAAGCATATCACGCAGCAGCGTAACAAGATGTCAAGTAAAAAAAATAAAAATTAATAAAAATACAGGCTACTGAAGTGACTTCCAGAAGTTACAGACTGTGTGTTCAATGATAGATGGCCTGAGCATGTGTATGTGTTGAACAACATTGCTATAAAAAGCCTCGTCTTCGAGCTTTTTTTTTTTATTGCGCTTTTTTTTGGATGTAATGAGGCATTCAAATGATACTCCACATGCAGGCATGGATGGCTTTTCATATGAGTTGAAATCTGTAATGCTATTGCTGATGAATGAAACTGCATTACAGATTGTCATCATTTGGCATGTTAGCAACGAGACATGCATTGTGATTATAGCAGGCCTGTGTGATTTGTTTTACATTCTGCAGTTTAAGCGGGTGCTAGAAATGCATTGTAAAGAAGAAAAAAAAAATTTTTTTTTAAAAAGAAGGAAAAGTTTTTTTATGGTTGTCCTGCAGAAAAGGGCTTTGTGGATACAAAGTGGACAGTGCAGTTCTCACTTCCCCAATAATGTAACCATGCCCTATTAACTTCGTCACCCATTTCAATAAGTCACACAACCATTAAAGGACGGTCAAACGTTCAACTGCATCTGAGACTTCAAGCTCACTGGTAGCCTCTATATTTTGCCTAGCTGCACCAACAAGCGAATCTATCCTGCTAGAGCCTGTTGCGCGAGTGGCAACAGTATAACCAGCTACAACCAACAAAAGTTTGGTATAAGACCATCAAATGTTGATCCTAATTAGGAACTAACAAAACAATTAACCTCAAATCCAGGTGGGGTGAGTTTTGTGCTGCCCAGCATTGTATCTGACAACCACGATCAATTCATAGCTTTTCCTCAAAATCGCTGTAACCCCTATGGGATTGTATTATTCTGCATAAATCATAAAATCCCATACACAAAATTGTGCGATTCCATCTGAATCCCACAATTCTATGGTATATATGAAATTGTGCGATTCAGTATGAATCATTCAATTCCAAACACAAACTTATGTGATTCCACATGAACCATACGATTTCGCAGACAGAATTGAGTGATTTCATATGAGCCATACAATTCCATATACAGAATTGTGTGATTCTGTATGAGTCATACAATTCCATACATGAAATTTTGTGATTCCACACGAATCATACGATTCCGCATAGAATAATGTATGCCACAACAGAGATCCCTCGCAGAAGCAGCTACGAGTTGCCAGCAGGCTTTCCGACAGCAGAGCAAAGCGTGCGCATCCGAGGAAGCCAGCCAGGACAAAGGGAGAGGGCAGCGCGCGACGCGAAGTGTGCAAGGCCCGGCGGGACATTGACCTTGTCCGTGAAGGGATGATGCTGGACAGGCCCAGGCCAGCTGGTGCGCTCAAGCACTGTAGCAAGTCGTTCCGGAATTCGGGGCTCCCGGGAGACCAGGGGTCCTCATTGTACACATTGCGCATTAGTTCCAGGCGACGTCTACAAGTGGGGCAGGGGTCAGAGGGAGAGCTCCGTGTTAGTGGGCCCTCCCCGCTGACACTCGCGCTACATGGCAGCCCAGCCTTGATTGGATTCGGGATAGTGCTTAACAGATCTGCGCCTAATTGCCTGCTACAAAATGATGACAAGTGCAATCAAGGAGACGAAATTTCCCCCGGTAAGGCTGGCCCTTGTGTTGCAAGTGTTTTCAATATTCAATACTTTGCCTCACTAAAATGTTGGTGCTAAGTTGGGGAATACTATATAACTTAATTTAGCATAGCAGTGGGACATTGCTGGGTCTTTGGCGTGCCAGGTGGACTCTAGTCAGTCATGTTTCTACGATTCAACTCACTGTTTGAAGTGCTAGATCTTAGTAAGAAAAGACCATAGCAGTGTGCATGCTACACTATCTCTACCTAAGGTGTAACATATGCAAATCCAGACCAATGGTTTACATGCCATGCTACATTCATAGCAATTCAGCTACAGTAATGTTTGGAGGTGGGCTAGTCGGTGATGCATTGTAAACATAGAAATAAGCAATTCAGCTACATGGTAAGTCCTGAGCACTATCCAATATGATTGATCATGTAGAAAAGGAGAGAAATGTTTAACAGCGAAAAAACACCAAGACTATACTTTAATTGATTCCAATTCAAGTCTGGGCTGTATATGCAGTATTTCATTGCAAGAAACTGCTAAAGACCCCAATTGTAGACAGAGCGCACTGGATCTCATAATATTTATATAATGCCACAAGTGAACTTTGTGGGATCAACTCTCTAGGGTTCTTTTTCATCTCGATTTACAAAAGGTTTTACATCGGCACGTAGCAAAAATTGCTCCGCAATATGTGCAAAGTACTGCAGAATAAATGTGCAAATAGCTTAATTATCTTTCTTGCAAGTGACATGAATGCTGGGAACATACCCTGCAGCTTTTCACATGAAAGATTCATGGCTGCCACTTTTTTGTACTACTTTCTGCATTGCGAAAGCACGGTTTCTAAACCCCATCTTACTTGGTTAGCCAAGCAGAAAGAGTGCTTCTAGACTATGACAAAAATTAAGGTATCTTGAGTTTCGAATTTAAATGATCTTGTGCATCGCTTTCACAAAGTTGGAAGCTTGAGGAAATGTTTTGAACAAATGTCACGACAGCCCTCTAAGAAAATGCTTCCTGGATGGTTCACATTGTCATTCTAGTCAACGACTACTGTGCACTAATCTAAATTTATGCTGGCAAGAGTATAATCAGAAACAAAAACACTCTGACTTTCCGTGATTTTTTATATTCGGGTAAAATTCCGCAACCTTAGCTCACTCTCACATCAGCTGCCCTTGGGGGCTCTAGGTTGCCAAATAAATTGTAAAATTATATTAGAGTAATTTTTGATGAGGAGGTAAAAGGGAGAACTTGGAAGGGGAACTGAGAAAGGATGGCTACTTTGTCTACAATTGAGGTGCAGTCTAGCAGAGCTGTTTGCATGCAGACAGGTGTCAGGTTTTAAAATATATGTGCATGCACAAAATACAAACAGTAGCAGGCACAGTGAGACAGAAAAATTAATAGCAGGTGGTCCGTAACAATGCACATGTACACAGATTTTTTTTTTTGTAATTAAGAAGTAAAAAGTAATAACACATATAGTCTGTCACATTACACAGAGGTGTTTTGTATCGTGTAATACTTGAGGGATAACAATCATGTTCCGTAATTCCCACTGAAAAACTTGGGGAAAAATTTGGACTTCCATCCTCAATACTATTAGGATTCTTGTTTTTGCTTGGGTTAAAATTTCTGTACAAAGGCTGACTTTATATCACCTATAGGGAAAACTGAGACAATCAGAAATCGCTATTTCATGATTATGGTCATTAAGAAGGTAGTTCAGGCTAGAGCCAGAGGGAAAAACAATTTAGTAGTTCTGTGTTAATCTGCAGTACAGTCACAGCAATATAGCTGCGACACGTCACAACGAAGTCGTCGGTCATCGGCGTCGCGTTCACGCACCGTGGGGCCAGTCGGGTGCGTAATAATAAAAACCAATTAATTTAATTGTTCGACACCGGGTACAGAATTGTCAACGTGGTTCGGGAGCCATCTCATCTTCTTCCTTCCCCTCTCGAGATCAAGCGGCCGTGGTCGTCGCAGCTCCAATGCTTTGGTCGCGTGCTTGCTCCCTTTTTCCGGTGTCCTCGCGCGCTCTGAATAGTACCAACATGTAAACGAAAGAATTCGGAACAAAGCAGACATCTGTTTTGTTCCGCTATTTTGTTCCAAACGCTTTTGTTCCTTTTTTTATCCGGAGCACGTGCAAGAGTATCTCCTTGCACGAGCTCTTGGCGTTGACGGTGCTACTACGACAATTTTTACAGCGGAGCTGTTAAGGGCTAGGTTCTTCAGGATCGTGTCCGTGTATGTCGACACAAACCTACCTGGACAGCTACCGCCATCTATAAGCGACGGCGGCAAGCACACAACCAGTATAAGTTCTGCCATCCCTCGTAGATGGCGATAACCTTTCCAGCTATAATAGAAGAATGGATAGTTGGGTGCGTTGGTGGGAACTCATCGTAAGAAACAGCGCGAAAAACAGACGACGACTAAGAAGAAGAACACAGTGTATCAAGTACAGCTCCGCTGATCTTCTTTCTTCACGAGAGTGGAAAGGCTGAACAATTTTTTTATAAGGCACTTTTCTTCTTTTTTACAGATTGGGTACTTTGTAGTACCCAATCTGCTCTAAGCTTAGGGTACTCCAAAAACCCTAAGCTTAGAGCGGGCTCGTAATGCTGCAGTGTGACTCCGTGGTAACGTGCCAGCTTCACTTGCAGCGGACCCGGTTCGATTCCAACAGGCGGAGGGTGATTTTTTTTTAAGGATTTGGCAACGTTGACGACGGATGCCCTACATCGCATAACTACAACGTCAACAACGGAGCTCATTTCCAGTATTGGAAAGAGCCCATAACAACAATCGCTGTAAAACACAATGAGACAGGTTAAAACAGACAATGTTGTGTGCCTTGCCCTTTCCTGTCACTTTTTTTTTTTTTGTTCTCCAGGCTGGGGTGCATTTTTGTTTCAAGTGAATTTTAATTGGCTCCTCTGTGCCCTCACTCTTGTTTTTGTGCCTGAATGCAATTTTGTACATCTTAATGAGCTAAGGAGAAAGGAGTTTCAAATACTCTCCTTTACACTCTTGCAAAGAAATGAGGCCTATTTTCACAAAACCTATCAGAGCAGCATATTGAAGAATAGGGATTTCCCTGAAAATCAAGGACTCTACGCATACAGTGCGAGGCATTAGAACTGCTTTAAGGGATGACAGATGTTGCTTTTGCAAAGTGCACTTCTATTGTTATTGCAAAGTTTCCTCAATTGGTAGCAAAATGTATAAGTAAAAAGTTTTCTATTGGGCCTTAGGCTATAAACTACCTTATCACTTGCTAGAGTAAAAAAAAGAACTGCCCTTGGTTTGCTAACATATCTTGATATGAGTAAATGAGACAAAGGAAGATAAGGTAAGTGGTGTGCCTTTTTCTATTTTCTCCCATTTTGTTACTGTTTTACTGATGTATACTTGATTATCAAGCTCCAGGAAAATCTTTTATTGTCTATATTTTTATATCTACAGAACAAAAATACACCATAGAGTCCTTACCAACTTAATCCACATACCAGAATAGTGCACCATAACATCACTAAAAGTGATCCAAGTGGGGTAATTATCTTGCATTGTTTTAATTGGGACTAAAACTTTAATGAAGATGTAAAATGTAGTCATATCAGCCTATATAACTTAAGTATAAATTAGACCTACCACATTTTGTGGATTACAACTGTAGAAAACCCCTTACCATAAAATACCGAGCATTCACCCATTCCACAAAAGCACCCACCCCTCAATTCTGTAAAATTAGAAAACTACACAAAGGACATATCTTTACATATTGTTGACCTAAGGAGTGCCCATCCCCCAATTTTATATGATTACTATCTCCAAATTTGGAGTGGGCGCTGGCTCGGGATTTTACGGTCATTTTCTTATTAGCCAAAAAAATACAATGTGCTGAACAGTGCTGGGAAAGCTGGGAAAAGGAAAGTGTTACATACACAAGTGTTTTTAGGTGAAAAAAAAACAAAAACATATTAGATTTTTCACATAAACAAAACAAGAAGCAAATCCAAAATGACCATCACGCAGTGATTTGCCCACTTCCAAAAACATAGAGCCGCAACTCTTGAATGTCAATACTGCAGGATTTGGATTTGGGCCAAATGTAAAATAAACTGATTTTGATAATTATCAATGAGCATGATTGAACAGCATCAACTACTAAGAAAAGAGATTAAATTTGGTGTAAATCAGCCAAAGCATGTTCATATATTTTGAAACAGTCATTTAAACTTACTGCAAAATTTAGATGTGCATGTATACTACATTTGTATATTTAGTTCTACTAGGGTACCTAGCACTCTTGAAGATGTGGTAAAAAATGTAGTAACCTTAAACCAACGAACACTCATAAAAATATAAACAAACGAAAACCAACTGAAGCAATTCAAAGGGATAAAAAAGGAGTGTGTTCTGTTGAAGAAAATGCCAAGAAATTGGGTCTCTTTCTCTCTTTGATTTGCTTAAGGTGGTATTGGTATGTTATGTTTTTGTCTGTGTTTATTTCCAGCTTCATTTGTTTTAATATTAAAACAACATACAGGCTTAAACATCAAACACAGTTCAAGTATAGTTTCAAAGTTTGCAACTCCAACTGAATTTGAATTTATCAATTTGAGACAGTAGGTTCCAAACTCCATTTCCACAAAATAACTCAAAGCTTCATATTCATCTCCATTCAGAATGCTTGACCTTTGTTTACACAAAACTTTTGACCGATTGCATGCCCCAGATTGCACCACAGACCCCACTAAGCACTTTCTAAGTTTAAGACTGCTAGTGACAAAAGGACAAGACAAAATAGAGTGCAGAAGCAGCAGCAGCAGTGGTAGGGTGCCTGGAATTCCTAATTATGCATTTTCTTTTATTGCAGGCTCAGATGCAGCCAGGTTTGAGATTAAAAAAAGGATAGGGTGTTGCTGCACGTGATCAGTGCCCTCGACATAAATGTGCCATGCTATTCTTGTCTACTTCAACTTAGTACATTAAAAATGTAAAAAAAAAGTGTCCACATAGTGTTAACGCATTTAGCAGTACAATGTATTTTAGTATAAAACAAGCTTCGATTATGGAAATCAACACAACAAAAGAATTGTATGTAGTGCACTCCACTCAATATTTCACAAACTGAACTTTGATCGGCAATGCAGCAGTCATCCCAAGCACTGTTAGCAGACGACAGACCGTTTTGTAGGAGCAGCACACTTCATGGAAGCCATCACCATTCTTATCAAGATACTCACAATACACTATGCCAAGAAGCACAGTGGTGGTGCGTGCCTGTGCCTGTATATTAGAGATTTTGGGATGTTATACTTCAAAAAAACAAAAGCTAAAATTTTTTCTTTTTAGGAAGCCAGGATCAATTAGGTTTTAATTTCACTAATACTAATAAAACATCTCATTAATGCTTTAGAAGCCACCCACATATTATTCACTCTCATGATCAATTTATCCAAAAGACGTTACTTTCTTCTCTCACCGCAGAGTCATTACCCTTTCTGCAGCACCACGTTGGAACTCTTTTGCCTTTCAGTTTTTGTTCTAGCGGACTACTCAGCCTATAAATGCAGCATACAGCTAGGATAGCTTATTCTACTACTATGCAGTTCCTCCCCTACTACGCATCTCCCTATCTCACAGAATGGAAGGGGGACGAAGAAAAGGGAGTGTTGGCACACCCCTTACCCCACCCTCCCCTCCCACACGGCGCAACGCCATTGGTTGCACGCGCTATAACGTCAAACCAACAGCTGCGCTGCATCAATGACTAACATTCCCGTGACCTCGCTACAGTGCAACAAACTCCAACAAGGTTCGTGCAGGGTTCTCACACTTCAAGAATTAAACCATAAAATGAATATTCTAGGCACTGTATCTAGTGGCAGCAGCAGCGGTCAAAACAGCAGGAAGAGAGTTAACAGTGGGGAAAAGGGGGTAGAGACAACCGGTTTCCATTCAAGCGCGCGTGCGTCGAAGCAACGCCTGCCACTGACCTGAGCTTGCTGAGGGTCCAGTGGTGGGTGGCGCCATTCTTGGTGTCCTGCACTTCAACCGCCACCAGGGTCCTCGGAAACGGTGCCGCGCCGTGGTCGGGGAAGTCATCCAGGTCGTCCCGGGGAACTAGGTCGGCCGGCAGGGGCGAGTAGAGTGTGTCCGTGAGCAGCACAAACTGGAACTGCACCTGCACACAGAAACACACCACCCGAATGTGTCCGTTTTCAATTGCAAAAGAAAAAACAAATTGCAGTATTAATCAATGGCAAACTTGAGAGTCATTCAGAGTTGACCAGGGACAATTTCTTTCTACCGAGGAAATAAAAAATCTGACAGGCACAAAACTACTATGTGAGTTTTTCTAAGTATTCCTCGTGAACATCCAGGTACCAGCACTACCATCGTTTTGGCAGCTTCACAATTTCTCCAGAGTAGAAAGAACTAAGCTGCGTGACTGCAGTCGGAAGAACATGTCCGTCCATCTGTCATCAGCTATCGTTCTCTGCGGGACTGTTGACGCCATTCGTACACCCTTAATTGTCCATAACATTCTTTGTTCCCACTGTGCTTGTAATTTTTCTTAGAATTGTAGCTAGTCAAACTTTTTCTTTGCCAGAAATTTAATTATGCACCGCTCCTCTGCAGCTAGACACACTGCACATCGCCATCATAGCTGGAACTGTTGGGTATGGATAAAATACCTCATGCTAGACTCGTTCAGAGATTCTTTATGAACAAAAGTCCTGGTCAACTTTTGAACACCTTTCGTACTAGTAATTCCTAGTGTGAAAGAATGAAAAAGTTCCTGACAATAGCAATAAGAGACTGAACGAGGGGAGGCTTCAATCCCCTTGTTCATAATAATGACTTCAGTGTTCCTAATGGTGCCAAAGAAAGAGCACCGAAAGTCTAAGAACACATTACATTTAGTTTTGTGACTTCTATATGCATTTTTGTTGGCATAATTAACTACTACACACTATTTATGCCGGTCGAGGAATGCATTCTAATTTCTGCTCGGCAATGCACATAAATCCTGGTTTGTTCATTCAATCACTGATAGTTTTATTTTTATTATGCCTACAAGTTGTAGTATATAAACAATACAAAAACATAGAGCCTGCAGTGCTAGGGAGCAGTACTAGGGGCCCTTGGCAAGCATAACTTGCTGTGCTTACCGCATCATTAATTACAAGACCATTCTAATGCCATCAATATGCTCACGACCCCCAAAGTATGGATATGAGCTAGAGTTTTCAAAGTTATTGCCTTCTGATTAACACATTCTTAGATCATGAAGCTGAGAAAAGTTTCAGATGAGGAAAACATACCAGAGAATGAGCAAATTTGATGGGCAATGGATCTCACCTTCTTCTTGAGTTCCACACTGATGGCGTTGGCCTCCTTGAGGAAGATGGCGTTGCCCCAGAGGTCGTCCCTGAGGGAGGTGAACTGGTGGTACTTCCACTTGTTGAAGGCCCACCCTGCCAGCTGGAACTCCCGCTCTGTCCAAGCCTGGTCAACTGCACACAAAGGCTGGACATTAGTGCAGTAAAAGCACTAACTTTCTACAACTTAGAACGAAAAAATAAAACATGCCAAATGCCTCAGCATTTTGTAAACAACTTAAACAGCAGGTCGGAAATGCTTTCCATCATTATTTTCTTTTAACTCATTTAAAGGATAACGCCACCCAATTCCAGAAATGTCAGGATTATGAGTGATTTCACATTAAAAAAACACTAATAAAAGGCACTATGTCGTTTGTTTCGCGAAAAATGGGATATATTTTGGGAAATATTACTTTAAAAATGAGCAGAAACCAAAACCACAACTTCGGCTCCATCGGGCAACATTGGCCTCGGGCCGCCAAAAACATATGACTATCACATGGTATGAGCAATCACGTGATCCTTTAAGCAATGATGGGTGGGACCGGAGCGGGCCACCGTTGGAGTGGGCCGCCATTGTGGTGGGCGTGTGGCAGGCGCAAGTGTCTTCTGCACCGCAGTCTTCACCGCTTATTGGTGTCTACGATATCTGAGAACATCTGCACAAGTGTGGCATCAGTGTGCGCACGTAACGGCGGGACGGCCAGGCAGTTCCCAAGGCTGAGAAGCGCACTGAGCAGGTGCGTTACGCCAACCATGTGGACACCACTGAGTCAACACAATTGGTCAATGCCGAGAAGAAAGGCTGCTGACGTCACCTCTTACGCTTTCACGGAGAAGTAAAAACAAACAAAAAGGGGCAATGTTGATAATGTTTAGCTCAATGTTGGCTACATCAACACCGCAGCCTTGACTGCGCTGTTGATCGTGCCTCCATTCGCCCACTAGAGTCAGCCGATTTCGGCCATTCAACACATCCAAAGTTTGCCGGAACGTTTAGAAACATTTAGATAGAACTGGGTCATTAAATTTTATGTGTGGTCTTCCTAGGTGATAAAGAGGACTGCATTGTTTTTTCAAAAACAGAAACGAAGCATAGCTGCCCTTTAAATAGGGCTTCAACACTATGGCTCAACCACAGATGACTCGACAACTCCTCCTTTGGTTCGTCACTACACTTGTCTCAGCACATGTCTGCAGCTGAGTCGAAAGTAAATGACACATTTGCAGTTGACACTAAAGCAAAGAACTTAGCAGAAGTTATCTAGAAAAAGGAAGGTTGTCTATTTAATTCGTGGAAATGTAGCGTATTTGAGCATCCACTACTCACACATAGTGGCTTCTCTAAAGGGCAAAGAAGGAGCTGGCTCTGAATTCTCACTGTCAAGCTTGCAGCACATTCGACACATGGGGGAGCTACAGTGCGGTGACTTACACACATCTTCTTCCTCCACCGCACTCATCTCTTCCGCGGTGCATGTGCTGTACATACTGGAGATCATCGACTGTTCTTCCACCTGTCGCTGCAGGCTCTCGATGCGTGCCTCGTACGTCTGCAAGAGGCAAGGGGAAGGACGTCTTCAGACCTCGCGTCACATTTCACAGAAAAACCATGACGACGAATAAGCACCAATTATGTAGGCGTCTGTGCACTCGTGTATATTTTCAAGCTTCAAATTTTGCGAATCAAAGTAGTAAGTCAGTAGCAGCATTAGATTCACTGTCACAGTGCTGTCAACCTATGAAAGCAAAATGTGAAAAGCCAACAGTGAAACAGGTTTACTTTAAAAACCTGATCATGCAAGTGTGACATGACACTGACGAAAGTAGATATGAACAGTTTATGAAATCTCTCGAGGCAGGATTACTTCTCTAAGATTACAGTCTTGCCATCCATCATTAAACCAGTGTCATCACATTTGTCTCATCTTCCCAATAAATTTCTACACAAAAATTATTAGCTAGAGAAGTGGTCAGACAATAGTGTTTCTTGAGTGTGCATAGCTATGCAACTGAAAAGCTGTACTGCTAAGAATACAAAATGTCTTCAAGTCTGAAGTAAGCTTCAATGCAATTATTTCTCCAGAACCATGTGCACGCTACTTTCCTAATTAAAACTGCCCCAGGTTCCCCGGAGGCGATGTGACAGGCTACGAAGTCATCCTTACTAAATTGGCTTGAATCCATGCAGAGATAGCCACAGTTCAAAAGATCTGAATTATGACAGCACTATCCATTGGTAATTCAGAAAATGCTAAAGAACACAAATAGCAAAAATTAATCCTCTGCATTTTACTACTGTCTTCAGTCTTGGAGGAGGCAAGCTGCTTTACAAGAATATTCATAAACTTTTCACACATCTCTTGCTTTTTCGTCCTTTTAGCATTCACCTCGAGAATTGGTTAAACGTTTCATTGACATTTCAAGCAGCAGTGTCAAGGTGGGCTTTGCTCATTCTTTTTATGAACCAGAAGTTCTCTAGGACGTCAAAGACTGGAGCACCGCCTGGTGGTGTTAGCCATGAAAAGGGTGTATACTATCAGAGACATGTATACAACCATCTTAGCATGCCGAGATACATTTTACCTAACCTATCTGCATACAATCTTTTATGAAGAGTAAAATGCAGTCATACACAACAGCATATCTAAAGAAAACTTCAACAGCTTTTTCTTTGCCTTTTTTTTCCTTCTTGCTTATTATATCGATGCTCCTGTACATGCCCTATTCCTGTTAGGTTATCGGTAATGTCCGGCGTGTGTTTTCTAACATGCTTTGCCTGCTTCATTCCTCGGCCAGCATCTACTGTCAACATTTGTTGCTCACAAAATGTGCGAGAGAACCTGCCATCATGGCTTTGTGCTTTGACAACTAAATTACATTAGTACTGTAGTGATTGTTGATTGCATTGCTGCTACAGTGTAGTATTGCATTTTATGATCAACATTACATACAGTGCAGACCGCATATAACGTATGTCGCGGGAGTCGCGAAAATCCGCACTATAAGCGGTACCGCGCTATAACCAAAACATCAATTTTTCAGGCCAAAATACATGCCATGAGACAACTTACCTTTGTAAAAGAATTTATTTTATGTTAGATGAAAAATAAAGTTTAGTTTGAGGAAAGTCATTATTTCACCAGACTAGTACACTTCTCTCTCAAGTGTGTCACACGTCTTGAAAGAAATGAGCGACTCTTGCCTGGTGCAGCCTTTTAAGTTTTAATGGCATTGCGGGTTGCGGACGGACGTTGCGAGCATTCAGGATTGCTAACCCTAATCACTTTTCTCCGGTGATGAAAACGTGTGAAAATTCGCATCCTTTATACGGCACACGCCAGTAATACCTACAACTTGAGCACAGGCATGAAATGCTCCAAATAAGAAATCCGGGTGATGTTCGAAAACACAAATGCTTAGAAAGCACCACTGTAGTAGATGTAAACAAACACGACGACATTGGCGTTTCTGCAGTCTTGAGAGTGCCGCCACGACATCGCCGCACGAGTAGGTGGATCTTCCCTTCTAGTACGTGCTGGGTTATCATAGCGACACACAACAAAAATTCGCAGTCAAGGATAGCGTTTTTACGCGGAACGATGAGCTTCCACCACGCCATCTACGTCGACGATCACAACCGACGCCATGTTTGCGGATAGACGAAGTCGGCCTGCGACCGGCATGCAACGCGCGTGAACACTTCTCCTCGACCTGCGATTGGTCTGTCGTTGCGGTTGTTTCCAACCATATTTCCAACGCAGCAGAGGGACGCACGCACGTGAACGACACGTGCGTGCGTCCCTCCGTCGCTATGGCAACTGAAGCCTTTCTCTTCGCTTCTCCCCGCTTCTTCGAGCAACCTCCTTGCCCCACGTGTGCCGCTTGCAGCTAGCGCCGTCAGCGCCGTTATCTAGTGTCACACAGGGAAGCGTGCTCGCTGCGCCGATTGTCGGCGCGGTCGGCGGGCTGTTCCAGAAACCGCACTATAACCGGTATTTCCCTTTGCGCGCCTGCATTTTAAGCGGTATATAATTACATGGAGTTCTATGGGAGGCGAACCAGTGGTTTAAAAAAACCGCGTTAGACCCGGTCCTGCACTATAAGCGGTTATGTTGTAAGTGGTCTATACTGTACATATGTTTGTAGCCCCCTTAATTAATGGCCAACAATAATGTTCGAGTAAAATGCAGCTTGAGGAAAATGACAACACACCTTTCTTTCCTCTTCAAAGTGTTGGTCTGCTTCCTCTTTCTCCTTTTTGTACTGCTCTTCTAAAGCAATCAACCTAAACAGAAGCAACACAGGATCAGTACACTCATATTTCCTTATGGTACCTTGATCATCTCCAAAGAAAACATATTGATATATACAGGTCAAGGAAAGCTTGTCCAGGGCAGCTCTAATAAATCTAAAACAAATATTAGATAACCGCTACTCTCAGCTAAAGGATTCTACATACGTACATAATTGGTTTCGCACAAAATAAAATAGTTTTCGTGAAATCTCTATTCATACATTGCGAATCGAAACTGAAAATCTGGCTGTGGCAGACAACAGTGGTCAAGTGTTGTCATTAGGAGAAAGTATCCATGTGGCACAAATGTTGTCATGCAATTTAATATGTGAAAGGCAGGCACAAACATAACCAGCATCACATGCCTTGTTGCATGAAACAGCATCTGCAACAATGACATGCACAAACATCTACATCACATGTCTGTTTTAACATAGCAGGCAGCATCATATATTAACACCAAAACCGCCCATGTTGGTTATATGCCCCATCGCCCATGTAATTCAGTGGAGCCCGCCGACTTGACGTATCACAAACTTTGGTGACCAGTCCAATAAGCATTTCGATGGAATCGCTTTCTGGTATTCAACCTATGAGCTCCATACACAGGATATCAATTTAAACTTCATTTTTTTCTCAGTAACAAAATTTGAGAGAAGCTGCCCTTTCAGAATGCCATGAACCTTGCTGATTGAGAGGGAAATGTTTCAGATCTGGTGTATCCTTCGTCAGCTGGTTCTGACAAACTATCCACCAGAGCCAAAACATTTTCCGCTCGATCAACAAGCAGCTTCAGGACTTCAGCAGACAATTTCTTTTGACCTTTCTCAGTAGCAAGTGCTTTTTTCTGTGCCCACACAAGTTTTTCTTTGTCATAGCATGTGATAAATTCTACCCACTTCTTTTCCATTTCTTGCTTGAGGTCGATGCCTTGCTTTTCCAAAAGCTCCACTTGTGCAAAGGACCAGTCGACTGGCTCCCCACCTGACAAAAGTGCAGTAATGTGATTGGTCCGAGTCATTTTGAAGCACCTTTTGGTGCAGCCAAAAGTCTAGTTTGGAGCATAAGCACACATTTAATTTTATTCTTATGTTAAGATTTATGTTTTTATGTCTACTTTGCCTTCCCGCTTCTTGCAATCTCTTGATCGTGTACACAGCATAGCATGTTTTATTCTTTAACAAGCAGTTTAATTCTGCGTCGAAGCACAAGGTATGGTAACAGGATGCTGATTGATGAAGGGCAGTATGAACTGCTGTGCATGGTTATTTTAACTACAAAATCAAACATAAACCAAACAGTATATTTCATTGAAATAGTAATGTTAGAATATGATAATGTCAGGCACCCAAATCGGTGTTTTCTTTAACTCCTAAAAGTTGTAATAAAACTGAAGTTCTGAATTTAGATAGAAAACAAAGCTTTTGTCATTTGATTATGGACATCAATGACATTTTATAAGCAGAACTTCATAACAAAAATCGGCATGTAAGCAAAAAATGTGCTTTCTTAAAAATAAAAATCCAGCCAAACTCGTTTAGGCTATTTCCAGGCTTGCGTTTACTGATTCAGGTAATTTAGTTCTAATTTACTGTATTCGCTGTGCCATAGAACCGATGGAACCTATAAAAAGGTAATAACTAAACGAGAGTTGACATACAAAATAAGCTTATAAAGTAGTTCATAAAAGCTTTCTTGCTTGATGAATCCCAAATGTGAAAAGGATATTTTCGGAACAGAATATCGCAGTTTATCACATATACTAGCCGCAGTTATATTCAGAAATTGTCTAACGTCTCACTCTGGAAGACTGCTTTCCCCTTGGCACATGGGTGCACTGCAGCGAAGCAAGGTACACAAAAATGCTATGCTTACTACGCAGTTGTTACTTCACTGCGATACACCACTGTTTGGTGACAAGCACACTCAACGATGCTAGCTATCCAGTCAGAAAAGACCACGAGCATAAGAAATGCTGCCTAACTTCCAAGTACTGTCAATGTTTGATACAGATATCAAACAGAATATTATATTATTGGAGGCGATAATCGAAAGCTTTGGAAATTCACACAAGCCTATCGTAACGACCCGCCATGTAATGGTGCCTGATTTATTATATTGTCAGTATTAATAAAGTTAAAGTAAGTTTTGCCACACTGTTGGCACAAATTCCTCACATATTGGCAAAGTGTAGCAGGATGTAGCAGGGTAAGTGCTTTGGTGCAGTTTGGCACAAATGGTGCAGCAATCACATCACTGAAAGTGTGCAACATTTTTGCAAAGGGATTAGAGAATTACTTTTGACCTTCGGACGAATGGTGACCAAAGTAGAGCTTTAATATTCAGCAAATAGTGAACCCACATTATTTTTAGAGCACAGCTCTTAGGCGCCCCTTACGGCTTGAGCGGCGTCGGCGTCGCCGTAACCAAGGCCACCCCAAGGTCACGTGAACCCCAGGTCATGCGACCCCTCCCAAGGTCACCTCAAGGTCGCATGACCCCCAAGGTGACCCCTCAAGGTCATGTGACCCCTCCCAAGGTCACCTCAAGGTCACGTGACCCCCCGAGGTCACGTGGCCCCCCCCACGAGGTCACGTGACCCCCCCCCCCTCCCCCGAGGTCAGGTGACCCCCCGAAGCATATTAAAGAATGAGGGGAGGAGGAGGAGAAGGAGGAGGAGGGGTCTACACTCCCCTCAGTACCCTTCCCTCCTCCTCCTCCTCAAAAGCTGCGCTCCAATTCGGCGTTACAGGGAGTTGTAGACGACTTTCACTTTTAGAGCGCAGCTCTTAGGGGCCCATTTCCGGCGTCGGCGTAACCGCGAGGTCACGTGACCCCCCCTGAGGTCACGTGACCCCCTCAGGTCACGTGACCCCCCTCAGGTCACGTGACCCCCCTCAGGTCACGTGACCCCCCTCAGGTCACGTGACCCCCTCAGGTCACGTGACCCCCCTCAGGTCACGTGACCCCCTCAGGTCACGTGACCCCCTCAGGTCACGTGACCCCCTCAGGTCACGTGACCCCCTCAGGTCACGTGACCCCCTCAGGTCACGTGACCCCCTGAGGTCACGTGACCCCGTGAGGTCACGTGACCTCCTGAAGCCACGTGACCCCCTGAAGTCACGTGAACCCTTGAGGTCACGTGACCCCCCTGAGGTCACGTGACCCCCTAAGTTCATGTGACCCCTTCAGGTCACGTGACCCCCCTCAGGTCACGCAAGCCCCCTTAGGTCACGTGACCTCAAGGAGTCACCTATCCCTCAGTACGCTTCCATCTTCCTCCTCAAGAGCTGCGCTCTAACCGGCGTTACAGGGAATTGTAAACGGCTTTCACTTTTTTTTACTTCTAACATCAGATTTCCAGTGAAAAATCAAACAAAACCAAGTAATGCTTTTTTTCTCAACTTCCAGGAGGAGAAAGGTCTCGTCCGTAATGAGTGCAGAAGGCAAATGCAATATGCTCATTCTGCTGAAGATGATTCTAACTGAGAAGTAAAAGGAAAAGATTTCAAGCTTGCATGTTTTTAAAGAAAAACTAACAAAAGGCAGGTTTGTAGTCCTGTCTTCCCAAATATCAATACCATCAAATAGTACAGTGAACCGAATATCTGCCAGCATTACTCACCATTAGAGTAAACCGAGTCGTCCATTTTCTTCCCTAAGGATGACATCCCAAGCTGGTCAAAATCTTCCGAGTATGGTTCTAAAAGTGACACATACAACATAAAAAATTTTGTATAAAAAATTAACAACGAAGTTTACTGGCTATAAATATCCATCTCTAGCATAAACAGCCACAGCAGGATGCTCTAAAAAGTTACGAGCAAAATAAACTCACTTTCGAGCATTTCTACTGGCGACTTGCGCTCCCTGCATTCTCGAGCTGAAAGCGAAATTTGCACGTTTTGGTTAACGATAATAATCCCTGGAGAGGGGGAACAAAGATTTTTTCCAAATGTCAAAACCCTCGTTGAGGCATGTGAGATGTTATACCCAAGCAATAGATGAACCAACCTTGTTCAGGATGCTGAAAACGGAAGACGTGCGTCTTTCCGAGGATCACTCGAGACCCAGTCCTGAGTCTCGTAGAATCCGTGACTTCTCGTCCGTTGACGTATACAAGAGAGCCACTGCAGGGGTACAGTGTGACCACGCCTAAAAGTAAATATTTCGTCCATTAATATCTTTGTACAAAAGGTCCACCACAATTTACAAAAAAACTAAAACAACTGCTGTGCAGGTTCTGTGACACCTTCAATTTTCCAAGTCATGATAAGAAGTTACATAGAGTGCATAAAAGCTTATAGAGCTTGGAATTTGTCTAAAGTGTGTCACATCAATCTGAAAAAACGTCCTTTCATCAAAATATGAGGCTAACAATAGAGCTGGTTAAAAAAACCATGAGCCATTCCGTTATGTGAAGGTGGAAGACCAGCGACGCTGTTTGGCACATGACACAGACCAGCCCCGAGGAGCTGGAGGAAACAAGACATGCGCGACGGGACTGCCACCCTGGGAGAACAGAAGGAAAGGAAACTAGGCATGCAAGCGCTTGGAACTACGACAAAGAGAGGGCAGTGCGAGAGTAGACATGGCCAACAAGGGTTCCACAGCGGCAAATCTTTGAGAAACCTTTATTATCTACATGAGAATCTACTGATCTTGAAAATGGTGCCTACTGATAACTAATATACTGAATAGACCTATTGCTAAATTACCCAAGCATCAGGGTGAATGCACAGAATGGTGTTCCACGCGCCGCACGTGCTGTCATCTGCAGTTGTAATCATTCTAAAGCAAAAGCCTAAAACAAATGGCATCTTGCACGCACATTGGTCGACGCTTTATTTTGGTTATTTACTTTGAATCTCTTATATGGGGAAGGCGTGCGCGTGCAGCAGTGCGAGCGTAGAGTTTTGGGCCATGCACACGAAAAATCCACAGAACCCTAGCCATAAACAGCTTCACTGTAAAAATAAAACTCACCGTCCCGATTCTCAAACCAGCAGTGCTCGTTCAATATTTGAGACCCACTCAGCTTGATATCCTGGGCCACATTGGCATCTGGTCTTCCCACCCTAGAAACCATAGCAAATAAAATTAAGTGTAATGCAAGCCACTTGACACAGCATCACTTTCAACAGCCTACCACAAAAACAAAATATTTCATCACAAACAGTCAAATTTCATAAAAACGTTTCCTATACATAAATGTATGGGAAACTTTTTTAAAGTACTGAAGTAAAGTGACTATTGAAGCAAGAACAGTTCAAAACAAAGACAGCCTGCAGCGCAAGCTGCTATTTTTCCTCACCTCGTTGTCCCGTCCTTGATGTAGTACAGGAGACACTCCGACATCAGAGGGTCCTCATTGAGATTCACCAAATGAGGTGTCTGTATAACGCAAAGTTAGAAGAGGCAAAAGGGTGAGTGCACAAAAATCTAACACAAACAAACCCTATAAGCCTCGGGTAAACAACTACAGACTTTTATGTCCTGCAGTACACTTCACAAAAAATCTCAGTAGTACATTTGAGTCCTTGTGAACCATGCATAGAATTCCAATCGTTGTGACTCGCTGAAGACACTTATTTGATTACTATTTTAAAATAAGTGTTACTTTTAAACTGGTAACATGCACTGGGGTATTAATCCTATTTAGAGTACCCAAGCAAACTACATTTATGTGTCAAAAATTTCCTGAGTATTGTCTTAGTTTCCTATAATAGACTATAATTATTAGGTCTCTGCATTCGCTGTTGAAAATTGCACACATATTTTTAGACCCTGCAGGTAGACTCTCAGTATACTGCATTCGTGCCAAGTTATTTGAAGCCATACTATTTCTAAGTAACAAAGGATTACTGTAGTACTAGATAATTAGAAAAAGTTTGGGGTGCTTGAGTTACTAAACAAACAAAGCAAGTTTAATAATTGGGTCACCTTTTTTGGAGAGAAAACTCCAACGGTGTCACCATCTTCCCGAAGAGCTACCCCCATTTCCGCTAGGACCGCTTCCCTGAAAAATGCCCAGCAATGAAATTTGTATGAAATTTGGCTGGCTTTCACAAACGGCAGGTACACAAAGCTGCATGCACATAATAGCGTATTGCACTTCTAAACTACCTAGTGCCAGCTCATATTGGCCACAGTTCAGAGATTGGTGTGATTTAAAATATGCTAAATGCTTAAGAGCTATGTATTTGAGAATGATACAAAAAAAGAAAGGTGAAACATATATTGCATGTATAAATGCTGCTTTTGAAGTATGCAAAGAGTATGGCTGACGTCTAAGCAGTTGCAGCAGTATTCTTTAGAACAAAATCGAAACACAATTTTTAAATCCTAACAGATCAAGACAACACTGTCAAATGTTCAAGATATAATAAGAAAACAATATCCACCAATGTAAGTATCCATTGGCCAAAGCAAATACAAGAAACATGAAGGAGAAATGCAATCAATGCCTGTGCTCTTAAAAAAATTTTAATTTAAGTTTCACTAACTGTATAGGGTTTAGTTGAGCTAAAACCCTGTATTTTGGCCCACATAAATAAACTATGCCTCACAGAAAGCCGGAACTTCATGCTAAGGTGACACTAGTGATGGTGATAGAATGTGAAGGTTTGACAACAGGATGTTACCTGGATCAAAGGATAAAATAGAAAAACTAAATATCTTTATGAACTTTAAACCCACTGAGACCTAACAGTTGTCAAACCAAGAAATAGCATTGAGAGTGCCTGTAGCATTTATATCAGTGAAAACAAAACTTGTCAGTAAGGAAGAAAACAAGATTGTCTTTCTCGCTGACAAGTTGTTTGCACTGAAATTCTCAATTTCTTCTAGAATATTCTGACAAATATATCTTCAAATAAGGCAGCACCTGAAGACTAGCTGAATCACCAAAACCAATACTTCTGGAGATAAGTAAGCAGGATGCGATGTGAAAGCTGAAGTCAGCACAGCCTGCTATGAGACACAAACACGTCACACACTCCCCTTTCACTATTGTGTGTGGCCCACACTGGCACGATAGGTTCATCGATTGTTTAATAAATTTATGGTGTTATAAATTGCAGGCTCGTATTAAAACTTATTCCGCAATATCTCCTCTTATTCTTATTCGGCACACAACTACTGCAAATTGACACTATGAAATTAAGATTTTAAGTTCACTTTAGAATTAGTTTAAAAACAAGAATGCGATGGGAGTTTCAGTAGATCATTCCAATAACTACAAACAGATTACTTGATATTCGCTGTCACCATTGCACATACATATGTCATATCATTACTCGGTATCATTACGGGAGTTATTGGAACAATGTACTACTAAAACTCTATTGTCGCTGATGTAAACACTATCCTCATTGTGAGATTCCAATTTATGCAGGACGGCACAGCACACTGAGTACAGGTACGGGACCTACCTCTGTAGACGAATAGCCTCCGTCTTCTTCAGCTTCTCTTCCCAGGTCTCGTTGAGCTCGGCGATGAGCTTCTCCGACTCCTGAAGCTGCTCCATGGCGTTCTCTGAGGCCTGAGACACAGACAGGTGGGGCTTGCGCTTGCCACTCTCCGTGTTCATGTTTTCATCTGAAAATCACAAAAAAAAAATGTTTTTTTTTTTATTTTTTATTAGCATTATAGAACTGAAGTTAATATGTGCTGCATGATGCTCTTTGCACAAACATAACTCCAAGGCCTTTTTTCATTCGATTTCGAAAGGGTATTGGCGCGCATCAAGTTTTACCACTTAGCGTCGTGCTGCCCAAAATGAGCACTTTCCGCCACATCAGCGATTTTGATGACAGCCCCTCAATTTTAAGAGAAAAGAAAAAAAAAACTGGTAAGCACTTGTTCGCACCAGCAATATCACTCTACTTACACAACTGGTTAAGATAACGCTGGATTTCTTAGCATACATGGCCAGAAGGCTCCCAATTAAAACAAAATAAAGTGTTTTTTTTTTTAATTAGAAATCTACATTATTGCATTTTTGCTTGGTTTGTTTTCTCAATGCTAATTTAATAGATATGCATAATCATGTCATAAATAAACGGTGGAAACTAAAGAAACCTTAGCAGTTACATGAAAAAGATTTGAAGAAAGGGGCCCTGCATGCTACCTGCCAGAACATCTCATGAAGAAATTGAGTCCGAAGGCTCTATCAACATGCAGCAAGTGACAATTGTGTGCAACCACTTTTTATAATAATAAACTCCAGTTTTCCAAATATGTCTGGAATACATAATCAGTTTGCTATTCTGAGCGGCCTAACGTTCACAAATAAAGACTTCCTTAAAATTTTTGAGTACCTCCATTTGTGTTTATACTATCAGTGACTCTGTTACAAGTAGGCTGCACTGAATAGCCTATGAACTTCATCTTCGCTCATTTGCTTATGTTTCCTCACCTATATTGCTTCTAATACCGCAGGCCAAGGCTAACTGCTGGCCTTCTTCACTTGCCAAGCTACTAAACTCTCAAATTCGCTGCTCAGTAATGTCGCTATTGAAATGGTGTGGCATTGATTGACAAAAGACAAGTAATCATTCATAATTTTGTGAATATCTTTTTTTTGTAAATGGGTTCTGCCTATTTCACATCAAGCTGCTGCCACAACTTATTTTTACACGATACTAACAGCCTCGGCAACCATTACACTATGGAGTTTTCTTTTGAGGGGAGGAGAAAAAAAGGCCTTATAATTTTTTGTGAGCTCTTTCTTATTTTACTATACTTACTACTAATAGTATTCTTCGTCATTAACCACCTCATATCTCTGACTGCAACGGGTTAAAAGCATTACATTAAAGCCTGTTTCTAAAAACTGATTAAGAATTAGTAATAAAATAGACTTTAATCTTGACTTTTCTTCCAATTGACACTCAAAACCAGTCTTTACTGAAGAAAAGACATTGTGAATACATTATTTACGCGTGCATAAAAGTTGTCCTGGTCTGCTTCGAGTAAATCTGTATCCATAAAAATTTTGTTGAAACAGTCATCTCAATTTTATTTTGCTCGAGATACAATCAATCAGCTTGAATGGACAGGTGCTTTCAATCTTAGGCTCAGATTATTTTATTTTGCATAGTTAAAGTAGTGTAAACAACCAAAATGCAACTGACGATAAAAAAGAGCGCCTACACCCTTAGCAACACCACCGTCAAATGTAGAATGGTCGATATATTCATACTGGCGCAGAAAAAAATAGTAAATAAGGGGGAGGCACCCTGGGTTGGGCATCAGAGAAAAGCTCAGTGCAAAACTGACTGGTGGGGAGAGAAGCTCGAAGGAAAACCATCCTATGGGAAGAAAAGCTCACTGTCCCTTTGATGGATGCGGAGAAAAGCTGACCTGCGAACTTGTGAATCGAGCATTCACTCAACTAAAATATGTTCACTGAACTGAAGTATACATGGATTCCACCGGAGGTCGGCATTTTAGGTCGCCTTCACTCACTCTCACCCTCACAGCCACACTCACCTAAGCCCCTCACTCACCCTCACAGCTACACTCACCTTCAGCCCCTCACTCACCCTCATAGTCACACTCACCTTCAGCCCTTCACTCACCCTCACTGAACCTCACAGCCCTCATGCACTCATGGCCCTCACGCACTCACGGCCCTCACGCGCCTCACGCACTCATGGCCCTCACACCACTCACAGCCCTCACGCCCCTCACTCACTCACCGCCCTCACGGCCCTCACGTATACTCATAGCCCTCCCCAGTTGAAAATTCCTATTAAGTTCCAATTGGAATTTTCTTATTGGTACCAATTGGTGACTTATTGGTACCAATTGGGTTTTTGGACAACCAATCGGTCACTGCCAATGGGAACCAACGGGAACCAATGGGAACCATTGGGAACCCATTCAGGTTCCAACTGAAAAAATAATTCCAATTGGTGAGACCCATTGGCCAGTGCGGTTCCAGCTGGAACCCACTAAAACCAATTGGTTCCAGTTAAAACCAGTTGGAATTCCAATTGGATTTAATGGGAATTTTCAGCTGGGTCACGCCACTCACCGCCCTCACGCACTCGCCACCCCCACACCCCTCACACACTCACCACCCTCACGCACTCATGGCCCTCACGCCACTCAGGCCCGCTTCAGATGGGGCAATTTCGACCAGAAACTTGACGTCGCAACACCAGCAACACAGACCGCCCGTGTTCACACGCAGCAACCAATTGCTGCAATTTGCCATCATCATCATGAAATTTTATTGTTCTTGCACTATTTAGACAAACAATTACGCGCTATAAATGTGTTTTTATGCATTTAAATCTCGTTGAGAATACTAATGAATCTTTCTGAAACAGTTTATTTCCAAAAAAAACGATCGATTTCAAACCAGAACCAAGTCTTTTGTTGTTTTCACCAGCACGAGGTTTCACGTGAAAATATTGCGTCCCTGATTGGATGCAGCTGCTTCTAAAGCGTCTTCGAATGGCTTCGAGTTGCTCGCTCGTCGCTTGTTTCAAGCCGGACCGGATCTCAGCAATTCGTGTTGATCTAGGGAAAGCTAGGGAACAACCTGCCATCAACAACCGAAATTGCTGAGAAAGTTGCTCCGTCTGAAAGGGGCCTCATGCACTCACCGCCCTTACGCCCCTCATGGCCCTCACGCCCTCACCATCCTCACAGCCCTCACACCCTTCACGCCCCTCATGCAACTCACACACTCACCGCTCTCACGCCCCTCACGCGCTCACTGCCCTCACACCCCTCACGCACTCATGGCCCTCACGCCACTCACCGTCCTCATGCCTCACGCACTCATGGCCCTCACACCCCTCACGTACTCACCGCCCTCACTACCCTCACGGTCCTCATGGTCCTCACAGCACTCACGGCCCCCACTCAACCTCACGCTCATGAATTTCCCTGGTCAGAAACTCACTCTCCCTCACCTCACCTGTGATGATGAGGGTGAGCGAGGGTAAGTGAGAGCCGTCATCAGTGAGGTTTGCCAACGTATGGATGCCACAGGTGCATGCGGTTGTTCTGCACTTCAGTAGCAAAGAATTTATATTTTGATTTATGGTGGCAGCTGAGCATAAAGGAAGAATACATGTTTGTTTTCCTCCTCCTTTACTTTTCTTATCTTGTCAGCCGACCATCTTCCTCTTCTTTCATCTCGGGTGTGGCCCGAGAGCATCGTACCGGCGTGCGGTCGTGTATCACTACTGCGTGGTGCACGTTAAAGACCCCAGGCTAGCGGTTGTACCGCACTGGCTAAATTGCTCATCTACAGTGGGTAACAATGTCGCCGTGTTCTGGCAGACTAAACTCCTGCTGTATAAACAACTAACGACTAATTTGTTTTTTTTTTTCTTTCTTTTTTCATGTATTTATTTTTTAAGTATACGTTTATAGGTTATGGTTTTTGACGAAAATAAAATAAAGAATTTCTGTACAATGGTAATTAATTAAAACAGCTGGGGGAAAATATAAAACTGCTGTAGGCTGCAGCTTCAGTAGTTCTTGAATTGATATATATTGAATTATCTTTCATGCAGTAGCCGGCACTGCATTTCCAAAACTTTCAACTCTAAGCTATTCCAAAGAGCAAATATAGATGACACTTCCTTTCATCCAAGCCACATCATGATTATATATGGTCGACAATCGGTCAATATAAAAGCAGAACAACGCCTGCGGCAGAGAGATCACCCTGACTTGAATTGTGCACCACCTGCACGGGATGGGCCTGTAGATTTTGCTGCAGTATCGCTGTAAAATGCTCAACCAGGTCAAATTCTTCGCTTGCATAAAAAGCTAACCTTGCATAAAAAATTTAATTTAAGGTGAGCTTTTCTTTGGTACTGATGAGCTTTTCTTTAGACCCATACAAAAATAGGTGAGCTTTTCTCCAGTAAGCTATTCTCCGGTGAGCTTATCTCTGGTGAGCTTTTCTCAGGTAAGCTTTTCTCCACTGAGCTTTTTCTCGTTAGCTTTTCTCTGGGATTCGCCTCGGACAGCACAACAACTCAGCATGCAGTTCGGTGCATCCCAGGTAAGTAGGACAAGTGCAAATGAGACATGAGAGGTGCCGCTACGTGATAGCTACCATGCTAGAACCCTTTACACGTCAAGTGTGTCGATTTATAGGCCATGACAGTGCCAGAATGAAAACATCCTAGTGTTTCCTTCCTTAGACTGGCTCTCTTTCTTCTCCATACATAAATACCTATTACAAGTTCGACCAAAACAGGGCATATTCCTAGAAAATTAATCGCATTGCAACAGAGGGCAGAACAGTCTCGTAGAAAAGATGCTCAGCTACAACCTTAAAAAAAGGACTTAAAAATGGGCTCGTGACAAACTCCCATAAAAGTTATTACATGCTGTCTGCTCCGCCAAGATTGAGAGGTAAGAAAGAGGTGAGCCTTCTTACATTGTGATATATGTCTTTGAAATTATACCAGAGATTCAACTGAAGTGATTCGACAGTCTCTCTAAAGGAAACGCTAGAACTGCTTGATGGTGACACACTGAAATGAAGGCGATCGAGGCTTAGTGGGTGACCACTTACTCTCACAGTGTGGGTCGAAACCCTTTCCTGAACCTGTGTTGCATGCTAGGTCACCATAAGAAAGAAACCAGAAGGGGAAGAAGAGGTCAATAACAAACACTTCCTCGCTAGTGACTGATAATGTCTACCAAGTTAGACAATCACAACTTCTTTCTATGGCTAACCATAAACATTAAATTGTATACAAAAAACAAAAGCCTGAAACATCCCGAAAAAGGTTCAGAAGAAGTGCCTATTAAGATCAAATATTTTTCTATTAATTATGCGAATAATTTGTTTCATCAATGTCTATACCAAGAGTGGTGACAAAAAGCTCGATGTACACCTAAACACTTCTTACGAGTTGTGAATGCCAAAACATGAATGTCGTTCTTGTGTGTGCTCTCGTAAAGTGACCGTGCTGCGCTGACATGGGCCATGCAGCCACTCCAGTCCGCCCAAGCAGGCTCTGGGAGGCCCCGGCCCCACAGCCAGCAGCTACCTTTTACCAGAACACTCAGGCGCGGGCCCGCAGCGCCGTGGGGTGGCGCTCCTTGAAACCGACGCACGCCGGTCAATGGGAGCCTCGTTCCTTGAAACTATGATGCGTGCCAGCCAATGGGAGCTTATCCAACAGATTTCGGCATCACTTTACTCCTTTTGGAGAGGTGAATTTAGATGCCATTTTCCGTGGCTTTTTGCGTGGTTTCAAAGCTGAGAGGCTTCAGATCGCGGCTTCACTTCACTCCACTTGAGGAGGGGAGTTTAGCTGCCGTTTGGCGCGGCTTTAAAGCTGCTGACGGCAGCCATAGCAACTATTCCTAAAAAATATAGTGACCGACAAGAACGGCAGGGACGGGCTTCAGTTGTCCCGCCCCTTCTGTGCCTGATGAGGCTCGAGCACGAGTGCACAGTCAAAGCACAGCAGAAGGCATGGAGTGCGTGCTAGAGGCCCGGCGTTCGTGAGACGCGATCTGCTGTTTTCATTCTGTCAGTGACTATAGTACAATGCAGCCAAGATCCAAAGAAAAAGCGTTGAAACGAGACATGCCGCTCTCAGAAGGCCGCACAGACAGAACAGAAAAGAAGCACTTACCATCTATGTCGATTCCTTCGGCCATCAAGAGATTCTTAAGGCGCATGATCTCGTCCTTGAGTTCTCTGATGAGCCTGGCGTTGGCGTCCTCGTTGATGACCGCCTTGCAGACAATCTGCTTGGCTCTGTCCGCATACCTGGGGGCAACGGACATTGCAGCTCATGACACGGACACTTGAAAAACGGGCTGCGTAAACAAGCAGTCTACACAAAGAATATATGTCAACGTATTAGAAAGGATATACCAGGGGTGGCCAAACAGCGGCTCTTCGCGGGTTTGAGTGCGGCTCGCGGCTTCCAGGTAAGTGTGCCCCCCTTCCCCTCCTGTGCCCCAAGACGAAATGAGTCCCAGAACTCAATAAAAGCTCACAATCTTGGCAGCCTTGAACTACAGTATGTACATACAGCTGGACTGCTTTTTGACACATAGATGTGTCCAGTGACCCTGCTTCTTTATTTCTAGAAAGAATTTCGAATCGTATACGCCTAACGGGCGTCAGGGGCAGTGGCTGGCTAGTGAATCTTTGCTTAGCGGTTGAAGAAACATTCTGCTGCCTGGTGTTATTTGTTGTAGTCGACAATTATACTTCTCTTCTTTGGAAAGGACTGTTCCCTCCATATCGTTTCTTGTTAAAAGTAGTCCTCCCCCTTCTTTTTTTTCTAGTTTTGTCTGCAGCTTTAACCCCATGTCACCCTGGCTACCACTGGAATATACAATGGCAACATATTACGAAGAATGTATTACAGAGAATATACAAGGTGTTTCTTGAAACGCAAGCCAAATCATTCCTGCAAAAAGTATGCATCGCACTGAGTAAAAGTTAATGTTGCAATAATCTCTGCCAAAAAGCCTATTTAAAAAAAATTATTAATTTTGAGTAAAATTAGTTTATTATTTTTGAGTGATTAACTCTTTTAATTAGTGAATTTATAGGTATTGTTTCAATTAGAACTTTGCTGAGGATCATCAAAAACCACTAAATCAGCTTATTTTAAAAATATAAAAGGCAAGTACAGGATTCTACTGCGTTCCAAAGAAACGCGCAATGTTGATGAATTCCTAGGTTTCAGTTCATTATCGGAGCACATTTTTCCGCCAGCGGTCCTGCCCCCTGTGGCCGAGGCACGCAATGCAAGTGTGCTAAAATTATCCTCTTCAACGAAGAAGGTTAAAGTGCCTCGGCCAAAAGGGGCAGGACCGCTGGCACAAAGATGTGCTCCGATAAGAAACCGAAACCTAGATATGCCTCCCAATTTAGCTTTCTTTATGAAATGCAATGAAATGCTGTGCATGCCATCTATATTTCCAGAATAAGTCGATTTAGTGGTTTTCGATGATCTTCAGCCAGTTTCTAATTGAAACTATACCTAAAAATTCACTAATTAAAAAGTTAGTTACTTGAAAGCAATTAATACTAATTACACCAAATGTTAATTATTTTCTCGAATGGGCCCTTTGGCAGAGGTCATTACGACATTTATCTTTTAAAGCGATAGCCTTCAGGGTGACACTTTGCAGGAATTTCGGTGTCGGCGTTTGTGGTCCGTCGTCGCAACGGAGATGGAAAAACCCTTCTTTTCTCTCTTCATGGCGCGAGGAGAGAGAAGTCGGTTGTTCCCATTGCGTGCTCCACACTAAGAAGAAAGAGAGGAGAGCTCCGACGCCTGCACGTGTCTCCCACTCTGCCCATCGCTGAACGTCAATGTTACCCCCTCCCTTCACCACTCAAGAACACCAGAAAAACCTGCGCCTTTGCATGCGTCGATCATCACAGCCGCAGACTCTACTCAATGGCATCGCTGTGTCAAGCCATACTTTGTTTGCGTACATGACGACGCGAGGATCCCGAGGTGCACGAATGTGCTACAGCCATCGCTTCTTTTACTTTTTTGCACCATTGTGGACAAAAAAGGCACCCTTTTTTCAGTGAGATGCATACTTTTCGCAGGAACTATTTGGCCCGTGTTTTGAGAAACGCCCTGCCCTGTATATCAGCATATCATAAAGAATACATGCCAATATTTTAAAGAGAACATGCCGTATTTACTCGCATAATGAACACACTTATTTTCTCGAAAAATTGACACATAGTTGGAATTTAACCCGGCACATTATGCCGGGTTAAATTTTTGCATTTACACACCTCATGCAAATGTCATATTAGGTGCCAATATGACACGGCAAGGTACTGCGGCACGTCTCCACTGATGAAAGCACACCGACGGCTGGTTGGGGGAGTGCCACAATTTATAAATTGCGACCTTTTTTAGGGTGCTTTCGCCATTCCTTTTGCTGAAGGAAAAGCACTCTATGAAGCTCACTCAGCACGGAGAGCAACATGACCATTCTTAGTCCAAACCACTTTCACGATTTCAGTGTCCGAAAGCGGACCACATACGACGGCGTGTTTGTTGACATCAATGCATCCGATAGGTGAAGAATGTCCAAGGCCAAGCAATTTTTTGTGAAGTGTATGCGCTGCTCGGTTTCACGGTTGGTCACTAGCGCAACTTCATACTTGCAGCCATTACGAGAGCAGCTTGGCTTGGCTTGACTTGGCCTGACTGCTTGGTGGCAAAAGAAAATTGGCTTGGTGGCTAGCTTAATTGGACACAATTCGAGACTCGCGGAACCGAAAATTGGAGGTGCGTTCATTACGCAACAAGGGAAAAAAAGTCAAAATATTAGTACCTGTCATGGAAGTGCGTTCATTATGCGAGTGTGTTAATTTTGCAAGTAAATACCGTATTTCAACATATTACACAGAATATACGTCAACATAAAGTCACAAGCAGACCAACACCATCAATGTACCTAACTGCAGGACTGATGCTTAAGGAGTATATATCTCCTCTCTACATACTATGCCCAAATGTCCATTCTAATAAGTGCATGTCTCCTCTCTACATACTGCTGCACACTGCCGACTAACTGTACGTACTGCTGATTCTACATACTGCTGACTGACTGTAACAATATTCATTCTCCAACTACGCCCTAATTATATTTTTCTCAGTGCTATGACATTATGGTTTATGCTGACCTGTGCGCTCATTCCCAAACGGGTTGTCAAACAGCAACTGACAAATACAAACACATATGACAATAAATATTCAAGTGTACCTGAGAGTGCTCAATGTCTCTTCATAGTTAATGTCAGCTGGGCTGATGGCTGCAATCATTGCAGTCTTGGAGTTGCCACCTGAAAGAGGTCAGGGCACAAAGGCCACAGTATAGCAAATTTAGCCAAATTATTCTTAGGATAATACCTTAGTGTATGTCGTTATCATTCAAAACTGAAAGTAGCAAATTAAGATGTGCCAATTTGTTCTGTTGTCCTGGTAGCAATTGTAAACTATCTAGATTTTGTGAAACATGTCAACGTGTGACAATTGCTTTATTAACAATTGAGCAAAAATATTAAACTTGTGAGTTGAGGTTGCACCTGCTGAATATAGTCAATGGTTCCTGAAATTAACTCTACATGTTCATAAGGCCTCAAAATAAAATCCAAAAGAAAAAGAAATCATCCTTCTTTTCTTCTAAATCTTATGTTGTATATACTGTATTTACTCAAGTAATAGCCGCACTGTTCATGAAGAAAACATGAGAGTTTGCTTTCCCGCAGAGCACTCGGATTGCCAATCACTGTGATCGACAGCATGATTCCAGCGGTTTACAGGACAGAGATAACGTCTCCGCGCGAAAGGTACCATCTGTAAAGATGGCGTTTGTATGAAGAATCATGTTCCCAATCTAGTTACTCGCTATGTTGTTTATGCGCAATGTGATGATTGGCTGTATATGTGTTCTGCAGGAAAGTAGACACAATGGGCCTTGTTCATAAATAGCTGTGGCTATTACTCGAGTAAATACGGAATACTACTAACAAAAAAGTTAGCCGAGCTAATACATAAACTACTACCTAAGTTGTTTTTCTTTTATCATTTATCATAAACATCAGAGTGAACAATTTCAGTTTACTCAAGCAAAGTGAAGGATGCAGCAATAAAGTTGAAACTAACTCTGCCACGTTTCGAGACTATCCTAATGTCCGTGGGGTTTATTACAGAGGCCACAATCTCACCCAAATTTTCCCTGAGAAGCCAAGTAAGAACCGAGTCCCGATAGGGGATGAAGTCTCCCTTGCGTTTCTTCTTTGTTGCCTGTTGAAAGAATCTGCATCAGAAACTGTGTTCCTTACCACATTCGAAATTACATGGGAATTGTGTGAGTACAAAACTACAAGTAATATGCAGTCTGTGCTAGCTATTGAGATCTGGCTTTGCCTTACAACTTAGCTAAACTGAACCTTCTTAAAGAGAGATGAAGAAAATCTCGGTATATGCACACTCCTGAAAAGGTTCATTAGGTAGTTGCACAAACTGCTAGAGAAACTTAACAAGACATTCAGAAGAATCTAGAAAACCTTAACATAAACCTTCCAAATATATTGACGCTCTGCGCACGTTCCAGATTACAGCCACTATTGCTAACCTTTCCTTGTCTTACCAAGATACCGAGCCACTGAAACGAGCATTGACGAGCCTCCACAAAGGCCAAGGCCGGGGAGGACACAATAGAATCGAAAATGGAATTGCAATAACCTGACCTGCTATGGTAATGATGATGCGAAGTAAATGAAGTAAGAGGAAACAAAAACTGAAGGTTGTTATGGCGCACGGTGCCTATGAACAGCTGCTGCAAAGACTTACCTGGTTTTGGGCATTAATACTAAAGTACTGGTATTTCTTGCACATTACAACTTTATTATTATATTTATTTTATAAATATAATTAGTGAAGCAAAGTTGAAGTACCCCAGCAAATACTGTCATAGGAATTTGAGGCAATGGTACAGTAGTAGAGATATAATATGGTGAAGATTTCTCCTGAAAAAAAAAATGACGTCACGATAGGTTCTACTTTATTAAAACTAGGTCCCAGAAACATGTTTGTAGAATTAATAATAGGCAGTACACCCTTATCGCAGTAAACTTGACACTTACCGCCTTATGCAGTCCAGGAACGAGCCGGAAAGAAATGACAAAATTTAATAAACACAGACACTCATGTCGCTCTTCACTGTAATTATCAGGAACAAAAAAAGAAGTAAAACTAGCATAAAACAAATGTAAAACAAAAAATTTATTTTTCTTTTTAGAGTATGGTTATGTTCAAATAATGGCTGAGAAAAACTAACACAACTTCGACGAGATTATCAAAAGAAAACCATTTTTCTTTTTTTGCTTTAACAGTGCCATTCTCATCAAAACACTTTACGGTCTAATACATAAAACATAAAATGTTTTTTGTTCACATTCGCTGGTTTTTGAAAAAAAAAAAAAAAAAGGTGCCTTTGCAAGGCTCACAATTCTCTTCCTCATCAATTCACCATTTGTACCCCCGATCGGAAGGCTCCCGCACCCTAAAATAACAAACAAGGATGGGATCATCTCTTGTTGGAGGATAATCCGTTTAGTCAGGCCAGACGGAAGTTAAATGCGGGGAATCGTAAGCCTCCAGAGTTACTAAACAGGAAAACAAAACTGCTGCTCAGGGACTGTGGGGCCCTCAGACGCCATAACAAGATCACTGCGTGAAGGAAAAAGGAGCGTTCCTGGTGTCAGTTTTTGATTCGTGGCCCCTTAAATCTATGTTTTGTTTCAAAACGGGCACGGATCATTACGAATCGACACTATAGCGTGGCGACGCAGCAGCCGACGGAAAAGAGGGGCGGTAGAAGAGAAATCCGGCTCGGTCTGGGGGAGCTCACCACTTCTGCCAGGGCGGAGATGACTTTGCCGAGGGTGGTGAGGGACTTGTTGATGTTGGCCCCTTCCTTGAGCCGAGTTCCCTGCGCTCCTGTTGAGTCGGCCCTCTCGCTGCCAGCCAGGTCCACCAGGCTAATCTTGCTCACCTGAAGGGAAGCATAAAGCACCTTTTAGTTAACACTCAAACCAGGTCCAGAATTATAATGATGCAGAAACTTCCGCGTCAACATCTTCGCTCTTGAAACATAAATGCGACAGAATCAGTTCTCTTGCAGCAGTATGGCCTCCAAAATTTGGCAGTGACGGCCCTCGATAACTCACTCAGTCAATCAATTACCGTAACATCCCGAAAGATGCTCTGCCACCGAACGATAACCCGCCCCCTATTTTTGACACAATCTGCAATTTTTTCCAAAAACACCGAAAGATAGCCTATTTCTAGCGATTGCAGCGCCCTGACCAACGGTGATTGCGGCCTAATTGGAGAAAAGCTGACATTGTTGACTGGGAGGGACAGTTGTCTATGCTCCGTTGCCCCTCAATCTGAAAACAAGTCTGGCAGGTCACAAAATACGAAAATAGCATTTTCAAAGTTTTTCTCGATCGCACATCGAAAGTTAGCCCACTCCTCATTTACACCCGAGTTGCTCTAGCATTTAAGAGAGCCATCTCCCGGGATATTATGGTAGTTTATTTGCACATCATGCAACACTGATGGCGCAAACACAACAATGGGGCTTTTTTTAATTTGACTCGGAGAGGGTATTGATAAGCACCAAACTTTACCGCTTAGGTCACCGCCCCGAATGAGGACTTTCCTCAACACTAATAGTTTTTATGGCAGCCGTTCAGTTTAAACATAAATGCAGTTACAACTGGCGATCGCTCGTTCATGCTGACAGTGTTGCGCTGTTTACTTCAGAGAGAGTATTCCAATCTCACTCGTTCTGTGGCGAGCCCCGTGTCCTTGTCCGTCTTCCTTTGAGTGAAGATGATGGTGAACACTGCATGCGAACGACTGCTGGTCTCGTTCATGTTGGTGGCAGCCACCGTCCTACGACACAACACAAGCGGATGTGTAATTAACGACAAGTCAGCATCACAAGTTGCTTGTGTGACGTGCCAGCTGCGAAAAGGGCACGCAATTTGACCTGTCCTGTGTCCCAATTCTGAATTTTATATGTCCTACTGTACGTCCTAGTGTACTGAATCTCGATTCTGAATTCTGTATGTACTCCACAGCTGCTCGTAGGGTACAAAGCATTCCCAAAAGCATGCACCCGTGTGTGTTTTGATCAGCATTCTGGTCAAACTGGCAGCTCTTGAAATATCTTGGCATAACAAATGAACGTAGCTAAGTGTACAGGGTGTCCCAGATAACTTGCACCAAACATGAAAAACAAAACAACACAAAAAAACGGAGCACTCTGCGGCACTGAAACCAACTGTATGCTGTTAGCAAGCGTCTTGCAAAAGTGCTAGCGTTTTTTACTACATCTAGTTATTTATTTAATTGCGACTAATTAACAAACTTTTTAATTATTCATTTAAGGGGCGAGCTATAAATTGTAAGGTTGTAGGGCACATTGAGAAACACCCCATTAAGGTGTTTGCTATGTGATATGCCCTGTGCACTTCTTTTAGGAAAGATAGGAAATTGATAGGAAACTTGCAAAATATAAAAGAGACATCAAGTGACAATGCGCCTGCACGTTGCACTTGCAGCACTCTTAAAAGTGCTTTGAAGGAAGGAGGTTCGCCTTATCACTGGTGCACTGCCCGAAACAGGGCTTTGCGACACCAGGTGCTCACGCACATCTTTGGGGCCTACACCAACACGAAGCCCTGCCTCAGATGGTGCGCCAGTGATAAAACGGACTTTGTTCCTTCAGAGCACGGCTGAGAGTGCTGTAAACGCAACACGCGAGGGAGCCGTCACGTGGTTTTCTTTTATATTCCGTGGCCTTTCTTTTTAGGCTAATTAAAAAAAGCATGCAAAGCATATCATGTAGCAAACATCTTGACTGGGTGTTTTTCAATGCACTCTACAAGTTTCCAATCCACACCTCGGCCTTTAAACTAATAATGAAAAAGTTTGCTAATTAGTCTCAGTTAATTAATAACTATATGTACTAAAAAGTATTTGTGCACTTTTGTGAGACATTTTTAACAACATACAGTTACTTTCACTTCTGCAGAGTGCTCCATTCTTTTTCTTTTTTTAAGTTTAATATAAATTATTTGGAACAGCCTGTATATTACCCAACTAGTTAGACAGAAATCGGAATAGCTCAGCCAAATATTGCTCTACATTTATCAAACTGGCTATTGAAGATCCTGCTACAAAGAGCAAGTAAAACCATCAGAATCTGAAGTCTGATCGGTAATGCAAAACAACTTTATGTTTGTTGCTTTCTGCTTATGCTCCTCACATGTAGCAATTGGTTTTTGTAAAAAGCTGTATAGCTGCACATGTATGATGTAACACTAACTTAGCTAAACATATGTCTGTTTGTATGCGAAATGACACAGAGGTGGAGTTGTTATTAAAACTCGCCCATTGACATTTACTTAGTCTCAAACTTTCTTATTGACTGCAAAAATCTTTCAGACAACAAATTTTTTACTTTTGGTTAGAAGGCATACCAATGAACTACATAACTGAAATTATTCTAATACAATATTTTTATTAGACTAGTGGTTTTGTTAACCTTTTACCAAAAATGCCAATCATAACAACGAAAATGTCCCCTTGTTCCCCTCGGAGAGGGGGAACAAGGAGACAAAGGACAAACACAAATCTCCAAACACAGCTAGGTGACTGGTGCGCGACCGAAAAAATTCGCCTGGTCCTGGTATCGAACCAGGGCCTCTCCATTTCCACTGGAGCGCTCCACCAACTGAGCTAACCAAGAGTTAGACGTCAGTAGAGTAAACGAGTCTTATCAGCTGACAACAAGTCTGACACCAACAAGGGTGAACAACTTGCATTTTTAAGGTTATAATGATAATGCAATTATGCAAAAATGCAAGCAAGCTGGACAAGAATATTGATAACAACCCCTTGTTCCCCCTCTCCACAGATAATTATTGTTATCCTTGTCCAGCTCGCTCGCACCTTTGCATTAATTCCATTATCATCATAACCTTAAGGGGATTATTATCATTATTCTTGTCCAGCCCACTTGCACTGTTGCATTAATTGCATTATCATCATAATGATTTATGAGAGGAAACAAACAAATGACAAGGCACAGATTAAGTTTAGACTGAAGAGTGCAATACGCTCTTGGGTGGTGGTCACCTAACCGTCACGCTCAGAAATACAGCAAGGCAGATAATCGTCTTAAGTTTCCAATTCTTTACAAACTGTGGGAGTGGCAAAAGATAGAGAAAAGAGACAAATTGATGGAAGGACATGACTTGGCACTCCCTCTGCTCAGGGCGAAGTGGCTTACTTATAGGGAGGAGGGGTGATAAAGAAACAGAATGCGAGAGAGGATAAAAAAAATTATACAAGCTTGATCATGCAGACAAAGACTGGAAAGCACAGAATGAGTGATAAGCCTTTCAGGGAAGAAGAGAAGGGCATCTGAACAATGGTGCATAACAAAGATTCACTCTCGAGTCTGGCACATGACGTAAGACGGCACAGCATAACAACAAAAACTGTGAGGCGCGCGTTTGCGCACCCCGCCCACAAATGACTGCTTTTGCATGCTCCGATCCCGACCCTGGATAGCCCAGTTGGCAAAGCACTTGGCTCACTATTTCAAAATGGTGACTTCCACTCCTGCCAGAGGACTGGTCTGTTTTATAAGGTCCCCTATGGGCGTCTGTAATGTTTGGCGTTAGGGCCAAACATTACAGAAATCAGCTCACAAAACACATTCTGCGTTAATAAGCAAAACGAAAAATTTTAATATGCATGTTGTGACCTGCTTACCTGATGCTATTTAAGCGAGTCCCATCCGTCATCAAGCTTAAAGCCCTACTGTAAGAAGCTTCTTTTTCACGTAACAAACTTATGTAGAGCTACCCGGGGACTACTTGCCACAGCCAAAAGCCAGACATGATCCCAAAAGATCCTCAAGAGACCCACACTGAAGCTCAACGTACCTGGCCTTGTTCCCTTCGTCCATGAGAGCGTGAATGTCATGGTAGTTGGTGACCGCCAGCTTGGACAAGTCTTCCACGTAGGGGCCGAGAAGCGGATGCTCACGCACCCTCAGGTTGTTCTTGGTCTTGGGGTTGAGGAGGTCGCGTACCCTCTCGCAGTAGATCTCCATGTAGCTCACCTGGATAAGAAAAAGTACGCCCAGGTGAAAATCAGTCCAGCAGGAGCTGGATTAAGGAATTGATTTTAGCTGAGTTCAGCCGGGTCCAGCGGGACTCATTTTCACCTGGGCATATAACTGAAAACACACTTGAGCCGAGAATATACAAGTCCTGAGATGGCACCCTGAACAAGCTTGCACACTTTTAATCATGTCACCGAAATTCTGGTCATCGATCCATAAACACTAACCTTGTTTGGCCTCCTTCTTTTTTGTCCCCGTGTACAAAGCCTGCTAGTCATTTTCATTAATTAGTTATTCCACTGTTCAATTAATTTGCCAAATGATCAATTGATTGATCATTTATCCATTGATTGATTTCTTCAATCCCTAGATTTTGGTGATTACATTTTACACTAAACGATGTGCCTGATGTTAGCAGCTTATGTATGTCACATGTTTTGAACCTTTTTACTTTTTATATAGGTAATATTACGAAACTGAATCTCCATCCCACCTCCTCATTCTTCCATTACCATTATATGAAGAGATCTTCAGCTCTCATGGCCAAAGTCACAGTAGGTCAACACAGCACAATCATTACATTAAGACAAAAAAAAAGTGCCTTTAATTGTCATTTTGTTATAATATGTTTGTATAAACCGTGTTCATTATAATGATTTTATGCCTAAATAGAGAACAGAATGCAGCCTGAACAGTACATATTTTTCTCTTTCTTCCAATTTGATCGAAAATAGTAGCAAGTAGATGGTTACGAGGGTACACCTCAATCTGAAGCCTTGAACTAAGCTAGCTAATTTCCAAGTGGAGCCTCTTTTTATGACCAGTCAAGAGAAAAAATTTCTAAAATTACAGAAGGACGCTTAAAGGCCCGTTCACTCTCTTGCAACCGAGTACGACAGAGAGACAAGATCTGTTAAAACTTCATAAAATTTCTTAGGACGAGGAAACACACTGGCATCCTGGTGCCATCTATGCGGTGACTCTGGAACTGCATTTCACAAGAGCAAAGATTTTGTGGGATTTTCGAGGTCAAACGTGTGAAATACCTATAAGAAAGGCTCGTTTATGACGTTGACTAAAGTTTTTCGAGCCAAGATAGAAAGGATAATGCGCGAGAGAAATAGAAATTGTGCCGGACCACCAAGTTTACACTGCTACCCAACAAATGGCGCCAGTGTGTCCTCTCGTTGTAAGAGGTTTTAAGGAACCCAGTTCTAAGAGGTCGCAAGAGTGTGAACGGGCCTTAAAGGAGCTGTGCAACGATTTCAACGTTGAAAGAATTGGCATTTTCTGCTTTTGATATTGTTCACTGTGTCACAAATGGCAGAAAACACTCCTCCTTTCATCGCAATGTTGCGATTCCGCCGCGTAATAGCGAGGCAAAACTTGGAATATTTCCCGACCTGCAGCCACGAGTGGCGGCCATGAGAAACAAGCAGCGTGACGTCACTTGGGTCGTTGTAAGAAAGATAGCAAGTTGTGCGAATACCTGCTCGATAAAAGGTAACTCTTTTTACAAATCTTGTCGTTCCAACACATATATAAATGCGTCAACACCCTGGTATCATCCACAAAACTTTTATTATACGGAGTTTTAGTGGCGCCATCTATCCTAGGTCCACAAAACCGCGAACAGCCGCCAGAAGCCGGAGGGGGAGGGGGACAGCGCCGGACGGGCAAGGACGGGTGGTCACGCGGTCGGCAGCGGATGAGTTCTCGCTTCTCGCTGATGGCTCTAAAGAGAGAACTTTTCCGGAACTCCGCGCCTACTCTAGTGACGTCACTGTGCACGTGACCCGGAAGACGATGCACGAGTTGAGAGGCGGCGAAAACCTGGATCTTTTTCATTTTTTTAAGTAAAAACTAGGGTATCCAGGCAAAATCTGTTTTCTGTAGTTCACTGCAGAAGTGTCAGGCATCAACTTCCACAATTATTTAAGCAAAGCCCTGAAATTGTTGCACAGCTCCTTTAAGCTTTGCCTTTAAGAATGGAACGCAATAGCTAAACATATAAACCCCTGCTCGTTCCCAAGCTGTGCAAATGGTCTGTGTGGCCTAGTCAGTAGCGTGTCTGGCTCACAACTGGAGGGTCGTGGGTTCGAATCCTGCCTCTGCCTAAAATTCTTAAAATTTTATGTTTAAGGCAAATTAATTACTTTATAAGGTGAAATTAACTGAGATATGCAGCGACCTTTAATTCGCATTACATGTCATTTTTTAATCACTTTCATTCCATGCATGACGTCACGTTTCACGTGAGCGTTATTTGAAATTCCCACGCGGGGTCATGTGGATGTGATGTCACGACCCTATCGATGAATTAGAATTTTCCCGTCCCACGAACACCGGCTTTTCTGCGATACAAGCTCCTTAATGCTATCGCATTGAAAAAAATTCTACTTCAAAAGGTCTGTTCAGAGCCAGCTAAATGATGAGAAAAAATGCATCAGAAACTTACATTCTAATCTATTTGCCAATACCCAGGTAGCTGCCAACACTTCTCAAGTGAATCCAAGTAGGTCCTGCTCTACTGACCTTAGTTCCACCCTCAAGCCAAAATAAACCGAATGAAAATTAAAAATTAACAGATAGTCACAAACAAAGTAAATATAACAAAGTACCTCCTCCCCCCCCCCAAGAGGCAGTTGGTTCCAAGACCAAAAATAAACGAGCCACAACCTAAACCTACTAAACAAAACACCCAGGCTAAAGACGCCTAGCGTGTTTCCCAGCAAGAGACCACTTGGGGAAAAGAATCCCCCACTCCTTTCACAGGGCGCGATGCCAAGGCCCCAGTTGGCGGGCTGCCAGGAGCTCACAATGACATCCATTTCCCTGAATTCCCCTTTTTCTCTCCCACTCCCTCTTCCCTATTTCCTCGAGTTGCCCGTATCGGAAAAAGCTGTCATTCCCTCATTTCTCGTTCCAGGGGAGGAGAGAACTAGACGCGGAAACTGCCCTGCCCTCATTTTCCGGACCCATGCGTCTTTCGAGGGGCGGTTACTATTCAAGACGAGGCACGAGAATCATTTCTAAAAGGGCACTTCTTCGAAAAGAGCTGGTGCGCTTCGCTTCACGAACCTTCATCCATGCATTTTCGCATTTTGCACGATGCATGTTTTTTTTTTAAATAAAAGAACAATGCAAACTGTTTCAAACTCCCGAGGAGTCATTTGAAAGGCTACGCTTTCACACTGGCACTGACCATAAAATCCCGAGCAGCTGCCCATATCACAATAAGCTCTTATCTTCTACATCTGCTACTCGTGAAACGTTTGAAAGATAAGCAAAGGACATTTCAAGGACCCACCCCAGACTTCCGAGACCATTTAGATAACTGACATGACCCTTTGTGTCAGCCGCTTCTCCTAGCAACTCAAGGAAAAGCGGTGAAGCCCACCCTGGCATGTGCCCCCTCTGCATTTCTGTGTTACAACCTAACAAGGGCCCTTATCCCCTCCCCCTCCCCCTCCCCTCCCCTCCCCTCCCCTCACCCCCCCCCCCTCCCCCTCCCCCCCCCCCCTCCCCCCCCGTTTTTCCAGATGCTTTCAAAATTTTAGGTGAGAATTTGCTTGATATTTTACAGTAGATGCATCTTCTATTATAGTGCACTTAATATGATAAAAAATTCCATGTGACAAGCAAACTGACTTGCAAAGTCACAAAACATTGAAAAAGAACTCACAATAAATTGTTAATTTCCTAACATTATGAAAGGGCTCTTTTTAGTGAGCACCTTGAGCTAACTTGGGCTTACTTAGGAATTGAATGAAAGTGTTATCTATGAGCATTTTATTCATGAATACAGCTTAGTGGTATGAGAAATTATACAAAAATATCAGCTTTTGTTATGACAGTATAAACAAATGCACCACAATAAAAAGCAACAAAAAGATGCTTTGCATATTTTCAATGGTTGCAACAAAAACTGCCCCTTTACCCAACAAAGATTTGTTAACAAAAAGGAATGCATAACTGTCTCCCAACTATATTAACACATAAATTAAAAAAAGGTTGCTATATGAATGTGAGTTGGCCTAAACTTATCTTCTGCAATCTAGTGCTAAGCCCCTTTTAAAGAGATAAGAACCTTTTCACCGATGCACCAAGAAGAACGCTGCAAGAGTTGCTGTATGCACTGCATGTGCCTGCTTCAGCAAAAGTAAATTCATTAAAGCAAAAACCTAAAATAAATCATGCTTTGCCTGTGCACCCATAAACACCTTACTTTAGCTATGCACATTCCCAGCATTTTTGTGATGCTTAGGTAATTTGGCAAGAAGCTCTAATGCCTTTGTCTGATCAGCCATAGCTGATTAACTTTTATTTCACTTTACACGCGAGCAAAGCCGGCCAACACTACAACCATGGGCATGCTACCCTGGACAGTGCTTGCACTGCACAAACACACATGCTTTGCAGGAGCTTGCTCTCATACATTTTGCTATGCTCACACTTCAAGTGAAATAGAGTATATAATATAATATTTTGCAGACTATAGTCTGTAGACTACTAAACATGTTTAAAAGTTGAACTTTAATGTGGTGCAGACTATCTACAGCTACAGGTTTTACAAAGATATCTCTATCGAAATTGTTAATTATGACAAGATGTCATAAATTTCGTTAATGAGAAATTATGTTAATTATGATTTCTGTATAATAAAAGCTTCATACACTAGTAAAGCAGACATTTTCAATGTCTACTGTGTAGAAAATTTGTTCCACCTGCAGACTATTCACAGGGCACAGACTATGCACAGCATGCAAATTATGCACAGGGTGCCATCTACCGTAGAATACCGTGCATCCGCCCATTCCACATTAAGCGCCCATTCCCAAATCTGTAAGATCTGAGAAAATACACACAGTAAATTTATATGTAAAATTGATGACCGGAAAAGCGCCCATCCCCCATTTTTTTGCGATTATCTCCAAAGTTTGAGTGGGCGCTTGCCCGGTATTTTACGGTATGTGCAGGATGCAAACTACTCTAAGAAATATTTTTAACCGAAATTAGCTTTTGCAGACCATACACTGGGTGTGGACTGTAGTCCGGAAAATATGGTAAGCTTGAGCAAGCTAAGGATAACTTTGAATTACGATCCACTGCTGGACCACTTGCCTCGACGGAGTAGAGCATGTCCTCGGACATATCCTCCTTGATCTTGCGAAAGAGGTCCTTGCAAATGTGGGGGATGATGCCTTCCTGCCCCTCCTCTTGCCTCCCCATCATGGTGTAGCTCTTGCCTGCCCCAGTTTGCCCATAGGCAAAGATGCACACATTGTACCTGCGTATGCAGTGACACGCATGAGCAGCACTTCTCACAGTGCCTCGTAGCCGTTTACCAATGCTGAAGTCAATCGGATTTGCCCCAAACAATGCAGCGTCAGGAACTCTGCCCTTTTTTTAACTTGACTTGCCATTTCATTTTCTCGTCATTTGTCTCTCACCGTCTCTTATATTGCAAAATGTGCTTGCAATGATGCTGCTTTGCCGTGAAGAGTATTTTGAGAGTGCCAGTGCAGTCTTGTCTCGTTAATGTAGACCCTATTAATATGGATACTCCATTACATAGACAAAATGTTCGGGGAGATACAGGGTAAATGCTTGCATTCTTATTTTGCTGTTATAGAAAGCTCCCATTATGGATGATTTTTGGGAGGAATGGAGGTGCACATATTAAAAGGGCATGATAGTTTGTTTCCATATTAAGGAGCGTTTGCACGTGGCAAGTCATGTACAAATGTTAATTGTCTTTATATGGGTGCTTGCCATGTATCAGCCATTTATTTTCAAGAGAGCAACCGTCCTTTCTATCATGACTCTTGAATACTTCATTTCTCAAGCTTCCAGAAGTAATTGCAGCTATACGCTAGTTTGCAATACTACCAGCTAATGCTACAATTCAGTCTATGCGAGGCATCGCTTTACATGCAGCATTTGGTGATACTATCCAATGCTTGGTCTCTACAAAAGAGGCACAAGCATTTGGCGATCTAATGTTTGCCTTTGCCTCCATACAGCTCAATGGTGCACCAAACTAACTGAAGCACAGCAAAGAGCTCCTACCCTTCAAAAGCGTGCAAGAGCATCTCCTCCCCGATGTCATCATAGACCTTGTCTTGAGTCGAGAAGTGAACGTCGGTAGGCTGAAAGGGCCAATAGCACAATGAGGCAAAAAAGTTGCGGTGAAATGTTGAAGTTAGTCAAGGACATGAGCAATTTCTTTACAGGATGACATGCATTCAGGAGCACACTCACATCATGAGACCAGTAGGAGTAGTCATAATTAAAGCTCTTGGTTCCTTCCTTGCAGCCAGGGGGTGCCTTGGGATTGGTGATTGCTGCAAATGAGAGTGACACGCAAGAGGGCTTGCATGGTTCTAAATGTGTTCTCTCTTTAGAAACATGTCAATGCTGATTAAACCTCACTTAAAGTGTTGCAAAATCCCCAATTTTTTAAAGCTCCCCAAATGTAATGGCAGCCTGCTATAGTATTCATAGTTATACTGCTCCCCCCTCATGTAATGCCCTAACTGGGCCTTTAAGGTGAAAATAAACGAAATAAAAACTGTCCCTATTCCATTTCTTTTTTTAGCAACAAAGACTTCACATATGTTCCAAATGGTGGCTACTTGAAATGTAATAGCACAGCACTCTCTATGATGCCCTGTGTCAAGAATGTCATTGCATATCACAGTACTTCAATCGTAATACAATAACTTCTCTAAAGAGACACCTCATTCCATGGTGAGTTTATAGGTGAGACAAAAATGTACATTAAAAGTAAAATAAGCAAAATGAATTAGAAACTGGTCTGGCAGAATTATATATACTTCTCAAAGTAACCCCTGTTGTTGTCCCACTGCTCTAGAAGCTCAAAGCTTGTAGCACAAAATGCTCTCATTAATTTTTATAGCGACCACCACTCTACATGAATGAGCACAGCTGTGAACTACTTTTTGCGATGAATTTTTCTAACCACAAGCGAAAACCATTATGAAAACAATCTGGACGAAATATTTTGTCTACAAGTCTACCATCACACACTCCATTGGCTGTAGCTGCCATCTTGGAGCACCAAAAACAAATATATATGACATGCAGGCATGCTGAAATGTAATCTGAAGGCCTGTTCACACCATGCATTTGACTAAACCGACTAAGACAAGACCGGTTTTTAAGCCTTGTGCGTAGGCTTACGACCAGCTCCGCAGCAGCGCATTCTGTCTTAAGCCGTCACAAGAGGCTTACAACAGGATGCGCCGGTTTTGTCTCAGTCAGTCGTAGTCAATCACAACCGCGTGAATGGGTTTTTATATACATACTTAGTTTCAGCTCAAAGTGGTAGATGAGTGAGGGCTCCAGCATGAGAATCATAATATAGAATCTGTGTTGACTGGATGAGTGGAGGTGTCTGCTATACCCCGTTTTACCTTACAATGTACCGGGATGGATGCTATGAGCTACTGAAGCCAATCTATAGCTTGGAGCATTTCATGTTACTTAGCTCTCCCCAGGTTAGTCTGCCCAACTGGAAGAGCATGTGACACCCTTCAAGCTATGTATCGGCTGCAGTAGCTCACAGTGTTCACTGTGGTTCACTTCATAAGGTGAAACAAAGTATAGAGCTGTGATCCTGAGTGCGTCTCAGCTTCGCAAGTGCCCCTTCAATTTGAGAGGAGTTAAAAATAGTGTGGCTACCTAGTGGTGCCCACTAAAAGCCTGTCACTCCCAATCCATTTGTTTTGCTTTAGTTTGCAACTCCCTCACTAACTCGTTTCTGTGTCTTAATTAAGTTGTTCTACGAAGTGTGCCTCTAGCTGAACCTCAGTTGTAGAGAGGCCATTAATGGCCTCACCTGTGGTGTTGCCTGTCATGGCGATGATGCACTTGCAGTCTCTGCTGGTCTCGCGGTTGTTGAAGGGCCGCACCCTCACTGCCACCTTCACGGACGACATGGCTGCCGCCTTGTCTGTCCCGAGGAACGTGGGTCACTAGGATGCGGAGGGCTTGGGCTGCAGCCACAAAGAAAGAACATTCTTTTGAGTCCAAGTCTTCAACGGACGTATGCTACGAGGATTTTTCCCCTCCGACACATGACGGTAATAGGCAATCCAATTCCATGCTTAGCCGAGGTAAGGAAAAGTAATAACAAATACATGCAACGTTTCTAGGGTAACCTTGTTAGAAACCTTACTTTATGCTTGAGCGGCACCAAGAACTTACGAAAAATATTGTAAAAGGCTAAAGTACCTAGGCAAGCTGGTTAGCGAACAGCATGAGTTTGCTGGATGTTTTTATTTTATTAGTTATTTTATTCCTCATCCTGAGATGAGGAATAAATTAAGACTTTTTGTATTGTCCTGCTCGTTATTTCATTTCTTTTAATCTCAAAGTTCAAATTATGAAAAAAGAAAAAAGAAAATGTCTGTCACCGAGCACTGCTGAAGATTGCTCGGGCTGCCCAAAAGCTAACTTCAGTGGCTGTAGTGCTAGAGGTACAAGACCGTAAGAAAGTTTATGAGAACCACAGATGAGGTTAGAGTCTTCTCAGCTGCATCAGAAATCTTGTGTGCATCAATCATTCCTTAATTTTTTTTCATTTGCCTCATCTTAAGTACTTGCATAAATAATTCGCCAGCTCTTTAGTATTTGTAAGGTCACAGAGCTTCTGTGAAGGACTGATTTTAGGCAGTATTTACCCAAGTAATGATAATCCAAACAAAAAAATTACGGTAGTGGAGACTGGAAGAAAGGCTTTGAGAGGATACCTCAGAGTGACAGATAATGTTTCACTAAGAGTCTTAGCTAAGACATCCGTAAGGTACTGATATTTCTTTCTGCGGCAAAATCCCAAGAGATGCCCCACCCCCGAAAGGTAACCCACCCATATTTTTGGCTTGATTTGGTATTTTCTGTTTAACCCAGAGAGATAGCCCACTCCTAGTAATCGTAGTGTTTGGATCAACGATGACCTTGGCGCAAATGCGTCTAGTTAGTTACGGTGGGATGTAAGTGAACATTGCTGACTGGGAAGTAGAGTCATCTTTGCTTCATTTGCCCCTCACCACGGTAACAGGTTTGACAGGGACACATGATCTAAAACTAGCACTTTTTTTTCAACTTCTTTTTATTGCACACCAAAAGTGAGCCCACTCCTCATTTTCAACCAATTTTCTCTCGATTTTAGGTGGGCTATTTCTCGGGATAGTAAGTACAGCTCATGACAGACTCTCAGCCCTCGTGAACAATCATCTGCCTTGTCGAAATCATACAGCAACGAGAATGTTAAACCCTCGTCAACCTCTCCCCATCAACCACCCTATTGGTCTTTTCTTCAGGACCCTAATACTTAAAAAACAAAATGGTAGAGCCCTTCTTGATGCTGGAATCATTTTTGCATTTGTGCTTGAGAGGTTCCTTACTTTATGAAAGTTATACTATATCAATCATGAACGAGTTCAAGGATATTGTTGGGGTCACCAACGGCTCTCACGTTACAATCCTTTCATTTAAAAATCTCCCAAGTCACTCAACCTTCTCGTTTCGTTTTGGAAGACTTTAAAATGAAAGAACTGTAACACCATGACTGGCATGATATTCAAATTCACCAAAGCTTTTTTTCAAACAAAAATGTGGTCTCACAAATGGTTCCAATGTGAGGCCCTAATTTTCTGACATATTTAGCGGCTTTATTGTGGACTTTTTTTTTTACACTGTTCACACCTCCAACTGTATACCTTCTACATAAGTAAGATTTTTGTACTCAACTCCCTTGACAGAGTATAAATACAAAAACTGCATGAGACAGCCCCCTCTCAAAACTTTGCTTTCACACTTTCTACTGTTCTATCAGTGGCCATTTTCACAATTTTCTTCCTTACGAAATCCCAGAACTATCTTCACCACAGGCTGTAACCTGAAGCCCCGAATTGCCTCAGTCTTGTTACCTATAGCCCCTCCACCTTATACCTATCCGTAGCAAAGTATTGCGCCTTTGTAACCAGGCCCAATATGCCCCCCTTTCTCAAGGTTGTGTTCATTCCCCTTTCTTCTTGCGGCATGGGCCCAATATCTTAGTAACCTCCCACTGTCAACATACCCCTCTACTCTTCTCCAGATCACTCATAAACTGTGGCCGGCCATAACCATATTTAATTAATCATCGAAGTGGAACACCCGAGCCCTAGTTACTGCCATCTTCTACACACCTGGTAAAAAAACTGTGTGATATACCGCATATAGAGCACATTTTCCCATTTCTGAATGCCCATCGGCCCAACCTCAAACATATCTAGATGTCCCACAAAGAAACATCCTGACTTTTCCCCTTTGCTTCGAGTGTAGAGTTCCCGAAAAGTACAAAGACTATTGCTTGCAACACACACCCTTACACAGCTGCTGATGAAACTAACTAGTGGCTGCATAAGCAATCATAACGACTTCAATGCCTTGTGAACCTGAAGCACGGTGGTCCAATTTGGTTATTAAGAATACATTACTGACATCAGTGTCGGCTTGCTCGAAAATGTTTCCAATGCTAGTGCATGAGCTAAATAGCATGCAAAGAGTGCATGCAGGGTGCAGCGACAGTAGGACAAGCGTTGTGAGTGCCTATTGCGAGCCTAATCAGTCTATTGAGATTTTATCCTTACATTTGAACTAAAATAAAAGACTACAGGTAAAATGCAAAGAAGACATACGCCCAAGCTGTACCAGCTATCATGACTGTTTCATACGCAAAAATTAAATTCGAAAAGCGCCAGAAAACAAGGACAACAGAAGGAATAGATGAAACGATGCGCATCGTTTCGTCTATTCCTTTTGTTGTCCTCGTTTTCTGGCGCTTTTCGAATCTAAGATGTACCAACTTGCCCAACTCCAGATTCTTCTGCAAAAATTAAACAGCTATGCCTGAGACGAGAAATTTCCAGGCCATCACCGTTCTCAAGATGTGACAGCAGGGTGAATTTTAGAAGCGTTCCATGCAATATATATGTATATATTTTTTTTACTCTGTGAGTATTTTTATTTTTTGCACTTCTTCTATTAACCTTTATTAGCGCTGTTCAGTTGCTGATAACTGCTTGAAGTTATATAAAGCACTTTCAGAAACTTCTTTCTTTCTTTTCTTTGGGGGCCAGGCTGAATAAGTATAAATTATGAAGTTGGAACAACGCTACAGGAAACGAAGATAAAACATAAAAAAGTGTTTAATAAAATCTGATCCTCAACACAAACAATACAATCTTCCAGATAAACGAACACCCGATTCCCAATAAACAAGATATCCTCCTTTTTTTTTAATTGAAGTGGAATGCAAACATAAACGCATTCAAAGCTAAAACTATCAAAACCATCGATTGAAAACCAAAAAAAATTTTTGACGATACTTTGTGGTTGTCACGCAGTGGTCACGTGGATGTAAACCAAACACGCGATCCCAATTCGTCTCCGCAACTACAGCGCCGCGAACGCGACACCACAATAGGTTCCACCCCCTGCCCTCCTCTCCCTTACCGAAAGCGGCCTTGACCTCGCTTATCGGTCATCCTAACGCCGACCACGCCACGCCTCAGAAAATCCACCACAATTCGCAAGGAAAGCGTTTCTCCCGAAATTAAAAAAAACAAGCAAACAATCCGAACAAAAACAGCAAGACTCCCACGCACGCGCACCAATATGTAACTCCCGAAAGTCGTCAAACGCAAACAACCGCACGCAACACGGTACGTGTAAGTACGGGCCAGCCTTTAGGCCTGTATCGCACATATTTTCGCCGGTATCCACCGAGACAAGCCCATCCGCGTTCTGACAACGCAAAATGTTCGAACGACGGTTTATCCCGCGTTCACGCACAAATGGCCGAACAACGCAGCAACGTCGGTATTGTGTGAATCATCCAGAGTCCCCGCCCAGCGAGCGATCGCCCCCGAGAAGCCATTTTTCCTGCAGTGCTAGCGCGCGCTGCGGCGAAGACCGCCATCTTCGAAACAATCATTAAAAGTGCAAAGGAACGCGTAATGGCGCGTGGGGGTTGTTTTCGTTCAAGCTGGCTCGCGAATGGCAATAAAACAAAATAAATAAATAAAAAAACGGGCACACCCGTTAACGGATAAATATGGCTGTAGAGCGGACGAGTCGGACAACCACCCAACCGACGGAAAGGCTCAATGTCCTTCGAGGTTGGTTATATAAAACGCACGGACGATCTTAGCTTACGAAACGGCACAAAGGCGGAGTGCGTTACGTGAGGAAGTTACGTGGCAGCCGACAGCTGCGATTGTTTCTCTCGTATTTCTTTTTTTTCTGTTAGTGCACTCGTCTCCTTTACGTAAGCAATCTAGTTGTCCCGACTCGTTTTTCGACGCATCTTCAAAACGGTGAAACCCCACAGACAGAAAAACGAATAAATAAAAGACTCTAGTAACCGTATGTCGATGGAATATTTCATAATCCACAGCTTTTCGTACTTTCAATCTCTAAATTTGGCAGCCGCGTTCTGTCGCAAAATGGCTTTAAAGAAGTGGCCACCGGCAGGCGCCGCGGAACTGTAGTCGTATAACCCGAAACGGGTTCCGCTGCGCCGAACGGCATTTAGGGAAGCGCCGTGTGTCGCGACGGGAAGGCATCGGACGAGCCACGAAAATTCGGAGCCGGACGCCTTTAAACGGGAGCTCCTTGATTGAGACTCTTTTGGGTCGGGGCTCGGATCCGTTGTCAGCACCGCGAGTGTCCGTTCCCCCTTCCCCAGCGTACCGTCGACCCCAGGTTCGAGGAAGTCGCTAAGCCTAAACCGGTGAACGAACCCGAGCCCACGCACATTGGCACCCGATCGAACGGCCCGACGACTCGCCAAACAGAGGGTCATCTCCAGCATCGACGATATGATCGCGCAAATCGCTATAAAGATAACTCACTTCTATCTTTACGTTTAGTTGGTATAAAAGATGTAAAAAGAACCAGTCAAAAGCTAACCGATACGTCGTAAAAACAGAAAGGGATAAAATATAGA